TGTTATTCATTTTGCCCATCTTTATCCATTGACCATATCTTTAATCATGGACCAACCATGACCATCCTCATCCATTGACCACATTCTTATTCATTGACCGTATCCTTATTCATTGACCAACCCCACACTCTTCAATCCGACCGACCCCCATAGACATATATCAATCTGTCTCAGCATATCCGGCACCGGTCCGACACCCACCGAGCGCAGCGTTTCTCCCTGGCCAGGAGACACGTGGCTGGGACCTTCAATTCTCGGTCACCTCAGCCGACGAGACCCTCCAACACAACCATTCAACATGGTTGTCTTGGAAACACCATTCCCCTTATATCTTTATCCCTATATATCAGCAGAGCCGCAATAGAGCCTCAACGCACAGGCCATCGGCAGAGCCTCAGGGCAACCCAACACCACCCCAACAATTAAGACCACTTACATGTATCCCGCTAGGAGGACTGTCTGGAGTTACTTCAATTATTGAAACAGCACGGGTCTGCTTAGAGATTTGTATCAGGGATCAACACACATGTGTGTATATAGGTTATTGGACTTGGATAACGTGGACGTTATCCTTTCCATTAAAAGGGGGGTGATGTTAGGATATGGCCATGGACGTGGATGTGGCCATGGACGTGGATAGCCACTCCCGTGGCTATCCATGGCTACTACCATGTAGGCATCCCCATGGTTGCTGCTGCCATAGCTGGCTGAACCTTATTTGTGTATATATAGCCAGCCTAAGACGCTAGGAGCTCAACTCTTTTCTTCTCTTCTATATATTCTCATTGACTGATTGACCTTCTAAGTCCCATCATTTCTTTACCTTTACTTATACACATATATCGTAAAATTCTAGCTTAAATAAAATTTTTAACTTTAATTTATATTTTTTATAAGTTAATTTAATTTTTAAAAAACTTACGTATATTAAACGTTTATATATTAAATTAATATTAACCGCCATAAAAATAATTTAAAATTTATATTAATTATTAAAAATTTTAAATAATTAAAATACTTTTAATTTTTATAATTATTTAATCTTTGCCATTTTTTAAGTTATTAAATCCTTTAAACGTAAAATATTTATTATTTTATTAAATATAATATCGTTATCTTTTAATTATTTTATATTTATTAAATTTATAAGTATTTTTAAATAATAACTTATATTTAAAAGTTATAAATTAATTATACCCTCATTATTTTAATAAACTTTTATTATTATTATCTATCCAAAGGATATTTTTATGCTAGAACTTTTTCAAAAAATTACTATAGGAAATTACTATAGGAAATTACTATAGGAAATTATTGAATTAATTACATCATTAAATACCCCTATAATTCCCAAAAACCCGTGCAGGAAAATTAGGATTGGTCAAATCGTTCTTAGCGCCAACTGCCCAACAGCCGTACGTTCTTTTTAAAAGCTTTTCATTAGCTACATTCCTATAAAGCAAACGCTTTTTATTGGCTGCATCCCTTTATGCCAGCTATCTTAAACTTTGTTAACATAGCTGCGTTTCTTTTAACGCTTTTTGTTAAGATATAGCCATAGACATGGATAAGTGGCCATAAACATGGATAAGTAGATAGCCACTCCCATGGCTATCTATAGCTGTTGCCGTATGGGCATATCTCCATTACTGCTACCACAACTTGCTAAACCTTATCGATGTATATATAGCTAGCCAGCCTAAGACGCTAGGAGCTTAGCTCTCTTCTTCTCTTCTATATATTGATTGACTGATTAACCTTTTGAGTCCCATCACTTTATCAACCATAGCCGTACGTTTCTTTCAACGCTTTTGATTGGATGTAATTAGCTGCAATTCAGCTGTAACTTCCTTTGACACTTCGTAAACCATGCTGGCGCTATCGACCATGTCTTTGATTAGATATATCCCAGCAACCACTTTGGCCTGGCAATTGTTGTGAAGACCTCCAACCCCCATACCATCCCGGTTCATCCGAGGGGTAAGCAATATGCTCACCCAGAAAATCCTCAGACCTTTTGGTTGTTGAAGGGTTAATCAACAACCGTCCTATTCTTATCCATTGCCCATATCCTTATTGATTGCCCAACCATGGACCCCATCCTTATTCATTGATCAACCATGGATCCCATCCTTATTCATTGACCATATCCCTATTTGCCCATCCTTATTCATTGACCATATCCCTATATATCAGCAGAGCCGCAAGAGCCGCAAGAGCCTCAACGCACAGGCCATCGGCAGAGCCTCAGGGCAACCCAACACCACCTCGACCATTTAAGGCTTAAGCACATGTATCCCGTTAGGAGGACTATCTGGAGTTACTTCAATTATTGAAGCAGCACAGGTCTGCTTAGAGATTCGTATCAGGGATCAACACACATATGTGTATATAGGTTATTGGACTTGGATAGCCATGGCTATCCATGGCTACTGCCATATAGGCATCTCCATAGCTACTGCTGCCACAGCTTGCTAAACCTTATCCTCCAGATAGTTACGCCTTCCTTCCGTCATCCATTCCTAACTTTTAACCCCTTTTTAACTTTCTAAAATAGTCGTTTAATTAGACGAGCAAAATTTCTACGGCCAACGCAACGGTTCCTGAAAAAAAAAATATCCAAAAGTGATTCGAAGGCCCGTCCCGGAGCTTGCGGAGGGCCACGGGCCGATGAATCACTTTTGGATATTTTTTTTTAAAGGAAGGCCGGAGAAATTTTATTATAACTTAAAGCTTTAATTTTATTATTATTTAAAATTATTATACTTAATGGTATTAAAAAGGGTTAATAAATTTTAAACCACTTAAAATTATTAAATATATAATTTATATAACTTAAATTATTAACGCATATATTTTAAAAAAGATTTTTAATTTAATTAAAATTTATAATTATAGCTAAAAAAATATTCACTAATAAGAAATTATTATTTGCTTATCCATATAATAAGACTTTAATATTAACATTTAATAAGCCTTTAAATATTTCACTTTTTCTTAATTTAATTATTACTTTACCCTTTAAAACTAATTTTAACTTTAAATAAAAAACGTAACATTTTTTAATTCTTTTTATATAATATTTCTTACATTAAATACACCATTATTAAGTTAAATAATATTTCTTTTTACATATTATATAATCAATAAATTATTTCTTTTTTAATTTTAATAACTCACTTTTTTTAATATTTAAATTTAACGATTTAAATAAAAATATAATTACTATTAAATCCTTATTATTCGCTTTTTATATAAATTTTTTTAGGAATAATTATTAAATTAAAACTCCCTTTTAATAATCTTATTTTAAAAATCGATATTAATTTAAATATCGTTCCTTAATAACTTTTATTATATTAAATATCTTTATAATTTTAAATAAATTAAAATTTAATTACTTAAATTTATTAAACACTTTCTTAAATTTGATTATATAATCACGTAAAATCATTTCATTTTTAAAAATAAGATTTTTCAATTAATAATATAATTAAGATATTAATTATTTAAAAACTTTAAATATTATTTTCAATATTAAATCGTAAATTACTTTAAAATCGTTTTTTTTATCTTTTTAATTAGTTGCTTTTAATTAAGCAATTATGTTTAAATTACGTAATGAATTTATTAATAAAACTATATAATAAACTTTTTCCTTACGATATTTTCGTTTCATTTTATTAAATACTTCTTATAAAAACGCTTATTATATATTATTAATAAATTTATTAAGTTTATAATATTAGTAATATTAACGTATTAATTTTTTCCATTTTTTAAGTTTATACTCGTTAAAAAGCAATAAAATTAATAAAAAATATAATAAGCTTTCCGCTATTTTAATAAATTTCTTAATTAATTTTAATACTTATTTAATATTATATTTTATCGTTAATTTTTCGTTATTATTTATAATTAAAAGGTTTATTATTTTAAGATTTTACCCGTCGTATTATTATTTTAAATATTTTAATAACCTCGTTTAAACCTTATTTAATAAGCTTTTTTTAAAATAAATAAACATAATATTTAATTTTAATATCTTTTTAAACTCTTTCCTTAATAATTTTATCTTTTAATTTAGTTTTATATTAAATAAATTTCTTATTTATATTTTATTAATTTAACCTCGACTTCATAAAAACCAAAAGAAGTAATATTTTATAATATTTCCTTTAATTATTTAAGAGCAACACTAAATCCGCAGTAGGAGTACATGCATTTCGTCCGCAGTACTACCTGGTCTCCCATACAAATTTAGGTGCGCGCACAAGTACCTCTGCCACAGTCAATTCAACGCCACTTGAAACCCACTCCCATCCATCCAAACAATTTTCTACAAACCCCCAAAAACATTCATCTTTGTCGCCTCGACGAGACGGATTGATTGATATATGTTTCAGATCTCAGAAAATTCAATTGATCGAGATATTGATTGATCTTTGATTGATCTCATCGGGCCCTACTGTATGGTGTCCTGAATCAAGGTGGTAACGTAGGTGGCCCATGCGCGGTACCGGTCGCAACGTCGAACTTGAATAACTTGGGCAGTTCGGGCCGTACAAACGTGCAACCGGGATCAATCTGCTCCCTGAATTGAGACCTTCAAATTGACGTCTTCAATTGAAGATTTGAAGATGGTTTGGATGGGTCGCAATTGACTGAGAGCTTGGTGTGTACTGGAGCCACCGGAGCTGCGCTACTAGCGCCATACTGCGGACAAAAAGCTAAGTACTCCTACTGCGGATTTAGTGTTGCTCTTATTTAATATCTTTTAACATTAAATTAACGCTTTTTAAACGGCACAGAACTTATAACCTATTGTAGTATAATTGCAACCAAGAAAAAGAAAGAGGAAAGGAAGAAAACTTGTTTTATTCCCAAATTATAGATAGCAGAATGCCAATATATAGCTATAAGGGCCATATGGCTAAGGATGCCTAAGGCACCTGCAACACTTTTCAAAGGAGAAAAGATACATCGTCACCGGAAGTTATAACATATTCAAGGCCTTTCGTACATAGTTAAATTGTTCGTGAACATGTGGCTAGAGCTCGTCCAACACGTTAACTATTCTATTGTTTGAGAAACAAAGAAAGTATCTATCTATCTACTAGGTAGCCGAAGCTGTTCCAGTCCCGATTCCTTACCTACTCAAATGGAATTCGCATGCGCGTTCATGGCCCTGGCCGGCGATTTGAGACGAAGGGATGGCCGATAATCAGCATGCATGCCACTACTGCCGAGGGTAGTAATGCTTTCTCGGGGCATTGGCTCGGGCGCAGCGTCATAGTCGATGAGGTATGTTCCAGGAAGCTCCCGGTACGCACTGCTTGGCTGAAGCTCACCCCTTATCTGCCGCTCTGACTCCATCTGGATGTCCATGATATACTGCTGCTGCTGCTTCTCATGTGCATTCTGTACCGCCACGACAACTTCTTCGGCCTTCTTTACCCTCTGGTTCAACTGCCTTCTACGCCAGAACAAGATGCCCAGTCCAATAAAAGCGAGTACGATGACAAAGGCTTCAATTGCCAGTCCCACGACTGCTCTCGATGGGATAACCGTCAACAGCTCGGCCGTATAGTCGTTGTCAGATGAGTTAGAAGTTGTTAAGGGGGTTGCTGTCGCAAGAGGTATAGCTCCTACGCCGGAGCGTAGTTGTGCGATGACTGTGCCGATAGGCCCCGTTAACACGAAAGCATTACTGCAGCATTCGGCCGGAGTCAAGATCTTTGAGACGCCCTCGCAACAAAAGCTGGTACTGTTACAAGATTTCAAGTGGGCGTTATCAAGCCCGGCTGTTGTCCCCGTCAGTGCGGGTGGGAGAGCGTAAGGGGGTGACCAGGATAGCATTGGCAAGACTTACAAGTAAGGCAATATTGAGGGCAGGCGGGATCCTGGAACGTGGCATCTGTACATGCTGTAGACCATAGTACGTGACCCTGCTCGCGCGCGCGCGTGTTCAAACATAGGCCGGTTGACAGACACGCGTCTGCATTTCCAGCATTGCAACAAGCACTATGCGACCCTGGTTCTCCCTTGGCGCTGTAAATACACCTTTAGTTAGCGTCTGATAGAGATGGGGGAAGGCAGTATTGGTAAACAGAAACTGAGCTCCTGGGATCTGGATGAAGTTACAAGGCAGCCAAATGTTTAAGGAATTGGCGTACTCAGGATTGCACATTATGTTTACTGGCCCGGCAAACGAACCATCGATGCGATAACAGGTAGCTTCTGCCAGTGCCGTTGTAGTCGTGTAACTTGCAACAAGTAATACCTAGCAGAATAATTTCCATTAGCGATGTCTTCAACATATCGGTAGCTAGAAACGACTAGGCCAAAACAACCAAGTATATCTTCGTGCTCAGGTTACCGTTCGATACAAGACTTGAGACAGTAAGAAGAAAGGGGCAACATCTAGTCTAGAAGGCTTTATAGAGTATACTTTAATAGAGGCATAGGTTTTTATAATCCAGGACAAGCGGTAGTACAAGGAATATGGAACCCAACGGGTTCTCCCATTCCTCCAGGGCGGCATCCAGCGCCACCACCTAGGCAAGTAGATATAGAAAGGATCATACCGATTGCCAAAAGGGGACACCTTGTAAATAGGCTTGTCACATAACACTGTAGCTAGAAGCTCACCAACTCGTGGAAGCCTCACCCAGCCTACCTCTGGTTGGGGTTGAACGCAGTATGCAAGGTGATTTATATGCAATTGTTGCATAGGTATGTACGCCCATCAGTAAATACCTGGTCGATCATCAATTAGCCATGTCCTACATCAGGTTCTAAATCAAGGTAACCTTGATGGGCATATCCATCATGTACTATACCCAGTCGCCCTGGTAGTCTCGAGGGCATCGTTAGCTCTCTTGGTCTATTTTCACGATGGTCCTGATTACGTACCTGGGTAGGAATAGTTTACAGCCCAAGGCAGACGATATCATGTCAACCAGCAACCTTGGAACTTTTGCACATCAACTTTCTTGCAGCATAGACCCTCAATGCCACTACCGAATTGAGACAAGACCGTAAACACGGGCTTATGCATGCCCATTTGAGATGGCGCCCATACTCATGACGGGCGGCCCTAGCTTGAGTATATTGTATGTCTAGATAGGTTAGGTATGTAGGAACAGCATGTGAGTAAGCACTAGCGAGGTAGTTAATGATCGAACCAAAGGTAGGCAAGCAGACGTGCCTCAATATAGTTTTGTGAGTACCCAGTAAGGTAACACTAGATACTATGTATTGAGAGCCAGTGGCCGCCTCTAGAGTTTATAGCTTGAACCACACTACAAAGGTACTTCAAGTCCTTATAATCCTCGGTCGTGTTTGTCTTGTATTGGTAATTCCAGGGCCATAGCAGGCCTTCTATGTTGAAAGATTTACTGCCAGATTCATACAACGCGAGTTGACATCCATGGATAGCTGGTAAAGAAATAGGGGGAACTCGGTATACAGGCCTGTGCGCCATAGAGCAGAGGCTGAAACTCTTGTAAAGAATAGACTTACCAGCCAGTTTTTAGTTCAGTCATCTCTAATAGCCCCCTTCGATCATTCAATGACCGCAATCATAGCGCGTAAGCTCTCTAGATGGTGAACTTTAGGGTGCAAGTCCCCTTATATATTCCGTAGGGTAATATGCTTATATGGAAGAGCTTTCCGTCCTTGAATATTATTATTTTGACGTAGCGAGTTCTCTCACACTTGGAAGTGTTTCGTAAGACATGAGTATGCTCACATTTTGCTACCGGAACGGGTCGAGATTCGGCCGCTACGACAATGTCGCAGCCGAGAATAGATTAAAGCCAAGATTGGACCTCAACAAGATCACTTGTAGCAGCCGGCTCTTGTCCACATTACCGCCGTATTTGCCCTCCTTGAAGTCGATTGGGAAACTTCCTCAAGGTTGCGCTTTCGTGGCCGTGCAGAATAAGTCCTCTTCCCGCGATGCTAGAGTGGCTGACATCGGGCTGGCACTTTTGCCTAGGCTGGAGAATCAGACGTGGCTCAACTCTGATATACCACCGTCTCTCAGTCGATTCGTAATGGACAATAGGATCCCGGCCGATTCACTCCCGATAAATGGTCGGCTACGAGATGAGGAACTCGAAGCAGAGTCGTTCCAATATCCACATCTTTGGACGTTTCTTTGCAAAAGGCACGCGTCCCTCGAGTTGTCTCGTTTCGGATCGGAGCGGGAAATCAACATCGAAGGCGCAGAACTTGCAATCCAACAAATCATGAAGAGATTTCGTGAATTAGTGCCAAATCAGAAATTGGTGCTCGTTACCTTTGGCCCACAAAAAGACTTTGAGCGTATGAACCAGGAGTTTCCATATCTACCTTGCTACTTCGACTACTGGACGGATGTTTCGGCACTGCTCCGACCAGGCGACAAAAGTCCAGCGAACAATGAAAAGAGAATAGCAGAAGCCCTTAGGAAATTGCATTATCCCGTCATTGATGCAGAGCCTCGTTCCAGACATCGGGCGGCCAACGATGCAGTCAGGACCTTGGCTGTGCTAGATGGGTTAATAAACCCAAAGAATGTGAGCAGATATCGATTTGACGGGGAGGCGTCTCGCACGCAGAGCCGATCCCAAACAGCGCAAGAAAACAGAGTCGCTGAAACTGCCATCGACTGCAACATCGCTGGGCCTTCCAACCCACCAAGCTATGAGGCAACACAGCAAGTCACTGGTGACGCCGACAGCGTGAAGAGGGACGGAGAGGGGCTAAACATGCCACCGGTACATGCACCGATACAATTACCAGTGCCATCGCCGGCACCATCATCGGTACAAAAAGGGCGAACTCCACAAGACGTCACCAAGTGGACCGAAGAGATGCACACCCGAGTGCTGGAGGAAATGCGAATGTGCCGGGCCACCGCCGCGACATTAAACAAGGGAGGAGGATTCGCTAAAGATGGAGATTCTCCAATGCCTTTAAACAACAACAATTCGGATGAGGCATTTATCAACAGAGGAGAATCAAGTTCAAGCGGAAGGCTAAGATCATCGAGACGGCGCCGGTGGGTGCCAGATAGGTTTCAGCCTTCGTCGTCGTCGCATGGGAGATGAAGTCTTATAGATTGGTAGGCAATAGGATGATTATTTCGGTGGGTGGAAAGCATAATGGAGAGTCTGTAATAATGGTAATATGTCGAATGAGCGCGGTAGGTAATAATTGAAGTTGAAAGAAAGAACCTTTTTTGTTTGATTGAGTGAAAGGTGTAGTACTACTAGGTAGGTAGTACATGTACGTACTATGCAGCACAACTTTCAGGTGAAACAAACGGGAGCTAATGCAGCGAATCTATGGATGTTCCTTGCGATGTATTTATGTAATGCCCCATGCAACCTCGTATAATTAGTACATAGTACAAGGTCATAGTTACCATGCATGCAACCTCCCGAGTATCCGTGTCATACCTCCATTGACGCCTTCACACCTTCAACCCCAAACTCCAAACCCCAAACCACATCTCTCTCTACCTCAAACACCACCATGCCCAGCAACAACAACCGCACCGAAACCACCCCCCTCCTCACCATAACCACCAACCCCCGCCCCAACCTTCCCCCCCGCTCCAACACCCTCACAACCAAAATGTTCTGGACCCTCGCCTGCCTGTACGGCGCCTCCGCCGTCGGCCTCGGCGCCTTCGGCGCGCACGGCCTGAAAAAGGCCATCGGCACCTCCGACCCAGCGCGGCTGGCCAACTTCGCCACCGCCGCGCACTACCAGATGGTCCACTCGGCCGCGCTGCTGTTCGCCGCCCAGGCCGGGAACCCGGTGCCCTGCACGCTGCTGACGGCGGGCATGACCCTGTTCAGCGGGAGCCTGTACGCCCTTGTGCTTGATCCCGCGCGGTTCCGGTTCTTGGGTCCGGTTACGCCGTTGGGCGGGCTTTGTTGTGCGTGTTTTTTTTTTCTTTTTTTTTCTTGTCTTGTCTTGTCTTGTCTTGTGTCTATATTCGCCCCTTTTCTCTCTGTGCTTATCTCCGTTTTTTTTTTTTTCTTTTTTTTTTCTGAGTAGAACTAATCATAACATCTCAACGCAGTGATCGGCGGCTGGCTCTCGCTCGCTTGGAAGTAAACTATGTGTGTACACACCTATCTACCTACGTAGGTAGATAGCTAGCTACAAAGCGAGATGTAATTACACCACCCTACGTAGTTCAGTCTAGGCATCTACTTGAAGGCATCTTCCTACCTAGATTCATAGGCCTGTGTACCTATCTATTAACCTAGGTATTTACTTATTCTGATGATCTACCGACGACGGGTGACAGCTGGGTAATGGTGATTTTGTACTTACTACATAGGGGGCGCAAACCCCGTGGGCTTTCAAAATCACTACAGCACAATACAAGTGTAATGAACACGTCGGCATATAGTTATTATTCTCACGAAGTTCTCGCACCATCCCATCATTGATCAACACGACGATGCAATTAAAGTACAGGACTTGGGTCATATTCTTCATTACGAAAAACAACGTTGTCCTAGAGCTAGACTAGAATCTCACTAGGTACCTAAGTCGTATTTCAGACCCTAATACACTCGCATGTCTTCATTCATGTGGTCGTATACTCTGAAAGCTGCGTGATTCAATTATCAGGGGTTAGCTGGGTGCTGCCGATGACAGCATATATACCCAGACCCGTGCGTCGGCGTAGCGACATTCCTCATACATCATACCCGCCCCTTCCCATCCTCATCTACATCTCATGGGCGAGATATGTCAGATGATCCTAATACTACCCCAGTCGCTTCCAGAAACTTCGTATATCGTGATGCAAATCGACCACCAGCTCATTGAGCCGTGAAGATTGCTGTATTATGCTTCGTTTCTTATAGGCTTATCTACCTCATAGAAAGCAACCAATACCTCCTTATCAACATTGATAGCCCAGTTGTTCTGAAACTCTTGATTCCCACCAACCCTTTGAATCAGGTTTTCCAAGCTTTCCTTCACAAAGTGCAGAGAATTGATTCGTTTGACCGGGTCAGAAGCAAATAGAGCTCGTTCCCTCACATCTCTCGGTGTGTCCCATTCATTAGCCTCTGGCTCGCTGGTAAAAACCAACATATCCACGCCAGGGTTTTCTGCTGGGTCGGCCATAACTTGGACAAGGACACTCGTCCACATCGAAAAGTAGTCTTGGAGCTTTATGAGAACAAGGCCTTGCATGGGTTGTGGGACTTCAAGAAGGCGTGTAAGGGCTAAAAGCCCAAGCTTTTTTCGATCAATGTCTGCGATATTATCGAAGGAGGAGAACCATTCGGTACTCAGCCAATTCCAGACAGGTTCCAGTGGGCCGAGTGCACTAAGCACTTCGACAAAAAGCTCGGGGCCAAGGACAGCAATTCGAGAGAGAATCACAAAGTAGTCCGTGAGTACATGGGGGCCGACACGGGGCTGTTTCTTCTTAGGGCCAGACGTCTGGTGGGCTTCAAAAGCGTCATGGATATCCTCAAAGATTCTGGGGAGGAAGCCTACGCTCATCATGTCCTGAACGACCAGCTGTAGTCCAGGGTTACCACCGAGCTCATGGGCCAATCGTATGAATGATTCAGTGTACTTGATGGTAAGACCGATCTGTTCCCGCAGAGTCCCGTTAAGCCCGCCGGAAAGTGCGGTTAAGGTTGGCCTCCTGTACCGATCTTCAAGCATCGTCTCTGGCGCAAGTAAAATATAGGAGCCAAGGATGCCTATGTATACAACAGCATGATTGTTCTGTTGAATGAGATTTTCGATGGCTCTCTCCACAAGGACTATAAGGTCTGGGACCAGCGGGGGCGGAGTTTGGATGAGAACGTTGGACCACAAGTCCAAGGCTTCGTCGATGAGATACACCTGTAACTCTGCCTCGGCTTCGGTGGCTTGGGATATCAAGGATAGAATCATGTATTGGTAGCGTAGAGACTCGCCTTTCATTGACATAACCAACGATTGGATGATAGCCAAAATTGACTGCTTCATCATATATCCCGACTCGCCCGCAGACTCCCAAAGGCCAGGGACCGAGGTCATCACCATATCACCAAAATGGGATACGTGCGTATCCATGCGTTGAATGAGACTTCGTATTGTCTCGAGTATTGCCAGCTTGGTCTCATCAAGATCCACTTCCTGTACCAGCTCTATGAGCCGTGGAAGCGTGTCAGAGGCATACGGGAGGAATGGTTCTCCCTCAAATTGAAAATCATCAACGACAATTTTAAATTGTCTTGCAGCTGTTGCACGAACTACAATGTCGTTGCATTCGTCTCGAGGGTCAAGAAAATGTCGAAATATCTCATAAACCAACGGACGAGCTTCCTGCGTCACCCTAACCGGCACCCACTGACTAAGGAGGATAGAGATTCGGCGCCTGAGGACTCGGAATAGTGGTCCGGTCCGTTGGGCGTCTGCTATCACTGACGTCTTGAGTACAGCCTCAAAATCAAAGTCTTCTCTTACCAAAGCGGACGCTAGACCCATGGCGGTATAGACCGCATCTCGAGCGACAATATCCGCGACCACATCCGCCTGTTGATTCTGGATTGTGGAAAAGTATGACAGAAGTGGTTCTAGGAGGAGGGGTTTAGAGTGTGTTAAAAGGTCGAGGAAAAGCCTCTCTGCACAAGGCCGTACTTCCCATTCATAAGCATTGCCTTGAGTTTGTTCTTGGTCCTCCCACTCCTCCGGGTCTGTGTCCCAAGCAGCCAGGTCTGCTTCTCGAAACTTGAAAAAGCGAGTGATTAGGACGTTCACCATCTGAAGTACGAGCTCATCTTTGAGTAGTTCGACTTTGATATACTGGATTGCCTCCTTTTGTTCTTCTATCTCCTCAGGAGACTTATACTTAACCGTCTTCTGAGGATAGTGAACCATTCTAACACAGGCTCTCACCAGAGTTAACCCCTTCAGTGCAAGCTTCTCCAGGAGTGGGCCGTCGGATTTCGATTTCGATCCATTAGTGCCGGATGGTTCTAATTGTATTCCATCTGACTCATTGAATATATCTGCGAATCTTGCAGCGAGGTCCCAGTATGTACGTACAAGAGGGACGGAATTGGGGAGAGATGCGAAATCGGTAGCGCGATCTTTTGCCATCTCATTATGAAGCTTCGTAAACTGCATAAGATGTGCCCCTATAAGATCGGAATAGGTCTTCACCTTGGACGAACCGCTATAAATGAAGTCGACGAATTTTGCAAATTGTACTTGAAAATACTTCCAAAGTTCTTGGACAGATTTGTCTTTGCGAGGGCTTTGATATCCCACGATCAAGAGTCTGCGGATAGACTTGAGGGCATCAAGGCTATTTTCCATGGCCAGCAAGGCCTGGCCACCACCACTTTCATAATCATCCTCGCGACCATTGGTCAAAAATGCCACCCAGTCAGTGACTTTTGCATCATAGACTTCGCCGAGTACGTGGACGAGCTCTGGGGTGACATGTTGTAGACTCGTTTGCGACTTGGACATCCGTGCTGTACACATCTCCTTTATTATGCGTTGAAGTATTATAAGAGCGCCTGAGAGCTCAAGCTGGTTTCCATTCTTAGTTGCTGTAAGGATAGCGATAAGGTCCGTAAATGGATTGGGCCAATTGTCAGGAAAGTCGATGCGAACTACCTTTGCAAGTACAAAAGCATTGTAGGACGCGAGTCGTTTGTCGCCTTCGCCGATACTTCCTTGGAACAGCCTGTCTCGAATGATTTGTCTTGAAGCCGCCGAGATCGAATTTGGAACGCGGTAAGTTCTCCAGTACTTTTCGACGCCGTTCTTTAGTTGGGTCAAGGCAAGGAATCGAACATCGTTGCGTGTATTCTTGTCAAGAAACACGGACTGCCAAGGTTGGTATCGTCAGTGTACTGTTACTAAATGAAGCTTGGAATTTCCTTGGACAGGTATGTAGGTAGGTAGGTATCTACGACCCAGTAGGTGGCTTGTAGGTACTAGGTGCTAGGTCTTGGGTCTTTGTTGACATACCTGAAGCAATGGATAGTATTGCTCTTGAGACTCCCAGGCCGCGAGCTGCTGAGTGGGAGCTTGGCTCTGAGCATGGTAATCGCATGCCGAGTGTAAAACGCGATAGAGCTCATGAAAACTAAGAGGTGCCGCGGCGCCTGGAGCCTCGATAGTGAAGCTCATTTTGACGCTCTCGTACTTGGTGCACGTTAAGCGATTGATGATGAGAATGAAGCATCCGTAGTAGTGCTAATAATTGTGAGGGTATGTATTTGGAGAAGGAAGATTTTTCTTGGTTCGACGCGTTGAAGGTAGAATGCGGGATCGTTGGACGAATGAATTTGGTGAAGGAATTAAATTTAGTGAGGGGCATTTCGATGTCGAAAAGCATGTAAGCTAAGCACATGGCAAGCAGGGTACCTAAGGTACACCTTGTTCAATGTTGACTCAGGCTGCTTAGTACTTAGGACCTTAGGTAGCTTAGGTACTGTAGGTACCCATAATTGATAAGTAAAAGTACAATACAATGTACTTTGTACTTTAGTACTGAGATTATGTGGGGATCAGGCACAACTTGTCGAAGTTAATACGATGGATACCTGGTACTGACCGCGTCTAACAATAGCTGGCCAGGGTACGCTGTATTGCGGCTGTGCGGTTCAAGTTACATGTGTCAACGGTACATTAAAAGTAGTCCCGACTCCCAAGGCAGGTACGTGCATCGTCGTGCTTTTAAACTTGAGTAACGTTAATTGCTTGCTGGGATGGTATAGGTATTTGCATCTATATATAGGTATCCACGATGTGGGTTGACGTAACGGTAAAAATAAACATTGAAGAGGCGGTACATACATGTATGTACCTATGTAACATTGATTGATATACTCAGTATCAAATTGAACATCATGATTGGAATAGTTACATGTCAAGATTAAGACAAAATCATCAGATATGCTATGTAATTCTGTATCTCAATAAAGCATAATGTAAAGCATGATGTTTGGTAGAACAGCAACCCTGCTATTATTTGCATCTCAATAAAAAAAGAATCCATTTAACTGTCGGAATGGACTACATGTAGCATTTATATAGAAACTGTTGAAGTGGATTACTCCTAAAGAGTTAAAGTAAGGTGGGATATCATATAAGTACCTAGGTATTTAATCAATAAATACTACCTACCTACACTTATCGGTAGGCATTATGTGGTGATTTCAAGGTTGGTATAATACTAAAAATTCGTAAATGTCTCCTGATACCGGTTTAGGGGGGCCCTATGCATTGATTTCCCCCCCCCCCCTCCTCTTTGTTATCCGTGGGACTTGGGATATCTGGAAGTTGAAGTTTCAGCCCATCATAGAACGCCTAGATTAGACTGAGCCTAATCTCTTGCCGTGACCCCTTTGTTCCTCATGATTCCACCACCAGTGAAATTCCTGTGCTCCGGTATCATGCAGTGAAAAAGAGAAACATCACAATCATCGATATATATATATATATATATATACTTGGTCCAAGAGCAGGCGCTTTCTTTCATGGTTGGTATATATCAGTGAGATTGGCGGGCCAGCCATCATTCATAGCCCACCCCTCGACTTGATAGACCTGTTGATAAGGTTCAAAGCCGAAATTGGAGCCTAAACTCGGTGTTTGGTTCAAGAGAGTGCTAGAGACCGCCGCCCAAGCCTCGGACTCTGTGATACCCGGCTTCCAGCTTTGACTTATTCGCGGCGTCAGATATTCCTTCGCGACTATCTTTATATCTTCTGCGACCTTTCGGGAAAGGGGCCAGGTCTCCCCGTGGGCTGTTAGAATCTGCGTGATCCTATTGATTCGCTCCCGAAAGACTGGCGAGTCTAATCCAAGAAATACGCATGCATCTAGGTAAGCTAAAGCTACTCGAAGCATGCCGGTCGCGAAGATTGCTCGAAGACTTCTTGTGGGAAACGGATGCCGAAATAGATCGCAGTAGTTATTGGCTGCTTGAATGTCAATAGGGTGAGAGTTCCATCCAAAGCCTTTGACTATTTGCCCCTTCCGATCAGGCCCTTTGGCTGGCCCCAGAGGGAAGTATTCTCGTATGTTGAGGCCATTCCGAGGGGCGGTCTGTCTAAGTCGAAGCCGATTACTACCATAAGGGTCAACAGATTGGTCGCCGAGATTCGTAGTGCGTTTGGGAACTTACACGTGCGCCATGGCAACACCATGATAAAGTATCACATCAACCACACCGTCGGGATCAACTAAATTCATCTTCCATTTCGGAACACGTCGTAGCCAATCACAGATTCGAGCGTCAGCTCGTTCGAACAACTCCGTTTTCTTATCATCCGCAGCCTCGAGATACGGTGAGACCAAATCCGTTTCGATCTTAGAAATTTCAATCAGGTACGCCATCGAGGAAAAATCGGATTGCCCCAAGTTGACTTGCGTCTGGTACTGAGATTGGGAGATCGGTTGAGGGATAATCTAAGGACAAGAACATGTCAGAACTACTCATCTCCAGCGAGTCTGTACACTCTAAGGGTTATGCTGCGAGGGATATAGAAATTATAGTTCTCGATGGCCTCAGCAGCGGGAGTAGGATGGCACTCACCCCTGATTCGTATTCCCATTCTTCACAAGGCAAATCTACATCGGACTCCACGCTGGCGATGGGGAGCGTGGCTCCTACACCAGGCAAGGTTCGTGTGAAATCTTGGAAGGTTAAGCACCACCATGTTCGTCGGTAACTCTCCGCAAGCAAGGAATCCGATGTTCCATCAGCAAACGCCTTTCGATTCATCCCGATATCAACAGCTATATTGACCGCCCTACTAGCCCAACCAGTGTGATGATCGAACTTCATCTCTCCAAAGGCAGCAATGCTCAAAAGGAGAAGGCCCTGAACTGACTGTACGGTGAATGGCAACGATCCGCACGCCCCAGAAAAGGCCGTCTCTCTTAAGTCATCCGATGAGACTTGATTTGTATACAGCGACCCGCAGTAGTTGAGGACGGAAAGGAGAAAGTGATAAGAGTCTGGATCTGTCTCAACTTGATTAAAGAAAAATCTTTTTGGCGGAAGGCAAGGGTAGCTCGGGTGAAAATAACTATAGAACAGATCGAGCAACAATTCCTTCTCATTCTGAGGTGAAACGGGGGTTTGCGCGCCGGAGCTAACGGTCCAACCACCGGGTAAGTCATGAAGGGTTTGGACGGACGGGGCCGTCGGAGAATAATTGGAGGCTGAAAAGAAGGATCCGGATGAGGTTGCTGGCGGTTTGTCTGATATTAAACTTCGTTTTTTGGGGTCACGAATGCCTCGTCTGGATTTTGCATAGAAACATGGTTTGTCCTCTTGCTGACAGCGATTACAGGCTGGTAAGGTGGCATCACATTTAACGTGCTTGCTGCGACACTGGACGCATGCTAGGGAAACTCGAATGTTTGCTTTGGACCGATTAGCGGCCCTGGGTTCGGAACTGTCGGGCGATGAGGCCGTTGAACCCTGGCGGCTGAGGCTACCTGCCCTATCCTCCTTGTCGCGACTCATCACCATTAGGCCGTTGGCGTGTGTAAGGGCGGGAATGGCTACCTAGATAGTTTTGGGCGGCAAGCGCTAGTGTATTGGCGACCGTGGGGGCTGGATGCACTGGCCTTCCGTTCGTGCTCTTCAAGAGTGTTTTGGGAGTGCACCATAAGCACGGTCAACGGACTGTAGGGCTGATGAGCGAGTGCTCATATATGAGCTTCGAACAAGCTTCACATTTAGTTCTGACAAATGCCCATGGAGAACAGGGTTGCAACGAGGTATTATGGGGCTAGAGACCAGATACCACCTCGCGGTGATATACAGAGGTACGACGTTAATGTAGGACACCGGCGACGAGGGACCCATCACCCCTTGGGTTGTTGCTGTCAGCGGTGGATAATCCTGGCACGTCAGCCCTAGTGTGGGTCCGACAGCACGGGATGGGTGGGAAAACGGTATTGATATGCTACGCGATCGTGGCTTGACTCCCATCCACTCACATCGTGGGTATCAATATCTTAGCGGAAAATTGGGGCGGCGGTCTGGCAACTGGCTGCGGTGTAACAGGAGCATAGCCTCAAGAGTCAAGACCCAAGGCCAAGACCCCTTTAGCTATAGCCCCATTAGCCCATTAGTAGTCCATTAGTAGTATCATTCATTTCCTTATTACTAGCGGAAATTATAGAAATGTACCATAGTAGAATATCACCTTTTTTTTTTTTTTTGAGACGTCGCCATTAATAGTTACAAGTACGAGTACGAGTAGAAGTTACTTGAATACACGAGCACTCGGTTGTTCGACCGTTGTTGTTTCTGCATCATGTGAGTACACACACACACACACATACACATAGTACTATCCCATATGCCATATGCATGGCATTAGGGTCAAGTTTGGTTTCAATCCCTTCCCCGGTTCGCGGGTCTATCCTTTGAATAATTGAACTTGGTTGTTGTTTTGGGTACATAGAGTAGTAGGGGTAAGGGGAGAATGTGAGAACAGACATACATACCTAAGGTTAGGCTAGTGTACATGCATAGTATAGTAGTACTGTAGTAGAGACACACATAATAGGAATTGTTGAACAATCAATTAATACATAGTTACATATGTAACTAACCTAACCTAAGTACCTAGGGTAAGGGTAGCAAAGTCAAAAGGACACTACCAAATACCGAATTCATTGTGTCGGGTAAACGTTTTACGATGTTGCCAAGACTTAAGTTCCGTTTTAACCAATATGATGGAATCATTGATAATATTATGGAAGTTATGAACTGAGCCGCCGCCACGCATTGTGCAATTCGAAACCCGCTAGATACCCGCTAACGGTTCATAACGTACTGGGGATATAGGGGTAGTTGTGCTAAATGTAGCTTAATGTAAGTTAGCTTAATGTACCTAGCTTGGTGATAGGTCAAAACTGTGAAAATGGCACTTGGGAGATGAAATTATATGCAACTAGTAGCCTAGCTTTGAAATGCCTTGGGATGTTTATTCTTTTTTGAGTTGGCTTAGAAGACTTTTGATACTAGTTGATAGTAACCCTCCACTGTCCAGTATATCCAGTAACCATATACCACTGCTACTATAATATGATAATACTAGGTAATACTAGGTAATACCAGGTAGTTAATGCTTCCAAGGTTCAATATCAAGGTTAATTAATTCGTAAACCACCTAGGTTAGGTGAGTTAATAATAGTTACTACTTATGTATAGTTGCACTCGATTGACCGAAGGCCTCCTTTGGCTTTTTCCCGGCTTGAAATGGGATGATATCAGGATATAGATCAAGCTGGAAAAGGTCTTTGAAGAACATTGAACTGCCCATGTGTCAAAGTCCCTGCCGCTTCAGCTACATACATACATGTAACTACATCGGAGACATACATAAGAGACATACCTATAACTACATACCTAGCACACACATGTGCATTGCATTGCATCGCAGCGGATAAGATAGTTATATGTAGTCCACGTAATTTATACAATTACCTTGAATAGAAAATAGAAACACCAGAAAAGAAAAAGAAAGAAAAGAAACGAAACGAAACGAAGCAACGAAAGACTGACCGTATAGACAGTGTAAATGCAAACTGTAATAAGTCTTACTGCTGCCACGTGAACCACGTGAACCACGTGAACCGCGGTCAAAGATGGCCTAAAAGATGGAATTGAGTGTAGATTGAGTGTGTCAAGACACAGTGTCCGTCTGTTTGTGCCGGATTACATAAGGCAAGATATGCGATCCCGAGGCTGGTTTCTTTTGCCAAGCCAAGCCCACCAGCCAACTCGCATATCTCAACCTCGGCGTACCCCGAAACTAAAATTCAATAAACAACGTCACTCAGACGCCCTTACCCCAGACCGTTCAATCGTTTAACCTTCCGCCATTCTAAGCCTCATTAAACGTTACAACACACAGACAAACTTTTATTGAAACGCACGCACAACACAACACACGCATCCCGATCACGGATTACTGAACACACCAATACCAATACCAATACCAATACCAATACACAATACACAATACACAATACACACAGAGAAAGAGAGAGAAAGAACATCCATTCGGATTACTGAACATCCGTCGGTCAACAAACAATAGAACACCTAAACACACACACAATCATACACACATACACACACATACACATACACATAGCTACATCCCTACACACACACACAGACATCCATCCATCTTACCATTGCATGGAAGCTCAAAGTTAAGCTACCTAATGACATGACATGAATGACCACACCATAATCAATAAAAATTTGGAAGACCATCTTACCATGCGGCAGCTCAGATGAGCTCTACCAACTTTGCCCAGGCCCAGCAGCGCTTGGCTGCGCGTCGGCAGGCACGCGAACAAGAATTTCAAACGCGACTCGATGCTACCCGTCAAGCATCGCGAGCATGGTCCGAAGTTACGCGTTTACCCTATCCTTTGAATCGATTAGGGGTCTCCTCATTATCTGCATGGGAAGTTATCTCCTCGCGTGAAGGTACGCGGCCTGCCTTCCGAGTTGGCCAGGTTGATGCCGAGCTACTAGATGAAGACCTCGTAGGACAACTACGCGAGCAGGTGGGCGAAGCGCTTAAATACTTTGGAGGAACTGTAAAAGATGACTGGTCCGCCGAGATTCTTCTCGCACTTCGTGCAATACTCTTCAAACTTACGGTGTGGGATCATGATGCAACTTATGGTGCTGCTTTGCAAAATCTAAAATATACTGACGCAAGACGCGATGGGCCAATTTTAACTCCGCCTACCAAATTGCAAAAGACCCTCTACGGCCTTATCACCGTAGCAGGCAAATACAGTTGGACCAAATGGGAAAACTGGTTATTAGATCAGGATAATGGTTACGACCAACCCTCACCGACCGTACAACGACTCTCCAAACTGACCTCAAAAATCACCACCCTCCATTCGATGGCCGCCTTTGTCTCTTTTCTTGCATTCCTGTTACACGGAAGATACCGAACAATACTCGACAGATTGCTAAAGATGCGTCTTGCTCCACCCACTAGTCAAGTCAGCCGCGAAGTTTCTTTCGAGTACCTTAATCGACAACTAGTGTGGCATGCATTTACCGAGTTCCTGCTCTTCGTACTACCCCTGGTAGGTATCAACCGATGGCGCAGATGGCTCAGTCGTACTTGGCGGAAAACAAAAGACATTATACACGTCGGTGCTGCTGAGAATGATGAAGGCAGCAAGCAAGGAGATTACGCGTTTCTACCTGAACGAACATGTGCAATTTGCTACCAGGATCAGAATTCAGCTACCTCAGAGACGGAAGTTTTAGCTGCGGCTACCTCGAGCGGAGTGGTAGGCTCTGCTCAAACCGATATAACGAACCCATACGAGACGATTCCATGCGGCTGCATATACTGTTTTGTGTGCCTTGCTACCAGGCTGGAGCGTGAAGAAGGGGAAGGCTGGACTTGCTTACGATGTGGGGAACTTGTAAAAGAATGCAAACCATGGAATGGCGATGTTCTAGAAGAACAAACCAAGCCTCCAGCTACGAAACGTGTTGGATTTATCGACGAACTGGATCCAACGGAAGATCCCCCGCGGGATAGCAAGGATACTTCTCATCCTTTAGAAAACACGACTCGAGACGATCAGTATAAGATGGAAACAGGAGATACCCCTGAAGACGATGATTCCGAGGCGTATGAAGAAGAGGAGGCTGGGGTAGAGGAAGGATTCGATGACTAATCACTGGCTTGCTAACGGCCCGGAGTGGATGTGTCACTAATCTCTACCAAAATATATGGAGGATACGATTTGGAATCGTCAGGAAAATACTTAGTCACCAAACCCCCATGTTAATACCTTTAATTACGTACAGTTATATAGACTGTTAATGCAATACACGCAATAATGAGTAGATTTGTTCCTCAACCAGTACTGGCTAATTTAAGAGAGGGTTCGATTAGAGACCTCTCATGTATTTGAAGAGCCAGCTAAGAGCCAGTCCAACTGGATACTAGGTAGGTACATATACCACCCTCTACCTATTATGCTCGTCATACGTACGCCATTAATGGGGGCCAAATATAGGGCTACGCCCAAATATCATGGTTGATCTAGATATGTATAAGATAGGCTACTATGGAACAGCCCTATGGGCTATACCTCCAATCTAGCTCCGGGAGGGAACCCTGCTGGATGAAACCATCCATAGGGAGCCATCCGTAGGGCTGGTTGTGACATAAGATACTTAGGTACATCATGTAGATCGAGACCTGCAGAAAAGGCTGGCTGGCCGCAGGTCTGTCAGCCTTCAACCGATCGACGGAAACGATATCGTTGATCCGCCCACGCCGCCCGTAATTTTCTAGAATAAGGTAGGCAAGTAGGATATAGACAGGCGGGCATTGTTCGTTCCTGTTTGCCAACAAACAAAACGGAATCGAAACTGTCCTCTAGTATTCGGTCAAAAGGGGATGTCTCACGGAGGAGGCTTATGTGTGTGGCACAACTAGGCATCAAGTTAAGCTAATATTATCGTCACACATAGTATTTTATCCATCCTCATGCCGATATCATAACCTACTCGCTGTTATACTTTTTGTTCGTTCCCACGACCAATCACTTTCCATGAAACCCCTCCCCTCATTATTGGCATGCATATACATAGTATTATAGATCTGTTGTATATAGGGCTGGCTATACATATCTAGGGCTTATGGGGGGGTCCTCGAAGTGCTTACGCCTCACAAAAAGTCCATACAAGGTTAAAGTAGGTAGCAAACCCGCACTTACATACATACGCCTACGGCCGGATAGGATCGCTGGTTCTTGATCGAATGACGTGCGTGAACAACAACGACGCAGTGCCTCCGGCTCCGCCAAAAGGAATATCGGGGATTGGAATGCTTAAAAGGGCGGCAAGCCGCAAAGAAGCTGAAGGGGTATATTATTACATAGGTACATACATGCCATGCTGCTGACTTGTGTCAACATATGCTCTACCTGGGTCAGTCGTATATTAATGATATGCCAGCCTATCTACATCCTGCTTACATACATATAACTACGTTCACTCTCTTTTGCTTCTAAGGAGGGTTTAGTATTCCTCTCCCCCCCTGGCAACGGCGCTATTCTCATCGGTTCTTAGGTAATACTATATACGCCGGGTGACAACTTGTGTGGCGTTTGTCGTTAGTCGTGTAGGTAACACCAGATAAACGGAGTCTTCGGTAATCTTACCGACATAGCGCCACGCTGGAAGTACATTAAGCAGATAAGACACAAGTCTCCTTCTTTAGCTAGGAAGATCGTCGAAGCGCCGATCATTCCCGTTCCTTAAGGCTAAGATCTTATCTTCGTATAGTTACACTACTACATAGTTAGGTACACTATTTGACATCGTGGGGGAGGGATGAAAGGAAGGGGACGGGAAGGGGAAAGGGAAAGGGATGGGGAAATAACAATTCACCGCCCCGATGACAATTGCCGTTCCAATTGAGTTGCATTGCATCTATCTATAGATTATTTGGGCTAGAATCAATGATCTTCCCGAGGTCTTTCTGATGCTGATCCGGGTCTCCCCAGTTCCATTGATTCGGGTTGAGGTAACATACCAACATATGGATCAATAGTTATTGGTAGTAAATGGATACATACCTGGGGGGGCCTTACACATTCAATGATACATGCAACTTAAAAAAATGCACAGCCATCATCTAAAGGTACCCAGGTACTAGGTACCTACATGTAGTACTGCATAGTAGTTATTTTAGATTTGAACGTGGAAGATCTACAATAAGAAGTGGGGTGACCTGTTAGATACCGTCCGATCTCCTTCTGCCATGTGGATTGAGAAGAGCTGATAAGCCACAACGCCAATTCAGAGGAGAAGACATGGACAAGGAGGCCGAACTTTAAGGCCAAGAATGGAAACAAAAAAAAAACATGCAGGTAGGACCCCGAAGGACCCCGAAAATCCGAATATGGATGTACTATAATACGTACATACATGGATGCATCATGACATGATGATACTTTCTGTAGTGTAGTTGCATAGCAATAGAGTTTCAGAAGCCGAACCTACACTACACTACTGATAAAAAGCGGCCCCACACAAGCTTCTACACTATTCGACTAGCGGGTGGACCCAGTATTTCCATCATGGATAGGTGCACGTGGGTAGGCACATAGTTACATAATGTACATTCCTATACTAGCGTACCTACATATGTAGTAGTACAAGTACAAACTTCCATGCACATGTGGTTTACAATTGTCCACGGTAGCAGCAGTAAGTAACTACATAGGTACGTACATGAAGCGTCATCGTCACGCGCTTCCTTCCTTGCAGCAAGCCAGCGGCAGCTACTATGTACATACCCTCCATACATGCGCACCACGCACATGCTAACCTTGTTTCACCTCCATTGCAGTGAACCATGATCATCTCCTCTTCCTCCCACCTACATTGAGACTCCCAAGGGTCCATACCCATACCCATACCACTACCAGTAGGTAGGTACCTACATTTTATGTATGTGCATACAACTTTGTGCGCCCTGCTTATACCTTAAACACTTACCTACCTGAGACATGTATGTACGTCAATATGTATGTATGTATGTATGTGTGTGTGTGTGTGTGTGTGTGTTGTAGAAAGGTAAGGTGGTAGGTCCGGCCAGGGTTCAGTCAGACAAACCAACCACAGCGGGCGGATAATCAGACCTGCAGCGCACCGTGATCACGAGCGCGCCGATACTACTACATTCTACCTAGTACCGTACCTGCCCGCCGGCCTCTAACCCTCATCTTCACCCTCCTACTCCTCCTCACCTAATCAGAAAGGGTCCGACTGACAGCCATAAACGAACGCCACCGGCGCTATTGCATACACACATACACACACATACATATCGTATCATACCGTACCATACCATCATCTTCACCTAGTCTCTTATTTCCCGCCTCAGCTTTCCGCACCGCTAACTCCTACCTACCACCACTGTCATCCACACGTTTCACTGAGCAAAAGAAAAGCCCCAAAAGAGACGAAGAAGAGGAAGAGAGGGGAGAGATAGTACGATACTAATAATAAATCCCAGTTCTAAGACTCGTCATGTGCGCCACCTTTTTTCTCTATAGTCGCCACGGTCATCATCATCAACAACAGCTACCCTCACCCCCGCAAACGAGGCATAAAGTCGCGAGCTAATAAAACAGAGGGGGAAAAAGAGCTTGGGAAATACGAAGGAGCAAGAGGAGGAGGAGGAGGGGTGGAATATCTGAGTCAAGAGAACGGGAGTCAGAGAGCGCGAAAGGGTGAGAGGCAGACAAGAAGGATTCTCTCCAACATAAGCAGCCATGCCCGAGTTCTTCCCCTTCATCCAGGGCACCGAAACAAACCGGCAGCACGCGAGCGACGCCTCCCCGCTCCTCGGCCGCTTCCGCGCCGTGCCCCCCGCCCCGCGATCCCAGGCCCAGACTCAGACCCAGCAGCAACAGCACCTTGGACTGCTATCCGTAGGTGGCGGCCGTGGTAGCGTACACGTCGGATACGGTGCTCTCCTCGCCGCGGCCGGACTAGCTAGTAGCGACTACGGGTCCGACTCGGACTCGGATGACGACAGTGACGATGATGGTAACGATTATGGTAATAATAATAATGGTAACAACAGAGGGTGCGCAACAAGGATATGGCGGTCCTTGCGCCGTGTCGCGCGCAACTCGCGCCGAACCGTGAGAGACCTGTTCATTACACCGCGGCAGAAGGCCGTTAAGCGTGTAGTTGAGAAATGGTGGAGTCGCTGGGGAGTCTTGGTCATCTTGCCTGCCGCATTGGTAAGTACCTACCATTATGGCCGACCCATTGCTCGATTTACATAGCACGCGTGTTGCATGACAAAAGACAGAAATCTGGGCAATGTGTTTATGAGACTATAGGCTAACCTGGTGTACATTGCGCTCTATCTAGGCAGTAGCATGGTGTGCCCTCCCATTCCCGCAGTATCCGCTCCCGCCGGGCTCGCACGCCCACCACCCCCCGCCGAGCTCCCCCTCCGATAGCCACAGAGTGCCCGGCCACGGCGAGGTGCGCGTGCGCGTCAACTTCTGGTTCTTCCTCTTCGTCTACTACGGCTTCTACAACCTGACCGCCCTGATCTGGATAACCAAGGTATTCAACCTCTACTCCCTGAACTGGTGGCCCTCGACCCTCGGCTTCCCCCTAACCGTCTCCCTCATCGCGATTTTGTCACTTGCAGCGCCTATCCCCGTCTACCTGACCCCCGGCGCCCACTACCTCACGATCCACAACACCGCCTGGATCAGCTGGACCTTCGTCATCATGGCCATGCCCGTGGCTATCGCCTTCTGCATCCTCATGACGCACGAGCGCCACCTAGGCCTCCGCTACTCCCTCAGCGACACCCAGCGCATCTTTACGAGCTCCTGGTGGACCGGAAAACCGGACACGCTGTCCGCGACCCGCGACTACAACCGGCGTCGCGGGATAACCGGCCGAGGCGCCGCCCATAACGCGTTCGAGCCCGATGCCGCCCTGCAGGTCGCCGCCGACGAGCCGCGACCCAGCATACCGGGGTTCATGCAGCGGCGCCGCCGCTGGCTGCCCGCCAGCTTCGTCCGCTTCGTCTGGTTCTGTCTCGCGCTCGCCGTCAGCCTGCTGGCCTACCTCATAGGAGAAGCCTATGCCGAGATCTATCTGCGCACACTGCCGCACAACAGTTTCGAAACCATCGTCTACGTCTACAGCTGGGTCCTGACGGTGCACTTGCTCGACGCGCTGACGGGGTGGATTTTGGGCCCCCCTGAGGGGGAGCGGGTGGGGAGTTATCCATTGAGTTGGATCTTTAAATTGTAAGGCTTAACTAGGAAGTTACCTACAGACCTACCTGTCTTGATAGATTCGCTGACAAAGAATAATTTGGACAGATACTTTATGCTAACATATCAGACCTACGTCCGCGCCCTGTACGCGCGCCTCCGCTCGCCGTCGCAGTTTATCTGGCTCCAAGCCTTGTCCTCCGGCTTCCTCATCCTCCTCACCCCCTTGACCATGACGCAGACCTACCACCGCATCCTCTCGATGCTCGGGCTGACGGGCCAGTCGTACGCCTCGTACCAGAAGATCTGCACGCGGAACGTCTTCATCCGCTTCCTGGCGGAGAACGTGAGCATGCTCACCTTTCTGGGAAGCATTCTGGTGCTGCACTTCGGCCCCAACAAGGACGTGTACCCGTACTTCGCCTTCGACGACCCGGACGAGCTGTACGACTTCGATCTAACTTTTTACGCGTCCATCGTCACGTGGGCGTGCGAGATCATGGCGGGCATCGTGCTCAGGGGCCTGATCCGGTGCATCTTTGGCGTCAACGCGAGCGTCGAGGGCAAGATGGACCTGGCGGTGTGGCCAGAGCTGCTGCCTACTAGCGTGGCTGTCATGCTGCACGTCCTGCAGAGCATGCTCTTCTCCATCATCCGCTTACACTTTCGGTGAACGGGGATATTTGGAAGAAAGGGACTTACTTCATTCATACATACATATATACATACCTAACCTAGTAGTACCCATATGGATGGTTGATGCTTGATGTGGAGCACCTGGATTGGTCGGTCGGTCGGTCGGTCGGCCCCCCCAGAGTGTGTTTTGCAGTTTGCAGCTCGGTTAAGCGTGGCCAACGAATGCGCTTCGACGTCAAAGGGGTCAAGGGGAACGAACTGAATGAAAGCAAGCAAGCCGATCGAGCGTTATTCAATCGCAAAAAAGATCATTGAAACAACATTATGTCGCGGGGTACATGGGATAGAGAGAGAGAGAGAGAGAGAGAGAGAGAGAGAAAAGACTTGAACTGACTGACTGACTGACTGTGCTCAGTCGACTTTCGAACTTTTCTCTGGTTATGTATCCCACCGCCGGACTCTATTCCGCGCCGTGGGCATCTATTATCTCGTTGCTTGCTTGTTTCGCCAAAGCTTTTTCGGGGGGGTTTTTTCCCTCCTCTCCTCTCCTCCCCTCCCCTCCCCCCTTTCGTTCACTTAAAGTTAAAGTTGTTGTTGTTGTTGTTGTTGCCCATGCAAAGGTGCCCAAGGCGGAGTAGGATGATACCCTTTTTAGAATAAATACCGTAGAATTAGATATCCCCCCCCAACTGACTGACTGACTGACTGACTGCTAATCAAATCCTGTTATGGACTTGTTTTTTTTCTTTCCTTCTTTTCTTTTTCTTTGTCCAAATGTGGCTTGCGCGGGGAATGGTGTGTGTACTAAGTTGTGACGTGGTCCCGAAATTATTAAGTATGTAGGTATGCATACCTAGGTAGGTAGGTTAGGTATCCTAACCTAGATAAAAGTACCGTAGATAATGTTGATCTGATTGTAGTTACATACTTCACTGTTGTTTCGTTTATTTTACCTACCTGTGTGTATATTTTGTTTCTTGCTTTTGTTTCCTTTTCCCCCCGATTAGTTGGGAGATACATATGAGTGAGCCAAAAAAAAAAAAAAAAAAAAAAAAAAAAAAAGAGATGGGGGCAAAGCAAGCAATACATATGCACGCGGCCGCAAGGTATATAGAAAGAAAGTAGAGCTCTTCGTGCTTGTGGTAAAGGGGGTTTGTTCAAGCCTAGGCAGGTTAGGTTAGGTACCTAGGTAGGTAGGAATGGGTTTCTTTCGATTGCAGAACTTTTCTAATCCTCTGCATCGGAGTGGAGTTGTCGATTGGTGGAGAGTATTACAATGCACGAAATGCTGCAACACCCGGTGTGCTAGCTTTTTTGTGAGGACGCCGAAAAGCGTATGTAACTGGCCGGACGAACGCAGGTGCTTGGCAACATAGGGACTACATAGTAACCACATACTCTAATATATTAGGGAGATTCGGCAAATGTGAAGTGTGCCGTGGAGGTGTATGTATGTAGGTGTGTTGTCCATGTGTGTATGTGATATCTGCTTCACGACCACATCCGAGATTGCTTCCGGTTGCCTTCACCCATCCGGGTTTCTGCCCCAAGATCGGGTCGGCGTTTACGCACGGTAGTAGTAGGTTGGGAATGATACCATATTATTAGTGTATGTCTGAATCGGCCGATTGCATCATGCTGTGCGCCCCTCCGAGATAGTGGGTGGCGTCCTGTCAGTCATCAACGCCTACTAGTAGCACCGATAGCAGACTTTCGGGACGGTGTCTTAACCCGGGAGGCGAGACTGTTGGCTGCAGGTCAAGCCAAGGGCAAGCCTTTTTTACCGAGAATATGCAGCCATCTCAACATTGCGCTGGTAAAAGCCTAGAACAACCCAGGGCTGACGATTGGACGTGATGTGTCGCTCGAAAATGATCGACAGATTTGCAGATCCACTGAGAACGACGTCGTTGTTTGACGAGGCTGCGGTTCTCTATATCTTCATATAAACCTTGTATTTAACCCATTCTCGAGATCCCGAGATACCCAACTGTCTTCTGGCCTCTGGGCCCGATCAAGGCAAATCCAGAGATTTCAAGGATTGATGAGAAACCTGCTTGACTAGCTCAGGAGACTGGCGGTGAAGGCATGCAATGACTAAATTGTGCTTCAGCTCCCAGCATATCTACGAATAGGATAATAGTGAAAGAGTGGTCAAGATATTTTGGTGGTGCGGGGAACCAGACTTGAGCCAAAACACTTTAGAGGCCAAACATTGAAGGATATTATGCCTACCTACTTAAGTACACAGGTAATGTTGAGGTGAAACCGATGCAGGTCGCATGCCCTCGCATATGTGTAGGTACCTGCCTAGTATATGAGCAGTTTCGAGGGCCATGCAGACATTAAATATATAGATTAATTAGAAACACGGGTAGAGCATTGTAGCATCGCCGGTTGGTAGGTACGGCGGCTTCGTTGTCTTCGCTTTGCCGGATTTCCTCAAGGGGTTAGGGCAAAGTATCGATATAGGTTAAGGCGGCTGTCCATAATTTAGATGAGCATTATATGCACCTGGGCAGGTATATATGTAGTTTGCGGCTTGGAAACATTGAAGCTTTCGATGTAGACCATGAACACGGCTTACATCTTCCTTTCTCAGCAAATCGCTGGTGGGTAGGACAGTCAAATTGCGTCCCAAGGAATATGGTGTGGTAGATGCTAAATTCAAGGGACCTGTCGTTATCGGCATCCCTTGCCCAGGAACACGAGCCGATGCTTATTAGTCCCTACATAGCTGAACAGCGGCCAATTTCTAGAACGAAATACGGCCGGCTTACGCAAAAGAGAAGATATGAACCTGGCGACTCAATTTAGTGCCAGCTTCGTCATAAGAGCTGTAATGGTGATTCGGCGAAACCGGCGGGATAATATGTACGAGGCTGTATCGATCCAGACCTTTTGTGAGAAATAAGGCCTGGAAAGCCTCTGACTTGGGACACTTGCCAGTCATAGATTCCACACACAATGTGCCCAATCATCCGGGTATCCTCCCCGGCTAGGTCACTATCAAGGTATACCTATATAAAACAGACACCAGATGGTAGGTTAGAATGCTGGCAGGCCTAGAAGTATGCAGTCTTCACAGACGGGTACTCAAGCATGTGAGTAAACGGTGGTGTGGTTACAACATCAAACACCTGTTGGTCACAACAGCTATATCCCCTGCTTCGGTTGCTGAGCATGCAAGAGATGTGGTTGCAGGAAGCCAGAGCACGTTGTGCCACCTCGATCGAAACGGGGACTAATGGCTAAGTCTGATTCGACCAAAAGAGACCGAACGACGATTGAGGCGCAACACTGGTTTTGAGCCCCATGTCGAATAGTGGGATAGGAGTGAGACAAGATTATACACAACCTGTATAGCACACTGGGCAGTACTATGTAGACAACCACTACATGTACTTCAATGTCGTTGATGAGTAAATAGGATAGCTAAGGTGAGAGAATAGCATGTCTACCTATTCTTCGTATAATTAGTTGAACAGTTACAGTTCATGTAAGACGATACCGGGCATCGATAGCACCTTGTTAGTCAATGATCACCTCGATCACCTCATCCTAAGCTCCACAAAGCGCCCATGTGGCGATTGGGGGCCCTTTTTGGGACGCCTTGATTTCTTAAGCACGTACTTACATAGTACTTGAATATGTATGTACTATGTAGGCACGTAGCCAAGATCCAAAGCGGTATCGAGACGAGGGGCTAGCTGGGATTGGTGCGAGCCACCATAAGCATTCAAAGTGGGTTACGAGAAGAAAGAAAGATTTTGGTGTGGCAGTGTGTGCATGGTGGGAAGAAAGATGCCGAGCATTTATCGATGAGTCAGGGGAGGGAAGGGTTGGGTTGGGTTGGTTTAAGTTGACTGGTTGGTTCAAGTTGACTGGTTGGTTCAAGTTACCTGGATAGGATAGGTACATTAATGATTACCTACCTATCCAGGTAGGTAGGTATTTAAGGTAGGGCCAAGTAGACCTATGTACCTAACCTAGTAGGCAGCTGTTGGGTAGGGGAAAGACACAAGTCGTTGATATGTACAGTAGAGAAAGGAAAAAAGACACCGCAGTAAAAAAAAAAAAAAAAATTAGAATAGAAAATTTATCGATTAAAATTGGATTACTATCTGCCTTAACTTTCAAGTGTTACATGTAGTATTACTTGTAACATGTGTGGCATTGTGCGCATGCATGTAGGTACATATGTACTCCGTACAACTTGAACTTGTAGTCGGTTGAAGTGTGGGGTCGGACCCAAATCGCGATTTCCCAAACTTTGATGGATTTAAATGTCTTGAGGCGGGGCAGCAGTTTAACTACTAAATACTATGTACGATGTACTTAACAAATGAATCCTTGATCTTATCTCTTTTCCAAGTCGTAATCGGTATTTGCTTTGAGATATTTCTATGGATACAATGCATATGTGAATGCATATGTGATATTGGATGCCATACCTCCATACCTCGTAACTCACCTACTGCCTAGTAACCTAGTAGACACAATGAGACATACATGTGCGATGTATAGAATCTATAGGATACAGGTTCTCGTTAATAATAAATGGAACTCTTCATCACTTCGTATTTTATGACATCTGATATATGCTCAAATCTGCCTTTCCCAAGCAAGATACTGTACCATTGGGGTCTTTCTCTCTCCAGACTTGGAGGCTAGACCAGTTCTACGACCATGAAAGCTCTAGGGCTCCTACGGTAATCCTATTCAACCACCGAAACGACTGACTTTTAGGAAGGTGATAGTTCTGCCTATTCATATGCTGTTCGACTTAACTAACAGTGATGTGTCCTGGAGACCAGTCATTTAGTCATTTCGTGTTACTTCGTAACACTTGACGCTTCCCCCCTGATTATCATTCCATTTGCTCCGATAAAATGTCAGGGTTCCAATGCTTCTAGAAGGAGTTCGTCGCAAGTACAATGTTGGAATTGGCCACCATCCATGGATACCTACCTACAAGGTATATCTGTATATTCATAGAAATCCTCAACCTGTAACAAGTACTTACATGTATACCTACCTCCTCTCTCTTTTTTTTTCGGTAATCCCACTGCGGGCTTCCTTGTTTTCCCTTTCGACCTTGCGTTGCCTCACACCGCATATACATACATGCATTGCTGCTCACATTGCCTCTCACAGCCCTTCTACCGACACATCTAGGAGTGGCATATTCCGAATATTGGACCCTTACTGACACTCCGAATTTGCGAATCTATTACATATGTAGGTTAGGTGTTTTATATGGACGGCCTGACGACTTAGATTATGTAAACGGCGGTGCTAATAAAAGCACATCGTTGGCTGGAACAAGCCACCAGCCAGGATGATAAGGCATAGGTGGTAGTACTAGGCATTGATGTCTGCCCCTCTGCAATGTCTGCATAGAATCTAATTCTCTGTTCGGTATGGCGGCATTAGGAGGTAAGTATTAGGTGGTGGGGTTGTAAATGGTGAGGGACCGAGAAAATGTGTATGTACATAACTATGGATGTACATACAGAAAATCCCTGTAACACCCACCTGCTATGTTCCCTACATATGTACTAATGTCCACCCCCGAGAGGGGCAGACAGGTTCATCATTCGTCCTAGATATTACCTGATGTACCTAGATAGTGGATATATATGTACCTGATTGTTATACGTTAGTAATTAATTAAATCTTCCCGAGGCAAGTCTCAAGGCTTTTTTTTCCCTTTCTCTCGTCTCTCCCTCACTACATACATCGATACCTAGTAGGTATGTATCGTACTACATACCTACACCTATGTACCGGTAGGATGCATGTGTGTTCATGTTAGATCTTGAACACTTTCAATGTTAGTGCAAGAATCGGCAAGAATTGGCATCAATTCTAATTTAATTTACTCTTTAGGTACCAAGGTAAGGTAACACTAGATACTACTAGCTGTGTAACGGTTCTTACAGCGTTAACAATTGACATCGGGAACTTGAACTTAATTTGTCCAATGTGTTTGCCTATCTTGGTAAGTGGATTATTGTTTTAAGCTTTAACTTTAGACCTGCCTTAAGGCCCCAGCTAGCCGGTCTATGAGTTTCCGCACGTACCGTACATGGCGGATACTTATATTTGCAGCATCGATTATAGAATGGAATAAGTAGATTTATGTATACGTCTAGGTGCATAGTACATACTTCAAGTTTAATGTTGTATTCTGCCCCTCCAAAGAGTAGAGGGAGAAGAAAAAAACCAGGAAAAAAATCATCTCAAACAACCATCCCATCCCACTCTCTCACTCTCACTGTCACTCTTGCTCTTACTCACATTTTGTCAACCACTCCACTTCCTCCTAAGCAAGTTGAAGCAACATCGTTGTCTTAGCTTTTCCCTATTCGTAGCTAGCGACCGTCACACCTTTCGCTATCCTTTTCTATTCTCGTTTTAATACTTCAATGTTCCTTGAAGTCTTTGTACAGAAAGGTACACGTACATACAATACAAGATAATACATCCCACAGCCCGCAGACTCTCAGACTTCAAAAGTTTGCGACCTACATAGTACATACTAGGCATACTAGGGCTGCAGTTTATTAGTGATAATAATATTATTATCTACATACCACCCGGGTTGGCGGCAAGCAGGCTACCTACACCTCCCTCTCAGGCCCTCCCTCTATTCCGTACCGTACCATAATTACCATACCATACCATACCATCCGCCCCCTGCGTGCGTGTTGCTCCGCGGTCACTTCTGAGGCGGCCTTGTCTCTCTGCCTGCCTGTCTGTCTGACTTGGCTTGCCTTGTCCGCATTTCCTATTCGTCCCCCATTCGTCTTTCTACTCCCCTCTTAGCACTTCCACCGTGCCACACCCCCCCAAAAAAATTCTGCGCATTATCTTCTTTCCCAGGTACACATATCGCCTGCCCTCTCGCTCCCCTTTACCTTTCTCCTCTTCTTCTTTCTTTCCTCCTCAGCATGAGCGGTCTAGCCACCTCCAACATACCCGTTGATCCAGTGGCATCCAACCCAAGTCAGCCAAGCATCACTTCTTCAACCACCACACCCGATGCCTCGCGACGAGAGCCCGCCCCCTCCACCGCCGGTACCACCGAACTCGCCGGTCAATCGGTAACTGCTTTGTCTGAGCAAGAGCAGAAGAAGCTTGAGACTGCTAAGAAATTGGTGATCGACTCGCTCAGATTCGTTCCTGACTTTCCCATCCCTGGTATCAACTTCATCGACATCCTACCGATATTCCAAAACCCAGTCGCCTTCGAATCGCTTCTAGAAGTGCTCGTCCTCCTAACACGAGAACGGTTTGGCAACCAGATTCCAGATGTCATAGTGGGTCTGGAAGCACGCGGTTTCCTCTTTGGGCCTTCACTTGCATTGAGGCTCAACCGCCCATTCGTCCCTGTTCGAAAGAAGGGCAAGATGCCCGGCGCATGCATAACTGTGGAATACAAGAAAGAGTATGGCAAGGACGAGTTCCAGGTTCAGACAGATGCCATCAAGCCTGGCCAGACATGCCTAATAGTAGATGATATTATTGCTACTGGTGAGTTGACATCCTCATATACACATTCCTCCCTCCCCTTGTTTTTCGGTAGTTCCCCCTTAGGCTTCAGTACCGAGCGACGAGCTCGCTTGGGCTATTCCCTGCTTTATCGCACCTTAGTACGACCGTCCGTTTCCCGAATATATGCAATGAATGCCCAGTCATGCATTAGCCGATAGCACGGGTAAATTTCCGTGCCTGTTATGGTCCGTTCTATCTCGGCACAGGTCCGGCCGGAAGAGGCTGTGCTTCTTGATTCCAGCCGTCTTCAATGTCCACTCACATCATAGCTCGATGGGGTCGTGATCTACCTGCGGCTATGTGCCCATCCAGATTTACAGTGGCCATAAATCTACCCGCGTATCGAATGAAAGGCCATCGGGTCTAGAAGATCTAGTACCACAGCAACACCATATAATCTACTTGTTTCTTCCCTTAGCGCGATTTTTTTGTTTACTCTATCATTTCAGCCTATGCAGTCGACTGACTGACTCAATGAATCAGGGGGAACTGCTGCCGCTGCGGGCGAACTTGTGGAGCTCAGCAAAGCAAAGGTCATGGGCTACCTCTTCATGATTGAGATCACATGTCTCAAGGGCAAGGCATTGTTGGGCGATAAACCCATGATCACTCTTGTTGAACATGACGAAGAGGAGTAAGCTCTCCATATCATCTAATTCGGCATCTCGGCGCCTCCTGTTTTCGCTTGGGGGATTTCATTTCTCAGATATACGGAAGAGGTCAAAAGACGATTCCTGGGTTCCTACCATTCTAAACTTAATGATAGATGCCTCTCGGACTTTACTGGTAGTCGGGCGGAATAGAGTGCGCTGCTTAGGCTGCTACATAACTTTAGTGCAGCTATAGTCACAGGCGGGGACGTCCCCACGAGAAGTTGACTTGAGGTTGCATGGCTATTGGCGTTAATGGATAACTACACCGGTGATATCGAACTCTTGTTCTTATATGATTTGCTCATAGAGAGTCATAATTCCGTAATCCGCTCTAATGCGAATTTCTAGTTTCCATCATTTGTGATTGGTCTCAGGCGCACTTTTTTAAAGCTGGGAATTCATAGGCCGATCTATGTTATCTATCGCAAAGGCTATCAGGTATTTGGGTAGGTGGGTGTCTCACAGAATAAGATATGTCATCGCTCAGTTCTCGTATTCAGGTTTCATCGTCGTACAACGAAGAGTACTGACTAGCCTTCATCACGAAGCTCGCCATTAGCTGAATGGTAACATGGCCCTACGCACGAGCTGTTGCTATTATTAATGCCATGTCCCACACGAGAAACGTCTATATGTCGTCATTGTCCCTTGAATTCTTAAGAGAGCTCGTTCCGCTTCTAGCCATTCTCGTGCTCTTTTCGGCGAACCCCCCCTCCCCCCTTTCTCCCCCTTTTGCCACACACACACATATTTCAATAGGTGGTACTTATACAACATTATCTTGTTTTATTTACTGTCTTGTAGGTAGACGGGCCTCGTTAGAGTGGTTGGTGGTTACCTTTGTTCGCGTTAGGGGTGATATTACCTAACCTCCCTACCTACCTACCTACATAAACTCAGTGTCGGGTGTGTTGCGAAGCAAATGCGCCACCGATGAGCCTTGACGAGGAAACTTCGTGGGGCGGGGGGCTTGTTTGCCCTGTTGGGTTGGAAGTGCGAGTGTAAGTAGAGAGGATGTGATAATATACCTTGATACCTAGGTACATACATCGTTCATTCTTCGAACTCCGTAACCAGCAGCTACATATGTAGGTAGAGAAAGTGTCTCTTCGCTATGGTGGTCACTAGATCGGCTTATATGCGGGTGGTATGGTGGCATCACCAATGTATCACACAACTCTGTGCCTCGGCGAGGTGAGATACTAAATAGGCACTGGGTAATCATGTCAGGCTTTGATGATTTTTTCCGGTAGTGTTAAATTCTTTACCCCTATTTAAGTATATATGCCTACCAGAAAAATGCACTTCGTTAACTGGGAAATTTGGTACTACGCCAAGGTTTGCCCGCCATACATCTATATGGATAGACTAGGTACATATGTAGGTAGGTACCTGGTATGTAGGTAGGTATGTAGGCATATAGGTGCTATGTAGCAGCTGTCTCTCATTTGCTGCCGGCTCTCAAACCGATTGGGTGTCAAACTCTCGCCTCCGTGGTTTTACAAGTTACATACATGTAGGCAGAAAGGGCTTGTGCTATCCGGACATATCGGGGGAAAAGGCAGATAGGTACATGGTGTATCTCCGCTGCGGTAATTATCCCCGGTATAATAGCGATAGAGATAGGCGCCGAAACGAATCGGACCTTTGAGCCACGCCGAGCCCTAGGTAAAGGAAAGATTATAGATGATCTTGAGGCATCTTGTTATCAGAGAGATATCGTGGAGATGACGAATCCCGATACGCACCTAGAGTCAGCAGTGATTCTCAACAAGCTGTAGGATTTCACCTTCTAAGTAGGCACAAATCTGGGATTCGTCTCTCAACCTTGCCTTGGACGGTGAGGCGTCTTAGCCGTGTATGTATCTCAAGCCAGGAAAAAGGCCTCATCTTCTAACCCGCGCGTTGCGACTAGGTAGGTATGCAAACTAGGCTTGTCGTCTACATATGTAGATGCAATCGCCGAAAACTTCCCCATGTTTCGGTTTTTTTTTCTTTCTTTTCCCCTGGTAAATGGCCGAGGCTCCATGACATCGCGTCGGCCTAACGGATAGGTACAGGTAGGCTGGTAAGCAGAATCCAGATGATGCCCAAGCAAAATGACGAAGACACGGAACCATTGACATAACTACATGTACCTTCCGGTTTATCCACGTCGAGGCACCACACGCGCAGGCACGGCCGGGAATAGGTATGTAAGCATTGAATCCATCGTCGACGGTCCTTTGCCTGGATTCAGAGGGCTGCATGTTCTAATATGCCTTACCTACCGACCTGACAGACTCCAGCCTCCCCTCCCGCACAAATGGCCCGGCTCGCGTAATTTAAATAGCAGTCGTGCGAGTATAGATACCTACCTACCTATAGCGGTGTATAAGGCAGGCAAGTAGGCGTTTCGAATTGATAGGAAGGCCTCTTTGTCGCTTTCGCTTAGGTGCAGTTTACCCCGGATCAACGAGACGATGGTGATTGGATTGGTTGAGACACTCTGCAAGGGACGTTGCATTTGTTTTGCAGAGGCAAAGGCGAAAGGGGTTATTTATCATTGACCCTTGCCCTCGGCGAGGCAGGCTTTTTTGACACTTCAAAAGTCGGCTCTTGTTTGGCTACCTACAGTACCTACCTACGTGGCTTGACGCATGAAGTCAAGTCGGCCAGGATTTCGTGATGCTGTCTTTTTCTTCTTCTTCGATGGCAAGAGGGGTTGAAGAAAGGAGTGCGGACATAATAGCTTAAGGAAGCTTATAAGCATACTGTCTACCTACCTATAGGAGGAAGCTGGGCAAATCTGTTGGCTTGGCGAATTGCTCTGTGATTTGATTTGGGGGCCAAACCGAAATCACCAACGGATTGTGGATCTCTTTCGACGGTACGTTGCTGCTGCCTTAGACTGCCAAGCTAATGTCTGCAGTTGGCGGTTGCGTCTAGACCTCGCCTCCCGGTTTGTATTTAAATCTCGCGGTTTTCCCGTCGCGTTTGTCGGTCACGATGTTGGACGAAGGATCTTTTTTTCGGATTTACGCGGAAAACACGTCTCCATCTAAACAAAAGCGTGCAAGATTGCGTCAACAGATACATACCTAGTACATAGGTGTATACCTACATACGACCATGTCCTCAATCACAACATCGATCCCCATCGGCCCCATAGGGGACTGGTGCGTCGGGTCCCTATCATACGGATGCGGCGACTCAGAGCGGGGCCAGAAGGACGACGGCTGGCAGTCCGTCTGCTGCAACGGCATGATCATCAACGCCGCGAAGGACCTCTGGCAGCGGACGACCTGGGACGACTACTCCGACCGCTCCCTCGACCTCGCCGACATGGTCTGCTGCGGCGAGAACGAGCCCAAGGGCGGCGGCATCCAGCCCATCCCCACGGCCTACACCACCTGCAACGACGGGAAGCCGACGCCGCTGGCGAGCCTGGCGGGAACCAACGTCGCCAACGCTCAGAACTACTGGGCCACGTACAAGTCCGCGAGCTACGGCGACAACACGGTCGCCGACTGGACACGCACCGAGACCCCCTTCTGCTTCTGGGCCTACACCCCGACCATGTCGATGGAGGAGATCACGCTGCCGACGCCGGATATCACGTCGATTCTTGCTCGTAGCGGGGACGGGTTCTCGGCGCCGTTTAGGGTGTCCTCGGGAGTTCAGACTACTGGTTCTAGTCCCGTGACTACTACGACGGATAGCAGCCCGACGGATAGCAGTTCGACGCCTAGTAGCTCAACGCCTAACAGCTCAACGCCTAGCAGCTCAACGGATAGCAACTCAACGCCTAACAGCTCAACGCCTAGCAGCTCGTCGGATAGCAGCTCGACGCCTAGCGAAACTGGTGACGCGAGCCCGAATACGAACGCGGCCTCGTCTTTTGCTGGTGTGCGGAAGGGATATCTTTGCTTTGGGTTAGGGGTGGTGACAATGAGTTTGCTGTGGAGCTGATCCCGTGTTAGCTGTGAGAGGCTATTAGAGGAGGTATAGGTGAGGATGAGAATGATATTACTGGATACCCAAAATAACCACCCAATTAACTACCTACCTGGGTAGGCTACGAGACTAATGTCGATACCTAATATGATAACACGATAATATATACCCCACTGAGCGGCGTCGAGGTATTTGAACGTGCGTTAAACTAAGAGGGCTTTGGTCTTGGGCCATAAAGGGGAGGACTGAATCAATAAACATACATATTAACAAAAGTCTACGCACAAACTCAGTGGTTCCTCATGTGTGATATCTGTTCGTCAACATTCACTAGAAGAACTCATCCCCCTGCGCTCCCTGACGCCCCAACACACAAAAAGACCATCAATCAACCAATCAATCTACCCACCTACGCCCGGCGAGGACGTCCAGCGGTAACCCGAGTATTGCAACTCCGCACCCGCGCATCTGAGCCATTTTCGCCCACAGAAAGCAAGAGGGAGATGTTGATCGAGACGGGGATGTTGACGGAAGGTGAACTTTCACTACCGCCATCACCACTACCAGCAGCGGCGGCAGTAGAAGTAGAAGTAGCAACAGCGGGAACGGCAGTGGCAGTGGCGGTACTCCCACGCCGACGGCCTCCTCGGCGATGATGTCTGGGACGACGACCTCGTTTCTTCTTTCCGTGTTGCGGTTGCTGCTCCTGTGCTTGTGCTTGTGCTTCTTCCCCTTCTTGCACCTCCCGCACCCGCAACTCCTGAATCTTTCTCTCCAGCTCTTTCGCATCAACACCTTGATACAAGATACGGGGCGTAGCAGCAGCACTAACACCACCACCACCACCAACATCATCACCACCACCACTGACAGCAGTGCCAGCAGCACCAGACCCAACCCCCCCACCGCAAGGCCCCAGCCGACGAACCCCGTACCCCCTCGCAACCCGAAGCGGGTGCTCCCTCCCCGATCCCCGGAAGCCGCGCAGCAGACTCGGGAACCACAGCGTCATCTCCGGGGCGACGACGCCGTCGCCGACGAACACCCACTGTTCCTCCTCACCCTCACCCTCGTTCCCTCCCACCTCCGACGCCGCGCGCAGACACCCGCTCGCGGCACAGGGGAACGGGATGGCGAGCCGGTGCCCTCCGCCCTCGCTGTCGCTGAAGCGGAGGAGGTCGCTGGCAAACACGACGTCCGTCTCCCCCTCGCTCCGCGGGCCCCACGTCAGGAAGACCCCCGTCGGCGTGCCGCGCACCCACGCCGGGTTCAGGTACCCCGTGCAGGGGGTGTCTTTGCCGTGGAGCTGGAGGGTGCCGTGGATCCAGCCTGGGAGGGGGTTGTTGCTGTTGCTGTTGTTGTTGTGGATACTGCTTGCAGTAGCAGTAGTAGCAGCATCGTCGTGGTGCTGTTCGTGTTGGTGGTGGGGGTAGTCGTTACCGAGGCCAAACGACACAACAGCCGGGTCGGCGAACGCAGTAGCAGCAGTGCTCGGTGGGGTGAGGAACGGGCTGGTGTTGGTGTTCGTGCTCGGGCTCGGGGGGGCCATTGCTTCGTCGGTCCAGCTCCCACCCTGGGCCGCTCCGGGGTACACAGGCGTAGGGACGGCCTCGAAAGGTGGTGGGCTGGAGAACTCGAGGCCCTGCAGATTGGGGTTGGGCGTGCAGCAGGCGCACGTATCCATGTCGAAGGCGTCGAAGGCACCGGAGAGGATCGGCTCGAAGGAATTGTAGTGGTACGGACCAGTAGGCCGTGGCGCGTTCAGCGAACCTTGAAGTTCTCCTACCTCTCCTACCTCGGCGTGGTGCTGCTGATGGGTGTTTGTATCATAAGACGGCGGTGGCGAGAAGTAGGATTCCCTCGCCACGACAGGAGGAGGATGATTCATACGCTCATTGCTGGCTGCCGTTCCATTTTTAGATTCGTCTGCCATGTTCTGACACTACTTAAGTACTGTCGAAGTAGTAAGGTAGGGGCGCGGTTTTTACTCCCGAGTGCGTACGGAGAATTGGAAAAAAAAACAGAGAGTGAAGGTCGATTAAATAAGAGAGATGAGAGAACTGGATTCATGTTGTACATGATGCTAGGAGTCACATCGTAGGACCATTGCTCGATAAAAATTCACTGAGTATACAGGTAATGATTATCAATTAGAGATGAATACTGTGAATCAGACAGTTATGTGAAGCTAAAAGGGTCATACTATGTATAGAACACACTCACAATAGCAATCTCAATCCCAACAACAGGCCATGAAAAGTTGCGATGAAATGTAAAGTGACAAGAGGATGAGGTGTCTTATACACCATCCATCGTAGATAAGAGTGACGATGGTAGTGATTAGACTCACACGACACCATAAACTGAATTGTAGACTAAGTCAGATAAAACATTACTCAAGGGGCATAGCATGTGCAAGATACTTACCTACGTAATAATACCTAGTAATAGTATCTAGTAGGAAGGTAAACATTGAAGAGTAGGAAGGTAAAGACATAAAGGTACAATCACCAAGAAACTTGGCTTCACACTCACAAGTTAGATGAATTCTGCCAGAATCATGAAAAGAAAGGGTATATTATGAACTAGGTCTCTAGTACGTAACCTAATCTATTTCTATGGTTGTCATGTAATGTGCTAAGACTACAACAAAAGCCTCAACACGAGTACAAAATAAAAGGCGAAAAGAGTGGAGAGTGGTCCAGCGATCACGAAACTAATCACATCACAAGGTGCGAAGAAGACAATGCCAAACACAGGAGCATCTATTAGCTATTAAGAGAATGCTTCAGCCGCCGAGTGAATGCCCTATATGGCATAACACTACACACGACATCTGTTCCGTCCGAGGAGCACAGCATACTCGACATCAAGTAGCTTTGGCAACCTCCATATTCCACTCCTTCACCGTCACTGTAAGAAACGTTTGTGTGCTGTTTCGCAGGTATTTTCTGATCCTCATCAACCAAATGACAGGGGGTATACTGGGTATCAGTTGAGTATTAGGAAAAGATGTGAAAACAAAGGCAATTCTCCGCGCAAATTCAGACGAGGCATGCAAAAGCGTCAGTATAAAGATCATGGATGCCATCTCCTCCGCGTCGACAGCGCATCCCATTCTCCACACGACCGGCAAAGAAAAAGGCCGTCGAAAACCGATAAAAAAAGATGGGGGGTATCAGTTCAGAACCAGTCTTGTGGGGTATCTTGAAATGCAGATCCGTTCCCGACCAAACCCAGCGCGGTGGATACTCTTTAACGAAAACATTACGACTTGATTTTCAAGCCAAAGCGGCGCGCACTCTATGCGGCAGCAGTGACAGGAGCCGGGGCAGCCGCGGCGGGCTTCTCAGCAGCCTCCTCAGCAACCGGGGCGGCAGCAGCAGCCTCCTCGGTAGCCTCCTCCTTGGCAGGCTCAGCATCCTCGGCGATGTCGGCGGGCTTGTCCTCAGCCTTGGACTCCTCGGTGGGCTTCTCAGCGGCCTTTCCCTTGCCCTTGACGGTTTGGCGAAGCTTGGAGAAGAAGGGAGGAGACTTGACCTTCTCACCTTCCTCATCCGAGGTAGCGGCCGACTTCTTGCCGAAGCCGAAAGGAAGAGAAGACTTGCGCTTCTCGTTCTTCACCTCCTTGGTCTCACCGTTGGTAGCGGCAGCAGCATCGGCTGTCTCAGCGGTGGGGGATGCGACATCCGTCGACAGAGGCTCAGTAGTCTCAACAGCAGGGATGACGGGGGCAGTCTCGGCGACCGGGACATCAGCGCCGGAAGTCTCCTTAGCAGGAGTGGTAGGGGCAGACTCGACCTCGGTCTTCTTCTTGCCGAAGGAGAGACCACCGAAGATGCTGGGATGGATTAGCAAAAGTTTCAAGGTTGAAAGGGGGTGGGAAATTCATACCTAGCGCGCTTAGAAGGAGTAGGCTTGATTGGCAGCTCGTCCTTCTTGGCTTCCTCAGGGGCGGGGGTGGTCTCAATTGCGGGCGTCTCAGGGGCGGCAGGAGTCTCCTCAGCAGTAGGCTCAGCATCCTCGGCGATCTCGGCGGGCTTATCATCAGCAGGCTTGTCCTCAGCGGAAGCATCCTTCTTGGGTTCCTCCTTCTTGCTGAGCAGGCTTCCGAAGATGGAGGCACGCTTTCGGCTAGCAGATCGGCGCTTAGAGTCCTTCTTGTCGTCATCCTTCTTCTCTTCCTTAGCCTCTTCCTTCTTGTCCTCCTCCTTGTCTTCTTCCTTAACTTCCTCCTTGGGGGCCTCGGCCTCGCCCTCAGCGGCGGGCTTGTCCTCCTTGGGTGGGGGAGTGGGCTTGAAGCTCTCGAGGGTCTGCTTGTAAGTCTCGGTCTCCGTGATGGTGGTAGCAAGCTCCTTGGCCTCGGCGATCTTCAACTTCAGTTGCTCGACCCAGCTGTCACGATCAGCAGCGGTGGGGGCCTTGAAGATGTGCTTGTGGCCCTTAGCAGTAAGGGAGAACTTGGAGGCACCCTCGGTGGCGGGCTCAGAAACCTCAGCCTAGTCTTGGTTAGTAACTTGTCAAATTAAATCGAAGATCATAGATCATACCAATTGAAGGATACCCGTGGGGGTGCTCTTGTCGCTCTCCTTGCCGAAGAAAAGGAGACCCTTTCCAGTCTCCGTGGCCCACGCGGCGACGTGGTGGGCAACCTCGGTGGTCTTCTCGTTCTTGAGGTAGGTAACGAGCTTGTCCTTGGGGACAGACTCGGTGCCGAACCAAAAGTGCTGCTTAGAGTAGATGAGGTTCCTGAGATGATGGGTTAGCTCAATTATTTCGTTGATCGTCAATAGATGGAATAAATAAACACTTACTTGGGGAAGTTGGCAGGAGCAACCTTGTGCTCTAGAGTGCCAGCCTCAATGGGCTTGGCCTCCTCCTTCTTAGCCTCCTCAGTAGCGGCGGCAGTCTCGGGGGCAGCCTCAGCGTCGGCAGGTGCCTCAGTAGCAGCGGCATCAGCGGCGGGGGCAGCCTCGGCAGGCGTCTCCTCGACAGGCTTCGTCTCGGCGACCGGCTCGACGACGGCGGGGGTGGTCTCGGCGACCTCAACGGGCTTTTGTTCCTCGGCCATTGTAATAGATTTTGGTTTAGGGAAAGAAAACTAATTGGGTATCAAGAACAGGGTATCACTAAGGAAAAGGGAAATTAAATAGGTAATCAAGCTACTCGAAATGGGGGTATCAAGAGTAGGTTTAGGATTAAAGGGCACTTCGTAATCGTGAGAAGCTTTGTTGGCGAAACTTCGAACGGAAGTGAAAAACAAGTTGCAACTGAGTCGAATACGACAAGAAGGGTGGGAGGGAAGAAAAGTTGAATGGGATGGAGAGCAGCTTCTGCCGACCTTTATTTATTGTCTCGTGATTAACAGGAAGGAGAGTGACATGGAAAGGGTGCACAGTCTGCACAGTAAAATCAAATAGGGAAGTACAGTAAAGGTACCTGAGGTACTAGAGCTAGATTGGTTTTAGCACAAGCCAAGCTTTCAATGTTGGAAATTTGGAAGAGAAGGAAAATAAAATAAAAATGGGGGACTTGATTACAGGTGGGATACCTTGTGAATTAGGGAGTTAATTAGAGTTAATCTGAGTTAATAGGGGATCGCAACGGGGAAGTCAACCAGTAATCAACCAGTACCTGGGCAGTCAATGGGAACAGTCTAGGACAGTCAATGAGAGGAGGGAAGTACAAGCCTACTACAAGGGGACTCCTGGGAGTACCTTCCACAGTAGATGTTGCACGGTAGCAAGTGAGCAGGGATATCAAGTGGGTCTAGGCGGGTCGCGGGTGTTGAGAAAAAACAGCTGACCCACATTAGTACATTGGCCCTTATCCCTTGTGGGAAGGGAAGCCAAAAATAAGGTGGTTGACAAAAATCGAGTAATTAACAGCAATAACGATTGTGGACATAGGGGGATGACCCGCTGTCATACATATACCACAATCTGACTAACCCATTTCTGAAGAGACGCCATCTGGACGCTGCGTAACGTACTACTGTACATTGTAGTAGTCCTACTAATAACTATGTATGTAAATGTACTTTTAGTACCAGAATACGCTTACAAAATACCTTACATCTCTGGCCAATATTATCGAATTTCATTTCACGGCAAACCTTGTTTGGGGGTTAAGATTTTAAAACATTTCATCAATGTACCTGCTTATGTACATGTGTAGTGTAGTGTGTAGATGATGGATCTTGGGCGCATTGCCAGTACATAGTATTAGGTAGTTACATGTACCTAATAAATAGTACATAAATGATTCAAATATTAATGTTCAATGTACTTTAATCACCACATCAATACAACATTGAATGAACGAACATTCAACATTCATCATACATACATAACGCTTGACAATAATACAATATAAATTGTAACATTCAATGTTTTTCTATCCTGTCCCCATTGTTACAGGGCCCTGACAGAGCCGACAAAGGCTTGGAATGCCTACAGTACCCAGATTGCTATGCGACTGTACACCATAAAAGTAGGTATTCATCTCTCGCATGATAACCCGGTCCTTTCTTCCCTTGTCGCTGGGTCATCGTGCAAATCTTGCGGCTGTGGTCTGTGCATACAACCTATTATTTATTTTTTTCCTTCCTTTCCCTGAAATGAAGGCCCTGTCTAGCTCGCCCGAGGAAATTACAGCGTCGTTTAAATATGCACTGGTGCACTAGTTGCCATGGGATATCGACAGGGGTTTGTATATAGGGGGGGGTAACTAGTAGAGAAAGATGAGATGAGAGAATGAAAGAGGAGGGGAGTGTTCATTGTCTGAACCAAAGCCAAAACCCAAAACCGCCACTGGTAAAAGCGCCCACCATGAAAATTCAAAATGGGAAGCCTTTCCGTTGAAAGGTAAGCCTCGAAAATTCTCGACGGGATTATGCTGGAAACTCCTTTGTCAGGGGCAGATCTACGACATATCTTAGTTTCTACTATGGTATTAGTTGACGATTTGATCAGCGATTGATCAGTGATGGTCACTAGTCACTTCAAGGTTCCAAGTTCCAGCTTCATTCTGGAGTTCATTCTGGAGTGCTCGGAACATTTGAATGATAAGGATCGATCTTTGTTCATGGATGATTCATTTGCAAGTTCTGTATGGTACGGAATACGTATGTGAGGTCTGATGTATGATGTATGTACATACATCCAGACATACATCCCAATGATCCCATACATAATAGTAGTAGTACTGTAATAGTAACTTGTACGTGCGTGAGCACCAACATTGATGCCATGTTGTATTTTCTCATTATTTGATTGATATCTTCTTTTTGAGTGGATGATCATTGTGCGCTTCTGGGACAATGTAGCCGCCTTCTCTGTTCTTCTACCCCCCGTTCCCAATCCTACCATTAACCATTCCCACTTAGGCCTCCCCCCCCTCCCCTATTGTCCGGGGGAAGCAAGTCAGTTAATCGTTAAATGACTACATACAATAGTTATTACTTACCTACCTAATACATACATACATATATACAGATAGTCCGTAATCTTAACAAAGACACCGCTTGCCGGACCTGGCAGACTACAAGTTCGGTTCGGTTCTGGAATCGGACGACGCTGCTGGTGATAGGACGCTGGTGATCGCGCCGATACCACTCCAATACAAATATCCAGTAGAGCCATCCAATGAAGCCGATATGCAAGATGCCCTCATTGCTGCACACTTGCTGCATATTTGTCCTGCATCTGACGGTCATAGGGCCAGGGAGAAGTGGATAGGTTCTGGTTCTTGGGGGAGGGATGGGTCAAATTACGCTTATTGGATAATAAAGTCGGATGAATTTGTGGGATGGCGAGAGTAGATCTCCAGTATAATGTCGGGAAGGACGAGGTACTGTGTTCTTTGTGTCTTAGAAGTTGTAACTAGTTACCGGCCTTTTTTTCTGGCCCTTTGCCCATTGAGTGAATGCTGCCCACGCCTTTTACCTGCAGTCACTGGTCCCTTCGTCAATTGGCCGCTAAAGCACGTTTATCTCGACGCAGCAGTCCGAAGAGCTTCTCTACTAGGAGCTTCTCTACTAGCTGCAGGAGGTAACTACATGCATATGTACGAATAAACGGCACACGCTTAGCCTACCCATGTGACATTCGAGCTACCATCTTCAAAGTTACTACCATACTACATAGTATTAGTATGACATTAAAACGTTAGGACGGACTTGGGGCTAAAATAACAATAATAATAATAATATGGGTGGTTCCCCGTCCGTGAGTCTTGATGATCAATAATAAGTCTAAAGGGGACCGATACAGACTCCAGAGAGAGAGAAAGGAGAAAGAATGATTACATCAATGTATTCATCACTTCGGCAAGGCTTTTTTTGATTACATCAAATACCAAAATCGAGGGTCCATGTTCGGATACCTGAAGTTCGGTACCCAAAGCTTCTTGATTTGTATGTAATATGGTAATATGTATAACAAGTCCCAGACTCCCAGGTATGATAGGTATGTACGAAAAAGCCTTGCGCGCGCTGCGGTGTCTGTTTCAAGTTCTCATCTATCTCTAACCGCTGGCCATTTCTTCATGGTTCATTCGCTATTTCTCGGCCCCATGTCAGGGTCTCGAGAAGTGGATCAGAAGAAAGATGGATGGGATGCCAACGCTGGGCGCTCACGGCTTTATCCCTCTAATATCTGCCAATCATTCGAAACGGCGAAACGGCTTTACTCTCGACTGCAAATCTTGCATGACACTGCTTGAATGTTCCCTTTTGGAGTGCCACGCCTATCGCAATGTATGCCTGCTCAGTGCTCAGCGCATTGTTGAGGAGCAAGAATAAAAGTATTACAATTCCTGCATCGTGAGAAACCTGGCGCGATTCGATCAAAAGGTGAAGCGCATAACCTACCTACTTTTCTGCCTACTTGTCTAAGGTTATTTGCTTACTCACTACATACCCTCCCCATGAACACCGGACATAGCTCCTGAGCAAATTGATCTGTCATATTTAAGAAGACGGCGTTTTTGGATCTATATTCCACAATACGATATTCCTGCGCACAGCACCACTACCTACGATTTGTCCTAGGTAACCTAGGTTGTGACTTTGTCCATTCAACTACACTAGACATTGTCACTAGTAGACACGGACTAACAAATTTCATCTTCATCTCTATGTAATAGTATGTATAACTACACATTTTTAGTGTCCTCCCAAGTAATTTACCCAAAGATCCACTTGACAGCTCTCGAACCACGTCTATGAGCTCAACTGCACTAAAACCGCGGACGCTATCCTGTTAGACGGGTCCTACTATTGCTTTACCGGGCCATGTCGGTACGTAATAATGCTACTCAGGTCAGTCATCTTGGAACAAGGAGACTTTACCCATTGAATAAAGGGACCCTAAGCCCATTAGCATTAGTATTTTTTTACTTAAGTCGCTGTTCTGCTCTCGGTTTAATGTCTGCTGTTCAATCGTGCTTTGCCTTGGATCCATGTAGGTGCGTGAGGTACATAAAGCCACGTATTGGACGCCAGTGACCAAAAGGGGTTTTTTTTTTTTTGGCTTTCAACGTTGTCAAAATTGAACATTGTTCCCCTTTTCACTTGCAAACGATAGCGCTCTACCAGTACGGTATAACAGGAAATGCCCACGATTTCGACCTCAGACAAACAAACTCGGAATATCGTCTCGCTCACAGTGCCCTTTGATACAAACCACTAACAGTCCAACACGGCTAGCGGGATGTAGTAGTGCCTACGCCCTAACCCAGCAACTAGGTCGCTATGGCGTAATGGGGTCGTGTGTCACATCCCACGCGAGACATCGGTTGGGTAGGGAGCGTGAAATTTCGGGGGGGTTCGAAAGGGGGAAAAGAAAAGCATTCTGTTAGCGTTTGTGTGTTTGCGTTCATGGAAAGTGCGCTACCATTCCCGATGCCATGTTTTGAATGATGTTGTTCAACGGGCCACGCAGAGACTCGGGACTCGGGACTCGGGACTGGTAAGGGTCAAGAGAAGAAACATGTAGGTATTAGGGAGAGAAGGAAAAGAAGAAGAAGAACAAGAAGAAGAAAAGAGACGAGCTATATCCCGGTTGATTTCGTGACATGCATGTCCTAGTATTTAGCATTTTCCACGTCCGATTAGCTGTGTCTTTTCGGCTTTGTGCATTACCAAGATCGACATTGTCACACGCAAAGTTCGTGGCCTGTACCGATTTGCCCTCAAGCCATTGCTTGGTAGTGCCTCTATATTGTGTGTGCTTACCTAGGTAGGTTACAAGTACTACATGTAGGTAGGTTATCAATGTCAGGGCTGCGTTACATTTTGCCCAGATCTCACCATGTGTGTGTATGTAGGCATGTAGTATGTATGTATGTTGGTGTGTGATATGTACATACAATAGTTACTTCCTCTCGTCTGTATAATGACACAACCCGCCAACCGTCTTGCGAATGTGTGTTTACCGCGATCTCGTTCGCCTATCAGTACCTAACTTAATAGTGTCAGCCGTCTAGGCCTCAAATCTCCGACCGAGAGGAGGTCCTAAAAATAAGCGCATGACTGACTTACTTTGATGTCTCTGTGGAGCTAGACTATTAGTCTGAGATGCATTCCTGTTCCTCGATGTTTCGGGCTGTCGTTGGTCAGCGGCTAACCTCGATCTCGGTTTGCTTAGACTTGAGACTTGGAAATAGGGTACATATTAATACACCCTCTCCTAACATGTACCTACCTAATGCGCGCTTAGCATCTACTTAGAGTCTAAGGGTCTTAGAGTCTTAGATGTCTGTATGGATATTAATCTACCACATCGCATTCAACGGCCACTATAAAAAAATGTTCCAGTCACTTCGCGCCCCGTTACATAGCAGCAACATACATAGGTCGACGTTGTATGTATTGTACATAAGGTACCATGCAGGCTAAGCGGACTGGCAGGATACCATGAACTCCACAGATCGATCCCCCAGGTCTGGATTCCTTCTGGCCTGATAGGCGTTTACCATAACGCAGGGATCGCCATCGTCCTACGGCAATTCCAATGTCGAGCTGACCCAAGCATAGATAAGGTATTGGGTCTGATGACAGCCGAAATAGGTGGCACATTGTCCTGCTTCGCTTGTCCATCCCTTCGCTGATGTTCGCTGATGTTCGTTGATGTTCTTTTTGAGAATCATTGATCTAACTTAGATTACATATTTGCCTTCCAACGGACCTTGAAAGCCTGTTTCCTTCCTTCTCCCGGCGTAGACACAAACCCGACAACCGTAGAGTAACCTACCTATGTCCAATGTACACTCGTGATGCCGGCCGAAGGCGCAATCCTTCATGGTGGGGTGATTGACGATCGTGGACTTACATACCTAAGCTATATACACACATACCTACATACCTAAATGCACACCTGTGATTACGACTTACCTAAAATAACGGTGACTTTCTCTATCATCGGCAGGTCGAGCGATTGGCGATAAGTAGGTGCTCACAATCCTTTGTACGTCATACATGTAGGCACATACACATACCTACCTAGGTAATTATATACTTCGTAGATGTTCTGAATAACATCCTTTTTCCACAAGCAAGGCAAAAAATATATGTATATCTGTAATCTACTAACCAGCTATCCTAGTAAATCGAGATAGAAGAGCGGTCGGTGTTCAATCCGAGTATCCATTTGCTAGTTAGGCCAGCAAGGATTGTAGCATGTCCCTCTTGGCAGGTTAGGGGTTTCGTGGTGATGAGCGTTGAAAAAATATGAAAGAGATGAGAAGTGTCACTTTTCATATTGACATACTATCTCCAACATCATCATCAACAACACCTACATACTTATTCACCTTTGTCACGAGCGGCTTACTGATAACTTTAAATATCCTTTGTCTCAGATTTCTAGCCGTTCGGGAGAGCAGATGGCATCAAGCTTCCTGCAGTATGGGTAGGACAGCTATCTATGTAATGTATGTATGTACCTACAACCTGGGCAATGTAGGTACCTACATATACCTACATGCCTATGTCGTAACAACAGTGTTGCATTCCCATCAGGCCAGCTTCGGACGTTAATGATTCCCTCCCGGACGCTGGTGCAAAGCGAAGCTCGTGATCCTTGTTATGGACATTACGCTGCTACTACGCCGTACTGCTGCCCTTCCCTGCCCTGTCTTCTACATAGTATTCCAATGCTCCCCTTCGAGTTTTAAGAAAAATCCCTGTTCAACGCAAAACCCGTTAGCCGCGAATGTCGAAATCCCCGGTTCCGTAAAAAAAAAAAAAATAGTTACGAACGAAACCTAGAACGCAACGGACAAGCCCATTATCATTTCATCGTCAGATCAATGGATCATTCCAAACCCCTCCCCTCCCTCCTCCTCCTCCTCCCCATTCGTATTTCCCCAGTCGGAATCCATAAGAGGCATCTAGGTTAGAAAACCTGTCCACGGGGGAAAGAATCCTCGCTAAGAAAAGGGGTTTCATTCAAGAGGCGGTGACTGCCACCATTTCAAGTGAATGGACATCCAGGTCGTTATCTGACCTTACCTACAACTACTTACCTACACAGCTACAATACCTACCTATCTATTTGCCTAGGTGCCAACATTCATTAACCTGCTTACCATTCCAAGATGGCCAGTTGCTCGTTTCCTAATACAATCTTAGCACATCTAGCATCATCACCTGTATCCCACCCCCCCTTTCCCCCTCCCACCATCTCCCCTTTTTGATGGCCTGCAGCAAAGAGGGCAAAAGTTCATGCATCCCCACTTTCTGGTTCTCGCACTGCTGTGTACATTCATTACGTGAGTTTGTGTGTATGTGTACTATGTATGTAGACATGCAGTTAGACAGGTAGCAGCAGACCAGAAAATGGGTAGCATACAAGCTTGCCTACCTAGGTAGCTTCCGCGTTCATATATGTAGATATGCATTCCCATCTACATACCTCATCCATCTATGAGCCTATTTACCGATACACACACACACACACATACAGTTTTATTTCCGCGTGACGAGCACACGACCAAGTCGATCGCATAGCGGGTTCCTGATGCCGTATCCGTGGATTGATTTGCCTCCAGAAAAAGAAAAAGCTGCGAACCATTGCCAAGTATACGTAATGCATCCATCCATCTCCCCCCAAACACACACATATCTAGGTACTGTAGTCAGTAGGCTAGATGCGTTGCGTGCCCTCTTTCCCCTTGATCTCCATCTCCTCCACCCCCGGCCGCCCCGCCGAATAGCGTGTAATGTATGTATGTATGTAGGTAGGTGCAAACCAAGCAAATGTAGTGTATTTTTACATACATACATACATACATACATACATACATACCAAGTTAATCAATCGCCTCTTTTGATCAACAGCCCTATCCTAGGCGTGCCAGAATGGGTCGATCCCAGCCCAAATGGCGGTATAGACACTTGACCTAGCTAACCTAGTGCCTAGTAGGCCACATACCCCAGATACATATGGCCATTACCCGGCAATAACATCCTGATCTCGCTTCGTCTCCGACCGCACATGCTGGCATATGGGTCTTGGGCGTAGCCTAGGGACCGGGCACATATAACGCCATTCCGGGCGAGTCGGCTTGATAAGGGCACCCTCGGGCGGGAGCTGCTTCCCTTGTTTTGGCATGCCGTCGTCGGTATCGGTCCGTCCGTGGGCCTTTGCTTCCGTTCGAGGTAGACGTCTCGGTGGAATAAATAGCTGTGCTTTGAGACGGAACAGTCAGTCTCTTTTCGTTCCCTAGGTTGGCGATCTATAGCTCTCATCGTATCGAACCATACTAATATGGTCTACAGGTAAAATGCAGTGCTTGGTTCCTTAATGGCTTCATGATATTAGCCTACGCCTTCCCATGGTATACAGAAAGCCGTTCACTCCCAGCCCTAACCATATGGCATCGCCAATGGGACACGGAGGAGTTTGTACAATATGTCTCGTCTATTTTCTTTGTAGGCTCCTCGAAATAGGTGATCCAGCCATCTATAAAGAGACCCCCGAGCACGAACCATGCTTAGATGTAGGGTATTCCTCTGGGTCGACTTAAGTTAGGATATCCCGCCTCTGTTTGCAGAGCCTCGGTTTCGGTAGAGATTCCATAGCACAAAAGGAGCTTCTCTCTCTGTTCAGCCTTTGGTGAGCCGTATGGGTTAGGTCATCGAGTGTCCCAATAGTCGAGGCGTTTGTCATTATGTAGGCACAGAGTATGTAGAGAGTAGTATGCCGTCGAAGCCCTCCCCCGACATGTTGAATTAGGGTAGTTACCTACCTATGTATGTAGATATGCAATAATGAAATCAAGATGTAATGTGTGTAGCAATTACATGGAAATATTCAACCTCACTACCGCCCCTAGAACTCCATCTCATTGCCTTTCCATTCACCACGATTACTATTATGCAAGCACTTGATCTGAAACACTTGAGACATAGTGGCCGGGATTTAACAGAAAGTCTCGTCTGACGGTAATCACTGCGGGTTCCTCTTGAAGTTTTCGGACTATCGTGACCTTCCCCCCCTTTCTTGCCCCTTTATTCTCTCTTTCTCCCCGTCTCGTCGAAAAGTCACAACGAAAACGACCTTGGCACATTTTTTCCCTTTCATTCACCTAATAATGCACCTTCAGTCGAAAACTGAAAATTTTGCAGCATTTCTCGAAATAAGCACCAATACATAGCAATTTCGAGTTACCTACCTATGTACTCTGCTGGCTCCACGAAAATTCTCCTACTTCAACACACACTCTCATCCCAGACCATATCCTATTCTTCAACCCAACATCATTTGCTCTCAACTTCTACTTCATCTTGACCTTCAAAGCTCAACTACTTCAGGATCCCATGTAGGCACTCATACGAGACCTATTGGAGCTTCGTGTATATTCTCATCGACAGTACTCTAGCATACTCTTTTCATTACACTTGCGCGGCTTAATTGCTGTGACCCAACGACAAGCTGACTCTACAGCACCTAGAAGATCTCGCGTTTACCCAAAGGTCGCGTACGCGAAAGCACCTTCTGTTGTGAGGTGTACTAGCTACTTGGATCTCCAGTGGGAACCTCCCCTAACGCCCCTAATCTTTACCCCCTCGCAAAGTAATCACCTACAAGGTATGTGTACCTATTTCTCACTCTCTATTTCAGTTAGTGGCCATCCCTCTAGAACAAGAACCGAGCTGCCCTACCACAATCTCCACACACTTGTTTACACACATCCCATGCCCTAATCCCTCAACATCTACCTCGTACCTGATCTATGTGCCTACCTGTTCTGCTACCGACATCTTGCTCTACATTCCGCCTTACATCTTGCCATACACCTACACAGTTCACACTTCATCGAACCACTCCCCAATTATTTTCTTTGCATTCATTGCAACATTCAGTACCCAAAAGCATATATTGATCGTTTATTGACGACAGTCAATCAAACCGAAGATTCATTACATGGCACTTGGCCCATTCCCCTGACACTTTACCTCTCCTACACGAGGACTCCTTCATATCTTCAGTTCAATTACAGCCCACCCCGAATATTGGCTTATTGATTCGATTAGTAACTACAGACGTACGAAGGTTCCATCTTTGGACGTTGACCTTGATCCCTTCATCGAAGAAAATAGGTAAGCATGTTTCCTATATTTATTCACTTTTACTCAACACTCTACACCATATACACCAATAACCCCTATCGGCATTGTCAAATCCCCCCTTCCTCGAAACCTATTAGCCTCTCACCGAAAGAGACTTCAAATATTAGTGATGTACTATGTCTAACATCGATTAGTTGAAAGGAGAACAAGCAACTTACCACATACCGATCGATACAGGTATTTACCTTACATCTCGTAGGTAGGTACACATCGTGAGCCATATGCCCGAAGATCTCAGTACTAACACACCACACCTAGTAGTTAGAAAGAGACGAGACACTCTAGCTTCGTTCAGGTAAGTCATCAAGTTCAATTGCTCACCTTGCCATGATGGCCTTTCACTTGTTCCATATCGATATCCAGCACTATCCAGACCCTTCCTCATCTTACCTATCTTTCGCTCCTACTCCTAGCATACATCTACACAATACACACTCAAATTTGCATTCACTCGATACGCTTTGCTATACATCCCACGCGTTATGCTACCAGCCTCTACTGGATACCCAGGAAAGATACCTACTGCAACCACCCAAGTCACCCACTACCTCCTCATTGATGGTTCACATCTATTATGTCTTATTGAAAATTTTTACACTCTGTCGCTTTTCCTATATACTTCCCTTAACATCCATTCTTATAGAAGCTTCATGTCTATCTCTCTATCAAGCTTTGACCCCACCCCCTATTCCATAATGCCCCTTTCCCAACAAGAAGTCTTACAAATTTCAAGTTTCTTGATTGCTCTCACCTTGATTCAAAGCTAATAGGCACCTAGGCTTATAAAAACTGTCCACACTTACAATAAGTACATCTGAACTAATCCACAATGGATTATATCTATGACATACGTCCCAACCGGGACCTCCCGTACACCAACCTGATCGCGCAGTATACTGCAGCCGACCACGCTGCTAGCTTCCGCGAGCCAGAGAACCCATCGCAGAAGAGCGGTTCCGGCACCCGCGAGCCAACATCTGAAGAGCAATCTATAGAGCAGTATATCAAGTCTCGCTTCGGATCATTTGGATCCGTTAGCCACAGCTTCCGCCGAGGCTCACCCGGCGAATACTACTATGCGGTCCACTACCGAAAGGACCGTGGAAGCCTTGAGCATGGCCTCGGTCGCAACGACGAGGAGTTTTACGAATGCGCAAAGTACAACACCTTGCGCCACCCCCGCGCGGCCGGGTGCAACAACCCAGAGTACGGCCTCAACAAGCCTGGCGATCTTTCCGAGCCCGACAAGCGAATGCTTGAGCTTAATGGCTACCCCTATATCGACAGCGGCACCATCATGAGGGCGAGTTAACCCTTATATACCTACTTACCTATCTACATATACCTAACCTATACCTCTGCTAACCATCTCACAGGCACCCCTAATGCCCAAGTATCCCCCGGTCACCACCGGTACGCTACATTGGGATAAGCCCGCAACAGGCCCCTTCTCTATTCAGAAGCACAAGCAACCTCCGGCGCTCACCCGCGTGTTTCAGGACCGCGAGCTATGCACCAAGATCTTGGAAGAAGTTGCGCACCGCTGGGGCGACCTGCGCAATCTGAGCCGTACGTGCCAGCTGATCATGTCGGCCATCCACCAGATTCCGGTAAGTCCTTTCCCACACCAGCGAAAAAAAAAGAACTGGGAAAAGGGGCGAAATGCATACTAACACAGCGACCTAGAGTCGTGCCGACCTGACCAGCGGAGATTTCCGGGGCCTGGACCTCACCGACGAGGAAATCGCCCGTCGCAACGCGACCATCGGCTACGAATACATGTCCATGCCGCGCATCCCGCAATTTGTGCTCGTGTCCAAGATGCGGCCCTATCCAAGCTGGGTCTTCCCCGAGATAACGTCTGACGATGCCGTCGCGAACATCTACAAGATTGGTAAGTAAGCCTCTCTTTTATTTTGCCATAACCATGACCACAAGCATCTTCAACAACACCGAACTCATGTAATTCCCGAAAGCTAACAAAGGCCCCTTGCCCAAACCAGCAAACTGCATCCACGCCCGCGGCCCCTACATCCGCATCCTGCACCTACACAGCGTGGCCTACCTCGACCTCCCACTGCTCGCAAAACTACTCCCATACCTGAGCGACCTCAAAGTCCTCGGCGTGCACAACTGCGAGCTGCTGCACTTCGGGCAGACGGTGCCGCTCCTGCAGCTCGTCATCGCGCACAACGACGAGGTCCAGAAGTACGGGTGCGAGCGCGTCCGCGTCGACTTCACGCCCAAGTACTATCCGGGACCTTTCTACAAGGCCGCGGGACGCAAGGGCGAGTTTGGCGTCGTGCCGTCGGATGGCGGAGCGATCCCGACGATGCGAGGCGTCGTGGCGGTCCTGCGCACCGCGGTGCCGCTTGCGCTCGAGAACGGAGTCGACTGGTTCACCCCGGGCGCGGGGATGCGCGAGTTTCTGGAGAGGCTTCCGTTCGCGCTGGGAACGCTGCGATATATCCTCGAGGCGCTGTTCAACCTCTACTACTACGAGAAAGGCGTCCACTCCCCGCACGCTGCTGCTGGTTATGGTGGCAGTGGTAGCGGCAATGTATTCAGCAACAAGAGCTACAGCCTGCAGGAGAGAATATCCACATACATGACCCGCACGCTGGCCAACGACCTGATCATCGCCGTCGAAGGGCGCCCCATGCTGCGCAACATCATCGCCGACCTCGCAACGATCATGCAATGCGCGTCCTGCCGCGCGCACCTACCCGCCTACTTCTTCACGACCACGTTCTCAGCCAGCCGCAAGCCCAACGCCCAGCTGAAGTGCCACGGCTGCCAACTCCGCTCCTTCCTCAACGGCCAACTTGACAACTTCTTCCAAGAAAAGAAAGACCTCGCCACCCTCATGTTCACGTGCGCCTCCCTCGACGAGCTCCTGACCGCGCAGCGCACCGTGCCCGTGTCCCAGGTGCAGGACGCGCGGTTCCCCTTCTGGGACGTGTCCGTGATGACCGCGGACGAGGTCCTCGCCATCTACCCGCAGCACCGCGCGAACGCGATGTTCTTCGTGCTGGACGGGCGGCCCGCGCTGTTCCACCGGCCCGAGGCGCGGGACACGTGGATATGGAAGGAGAGAATGGGCAGAGCGAAGAGTCAAGCGCGCCGCTGCATCGAGAACGGGGTCAAGGCGGCAAGGGCCGAGATTGAGCAGTGCGAGCGTGATATCGGGACGCTCGAGGCGCGGTACTACGACCGCGAGGCCCGCCATGACGAGATGGGGCTCACGGCGATTCGCGACCAGATAGCCCGCCTGGAACGGCAGATCCGCCTCGCCCGTGCCAGATGTGGGATGGAGCAGATGCTCGTGGAGAATGGCCTGACGACAGCGGCGAATTGGGACGTGGAAGTGGAGCACTACCGACAGCAGAGCCGAATGTATGCCGGTCTCCCCTGGACCAGGGGCCCTCGCGACAAATGGGGAGCCCAACCGGATACTATCTCGAGTAGTATCTGGTAAAAGACTACGACAGTACCTACCCAATCGATTGTTTAATCTGGAAGCCATGGCCGAGCTTATAGCAAGCCTGACGTTGCAGTTCTTATGACGAACGATACACATCTCGCGACTTTCGCAAACGGGTTCTCTTTTGCCCTGACATGAACTCGCTAATAACACCTTGCTGACACTCCCTACTCAGTAGAGATGTATGTCTCAGCAGGCGGTGAGAATGACTTGGGAATGACTTGGGAATGAGCAGAGAATTAACTTGACACAAGAAAATGAGGGAAGGATTAATTGGTGACATGGGGACATGGGGACACGAATGATATGGTAATATGGTGGTGCTATGGAATTGTTTTTCGGTTTGTTTCTTTACTTACCTTTAAGGCTTACTTCCTTATTACCCTGTACTACATTTCCTTGTTACTAGTTCTTCTGATAATTGATCAAACTCTTCTTTCAACTGTCCCTTTGGCCAGAAGACCTACAGGCAATGAGTGACAACTTTACCGTGACCTCGAGTCCGACATATTATAGTCATAATTTATTGCTACACTTCGACAACCATCCTCTACGGTCCCAAATTATGAGACTTGTACGGCGTAAAACCGGAAACTGATGGCCTTGACGCTTTGTATTGAAACCCCCTACACCCCTTTTCCTCGCTGGCGTCAAAAGGCTCGCTGGAGACGATGACAACCAACCTGTGATAATCAAGGGGCGGGAAACATCTTTCCAGGCTATAAATAAACAATTACTTACCTTGAAGAGAGAGATACGGGATACATTCTCTTCAAGCTTTGTCTCGTCATGAAAACGCATTTTTTATGTATTGGGAATTGTTTCTCTTAGGAAGATACGCCAAGACAAGTTGTATGGCAATGGCATAACTTCATCGACTAATGGGTATCATCTCTCCGGCCACCTGATAGGTGCCTACTAATACATTTCTTCCTTTATCCTAAGCGATCAAGCATCTTTCGCCTGTTGGTGTATCGAGACAACATTTCTTAGGGTACCAAAACCGAGGACTTGTCCTATCCTGGGCGCCCCGGAGAATAGCATGACCAGCCTGTCTACGCCACAGCCCCACCCCCCTGTTGGTGGTAATCCGTGCATTAAGGCTTGCACATAACTCTCGTCAACTTCGCCGGGCCCTTCTTTTTCTGACGTTGGGTTGTCCTGCTGCGATTCTAGTTGAAGCTCAAATTTCCGTCGTTGCTCGTAAGGATCATTCTCTTCCTCGTACATGTTTGCTATTTCACGTCCATCTATGAATAGCTCAGCACGAGCGGATACGAGCTGGCCAGTCTTGGGACAGGTGAAGGATTTGGAGAGAGGTGACATGCAAGCAGGGTGATGAATAATAAAAAGAGGCTGCTCGTGAGACGAGACCTCTAGGTATTTGCTTGCAAGCTCATCTAAGAATTTAGGTAGCGTCAACTCTCGCCCATGTGCAAAACTAGCTCGATCATTCAGGAGTTCTAAGATTTTGGGCAGCGCGTCAGGTTCCGAGAGATCTGGAAATCGAATATCAAGAATCTTCTCTAATGCGGGTATAAATTCAATTTGATTCCAATTCGTCCCAGGAAGATTGATTTTAGGCTTCTCCAGAGACTCGAGCTGGCTTTGTTGAAGGTGTTCGACATGCTTGAAGAGTCGAGTTATTAAGTTTTCGGTAAGCAATATCAAGTCGCTGAGGTTAGAGTATGCGGCGTAAAACTCGCACATAGTGAATTCTGGGTTATGGGAAGTATCGATGCCTTCATTACGAAAGCAGGTCCCAATTTCGAAGACTTTATCGTTGCCACCAATAACTAGGCGTTTCAGCCATAGCTCAGGTGCGATTCGCAACGCTAGCTCTTTATGGGGAAATTCAGTGGCGGAGGTTAGAAATGGTCGAGCTGTTGCTCCACTAGCGTAGTCTGCTAGGACAGGTGTTTGAACTTCTAGGAAATCCTTCTCGTGAAAGAAGTCTCTCATATATTTAATGATATGTGAGCGAAGTCGAAATGTGTCTAGTGCCGGCCGATTGACGAGAAGATCAACATGCCTTTTCAGGAGCATGGTTTCCCGGTTAATCAGCTCTTCGGGGAGTGGTGTTAAGCTCGGGCTTATGAGAGTAGGAAGCTCAGCTGCTTTCAGTGTCAGCTCACCAGCCGTGGTACGCATTGCTGTGCCTTTGACAGAGACCACGTCACCACGGATAAATGGGTGAAGAGCTTCCCTGAACTCCCGAGGTTCTGGCTTTGGATCGGAAAGCTGGCTGAGACTAATCATAATCTGAACTTGTTGATATCCGCCCATAATTGTGAGAAAGACTAACTTGGGCCCAGATCGCCTGACTGACATGACACGACCCTCCAGAACAACCTCTTCTGGGTCTTCTGGGATTGGCGTACCGGCCACATCCTGGTACCGTTTCCGAAAAGTAGGAACACTTATTCGGATTGGCGAAGATTTAAGCCTTGGGTACTGAAGGGCATGGTAGTTCTTCAGCTTTTGGATTCTATTACTATCCGTGATCGGACGACGAGATAATGATGATGCGTCATTCTGTGATGGTGATATGTCATGATTGGTATATGTGACGTCTTGAGCAGCAGAGCCATGTATGCTTCTGCTACATGATGAATTCTGCAAGCAGAATCTAGGTATATGGCGTGCCTGTCGGGGCTTGTGGCAGCTTACTGAGAAGAACCGCGCATATGCTGCCGTTTTGGGTGACGGCGATAAAACGAGATATGGACGCAGAAACCTGAGATTAAGCCTGCCGTCCATTCCTAGACCTCAGAGTTAGTTCAATATTGCACATTATAAGATCTTTATATGAGAAAGATAAGCTGGGTCATGTTCAGACAGGCTGGCGAAATGAGATCAAGCACCAAGTAAATGGTGTCAGTCGCAACGGTTCTAATGTTAAAGCAATGTCATCATGAAGAGTTTTCAAGCGTATATACCTAAGTATTATACACTCAAGTATGCTTTTGAGAGTGAATTCAGATAACTTACTATTTAATGAATTACTATCGTTTCATATCTCTGACTTCTATTTTTATTAAAGAAAAATCATAAAAAATATCCAAGTGTTTGTGTAGGTAGAATAACGACATCGATGTCTGTCGAGAATGTTGAAATATTTTGAATTAATTTTTCCTACTAAAGTTCATTTTAATAGTGCTATTACCTAATCCACATATTGTCATATTGCCCATTGATGTACTAACTAACCTTAGCGTAGTTATTCGCGTACGTAAGGATTGAAGACTGGGATTAAAAGGCTTGTGGGAAACCATGCTTATCAGCCTTATCTGCCCACTACTTCCATAAATTAGTATGCAAGTGTGTAACCTGTAGTATGTACCTACGTTTATAGCCAATCAAGTTTGAATGGTCAATGATATTTGATCTTTTTTTCTTTGGAAGCTTCAAGTTCCTTTAAATTATATTCGATCTCTTCGTCACTCAACTCAACTAAAAAAAAAAAAAACCTTGAAGCAAAACACAGCAACGCCAATCTCTAACCTCTCTACCACCCTATACAAATCATGTCTTTCCTCGGCTTTGGAAGACCTCAACCCTCCTCAGAGGAGAAGATCGCAGCCGTTGAGGCTGAGATGAAGCTTCTGACCCAGATGCACGACCGGTAAGGCCTTTATATTACAGGCAGTCGCATATCATGCGCCTGTCTACCTAGATGTCGAAGTTTTCATCTGTTTGGCAACCAGGAACGCTTTCTAACATTACATCATAGTCTCACAAAAGCGTGCGCAAAGAAGTGCGTCCCTAATGAATACCGAGAAGCCGAGCTCAACAAGGGTGAAAGCGTCTGCCTCGACCGATGCGCTGCCAAGTTCTTCGATGTACACTTGAAGGTCTCTGAATTATTACAGCAGGAGATGCAACAAAAGGGTGCCGGTGGTGGCAGTGGATTTGGCTTTGGCGGTTAGCCCAAATGGATAGGGATACAATATACTACGCCTAGCCATCTCTAATGCAGCGAGCCTATTGCTGCGACGGACCACTGAAACCAACTGTACAATATGTAGTGGTGGGGAGTGGACGTATGGCTTAGAAGTGTTGTCACCAAGTCTATAGAGTCGTCTGTCTCTGTAGACTTAGCGGAGCAATACTCAGTCAGAACTATTACATCAAGTGCGATGTCTGTATTATGGAATAGGTCAGCCATAATGTTTGGCTTAAGAAGAAAACCACCCTCTTATAATAACCATACTACCACCACAGTAACACTATTTATGGATGTTAAAATACTGAATGGGATACCTGCCTACCTACATTTACTTGGCTCCTCTCCAAGGTTGCAATGGGACAAGAGCATGGCAAGGCTTAGCAACGACAAAAGAAGAACGAATGTGCTGACCTTGGTATGCGATATACTACCCTAGATATAGTAAGTCCGCTGGACCACTCTCCTCGGCGATTTGGATTTTATGGTCGTCCGGTTATATGACTGTCCGGTCGTCCGAGGTAAGTAAATCGGAGTTCAGGTTGTTAGATTTATTCAATCATATGTTTTGTAGCATCACAGTTGTGAATGATCCGGTAAATGGTTTCACATGCTGCCGGCATAAATCGGGACTAAAGAGTTGACATCGGAAGGTATGGAATTTGATGTTCTATCTTCCTCGGTTGGTTTCACGTGGTTAATGGAACCGGTAGCTACTAGTATGTAGTATGTAGATTGCGGGGAGCAACCTAACATTGAATGTTCAGACATCCATCTGAGATGTCTATGTAGATGTGATAGACGGTACATAGGTACATACATGTGTGGTTCACTGCATGTGGTTCAACAGTGAATTGATTGAAGTTTGATGGTCTGACTCAGTAATAGGTAGCGCTGAGTAGGTAGGTACGTACATATGCAATTAGTCCGGCCTTCCGGTCCCCACCTATGTACGTCCCAACATTCCCGAGCATTCAATGAGAATTGATTGAGTGCACATGTGGTGACAAGCTTCGAGTTTAAGTTTTGATGGGGCAAGTTGCGACAAAGTACCAAGTACCTTATGTACTGAGCCTAATACCTACAGATTCCCCGCGCCGCCCGCTTGGTTCAAGCACGTCTTGCATCCTTGTCACATTCAATACCTACCCAGACCCTTCTTCTCTCAACTTTATCATCCCCAAGTACTGTCGGGTACCTGGGTCCAAACCTACACTCTTCTTCTTCTTCTTTTCTTCCTTTATTTTCCTTTATTTTATCTCAAGTATTTACTCAGGACTGACTTGGCCACAATGGCCTTTTCCTGATACTCATTGTCAGTCCTCCCGCCTGGGTCTTTTGATAAAAAAAAAGTTGCCGTGCAGTCCCACTTGATAAACTCGAATAATTCTGCGCTGGATTATCCTGCATTGTCGCTTGAGATAGTCGTAATCTAGAACCTGGTCTCGACCCGACTGTGTTACACTACATCGATATATCGCGATATCTGTGACGTCCAGCTCTTCCCGGCGAGCCTGCTCCTACGTAAACCGTCGCCTTTCGCAATTAGTACCACCTTTGTAGTAGGTACTGGGTTTCGACCCCAATCGCCTTCGACTCTTCCGTATATCATCCACCGTACTATGCGCCTCCGCCGAGCGGCCCGTGTAATCCTCGTTGGCGCACCTGGAGTAGGTAAAGGTACCCAATCCGAGCGACTTCTCACGCGCTTCCCTCAATTATCCGCCATCTCCTCTGGCGACCTATTACGCCACAATGTCAAGAACCGGACACCACTCGGCATTAAGGTCGAGAAGACGATGAAGACAGGTGGGCTGGTGTCTGATGACCTTATACTTCGATTAATTACGAATGAATTGGGTAGACGCGGCTGGCTTTATGGAGGACGCCCGAATGTCATGACTCTTTCTTCTTCGTCTGCTTCCATCGACGGGAGCGGCGCATCATTAGAGGACACTGCATCCGCCTTTGGCTCGGGCCTCGAGGCTGATCCCTTAGCTGGCGCGTGTTTGTCTGCGCAGGCCTCCAACGACCCCGCTGCCTCCTTCCTACTTGATGGCTTTCCTCGCACTGCGACACAAGCTGAGAGGTTGGATCGCATCGTACCTATCAACTGGGCTGTATCTATACAGACGCCATTCGATGTTATCATGCAGCGTATCGCCTCACGCTGGGTCCACGAGCCATCTGGCCGAGTCTACAACACTACATTCAATACGCCAAAAGTAGCTGGCTATGACGACATCACGGGTGAACCGCTTGTGCAGCGGGTTGATGATACGGAGGAGGTATATAGGGCACGGTTCCAGAAGTTCCAGGAGACTAGCGAGCCCCTACTGGAACATTACGCGAAGAAGGGGGTTCTCTGGGAGGTTCACGGCATGAGCAGTAACGAAATCAGCCCAAAGCTTTATCAAGAATTCGAACGTCGGTTTTTATGAATGCGAGGAATGACGGGTTAAGTGGAGTATGTACGATGTAAGCCTCCACTGGCGACAAAGTATTCCATTTGAATACACGATGGGTCAGGGATTTCAAATAGCGGGTACGCTGTATGGTTCACCGGAGTCTGGGGGGATGGATAACATGAGCGGAGAGACGGTTTACGCTCCGCTTCCGTGTATATACCACGTTCATGCTTGGGTATTGTTCTTTGGGATGAGTTGATTAAACCTTTTGTCGGGTATTAGTCTTTCAACAGGTTTATACTACTTTGGACTTTTCCCCGAAGTGAATAGCTGCTTTAATATGAACAAACTCAAATACCTACACGAATACTCGACAATGTCTCAGGCCTGACAGATCTCATTGTTCTCGAATTTTACAAACCTATTAGTTATATGCACCCCTTCCCTACGCCTTCTAACTATCGCCACCGGGAGCGGCGGAACATGTCAGAATAGAGTCATGTGATTTATAATACTGCCACGTGATACTCCAACGGGTTCGCACTCCTACATATACGTTTATAACCTAGATTAGATCGATGTAGGTTAGGTAGATGGATTCGCCGTTTGTTGGCACAGTCCTTCTCCCTAATACTATACAATAGGTACACCTTTTTACCTCAACCATCAATTGTGTAGAATCTCAAAACTCAACATTGGAAGAGCCTAGCCTACTTCTTTCTTTCTACATAGCAGGCACTAACTTTAAACGGCAAACGCCGAGTTACCTACGTTTACGTTACTATGCAGGTAATGGCTTAGCTCGTTGTTGTTCGCGCGAGGTGTTATCATAGGTATGCTCTAGTTTCCCTTTGGCTTCCCGCCCTGGCTTGATATATTCCAAGATAGACGGGCAGTGATTACTTGAAACCCGTATAGTGCCACAAGAAGACAGCCAAGCATATCCCACATCCCCTACTCAACAACAGCGCCCATCGCCTTGCGAGCAATCTCCTCGGGCGTTTCCTCCACGATCTCGAGCAGCCCCGCGTCCGAGTCTTCCTTCGACGCCAGGACACACCGCGCCTCGCCCGGGGCGTAGAGCTGATACACGAGCAGATCCAGGCCCCATCTCCCGGCGCCTTCTCGGTGCTTCTTCCTCCCGCTCCCAAGCAGATCCTTGGCGCTGCCATGCTCGACCTTCCAAGCCTGCCCCGTGACCCGTTGGAATGCGTCGAGCAGTTGGTTTTGGCACACTTGGATGGACCGCGCCAGGACGAAGCGGTTTGCGGTTTCGGCTGGGTGTGTGAGGACGCCGACGACGGACTGCCCGATCCCGGCTAGTGTGGTCCCGGTGAACTCCTCGGTGCCTTCATCGTAGATTGTTGCGGAGCGTTGGTTGACGTCGAAGCCCATTAGAGGGAAGCGTCGAAGCGCCTATATGATCCGGATTAGCTTTTGGTTGCCCATGTACACAGTCGCTGCCTAGGTACAGAGAAGCCTTACCCAGTCAATAGGATTCCCAATGCTGATGCTAGTCCAAGTGAACTCGGAGTTCGACTGAGAGAGCTGCCTCGCGCGCTCCAAAGCAACTTTCCTCTTCGCCCCAATCTCGTCGAACTCCGGCAAGTTGCGGAAGCCGGGGCCCCAGCCGAAGTGGTTCACGATGAAGCGCCTGACGCCCGCAGCTTCGGCGGCATCGATCATCGTGGCCTGGGTCTCGACGCCGGCGGGGCCGATGACGCAGACCACGGCATCCTGGCCGAAGAGTGCCGCCGTAAGCTTCTCGGCTGTGTAGTCTGTCCTGATGACGGGGATCCCGTCTGGGAAGGTTGAGGAAGATGCGGGACGAGTGATGATAGTGACCTCGAAGCCAGCTTTGACGAGGGCAGTGGTGATGGGGGCACCGAAGTTGCCTGATGCCTGTTATCAGTTAGTCGATACCTAGGTACCTAGTTATGATACCTGCGACAAAGTTACTTACGCCAAAGATAGCTACTTTCTTGATGGCTGACATGATGTACTATGTATACTTGGACTCTTGAAGGGATAGTCAGTCACCTAACCTAGGTAGTAGGTATGTAATGACTCGGTACGCCGAGTATATATACGGATCAAATCCTGTAGCCTAGCTACATATACGGGTCGAATCCTGTAGCCTAGCTACATATGCGGATCGAATCCTGTAGCCTGGCTACATATTTAACCTAGAATGACACAGAGAACATATCGGATAGAGATGATTCATCTTCTTGATTGGCATACTTCACTAAGTGTTCTGAGTTCCTGGCCTAGGGCTATCAGTGTCAGCCAGCCAGTTAGTTAGTCTACTAGATGCTAAGTAAATATGTTAGAAAAAAGGAGGAGAATGTACTGCGTAGGTACTACTAGTACATGATAGTTTTAGTAAGCCGTTCTTCTTAATTTAACTGGTTTATTCTTTTGATAGTTGCGTGAACTGAATGGATACAGTTCATGAAATGGCGAGGTTTATGAGGACAAAAATGAGTACCAAGAAAAAGATATCAATGGAGGGGTATGGCCTGTAAAAAGGGGCAATTTACAGACCCTAGGTAATGCAGCTGCCCTGTCCTGCCCTGCCCTGCCCTGCCGCTGCCGTCCCTGGTCCCTCAATAGCCTCATATGTCATAACTTGCATTTTACCCCATTTACCCCACACACAGCTTGCCCCACATTGATTCAGCTTAATTTGCTTTTAAATTCCGATTCGACATCGTTCGACTTCAACTTCCAAACGATGATCATCGTCCTTCGTTTCATCTTCCATCCTCATAAATATTCAACGTCTCAAAGGCCAGCACTTTGAAGGTGGTAAAATGGCTAGTTAGTTCCCAAGTCATAAGTTTCTTAGGACCTGTATAAACTACCTCAACCCTCATCAGATAGCCAAGCCGAGGTCTTCATGACTAAATCTTGACCCCTCCAATGGCCATGGTTTGATCGTCAGCTTTGATATTTAACACCTTAGTATATTTTATCTCTTGTCCCTCTTTGTTGTTTGAGTATATTTTTGTTTGAGTATATTTGATTATCCGTGATCGAGATGGCTCTATCAATCCTTCGTTTCATAGCCCTCCATGCCCTTTTTGCTCTCAATGTCGCTGCTCACGATGGGCCATCTGATTCGGGTGTGGACCTATCATCGTGGGTAAAAGAATGTCCGATATTCTTCACTTCGCCTAAGAGATGTGAACCTATAATACCCAAAGGATTCTTACCACCCGATGTCGTGAGTATCAAGAACGGCAGAGAGCCCCATTCACCCGATCTCAATGTTCTGGCCGAGGTTCTAGAAGCCATGCATGTCATGCAAACGGAATACTTCGCACCATGGCTTGGAACTTGGCCTGATTCGATTGATTGGACGGGCGCCGTCATGGGAACTCATATATCTGGTGCTGTTCGCAGTCTTTCCGAGGCTCTGGTTCATATCAGTTCGGGCCCAGAAAGTCTCATCAATTGGAAGTGGAAGGCAAACGTAATCGATAAATATTTTACTCAAATAACAGCATACTATTTCGGGCAGGATTATTTTGCCATTCGGAATGAGGCGTACGACGACATGCTTTGGGTAGTACTCGGCTGGCTCGAGACTATTCAGCTTGTAAATGTACACAACGACCTGCATTTTAAATCGAATATCCAAAACGACGTCGCCGAATCCGATGTGGATAGTTTCCAGGGAATCTATGACTTCTTTGCAAATCAGACATTTCATGGAAATAACTGGGTTTCCGCCTTTGCCCACCGTGCCCGCGTTTTCTGGGACCTGGCGTCTCACGGTTGGGACACAACGCTGTGCGGCGGTGGGATGATCTGGAACCCTCGTCTTCTACCATATAAAAATGCCATTACCAACGAACTATTTATCGCCGCTTCCATTTCCATGTATCTAAACTTTCCTGGTGATAATAATCCAGCACCATTTTACGGTGTGAGGAACCCTGATGAGCCCACCCCCAATCCAGGGACTGGGCCGAAGGATGCTAAATATCTGAAAGCCGCTGTGGAGGCCTATAAGTGGCTTATCGATTCTAACATGACCGATAGCCAAGGTCTTTTCATCGACGGCTTTCATATCAGTGGATACAATGATAGTGGAAATAACAATACGAAATGCGACGAGCGAAATACCATGGTCTTCTCGTATAACCAGGGCGTTCTTCTTACTGGGTTGCGCGGACTCTGGGAAGCGACAGGAGCACCATCATTTCTCTCGGACGGACACAAGTTGATTCGAAATGTGATCAACGCTAGCGGGTACGATCTTGCTTCGGACACGATCATCGATGACTTGTCAACGTTGAAGTCTGATCACCTTCCGAAATGGCATGGCCTGGGTCGCGCCGGCATTATGGAAGACACATGTGATGCTAGCGGTACTTGCAGTCAAGACGGGCAAACCTTTAAAGGCATCTTCTTTCATCATCTTACCGCTTTCTGCGAACGGCTTGTTATGCCCTCTCCTGAATCGGGCACCATGGTCAATACCCGCGCCTTCGATGCCACAAAGGAATTGCATAGCAAGGCTTGTTCCTCCTACAGTGGCTGGCTGAAGCACAACGCGCGGGCCGCGTTGCTTACTCGCGACAAGGACGGCAAATTTGGGCAGTGGTGGACGGCAGGTATCCTGGACTCGTGGACGAATCCATGGCCCACCATGGCAAACGACGGAGTGTCGCACCAGGCAAGCGATACGGACTACCGCAATCACGGGGTGCCGAACGATACCACATGGCGCTCCATACCATCTGGCAACAAGTCCTCCGAGATTCACAATCCGGTCCAACTACCGATTGCGAACCCAAATCAGCCGCAGAAACCGCTGAGCGGATCTACTGGCAACTTTCTGGGAAGCGAGCTCAAGGAAAAACGGCACATGGACGATAAATATACAAATACAAAGGATCCCAACACGCGCGGGCGCGGTAGGACGGTCGAAACCCAGGGCGGCGGATTGGCTCTCCTGAGGGCCTATTGGAAGATTGCGCATGCCCCAGCCCAGTAACGTTGCGACTGACAATCCCAAAATGGCAACAGTTCATGATGAGTCAGATACATAGCGTTGCATCGTCAGCTTATATTGGCATTATTTAGTGATATCATATGCATACTATCTACCCAGGCACATATACTACATACCTAGCCAAGCCAAGCATCTACATACATGAAGTAGGTATCAAATCTACCTGTACATAGCACTACCGTGAGATAGAATGAAACGATGATCAGGAATGGGTTTGCTTAACGGTTACTCTATGATGCATTGATGTCCGCCGTTTGATTAGGTGGCCATGATACATAGTATTGCGCCTAGGTTAGGTTAGTAGTACCTATCTCCACGAACACATCACTATTATCACCCAAGCAAACCCCATTGTTACAAATCCATGCTAGCAAGCTGTCGACTCTACCTCGCTACTCATACATAAAGGCACATACGTAACGTAGATAGATTAAGCATCTTTGTCTACCTACCTACTTACCCTAGGTTAGGTAATTTATCCTACAAACGTATACCATTTCCATACCCTACCCTACCCTGCCCTGCCCTACTATGCCCTACTATATATACCATTAAACATCCACGGATGCTACCATCTACATACCTATAGATAGATAGACAGATAGATAGATAGATCGGTTAAAGCAGGAAACAGATGCCTTTCAATTCAAAGGAAGGGGGCTTAAAAGAATTTCCACCGCAAAGAAGCATTGAAACCCTTTTCTCTTTCAAAGTACCCCTGATTAAGCCTCCATGTACCGAAAAAAAAAGGGGGGGGGGGAAGGGGGAGGGAAAAGACAAGAAGGGATGGAGGGATGGAGGGATGGAGAAACAAAAGCCACCTTGACTCCCCTTGCACGCGGTACGCCGCACCAGTAATATTCCTCCGGTTTGCCTACTATGCTATAACATACATACAACGTACAATTGTTTGTGGGAGAGGGGTGGTAATCATCCCGTCCCAAGTTTCGCAACAAGTAAGCAATTTCTGCAATAGCAGAGACTGATTATCAAACTACCCCTTTTCAACACATGTATATTTCATCCACTCTGGCTGGAGGGTGGAATACCGTGGTTTCAGTTATCCCGCCACTCACTCCCGTTGCTTATGCCAGTCGGGGCCTTGTCGGGGCCTTTGTGAGATGACGTTCCGGCCACGGGTCCTGGTAGTCCTTCGTCGTCGGAGTCAGACTCGTCGTCATCGAGGACGCGGGCAAGCTCGTCGGGGTCCCTCATCTTGGCATCGGGGTCGACGGCCGCATCATTGAAATCATCATCACTGTGGTGCTGCTCCTGTTCGTGAACGCCCTCATCGGCGCTAATCGAGATACCCCTGCTACCCCACTTAGACCTACGTTGTCCTGGGGCTGCGTTGCCGTTGGGGCCGAGGGCTGGAGCGCTCTCCTCGTCGGCGGCATCGGCGGCCTGGAAGCGCTTGTTGCCGAAGATGCGGTTGAGGAGCCAACCGCGACGGATGTCGTCAGCGTCCACGATACCGCCGGCACGGAGCTTGACGCGCTGGCGTGAGTAGTAAACCCAGAAGAAGTCGACGTAGAGAGCGGTCTGAACGATGCCGAATATGACGGAGACAGGGTTGGGGCCGCGGTCGTTAACGTCGAGCTCGCGCCAGATCCAGTTCAGAATGTAGAGGGCGCGGTAGGAGCCCAGCGTGAGCAAGTAGAAGGAATCGATGACGGTGGGGACGTTCGTCTGACGTAGGAGCAGGAGTTGCGGCAAGACGCAAATGGATTCGAGAATGAGAGAGAAGTCGTACATCCACTGTTTGGTGGGGGTTAGTTTATGTCAGCTAGCTGAAAGAAGGAGGGCTGAGTGAAGCATGGGCAGCAGCACTAACGGTGAAAAAGCCCCAGCGCCCTTTAGCCTCGAAGATTAACATCATGAAGGGTGATATGAAGAGCGATCCCATCAAAACCACGGCACCCAACTTCCAGGAGATCTCCCGCTCTCTTGTTCGTGGGAATAACCATCGCATGATGGCGATGATATAGAAGGAGGATATGATGTAGAATAGCTTGAAGAAGTAATTCCATTTCGAGGTTTCGGTAAAGAAATCGGTGTATCGCGTGCAGAAGACGACGGCGTAGAAGGCTTGAGTAATCATAGAGACGCCTGCAGAGTTGTAGTGTTAGCTGATGTGGTCTTCCTTTCCATAGGTACTGTTCAAAGTGTAAAACAAGATGGAAGCTCAGGCTGGGCAAAGTTTACCTTCAGCGCTCCGGTTGCGGTGAATCGCAAAGATGAGGATGCATTTTGAGAGCAGATGAAAGCAATCTGCTAGTCTTCGGATTGCCTACGAAGAAGATCAAGTCAGTTTAACACTATTTTAATATTATCATCGAGGGTGGCTATGGCTACGTACATTGAACGCTGTCATCTTGACGACAGAGCGTCCTGCTCGGTATTATTCCACCTACTACCTTACTACCTATGTAGTAAGTTGGTAGACTTAGCTCTGAATAGTTGAAGGATGGGTGTATCCGGCGGCCCTGATTCAACAGCTCAGAGCCGCAGACGCAGCTTGTTTGTTTGAGGGATAAGGTGGTTGCGATAATGGCGAGATGCTCTGTGTGGTAGTTAGATTGTAAAAGAACCAAGTTTGTAAAAAGTAGTTGTATGGTTGGTTACGTGTAGGTAGGTAGGTAGGTAGGTAGGTAGGTAGTTATCGATGGAGTTTAATAAAATACTGTAAGCTGATTTGATTACCTTCAAGTTTGGTTTGGTTTTGGGTTTTTTGAGGGGGGAGAATATTGAAAGATGTCGCCAGCTACATATGTACGTACATACTATACATGGTACATAATATGCGACTGTGGTCGGTCATATGCACATTGCACGGCGCTCAAACGTCGACCATTACGTGTATCGGGAAAGTGGAGCTCTGCAATGCTTTACCCCTGTCATGCCTAGTAGCTACGCTAGTATGATTACAGCTTGTACTACTAGTTATGTAGCAGTTCCTAATTAGCACTAGAGGGCACACGCTCGCGCGCGCCACAAATGCCCGAGTTTTCTCGGACCCAATTTTAATGTTACTAAAGGCTGCTTTCGGGCTAGCGCAACGCTAAGGATTTAAGGTCTTGATAAGACGATTTGATTGGGTGGAGCACCCTTTAGATCACATGACCTGCTTTTTCAAGTTGTAACTCTTTTTTTTTAGATGGTAGGGAACACACGGGCCATCAACACTTCTTATTCAACCCTTCCAATTCAACCCTTCTAATTCAACCCTTCTTATTCAATTCAACTGATTGAATTGATCGGATTGATTGAATTGATTGAATTGATTGAATTGATTGATGGATTGGTTGCTTAGATAGCTGATCTACATATCCTGTTGCAAGCCGGCTGGCTGGCTGGCTGGATAGCTGGCTGGATAGCCCGGGCCAGCTCCTCCAACACTGGATCCAAAGCTGGACCTAATAGCTGCTTGAATAACAGATTAAATACCTGATTAACGACTTGATTTGTTGATTGATTAAAAACCTGATTGAATATTGAATCAAAGGGATCAAGGGATCAAGGGATCAACGCAATCAAGGGGATCAAAGGGATCTAAGAGCTGATCAAAGATGTTCCGATCATGTGATCAAAGTCTCGGAACATCTTTAATCAGGTCCTTAATCAGTTCCTAGATCCCTTGATCCCCTTAATCCCTTTAATCTAGTATTCAATCAGGTCTTTAATCAATCAATAGGTCAGGTATTTGATCAGCTATTCAAACAGCTATTCAAACAGCTCCAGCTTTGGATCCAGCGTTGGATAGGCTGGGGTATTGTACATCCGCTAGGTCCCCTAAATCTTCAAATCCGGGCCTAATCTAGCGCCCCTAGCCCAAACCACATTCAACCCTCTTTCCACCTTAAATAACTTTTGAATCAGATATTGCACCATAGTGAACCCGGGCCCAATTGAAAGCGCCTCTAATTGCTGATTGATTGATACCGGTCTCGAATTGATGCGATATCTGGTCATGAAGTTATTCAAGTAAATAGGTTGGCAGAACGGGAGGCACGTGATCACCCTTGAAGCCACTCTAAAGGGCCCTTAGCGCCCTTAGAGCTAAACCTTATTCAACACTTTCAACCTTGAATAACTTTCTGAAACCTATAGCTGCAAAGGTGCAACCGGATTCAATTGAAAGCGCATTCAATTACGAATTCATTGACACCGCTCTTGGATTGAGGCAATACGTTGTTGAAAAGTTATTTTGGTATATGAAATTTGAGAAGGGTCACGTGACACTGCTTAGGGTGATCCCAGGCGGCTTTGGGGCTCTTAGGCGGCTCTCCTTAACGTATAAGGGTTCTTATAATGTGGCCCCAACGCTAATCACGTGCCCTCATCTTGCCAGCCTATTTACTTGAATAACTTTGCAACCATATATCGCCTCAGTTGGAGATCCAAATCAATCAATTGGCAATTGAATGCTCTTTTAATTGAATCCGGTTGTATCGTTGTGCCACATATGGTTGAAAAGTTATTTGATTGGATTGATGTGGGCAGCTGGGGGCACTCACTGGATCACATGACCTTCTTTTTCAAGCTGCAACTCTTTTTTTTGGATGGTAGGGAATATACAAACCATCAACCCTTTTAATTTAACCCTTCCAATTCAATTCAACTGATTGAATTAATCGGATTGAACTGATCGGATTGAACTGATTGGATTGATTGATTGATTGATTGATTGATTGATTGATGGACTGACTGATTAAATGCAGCACTTTTTTTGGTATAGTAGGGGCCATCAACCCTTCCAACTGAACTCAATTCAACTGATTGAATTGATCGATTTAGATTGAAATAATTTGATTGGGACTGATTGGATTGATTGAATTAATGGATTGATGGATTGATTGATTGAATAGCTGATCTACATATCCTATTGTAAGCTGGCTGGATAGCTGGCTGAATAGCCCGGGCCAGCTTATCCAACGCTGGTTCCAAAGCTGGATCTAATAGCTGTTTGAATAGCTGCTCAACAACCTGATTTATTGATTGATTAAAGACCTGATTGAATACTAGATTAAAGGAATCAAGGGGATTAAGGGGATCAAGGGATTTAAGAACTGATTAAGGACCTGATTAAAGTCACATGACCGGAACATCTTTGCTCAGATTCTCGATCAGCTCTTAGATCCCCTTGATTGCATTAATCCCTTGGTCTCTTTGATTCATTATTCAATTAGGTCTTTAATCACTCAACAAATCAGATCGTTAATCAGGTATTTGATCAGCTATTCAAGCAGCTATTAGATCCAGCTTTGGATCCAGTGTTGGATCCAACGTTGGATGAGCTGGCCCGGGCTATTCAACCAGCTATCCAGCCAGCCAGCCAGCCAGCCAGCCAGCTTGCAACAGGATATGCAGATCAGCTATTCACTCAATCAATCCATCAATTCAATCAATCTGATCAATTCAATCAATCCGATCAATTCAATCAGTCGAATTGAATAAGAAGGGTTGAATAAGAAGGGTTGAATAAGAAGGGTTGATGGCCGGTGTGTTCCCTGCCATCCCAAAAAAGACAGTGTTGCAGGCTGTCACGTGATCCGAAAGATGCTGCATTCAATCAATCCGTCCATCAACCAATCAACCAATCAACCAATCAATCATCAATCCATCAATCAATCAATCCAATCAGTTCAATCCGATTGATTCAATCCGATCAATTTAATCCGATTGATTCAATCCGATCAATTTAATCAGCTGAATTGAATAAGAAGGGTTCAATTGGAAAGGTTGCATTAGAAGGGTTGATGGCTCCTACAGTCCAAAAAAAAGAGTTGCAGCTTGAAAAAGCAGGTCATGTGATCCAATGGATACTGCACCCAATCAAATCATCGTGTCAAAACCTTAAAAATCTTTTGCGTGGCACTAGCCTGAGAGCAGCCTCTGGGACCCACAATTCCAGTGATTCCAGCCAATCTCGACTTTCTTGCACGGGCTATTGAGGTAATTGAATACATATATTTTCCATTCTTATAACAGCTGTAATAGGTTAATCAGATCTTAATGGCCGCTGACGGATCTGAATGTCTCCAGGGCTTATAATAATATTAAACCTTCAATATTCCTTATTTGAAAGCTTAAGCACTTAATGAGACTTGAAGCTTAAGCACTTTTCCATACGTGTGGCTGCATTTGTGGCTCCCCACGTGGCTTGATAGTCTTGGCAAACCTTCCTCTTTTGCAAAGCCCAAAATTCCTCCCCTAGAGACCCACAAGCTTACGTGAACAACATCCCCACCTTCCTAAAGTGGAAAGAGTTTCCTATTTGAGCCTAGCGCGTCTGCTTAGTAAGCCAAATCCCCTTGAGAAAAAAACCGTACAGTAACCCTCGAAAACTCGGGCACATGCAGTTGCAGCAGTTTTGATAAGTTGCACTGAGGTAGTTAACTTAACGGGGCTTTGCAACATTGAGGGTTATGCACTCTGACGCGAAATAGTTGTGGCTGATAACTAAATAACTAGTTACTTTGACGCCACACTATGAAGTCACTAAGGCTACAACATTAACTACACAGTTTGAATTACCAGACTTGTTCACCTTTATTAAACAAGTGAATTAGTTGCATCAATGATATGATCTATAGTAGGATAGTATCATACCAAGCAAACGAAAAACGAAATGAAGATCAAAACCCGAAAAGTAAACCGCACAACGCAACTTTCAAGTATTGTTGGCAGATAGGGGTAAGTACAATACATAGGTAAAGTACCTAGGTGAGGCCATAGTATGAGGCCTTCAAATCCTTTTCCTTCCTCTTTCTTGCTACCATCAGAATCACTATTTCTATCCACCACGGGCAGTGAAATTAATAGGGGTTCTTTCGCGGTCGGCCTCGGCCTCGTCCGCTTCCCCGTCCTCGACCCTTTCCATCTTGTCCTCGCCCTCGCCCTTGTCCTCTCCCTCGTCCCCGTCCCCGTCCCCGCCCCCGTGCACATCCACTATCTACGGGGCTCGGGGGGGCAGGGATATCTTCGGCTGCCTCCTCTCGGCTTGCGACTTCCTGGGTTGCGACTTGGCCAGCTCCCAGGCCCTCTACCTGGACCTCTCCCTGGGCCTCCCCCTGGGCCTGTTCCTGTACTTCTTCCGGTGCTTCTTTCTGGATCTGTTCCTCGACTTGTCCCTGAACTTGTGCCTGGACTTCATCTTGAACTTCCTTCTGGGCCTCTCCCTGGGCCTGTTCCTGTACTTCTTTCGGTGCTTCTTTCTGGATCTCTTCCTGGACCTGTTCCTGGACTCGTCCCTGGACTTCATCTTGAACTTCCTTCTGGACCTCTCCTTGAATTTCTTCCTGGACCTGCTCCTGGGCTTCTTTCTGGATTTCTTGCGTTCCTTCTTCAACTTCAACTGTTTCCAACACGGGCTGGGTCTCGGGCTGGGTCTCAGATTGGTCTTGGGGCTCATCCTGTTCTAGCTTTTGTCGTTCTTCATTCGGCGTGACACCGAGAGGCAGATGCCACCGGAAGTTTAGGTCGGTGAGGCCGTCCAGGTACCATAAGCCCATATCAGAGGAGACGAAGCCTTTGTATTCGAACTCATACTCTTCAGCTTCGCCCAAGCCATCGTCGCTGTCTGAGCACTGGGTGTCCTCATCGTGTGTAGGCACAGTTTCGATACTATCGACGATATTTTCATCGCTGTTACTCTCAACTTCGTCGTTCTCATCGTCACTTCCGACGTTGTTGCTCTCGTCGTCGATGTTTTCAAAGCCGTTGGTCTCACCATTGATGCTTTCGCCGTTATCACTTTCGTTGTCGTTGCTTTCATCATCATTACTCTCACTGTTGTTGCTCTCATCAACATCCATCTCATCGTCCTCGCTCTCGGCGTTGTTGCTTTCATGGCCGTTGCTTTCAATGTCATCATTATCATCATTATCATCGGCACTTTCGTCACTTTCGTCAGAGCTACTATCCGAATCCGAAGAGATGGAGATGATTTCATCATCACCAATCAAGTCCAAGCCGTCTTCGGCTTGCCCGTTCAGTTCCGGCTCCTCGGCAACATTGCTACTGCTGCTACTATCCGAGGTACTTCCACTCGTCGATGAGTCAGAACTCGATGTGCTAAAATTTGTCGATTCCCGTTCAAATGCTGGCTTACTGAGGACCTGCGCCTGAGCGGCGTTCCGCAGCTCTTCTAATTTCATTTTTCGCTTACGGGAACTCGACATTCGACGGACTTTCTTTCCCTTGTCCAGCTTGCCCGGTTGCTCGGTGGTATTTTGCTCGGTAGTGTTTTGCTCGGTAATGTTTTGCTCGATAACACCGTTAGGATGCTGTACGGACATGACCGGGTCCTCGGAAAAGCGGACTCGCTTCACACGTTCGCCGACTCCCGAATTACCTTCGCTACTTGCCTTCCTCTTGCGTTTACTTTTGGGTTCCGATGGAAACAGTATTCCCGTCCTTGCGCCACGGTCAAGGTTGCGCTTTTCTTTGGCGCTAGCTTCTCCTTGGAACTGCTCTTCCGGGCCTTCATATTCGACCGTGATGTTATCTTCATCTAATGGAACGGGGGGGAGTAACTTTTCAATCTCTTCACCAGGCAATCCGCGGTAGCCCCCCCAACTGTGAATGTGCCTCAGACCTTCCTTCTCCCCGACAATAAAACCGTATGACGAGGAAGAGGCCTCATCAAGACGTTCCCAAGCAACTCCAGTTCGAGCTTTCCAGCCGGTAGCCATTAGAGCTTTGAAGTTGAGGATGTGGGGGGGTGGTGAGTCCGGGAGGCCAGTATTGGCTGCCTCATGGTTCCAGAAATCGGCCTGGTTGGTCGCTCGCAAGTGCAACCAGTTCCATATGGCCCAAGCCTCGATCGGATCACACACCTCCAAGAACTTGATCACCTTGCCCCGAAGTACAGTCTCGAGGTTGATGCATGTCGGACAAGGCTCCGTCATGAACCCGATCGTGAAGTTAGTCTGAATTGCCTTCGTATCCTTGATCTTCCTCATCCATTTCCACATGACAGAGTTCACCTCTAGTTCAATTCCATCCATGCCTACCACAAATTGGCTTCCATTCTCAAGACTGTTGCTTTTTCTACGGCCATAGTGTGGTTTCTTGCAAAGCTTGCAACTGGGGACGCGAACAGTGACGTAGCGATGATGCAGCTCGCTCACTCTTGCTGCCCAGTTGTAGTGGTCAGTCTCGCCTACCGTCACCACTTCTTCTCCGTCTGACTCTTCATCGTCTGACTCTGGGCCCCCCAAACGGTAAACTAGTGAGCATTCTTCACAGATGCGAACGATCTTGCTCGGGGGCTGAATGGGAGGCCAGACCAGTTTCGGGCAGTGAAATCGATGGCACGGCTTATGTGGATCGGCGTGTTCGTTAAACAATTCGTTCGAGGCCTCCGTGCAAAGTTGGATGCCTTGAAACTCGTGCCGGCATACGGGGCACTCGAGGCACGATATGCCACACATGGTGTCGAATTGCTTAAGGGGTTATGCACAATATGACAAGACTATGACTTGGTCAGAGTTGCCCCTTGTTTGTTCAATAATCACAGAAGGCACATACCTTAGGCTTTCTGTGTCGGACGTAATGTCAAGCTTTGTTACGTCGATGCTCTTATGTATATAAGGCCGATGAAGTTCCCTCAAGGTGTACTGATAGTCGCAGCTTAAGAGATACGATAGATGCTCAAGGTCACTGCGGTATATACAACAGTCAGCCGAGGTCAATCATAGTTGGGACATATTAGATGATCGACTTACCAATAAGGGGTACGCAATTATCCCCTAAGTCGATAGAATAATATGAGATGATAGAAAGTTCGGATGTGGGATGGTGTATGAGTTGGGGTGGCTCAGCTCCTAATTGTAAATAAGAGAAAGGTTAAGAGAGCGTAAATGAAGGTGGTGGTGAATAGAATGGAATAGAGATCGAGAAAAGTTTTTGGCAACTGATGCTATCAGTTCGAATCGCGTGTCGATGAGATGGATCAATTGTCCTGTATTGTTTTTTTTTCTTTCCTGCAGTCGATGTGATTCAGTGGACTTGCAGGATAGGCAGTGAAAAACTGTTTCGTCTGGTAATTACAGTTAGTAGGAGAGTGACGAGAGGAGATATAAATTTGTTAGAATAAAATTGTTGCCTGACTGCCCAGGCAGGTGTAGACTTACTTGGTAGAGATATGAGTTGGGTGAGTACCTGAGGCACGTAAAGTAAAGCCTTGTATGGTATGGTATGGTATGGTTGCCCTTCAGCCGTGCTCGGGGGCTGTGAGGTTGTTTAGGTAGGTAGGTAGGTAGGTAGGTAGGTAGGTAGGTACTTGGACAGCTGCTGTTGTTTGGAGGTACTGGTTGCTCGTTCTTAGGCACCCTTCTGGATGTAACTGTTTTTTTTTTTTTACCCCTGGAAAATAAGGAGACAATATCGGTGGATAGACCTAACTAGAGGAACTGAACTGTTGATGTTGATGTTGTGTAAGAAGAACAGCAGGTGGTTGTTGCTAGTTCCTCGGTACTCTTCTGGGTGTGGATATATTTTTTTATCCCTGAAAAATAAGGGGAGAATATTGGCGGATGGTCCTGGGTTGAGGAACTGGGTTGTTGATGTCAATGATATGCAAGGAGAATAATAGGTACTCGTTGCGTGTTCAGATGTTCGTTTCTCGTTTCTCAGCACCCTTCTGGATGCTTTGTTGCTCCTGTGAGATAAGGAGAATAATACTGGTTAGTAGGCCTAAGTAGAGTAGTTGAATTGTTGATGATGGGCGAGGAAAATAGCAAGTACTTGATGCTTGTTCACAAGCAACCTTCTGTTCTTTTTTTCCAGAGGAAAAGAAGAAGTAGAAAAGGAATGACGGATAGACCTGGCTGGAGGAACTGAGTTGTTGATAATGTTTAATGAAGATAATAAGTGGTCGTTGCTCGTTTGGGTGTTCGTTTCTCGTTTCTTAACACCCTGCTGGATGCTTTACCTCTGTAGAAGAAGGAGAAAAACACTGGCGGATAGACTTGACCAGATAATGTGAGTTGATGATTTTGCGTAAGTAAAATGATACCTAAGTAGGCAGTTGTTGCTCGTTCCTCAGCAACCTTCTGAATGTGCTGCAACTGGGAGTCGAGGAGCTGATACTGGTGGAAAGACTTGACCAGATAAAGCGAGTAGTTGACAATGCGTAAGGACAATAATACCTAAGTAGATAGGCAGTCGTTGCTCGTTACTCGACACCCTTCTAGGTATTCTAACCCTAGAAGCAAAGGAGGCAATACTGGCTGATAGACTTGACCAGAATAACTGAGTTGTTGCAAATGTGTAGGGAGAATATTTAAAAGAATTTCAGTAGAAAGCACTTGTGGAAAAAAAACCAGACGTGTATTGAGAAGGATCTGATAGGAAGATGAAGTATCCTACTTGAGAAAGTATGGTATAGTTTACTTGCTCAAATTGAGTTGGTATTTTCTTGAATGCAATTGTCTGCAGAATCAATGCTTGGTCTGGGAAGTGGGAAGAATTCATGAAATGTCCACAAGGGAAAAGAAGTTACCATATATTGTAGGCAAGGTAGATAGCATGTAGGCTTCCTCAGGAATCAATGGATGCCTTATTCACAATGGATTGTAGTTGGTTCCTTAGGACTTCCTTAGGAATATAACTTATCAGGTTGAAAAAAAAATCGATATTCACTTGTATAATTTGGATGAGTGCCAATATGGGCGTTTTTTTTTTGTATAAGTCATGTACCTATTCATACCAGATGGATATCGGACGAATGGTACACTCGTAAGGAGGTAGGCACCCCCTTGACAACAACGAGTTCGTCTCCTTACTAACCGTTCTTATTGGCTCCCAACCAGTATCTTGAATTACAAGAGGCAACTACCTCACCGCGCTCAAGTACTGTGTACGGCACGTAGCTACCTATTAGGTCCAGAACGGGTTATGTCCCCATGTACCCTCAGGAGTCTGGAGGGGTATTTGTTTGTGTATTCATTCTTGGAAGTAGCTACGAGTACGCCTATCTAATGTACATATCGAGGCGACTTTTATCGAATATGCATGGTATTCTTTATCTACTCTTTGAAAATCGGCCATGTCGTCGTTGGGTACTTCAAGCTAAGATAGGAGACGAGCTGTTATTCTCCCAAGCTCACTCAACTCAACAACTTTGTTCTTCTCATGAGTAAAAAATATCTGAATGGTTATTTCAAGTTGAATACCTTCAATTCACAGTACCTTGTTATATATTCGAATTTACATGAATTCAGGATCACCATTTCCGTTTGAGTAGCTACTGTATTTATATCGTACGGGTCCGAGGGCCCCACTATAATTGCCATTGTAGTTAGTTTTCGGGGTCAATGATTTAAATGTCGCGGGAATATAACGCTGGCTGTGTAGCAATAACTACTGGGGTACGCAATATCAGATGGCAGGAGTTATGTGATGCGATTTTAGTTGAAAGAAACGGCGTTCATGGCAGTTGGTAGTACCAACTTGGTACTACTAGGTACTAAGGTGATGGTAAAATGTATTAGGTACAGTACCTAGGACCTAGGTAAGCCTGCGTCGTTTCAATGTTCCTCTCTGGTATTTAAATCATCTGGAAGTTACTAGGTACCTACCTGGTAATACATCTTGAAACATTTCATTATGTCGGAAGTCGCGATGAAAATGAACATTGAAGTTTAGGTATACTAGGTACATATACATACCTTGTACCATGTAGTTCAAGTTCAAAGTTAGATTCATAGGCATAGCCACAACGTGTAGTTATTCTGCAAAGCCACAATCTAAACCACTGATGTCACAGCATTAAAGTGCTTATCGATATTATTGTGGCGCGTTTCACGACGCGTCCAACAACTTCAATTAACATTACTATGTAAACTACACATAATATCCAACTTCTACTACAACACTCCTTACTTTGAAATAATGTACTCGGTAGGCCGGGATGCGAATTTGTTTACATAGAATTACCAAGTCACCTTAGAGACAGAATGGCAACCAGTAAGCATGAATACAAGATGATAGCAAATATTAGCTAATACGAATGTACCAGGCCGTGAAGAGCGCATGCAACAGCGCATGCGTGGAGCTGGGTATGTGATTATCTTGCTAATATTACTCTCATGACCTTCATTAATGGTTGAGTTTATAGACGTCATGAAGTCGCGGACGATTCATTTGGCTTCGTCCTCCCGGGCGTTGTTGAAGCATCTCCAGCTCCCCCCACACCAACTGCTCCTACGCCAGCTGCTCCTACACCTGCACCACCACCACCACCACCATCTATACCACGGTCCGAGCCAAATACTTCTGCGAAACGACGGCGGTTGAATCCCGAAGCTGCTGTAGCTAGCTCACAGCCACCCTCTAGCGCTATTAGGTCACCCCCAAGATCTTCAACCCAACTTAGTGGAGCCCGAGCAGACCCCTATAGTGCTCTTGAAGATGATAGCCCCGAGAATGTACCAGAATCTTCGGATGCGCCAATTCCGGCATCCGAGGAGCCGCAGGTCGAGGACGGCACAACAGAGAATATCCCGGATGTCATACGAAGCCCAGAACCGCCCAGCTTCGTGGCAGAGGAAGTCACGGAAAGTCCAGCTCATGCCCCGGGAAGTGGTCAGAGGCGTTCGATTAGGGTTCCTGAGAGTTTGACTCAGAGCGCGAGGTTATTAAAAGCTGCGACAGACGAAGATGGCGGACCTACGGGCGAGTTCGAGTTATCCTCGCCTCTTGCACGGAAAAGTAGGGCGAGTGCTGCGACTACGATTGCGGCTTCCGCACGATCAACACGGACGGGACTGGGAGTACCGCTGGGAACAGATATTACAAAGGATGTTATTGAAGAAGTTTCTCCGGTACCTCCACCACGTCAGACGAGTGACGGTACAACAGTCACGAAACCTACACGATCTACGAGAAGCCAGAATAGAGTAGCTACTCCTAGTGAAGTGGATCAGTTGTCCTCACCCCCCGAGGCTGCGGGAACTAGTAGTGCTAGGAAACCAAAGTTGAGGGTAAAGTCGAAACCCATAATCGAATCAGCCAAGGCCAAAGCTAAAGGCAAGGGCAAGGGCAAGGGCAAGGAGATTGTCAAGGGCAAAGGCAAAGGTAAAGAGGTCGAGGTTGAAGCTCAGGAGGAAGAAGCAGAGGTTGAGAACGAAGTAGCTGAGGAGGTTAATATCCAAACCGCTGCCAAAACGATCGGCCGCAAGCGCCCACGGGTTAGTGTACCTCGCGAAGCATCCCCAGAATTACATTCCAAAGATGTGGAGGATGTGGAGGATGTTCGCCCAGCGAAGAAGAGCAAACAGAGAAGAGTGCAAGCCAGTCCAGCGAAGCAGTCAAAGCCCAAAGCACCTAAGAGCAAAGACAAGCCATCCAAGAGGAGACGAAGTGATGGAGAGGCAATTCCCATCATTGTGCAGAGATACACCAAACGGATGCATCTGAATGAAGGGGATAGCGATGCAGATATCCTCAACGCTGATATTCCATTTGCCAATCGCGGTGGCGTCAACGTAATTGACGTGTTAGCGCAAGTATGCGAAGAAGTGATCGATTCGAGCCTAGAAACGCTTCACGAAGCAGCAGTCAACGCGAAGGACCCGAGCTCGAAAAAGGAGTTCAGAACGAAGCTTCGAGCTTTGGAAGCATTTCAGGAAGAATTACGGACAAGACTTTTAGAGCATGTGAGTGACTACAATAGCAGTGAATATGTCTATGTACGTTTATTAACACATCTATCTACCTAGACTATCGCTCTGGATACTATGCATGCGCTTAAGAAGCGAGTGCGTTCAGTCCAGAAGGAAAAGCTTACGCTTCGAACCGAAATAATGCGTATCCGAGCCGAAAGAGAGCAAGTAGCTCTGAAGATGGATGCAGTAAGAATCCGCCATGAGGCGGCAAACAGGACTTCATTGGTATGCTCATTTGACTTTACTGGATAATACCTACTTAGGGTATTAAACGTACGATTTGAAATGTTAAGTTGCTAACGATTACGAAGTATCAACTCGGACTTTCTACGACGATGGACGATATTGAGTTAGCTGTAGAGAATGGGAGGTCGGCGCCAGAGCTAAACACGAAGGAAAAGAAGACAGCGGAGCTGGCCAACTTGGAATTGCTGATCGATAGAATTGCCAGCCAAGCAAGTGGTGCTGGCGACGGTGGCGGAAGTCTGAACCAAATCAAGGACTTCAACTCGTTTCTCGAGCGCGCTGCTGCTGCCCTTGAACGAAGGTGATTGATTGGTGCATACCTACCTCGTATGATACACACGTGTGGAACAACTGGGGAGATATTTCGGCTAGGAGTCTTTTAAGACGAAGTGTGTACGAAGGTGTAGTTAATGTTGGTCGGAAGCTTACAGCAGACATTGAGGTCTACACAACACCTCACTTAATGGACTAAGAACATTGAAGCTTCGAATGTGGGAATGCAGAAGTCTGGGCCTCCCCTCGCGGGGTGACAGGTTAACTGGGCATCATTAGCCATCTGTTGGATGCGCTGATTGCGCTGATTGCGAATCGCGTAGTTAGTGAGGTGAGGGGGATTGGCGTTATCTTTTTTTTCTTCGGCCCTTCTATTGTGAACTGATGAGCCTTGGGGCATGTATTGTATTGTACATAAGATACCTCAAGTGCTAAGGGTGGCATAAGGCATTACATGTAGATGTAACTACTGGATGCACCCGTTCTTGGTAATGTCGGTACTTGTGCCTGGCTAATGTGCGCAAAGCCAGATCCAGACCAATGCTGGTGGCTTAAACTCTTCTATATGGGGTTCTCTAGATGGGGTTCTCTAGATGGGGTTCCCTTTTAAAAAAGCCGCGTAGCCTATCAAATCACACCAAATCACCCTTAGCTCTGGAGAATTAGGCAGGCTAGCAGCCTAGATGGGGTTTTCCCTCAGTGCTCACTGCTCAGGTGGGCTAATTCTAGCTCTTCTAGAAGCCCACATGGCATTGGTAGGTAGGTAGGTACCTTTGTAGTTGCAACAACATATCCATTCTAAGCTTCTTAACGAAATGCCCTACGATGGCGTCAATTCTTAGTAGGGAATCCTTAGCTGACAAAACTTATACGGCGGTGATGTTGAGAAGGAAAAGGAAGAGGAAAAAGAAAAAGAAAAAAAAGCAGGCCATTGTAATCTGGAATGTCACATCATTCCATGGGAGCTTAACAGCACATGGGCCCTAATGATAGTCCACCGTGGAGAACTTTTTACATTTCGTACCTATGTTCCAATGGCCGTCAAGCGTGTCTAGAGGTAATAGTTAGTTATTGGTCTTTTTTCTTTTTTTTATAGAAGAGAGTAAGTGCACTGTCTTCTCTTGGCATACTTGCTCAGCCAACGGAGCTGTCATCATGGGAATTGCAATTTACAACTACTTCTAATAGCCAACATGTTCTCGTGTTTTTCCTCCTTTCTCTCTCTTCACCTTCACCACCTTCGTTTCCGTCTCCTTCTTGAAGCTTCTTCGTCTTCGGCCTCTCCTTCTGCTTCTTCTTCACCACTCGGCTCTAGTCGTGGCTATATTATTCACTTCTACCGCCAAGACATACATATATATATATATATCCTTGAAGAGAAGAAAAGCATAGAACGAGTCTCTATAAAACATCCGTCACCATGGCTAAATTCGACTACCCCTACCGGAAGAGCGTGAACATCACGGCATGGGTTGCTCAGTTCGTCGTGTGCATAATCCTGATAATCTCCTCGGCTCTGGTCCTCAAGATGGTTGGCGCGATGGATAATAATGACGACGGGCAATATAACGAGGAGACGGAATATGAGAATGCGATGAGTGAATACAGTGGGCTTTTAACGCATGTTGCCTTCGCCAATTTCCAATATCAAAGTTGGGAATATAATGATCGATCAAATGACTAACACGAATTCAAATACGCAGTTCCGCCGCTGGTCTCCAAATCGCCATCACCGGCCTCACCATCATCTTGAACATCGCCGAGATCGTCTTGGTCGCGAAGAAGCGGATGCACCCGGCACTCTACCTATCGAGCGCCTGCGTCAAGACCACGATATGGGCTGTTATCTTCATAATGAACCTGATCACTCTCTCGGTCATTTCCATTATCTTGACGCTCATCCTACTGTCAGTATACCCTTTTTTTTTCTTCTTTCAACCGCCCATTCACCTCCCCGAGCGGTATAGGAAGTCGTTGGCAAGCTCCGCAGCAGAACCAAACAACTGACTCTAAAATAAAATAAAAACAGCACAACGTCCATAGTCCAACTAACCTACGGCGCGCTCCTCATCCACCGCAAGCGGCGGGGCACCCTGACGCGCGGCGTCTACAAGCCGGCGTCGAACCCGGAAGTGTGCGTCGAGACCGGGTACGGCAGCTACGGGTACTACCCGCAGCCGCACTCGAACATCAGCACCGAGTACAAGTCGCCGGCGGCCATCCTGCCGCCGCACTACGGGGGAGGGGCAGCGGGGCAGGGGCAGGAGGGGGGCTACCACATGCAGAGCGGATATGTGCCGCAAGTACCGCCCGCGTCGTATGAGGTTGACGGACGGTCTAGGGATGCTTATTGATGGCCTGCTTTTCTGAGTCGAAAGTGGTATGAGCGCTTGATTCTTTTTTTTTTTCGTTTTGCCTTTTGCTTCGCTTTGGTGGTTACCCGCGACGATACTTCATTGTTTTTTTTTTGCCGCGGGATCACTTGTGATGATACCCATATATACCAAGTTTTTTGTTTATGGTTGGTTGTTGTTGTCGTTTTTTTTTTCGACTTGGATGTAATAAGGGGTTGGGTTATGGATATGGAGGGAATAGAATCTACCTAATCTAGGTATTGTACATAGGGACATAGGGGCATAGGGGCATATGGAGTACCGAGGTGAAAAGGTAGATACCGTGTAAGCACCTAAACTGTAGATATAGAATACAACATGTATATTGAGAACATGACATAATAATGGGCGCCTCCTTGCCTAAGCCCGTTTATATTAACGTTATTCAAATTGTTTATTAATTATTCTTACATGCTTATACGGCGTACTGTTATACGGCGTAAATGCTGTTGTGTCGAAGTGACCAACATAAGCCGGTGTCGTGGGAAAGTGCCAACAAAATACATATGTTAATCTTGGAAAATTGTATGGAAGAGATAAATGAGATAAACTGTCATGACAATTCAGATTGAAGTTCAATCTTAACATACTATTATCTTAGCAATGGCTTTTCCATTGATGGGGGATTGGGCTTTTAGTTATATGTTACTAACCTAAGGTTAGTGAGTTAAGTTAGTGCAGTGTTATGGATATGTGGGTCGCTATCCAATGTCCAACCTCACCATAACAGTGAATTGACAGCACTGAATGTCAGGCACGAAACAGTTTCATTTCATTCAAAGTTTTCAGGTACATGACCACCTGCTGTACATGCATAACTACTACTAGTATAACTACTACTAGTAGTACCTGATATACCCAAAATCCCGCTTACACACACCGTCGGCAATTTTCATCTTCACCTTCAATGCTGTCAATTGCATAACATGTTTCTTCTTCAATATTTCCTCGTGAAAAGCATTGACCTGACCAAAGTCAGCAAAACGGCGGGAATGGCGGGGAACCTTCAAATGTAACATACTAAACATCATGTCTCTGATACGAGGAGCAGCAAAACCTGCTTTAACCAAAAAGGATACAACGAAGAGAATCTCAAAATAAGGCACAGCCACTGTTCAGGCCTAGTTCAAATTCGAACACACATACTGCATAGTAAACATTGGAATTATGAACCAACCAAGTGTACCAGCTTTCTTTTGTTTTTTCAGCTCGAATGGTCAAAGTCTTGCTTAGTCTAGAGCTCAATGGGTACTGCATCTCACGGTACATATGAAGCAACTGATTTACATACCTGGGTTATATCATGTAATTAATTACCCTTCCGCCTAGGATTTAAGTACCGAGAGTCAGGCCATCGTGGAGAATTGATTGGCTCCACCCTCTTCGTGTGGGCTGTATTATTAACGCGCATCCCATTTGGGGTTCGTTATCATCAATGCATACATAACATACATGGTACACGTACCAGTACTATGTAATGTACTAATTCCAGGTTAACATTATTATGTATTATGTAGGTAGGTTGGTAGTTATTGATGTTGATATTAATGGATAGGCGGCCTCTCGTCGATATACGAAGTTTCCCGCTTTGGTATTGGATGATCAGGCAGCTTACGACGAAGCATCACAATCACTACGCTACCTTTCTATCTAGGGTACTCATACATACTAGTGCCATCATTGCCTTGCCTTCAATTTCCCTACATACATATAGCAGCTACTCAGGTACATACTACGTACATACTGCCAGGTAGGTGAGGAGCAGCAACTTACACAACACCAGTGACTGGACCCATGTAAAATGATCTCCCCCGGGCCCCGGCTACTAATCGTCAAGCTTTCGTGGCGTGCAGGTGGATTGGGGGCAGTTGGGGTCGTGCTGTTCCCAATCAAGGTCCAGTCAGGCAAGGGTCTGTATCCATGCCCTACGTACCTGCCTTGATACACGCATGTATTGTAGTAATGTACTGTACAATAGCTATCCTAGGTTAGGTAGGTACTAGGTAGGACCTGAAAAAGGGGACTGGCTGGATTGAATGTTGATTGATCAAGTGATGTAGGGGCTTCCTTCCCTCTCCGTTAGTGATACAGAGCTATACATCACATCCTACAGTAACAGGTAGTACCGTCCGTGCCCAAATACAGCCTACATAGTTACATAGTACGTACAATACATAGCCACCCCAGTGAATCAGAAGTCGATGGGCTAGGATGCGTGCGTCGCTGCTGCTGTTTGGAGGAATCACCTTTTGGGCATGACCATCCCATCTGCCGTTATATCCGCCGACTAGATAAAGAAGCTTGCTCTCCCCTCTTTCTTAAACGCGAACAGTTTTGAAATCCTCACTCACCGCTCTTAAAAACTTCTTACTACTTCTCCAACCCATCTCGTAGTTTTTCTCGCCAGTCGTGAAATTCTCGCCATAAGCAAGCTCTCTCTCACGATCAATTGAAATCGTCCTTACCCTCTACTCTACTCTCGGGTTTTTATCCATCAATCCCTTTTTCCAAACCATCAAAATGCCTTCTCCCCAAGAACCCCAGCAACAAGCTCCCATGGAGATGACTGCCACTGACGGCGTCGTTACCCAACAGCCTGTAGGTACCCATTTCCATTTACAAGCCCCCCCATTGCCTGCCACCACAGGTTTAGCATATCACCTCTTGGGGATACTTTTGCATTAACACTGTAAACCAATCTAGTCCTCGGAACCTCAACCCGAGTTCGGAAACATGCGCGGTGGTGAAGAGGCTGGCTGCGAGATCTGCTGCGGTCTCTGCGCCTGCGACGAGGGCTGCTGCTAGACCTAGATCTAGACCCTAGACCTGGCGCCCCTACTGATGCCGACTCTTACATCTCCACAGCAAACTGCGTCTTGTCACACGATGGGGGGTGAAAATTCCCGCAGGCAGTCTCGGAAATACCAGATTACATGGCGCCAGCGCTACTGCATGAATTGATGTCTCTCCCGTCTGACGTTTCGGTATCACAAGGGTCCTCCTTCCTGTCAGCACACATGAAAATCCATTTGACGATGTTGCGGTGTTCGGGGAGGGGTTGATCTGAAATGGTTTGCGGTGGTGGTTTCTCGTTGTCTATAGCAGATGAAAGATAGAGAGATGCGGTTCTTTTTCTTATCAATAGAAATGTTTCGATGATTTTTTTTTACCATGATTTGCTGTCAATGTTCAATACGTGTTATGTTAGCTTGTTGCCGTCGTATGACCACGTTCCCTAGCCCTTTCGTCGCTCGATTATCCTCCAAACATGTCTCCCCCAACTAGAAGACACAGCAGCTATGTCGCATGTCGTTGAATAGATTTGTAAGTCCATCCATTGTTTCTATTTCGGTATCGAAATAAGCATTTGCCTCCATGTCTTGGTGTCTTGGCGATCTCTTGGCAAGTGGCATCCCTCCCCGACTTTGTTCATGGTTCGTGTACATAAGATTCCCACACTTGTGACGGGATGATGTATGTATGTATGTATGTATGTATGTATGTATTTACACGTGTAGGTAGGGTATGTAGGGTAGGGTAAAGGTACAATATTTTGACGGGCTGATTTGTTGGTTATTGCATCATTTGTTGTCGTTCTTTCATTATGTACTCTGGGGGGGGAGGTTTAATTACGTGTGTATTTGTATTTCTTCACGCGTTGACTTTTAGTCATGCTAGGTACCTAGTTAGGCATTTGTTTTGTATTTGTGGTTTACATGTTTAGTTAGTTATTTGTATGCGAAACTGCTTTTATCTTCTTGTTTGTATATAGTTACTGTAAGTCATATTTTCAAAGTCTGTTGATAGTAATATTCACTTATTATTCTCGCTGTCCTACATACATTAACTAGCATGTTTCAAGGCTCAATCAAAGAGGGGGTGGGGAGCTGGGCGCCGGTGTTCGGCCGACCAAAAAAGAAAGCGACCGGCGCAAACCAAACTGATTTTTAATTTATTTAGCCGACACTGTCTTTAGTCACGTAGTTAGTCAGTTAGTTAGTTAGTTACCCTACTTATTTATAGGCGTTTAACGCACGCATTTTCATCCAATCATGGGTTTCCTGGTGTAATGGCTAGCACTGCGGATTCTGACAGCTTAAATCAGAATTTCAAAATTTCCGCCAATCTGGGTTCGATTCCCAGGGAGACCTTTCATTTTTTGCTTTTTTTTTGTTCTTTTCTTACTTACTTACGTTCTCCCCCCTTCCTGCCCCTTTTTTTTGTTTGGTCTTTTTCATTACAAAAAGGAATTAAATTCTTTTTCTTTTGGCAACGGCTACACACGGTTCAATTAGTATATCGGCCGCTATTTTGAGCATGTTTTATTCTATCTAGTCAATTTAGAAGCGAGCGGCCTTCTTTTCGAAAAAAAAAAAAAAGTTCAAATGGTCAAGTGAGTAGTGAGTGATTGATGTTGGTTGACCCAGTCCGTCGGGTCGTCGGTCTAAACTAGGTGACCGCACCGCACCGCGATGTCTGTCGAGTCATGGAATGCATCCGCACGAGGCTTGTACGAATGGAGGTAATTAGATACTGCGCTGCGCCAAGATGGATGGGTGGTTTTTGGTTTCCCGGGCGGGTTCGCTGGAGGTGCATAGTTCATATTCCCATGTTCTTAGGCTTAATGTGCAGGCATACATACCTACATACACCTGTATGTGTTATGTGTAATGTGTATGTTAGTTAGGTATTGACTGACCCATAGAGACCACGGAGTAAATATCACAAGTATAGTACATTTTCATCCTGTAATCTATCTATAACTCGATATACAGGCCGGATCCCCCCCAGACCGTTCGTTGCCCATGCGCCGCCTCCTAAGGAAACCCTCGTGGACTTCGTACTTCATAAGCATGCATATGTATGTTTGGTATAGGAGGAACCTATATATCTAACCTAGCAGATGAGTAGGTAGGCAGGTAGGTAGTAGGCATGTGGAGTAGAGAAATAGAGCAATGCATCAACCAAGCCAACCAAGCCAACCAACTAACGCATTGCCTGTCGCATTGTACATTGATCCACATCACTACCTACTTATCCTTGGGGTTGTCGCCGCTGCGGAAAGTGCCCGCCACTTTATCCCACATCGTCTCCTCGCCCCTCTGCTTGCGGACCCGCCGGTCCTCGTCCTGCTGCCTCCACAGGTCGTACACCCGCCCCGCAACCTCGTTCTTCGCGCGCCACTCCGCGCGGAAGGCCTCTTCTTCCGCGGCGCGCTCCTCCTCGGGAACCTTTTTTAACTTGGCGCGCAGTGCTTCTAGCCTGTCTGGTGGTAGCTCTTCCAGCTCGCCTTGTGGCTGTTGCTGTGGCTGTTGCTGCTGCTGTGGTCGTTCTCCCGGAATGGGTGCGACTCGAGGTATCAACGGCGGGAACTTGGGGATCGGCAGTCCGGCCTCTCGCGCCGCGGTGATCTCGGCTTCTTGCGCCACGACTCGTTGGTATAGCGTGTCGGCGTGTAGTTGGATTTCTTCTTCGGCCTCGGGCGAGCGGTCGGTGATCGACAGGTAGCCTAAGGCTTTGAGTAGTCTCTGTGTGCGATTGTCTAGTATCAGCACCTCTCCCTCTTGTCCGGCCAACTCCTAATCATCAAGAAGAAATGGATGGATGGAGGCAAAGTGACTTGAAACTCACAGTCTGCGTCATGTAGCACTTTTCAAATTTCCTGACTTGGTCTCGACACATCGTCATGCGCTCGGTGAAGGTTGGGTTGTTCATGCACTGGCGCCAATCCATCTGCTCGAAGGCGCAGTTCTCCAGCGCCGCCCTGCCAATCTGACTCTTGCGCTCCTTATATCCCTCCAGCACATCCATCAACCTCTCATGGTCGCTCTTCGTCTCGGCCTCAATTTCTGCCAGCGGCCTGTACGTCTTCCACAGGTGCGCATATCGTCCATCTTGGTACTGACTGTCCTTAGGAACGACCGGCTTGTTCTCCTCCGCCTCCTTTGCCGCAGCCGCGGCGGCATCGTCTGCTACCTGCTGCTGCCTTTTTGCCTCCGCTTCCGCGGCGATCGTTGCTGCCGTTGCCGGCTTTTGCGCGGTCTTGTATTTCACGGGGGATTCTCGCTCGAGGAATTCGCGGAGCTTGGGGTCGAGGTTGCGGAGCGGATCATCGGTGCTCGAGCCCGAGGACCAAAGACTGTCCCACCAACCCATCGCGATGCATAAGGTCCTCGAAAAGAAGACAAGCCGTAGCGGGGGAAATGATATTAGTATTTGGTGGTCGAATTGGGCGATGCCCCTCCAATCAATAAATTCCCAAATTCTTTTTTGCGAAGTGAAAGATGCCAAAAGTTTGTTATCGTTATCGGAGACTGAATATGCATGTAAACTGTATTAATCGATTATCGAGCTCATGATGCCCTTTTCACTCTGATTACTAACATTGAAGTGCCACCAGGAACTCATCCCCTACAGCATATCCCAGCCTCAACAAATGATACATGACCGTGAGATTATGGACTGAGTTACCAAGGCTATCAAGAAGCAAAGAAATAGAAGACTCAAAATTAATGCAGAGTCTAGGCATTGACTATCAAAGCGTCTTATACTGTCTGACAGGTACGAATGGCCCACCGCGTAGAGTAAGGGGCTAGGTGAAAATAGATCAATATCAATATGATTTGGATTAATGGGCGACTTCGTTCGATAATGTACCATTTTACTTATGTACGAGCAGAAATCAACCTAGAAAGCAGAATTGCTTTGCGTTGGGATGCTGTCTCCGGAAGCCCGTTCTGACAAAACAAATGGCATCCTCTGTGGCTAGTGATGGGCGTGGGCGGACCAGTGAAGCAACTTGATTCATAAATCGGCCTCGAGGATTGATATACGGCCAATCTAAGACTACGATTTCATTCTTTCAACAGAAACTAGTCCAACGAGGCGAGCCATGTCAAATGACAGTCACACAATTAGAGGTTGAACAGGACCAGTGGTATTTCCATTTTTATTTCTCAGAACTGCCGATGGTGCATCTTTGTGCCCTAGCAGAAAGCCTATGAATCACCCGTTCCGAATCTGCGATCATGAAGAACCAAGCAACAACGCCATCGATGCCCAGAAAAGATGCCCAAGTTTAGAACTTGCTGAACTTCTTGACCGACTTGCCGGTTCGGGGAAGTACACGGAGGACGTTGAATCGCACCTATCGTATTGACATTAGCAAACTGAAGCGACGTATACATGCATTATCCACAAAATAAAATGAATAGATTTCGCATGGTGGAATATGGAGAGCGTACCGTCTTGCTCAGAGGTCGGCATTGACCAACTGTGACCTGATCACCCTCCTCAACACGGAAAGCGGGGGAAACGTGTGCGGCGAGGTTCTTGTGTCGCTTCTCGTATCGGGCGTACTTAGGGATGAACTTCAGGTACTCGCGTCGGATGATGACAGTTCGGTGCATCTTAGTGGAGACGACGGTGCCGGTTAGGATACGGCCACGGATAGAGACGAGACCGGTGAAGGGGCACTTCTTGTCTGTGTTAATATCGCGGTTAGCATCGTCATCTTCGGTATTTTATTTTCTAATTGCTTGTTCGTTTCCAGCCGCCAAGTTTGCAGGATTCCGAGAGATCTTGGAGGTAGTTCGGACAACCAAAGCGACAAGCGCACATGACACACAAAACACCTCGAATATTTCTCCAATGATTTTTTCAGATTTATGTTATTCACGTACCGATGTAGCTTCCCTCAATGGCGGTCTTGGGGGTTCGGAAACCCAGACCGACGTCCTTGAACCATCTTCGGCCACCCTTTAAAGAGAGAGAATGTCAGTAACATGTCAATGCAAGTAGAGTAAGCAAAGCAAGTAGAGAATAGTATCAAACTCACCTTTCCAGGTCGCGTGGACTTGGCCTTGATCTTAGAGTTCTGGAAGATATGGGGCTGCTTTTGGAAAGCACGCTCCGACTGTACAGTCAATTCTGTGGCCATGTTTGCGATGGGTTATGGTGATCGCAAAGGTGGTTAGAGTCGGAGGTTGTCGTGATGTTGTTGTTGGATAGCGGATTTGCGAATGCGAAAAGGTACCGAAGATTGGAAATGAGAAAAAAAAATAAGGTCGAAAATGTTTAGTTGTGTGGGCTCTTCTCGCTTGTGGGTGGTGCAGGTATCCACTTCTTTTGAGGTTCAGCCCGTTTGTTGTGGCTTGAGTTTAGTTAATGTTCTTTTTAAGAGGTGTGGCTTATGAATTGATTGTTGAACTTGCCGCATGTGACTTGGAAATTCAATGCCAATGAAGCTAACCCCATTCCAGTTTAGTCAACTTGCAATGAACCAGCTACTTTAAGTGACGTACCCCACTACGGTTGAATTTCAATGTTTACAAACAAGGGTCCCGGCTCTCTTCTCATTGACGCGATCGCCGTGAGCATATGAATTTCGGGGGCACGATTCAACATTACCTATCTTCTTCTACCCTTACAACTTCACAACCCAATTGATGACACCACTACTTGAAAAAGTTGTTGTGAAGGTTTCTTTAGCCTATTTTTGTCAAACTACCTACTCAAATTCTTATAACTCAATTATCGACCAGAGGGTCATGCGACAACACTACCTAGTACTGAGTTCGCACGATCATAAATCAGCAATCGATAATTTATTTTCAACGTCGTACCTACCTGTTTCGTGTCTACTCATCTAGGCTATGGTACCTTAGAATATCACTATCCCCACAACACCTCGCCGAAACCATCCTAAATACCTACCCTTCGTTTCCTTCTATCATCTATCATCCATCATCCATCATCCATCGTATTGCCCAGCATGGCATCTCGCTCTGATGCCACAGTCCCGTCCACGAGACGACCTAGAAAGTCAACCGGGCACTCGCCTGTGCGCAAGAGGATGGAAAAAGAAAACATCACTGTCGACATGGCTAGTTCTTTGGCCGTTAATGGAGGGCGAAAGAAGTCACGAAGCAAAAGTGTAGGCCCTGGCGGATTGGATGCTCTAAAGCCTGGCTCTGGAAATAGGCGTGTGGTAGGAAATACCAAAGACAATATGTCTAACACCACTGCAAATCATAGTAAACTCACAACCAAGCAGTCTATAGCCGCCCCCGTTAAACCTCCCCCGAGATCGATTCTTAAGCCAACGATTCCACCGTTGCCTGAAATCCCCTCGTACAAATCCAAACATTCTCGTATCTCCCCACCTTCCATGGCCGGTCATGGAGCCGATAAACTACCTCACCTCTTCCAGAATGATGACTCCAATTCATCTGGCACCAAAATCGCTCTACGAACCGAAGAGGAACAACAAGCTGCTGCGCGAGAGAGAGAAGAACGAGAACGAGCTCAGTTAGAAAAAGAGATTAATGATCGCCGCGAAGCCCGAAGAAAGTCCCTTGCTAATCGAAGAGTTTCCTTCGCAGCCGAGGCTACCCTTCACACATTTCATGAAGTCGAGTATATGCAAGACTCGACAACTTCAACAGATTCCACTAGACGAGCATCATCACTTGCTGCTAATCATCAAGACCCAGAGCCGTCTGACCCACCATCGACCCCCCCAGAGCAGGAGGATGATATTGTTCCTGATTCTCCCGAAAATCAACGCGACATGCATCAACGAAACAGGCGCAGAAGCTCTGGTGTTCGCTCACTCAATTTCAACAATAACAATGACGATACCCTGGCTTCGAGTGTCTATAGCTCAGATTCTGAAGGCACAGAGGGCCCGATGGAGGTGCATGAGGAGATTGGTTCGGATTCTGGCAGCGATTCTGATGCTGATGGCGTGACAATGGATATTGATGTTGAGGTTACCGGTACTTCGGTTGCATCTGCTATGTCTGCTCGCTCAGTTTCTCCTGATGAGTCATCTGATACGCTGGATTCCGCTCTCAGACTTGCCTCTCGCCAAGCTGTCACCCAAAGTCTTGATGAGGAAGAAGAGATTATTCCATCATTCGGCTGGGCAAGAAAACCCGCACCCGCACCTAAGCAGCCGAGTCCTTTACGCGATCAGGAGAATACACAAAACGCCTTGAAGGCTGACCAGGCCAGAGACAACTACGAACAGGAAGATACTGAGGGCATGGATATGGACATGGACATGGATATGGACATGACCAACGCTGTCGGCGGCATCATCAAAACCCACCAGGAGTCCCCCGACGATGCCGAAGAAGAGATGTCGATGGATGTCACTCGAGTCCTAGGAGGCATACTTCCCCAACGCAATAGAACACAAAAAATGCAATTCTCTAGCCCGGACAAGAACGAAGAGGACTCGGCAGCTGAGGACGCGCCTATGGATTTTACTACAGCAGTGGGCGGAATCCGAAAAGGCCCGCAATCGGAAAATAGCCTCTTTGATCCAGATGATAATGAGGATATGTCAATGGAAATTACTTCTGCCATAGGCGGATTCCTTTCCAGCAACAATATTAACCCTGCCACCAGACAAGCGTCTCAAAGCCGACGTCGTACTATTGCACGTGGCGATGATGAAGCTACAATGGACATGACAGTTGGTATGGGTCGTATCATTCCTGCTGGCGAAGACGACGAGAATGATGAGGATGCCACAACAGGAATGGATATGACTATGACTATGGCGATGGGTGGGATTATCAAGGGTCCACCTTCGGCCAAGGACCGAACTGAAGCCAGACAGGTCATGGAGCAGGAGGCTGATGAAGACGATAGTGTACCAGGGTTACGCTCATCCTCTAAGCGACGCCTATCCGCAGCCATCGCTGGCAAGGGAGCCTCAGAGACAGGAAGCCCTGGATTGTCCATGTTTCGAGGAAATGGACTTCGCCGCAGTAACGGTTGGCAAGAATCAGCCACTCCGAAAAGCAGTTCACCTGTCCGGAATGTGTCACCCCCAAAATCTGCCAGTCCATTCAAACTAGGTACTCCCAACAAACAGGGACCTAGGACTCCATTGAAAGATCCACCCGCGAGGAAGTCCAAGTCACCTTCTGCTTCGAAGACTCGGCGTGGTTCTAATGTGGCTTCTACACCTAGATCCGCTTCTAAGAATGGCCAGGCGACGTCGATTTTTCAACAAGACCCTACGACCGGTGTGTCTACGCCACGCGTCGTTCTAACTCCTCAGAGGAGAAGGCTTTCGGGCGTGGGCGCTGACAGACCGGGCCTTGGATCCCCCAAGGTGGCGGCTATCTTCGACCGACGCGGGTCGATTGGTGATACAGCAGACGACTTCGTACCCCGTGAAATCACTCGGAATGTTTCCTTTGCCAATCCTCAGATATTGGAATTTGAAATAGAACGAGAACGCCAACTGGAACTAGAAAAAGAAAGTGGCCAGCTTTATGGCGGGGCTGACGGTGCAGACGAAGACCACACTACGGCAAGTCTAAAGGACATGATTTCTAGTATGACCCCTAAGAAGAACCCTTTTAAGGGACGTAAAAGCTTGCATGTAGGCAGTGCCAAGGGTCTTCTCGGAAAGCGTCCTATGGAGCTTGACGACGATGAGGAAGCTGAGGAGAGGGATGGCATCAAGCGACTCAAGAATCATCAAAGCAGTCCTGTCAAGAATGTCCGATTACACGCGCCTCCTTCAAAGGCGGAAACGACGGGACGAATGACACGTTCTGCCAGCAAAGAATTAGAAAACGTCAATGACTACAGAGTCGCTACTACGCCAGTTCTTTCGCCTAGAAAGACACCCGCTATAATGTCATCCCCTCGGGGTAAAGAGCGTTTTGGAGAAGTTGAGTCTATTCATCCTCCTAGCCAAACCACCTTGAACGAATCACAACCTGTGTTCGAACCCGATGTTCAAATGGATGATAATGACGACAACGACGACGATGGAGAGCGAATCCACCTACAGGACTTCTTGAACATGACCAACATTCGTTTTATGGAATTAACCACAACGAAACGACGACACACCCAAGCACCTAACACTTCAAATAACGGCACTATGCAAGGCGATGAAGACATATCTTTGCAGCGATGTGTTGTCGCTGGTGCTTGTACAGTTCCCATGCTGGAGCTATTTCAACATGTAAGACTTACCTTTTGTGTGCAGAAGCGTGATGGATGCTAACCGCGTATAGTCTTGTCGAGAGCTGAAAAAGTATATCTCAGAAGGTCGAAAGATAGTCCACGAAATCGAGACGGAGACTTTGGAAGAAAACCCAGCTCTTTTCAAAGAATATATGTCAGCAACACCCGAGTATAAGGCTTTCATGGATAACCAGTTCAAGAACGTCAAGACACATGCCCGGCTGTTAAGCAAGGCCATGTGGTATGAATGGCGTATGAAGCTCCAAGATGGTCTGAAAGAAGGCCTAGTGAACATTGGCGAAGGAATGGAAGCCGATGAAGAGCTTCTACACAAACAACAGGAATTGCTTGACAGTATTCTACCTGCGTTGACGAAACAATTCGAGTCTCTAGTAATAGAACACGACAATTTACAGTCCGCGGCACAGGAGCTGGCAGACGATGACCCCGAAGAACTTCAAATGGCTCGATCCGAGCTCGAGGAGGTTGACTTGGATATCCAAGCAAAGATGCAGCAAATCGAACAGTTACGGCAGCAACTTGACGACACTGAATCTGGCATCTCCGAGTTATCAGAGAAAAAACAGGCGTGTATCTCTGATATAGAGAAAGCAGAGAAGATTCGCGAAGCGAATAAGGGATGGGCTACTAGCGATGTTGCTGCGGCGAAAGGTTCGTACCTTTTTTCTTCTGTTATTTGATCATGGACGAAATTGCTAACCTGGATATAGCCAAATATGATGAAGTTGTGAAGCGACATGGTTGGAGCCTATTGCGTTCAACGGGTGAGCATGGGCTCGCGCTCGCATATCTTGGCGAGATTGAGGTCATCTTTGACTGCGCTTCGTTCGCAGGTTTGAAGCCAAATGGAACAATCGAGTTGTTCCATATTAGTCGGGAGGAAAACCCAACACCACCTACTCCAGAAAAACTGTTCTTCCTCCAATGCATCCGAAACCACGTTAGAGGCTTGGTTCAGAAGGAGACTAGGCCTAAGGACTTCCTAGATATGATCAGTGCGGGTTGGAAGAAAGCCAAGCATACCGCAGAAAATGTGCGTCTCTTGAATTGCTCGTTCCGAACCACCGTCACTAGAGTGTCGGATCACCTCGCCATCAAGGCACTCGTGCTATTGACACCATGCAAAACAAAGATAGAGATTACACTCAATCTGCATGGCCAGAGCACTCCCACTGGTATCGAAGTCAACATCGTCCCTCAGGCACGAGTTGTATACGGAGAACAGTTCAAGGCGGAGAATATTGTCGAGTTTCTCACGGCCAAGATTGGCACGCGAGTGCTCACAAATGAGGAGCAGGGCAGCATGAAGAATTGGGGCGATGTTGTTGTCGAGTTGGAGGAAAAGTTACTTGCAACGGGACAGAAATAAGCGGAGGACGGAACATGCCTATTCCAAGGCTGTTTTTTTGGCCCCTTGGCCTGTTTTGCTATCACGACTCACGACTGTTTCTTTTACGCACCTCGAATGCCTAGATTCTTGATGAGGAAGGGGTGTTTGGTGGCGTACCATTAGCTTAGATAGATACCATTACCTATTTGCATTGTCACCTTTTACGAAAAAGATTTTGTTGAATCCGTTGAGCTCTGTTGTTGATTAGCTGTTTTAAGTGGGCGATACATACATCCCCAAACCGACCGCTCGACCAGCCACTCCATCTTCTCGGTTTCCCTGTCCACTTTCGCAAACATGAAGCTCTCGAACTCGGTCTCGGCGCCGTCGCGGAGGAACTGGTGGCTTTTGACGGTGTAAAAATAGATAAATAGGTACTTCTATGCTTATTTGAGGTTGGGTGTTTGTTTATTATTTTTATTTATTTTTTGTGGGCAGGCAGGTGCCTGAGGTACCTACCCACCGTAGGAGAAGTAAACAACGAAGTAAATAAAACAACCGAGACGCGACTAGGTAACTCACACGACAGGCTTGCAATCACTAATCTTGCCGCGCCACTCCGCGATGCCCCCTTGACGTACTCGGCGTAGGGTATGCGCCGGCCGTTTTTCATGACCTGGTAGAAGGCGGGCGTCGCGGTGCTCTCGGTGTACAGCTTGGAGTCCTCGGGTCGGCCGGTCAGGCTCCGCTCCATGGCGCGCTGGAAGGCTTCGCGGGTTGTGGTGTATTCGGCCATTGTGGGATGGGTTGGTGGATGGATGAATATCTTGGGTTAGGTAGGTAATGGGCAAATACTTATTTGTATGGCCGCGTACCTCGTAGGCGATGAATTTACTAACCTAGCAAAGTATTAGGCTTTAGGGTTGATTGTTGTCTTTTCTTGCAGCCGGAAGAAAATTATAGGTAGGTGGAGCAGGAGGCTCGTCTGGCCTATTTGTAAACATCTATTCAAACATGAGCAAGCGGGGATTTTCTAACTACATACATAAGCCATAGGTCATAATCTATACGTAGATCCACGGGGGCGTGAAGGTAGGGAAGGAAGCCGAAATTTTCGGAAATGGCAACGACTGCTCTCTCTATACTAGCCATCGCGAGCTTCTATGGCAGTAAAGAGACGTCCTGCGGCTTAGGGGGCACGGAAGGCGGGTTGTTCAACTGCTGGTAGGATAATATCATGAGCTGATTTATCGAGGGTATTATCGTCACTTTCGCGTTTTAGAACGAGCTGAAGTATGGTATGGTATTTCTTCAATTGGGTTTATAGGTAGTGAGTAATGTAGCAAGCATAATGGGTGCTCATCTAAATAGCAATGGCTGAATACCGAGATATTGACCAGACTATAACTTGCGTAAAACATGTATCGATCTTCAATTACAAAGCTCATTATATTGGCATACATATAATATCAAAAGATACTGACCTGGTCATGTTGTTTTACCTTTGCGATTCCTCGTCATATACTCCTTTCGCAAACTCCCTCTTCAAGCTGTGACGTAGTTCTGTTTGGTTGCCATGACTGTATCCTATATAAATTACTCAAATTCGTTCATCTCCTTACTATATGACTGACTGATCTTATATCTAAGCCAATTCGTAGTTTCTTGCCATATAATGCCTTTACTATTATCGCGTTCTCTAACTGAGATGTCAACAAGGTAGAATAACTTAGCCTTGTATTAATAACAAGTTGATACGTTTTGTATACAAATTCATAGCCATCGCCCTACCAATGCTGCCTTTACGTTTAAGTCGAACACTTGGGACTAGATTATCAATGCTACTGCCATTACTGTTGAACTTGTCCTACTTTGATTATCTCCTCCTCTCGTCTGCTGTTCATTTATTGTCCGTCTTTGGAATCCTGGACGATTACTGCGTATATATCGACAGAGCAGTCGAGATGCCCAAGATACGAAGCTTCTTATCGCCTGTTAGATGTAAATGAGACGAAAAGTTGCAATTTAAATACCAAAAAGAAAATCCTCGAGCAAAAACGTAAGGAAATTGTAAACACCAATTACGGTCATGGACTACAGGACCATGTTTCCAGCTGTCCATCCTGGCCATAATTTCCAAAAGCCTGCCTACGATAGTTTCACACGGTATTCTTAACTCACTTAATTCGGAAAATATTGCTACTTCGCGAGCCCATTCCTAGTATCCTCCTTGAGTCAGGGCTAAGCTTCTCCCGAGCAGCACCTAACCAGGCTCAGATAGCTTTAAGGAACAAGAGATAGTGTAGGGGTGAGGGGATTCGAGAGAGTAAGCTTTTAGTGATAGATACAACAGGAAAGGCAATCTGAGCTCACTATTAATGCTTTACAGGGCCCTCGAGCACATTACAACTACCTCATTGCATGGGAAAGGCATCATACCTATATATACAGTAACAGACTCATCGATGGGTAGGCCATTTCATATTCTTCTGTACCCAGAACGCCCTATCGTAGGGGCTGCTGCCGCCGGCGACTACCTACATTTCTTAATGTTTACTGAAGTACCTGCCTAGGCACATACCTAGTATTGTTGTATTTACCCACCTAGTGATAGTGCAAGTACGAAGCTGTTTACATCGCTGGGTGCCTGATATTTAAGGTACGGATAAAATTTTTCAAAACCGCACAAATTACCTTCTGCTCTACAGTGCGGAAGGGAATGTAATAGAATGGAAAGGATAGAGTAGAGGTATCTTGAAAGTACACCTAGGTGAGAGTTAGGTGGCCACTGGTACCTGTGAGGGTATCTCCAGGTGTTCTGGTGCCCTGGTTAAGGGGGTTATAGGGGAGTTACTAGGCCGAAATACCTTTCCAGTGTACTTACAGAGTACATCCTCGTAGTATACATCTCGTCGTCGCCCACCACAAATTCACTGCACCTGTAAGGCGGTGTCGGTCACTTTGGCAGCCTCAGGCACCCTCGGGATTCTGCCGCTTTTCCCAAAAACTATATAAACCGCTGGACACTTCCCAAATTTCTTGCTTTCTTTCTTTCTTTTTTTTTTTCCTTAAGTTCGTTACAGCTTTTCAAGATGCCTGCATCAAGACAAATGTTACGTGTGATCTCCGTATCGCTTCCAGTGGTACGGAGCAATTGCTTTATGATCGGCCTCGCAGCCATTTACATGCTTCCGGATATCGTATCTTTGATACTTTATCCTCTTATGATGTTGAGTTGGTATTTCGTCGCTCATGATGCTGCTTGCAGTGTTTTGGGTGGTGAACATATCTTCTCCCGACTTTTACCTTTTCCCTTCGCCGCCATTGCCTACCTTTTCAAGGTGCACCACGCTTTGGGTCTCCTCGGCCTAGGGTTCATGCTCTTGTTCTGCCGCGTCGCTTCAGACCTCGCGAGCGAGTCGTCTCTCTCTGTCGGGTTAGTGTCAGCATGGCTGATCTTCCAGGCTTTCCTTTGGGGCTTTACGCCCTTGGGTTGGTTTGGATTTTTGGCCGCCATCTTGGCTGCTGGCACATACAACCATGGCATTGAACTGCTCGCCTACGTGGTCCCATGCCTCTTAACCTACCTTTGGATCAAGTGGTGAGTACCTATCTCTATTTATCAATCCCCCCTCCCCCACACCCCCCAGGGCTATCAGCTATCAATCGATAATCCTCATCATGACCCACCACAGCAGCCTACTAGGTATCTTTACTACCTATGAGGCTTATACCTAATCCCCCTAAGCACCCAACCCTCCTACCCACCTTGCCCTCCTACTGTCCTACCGCCTTACTGCCCTACTGCTCTACTGTCCTACTGCTCTACTGTCCTTCTCCCCTTCTCCCCTTCTACCTTCTCCCCTTCTCCCCTTCTACCTTCTCCCCTTCTCCCCTTCTACCCTTCTACCCTTCTACCCTCTACCCTCTACCCTTCTACCCTTCTACCATCTTCCTCTACCTCCCTACTGCCTACTATCATGTTACCCATACTCCTTACACATTTCTTTGACTTATACTTACTACCTATACCCAACCTTTATCCTCTACCCCTTACCCCTTGACCCCTTTTCTTCTGACCTCTTCTTGGATCGAAATAATTGCTAACTACTAATAATTAGGATGTTGCCTTCAACCACCGAGATTCGTCGACCTTCTTTGGGTCTTCGATCCCTCGTTCCCTGGCTTCAGAAGCTCGATTGGAGTCTAGGCGTCGGAGAACAGAACCTTTGGCCCGTCTTTGTCCGTTTGCGCCCCGTCCTCAACCTTGGCCTCGCCGCCCTCGACCACGGCCTCGCCCTATGTGCTACATTCGACAAGCACTTTGCGCATAGAATCGGGGCTTCGACCGTTGCTACAAACCGTCTACGTACAGTGGACACTCTTCTGGTTATTCTGGAGGAGCAACGCAAGCGAGTCGCAGCCCGCGAAGCCCGCGAAGCCGAGGAAGCGCGGCGTTCGCAGGAGAGCGTCAGGCGCTACTTCGAGGAACGGCGACAATACCGGCTCCTTGGCAACCTACGTTACGAAAGGTTGTTTCGGAAGCCCCAAGCCGAACCTCCTAAACGCCCGCGACCGACCAGTGACTACGTCGGTCCCTTCGCTCGCGCATACCTGCCCCGCCCTTCAAACACCGCGGCGAAACTTCGTCCTGCCCCTTTCTTGGGTAGCTTAGTCCCAGCAGCTCCGTCAACCCTCTCTGTTTTCGCGCCAGAGCCTTCGTTCGTCCAGTACCCCGGCGAATACCAGGCTCTTAGCCACATTCAGTCCGCCCAACCCGCTGCTGTTGCCTTCGCTGCCCCTGTTGATGCGCCCCAGCCTCAGTTCGTCCAGCAACCTCACGAACTCCAGGTTGTCCGTTACGATGCGCAGATACAGAGTCAGATGCCTGCTGCCCCCGCTGCCCCCGCTGTTACTGCGCCCGAGTATCAGTTCCAGCAGCCCGCGCCCAGCTTCGCCAAACCCGAACATCAACCAACTGTCTTCGTTGACCTTTCTTGCGCCCCCGCCGTTCCGGCCGTGAGCAAGGAAATCGAGATGTTCGACTGGGATAGTGCTCCTGGATCCCCTATGGAGTACAAGCAGCCTGACGGACAAGTTCAACAAGTGCCAATGGACCTCGACGCACAAGCCATTCCTGCGATAATGGAAATCGAGGAGGAGGAACCCACGCCCGCACCTGCACCCGAGCCAGAGCAAGACAAGACCCCATGGGACTTGGGTCTCGACGACAATATGGAAGGGGACTCTCCCGCTGCACCCGAGCCGACCAACGATGTGAACGAGCTTGCCGATGTCATGCAGAGCAGTCTGAGCCTATATAAAGTAGGCAAGGAGGACATTGAAGACCTTGAGAAGGGCCTTCAAGATCTGGCTTTTGGTAAAGAGCAGACGGCGGAGCCTGATCTGGATTCTGAGGATCCGGAGATAGGCGACGCACAGAAGCCAAGTCCTAAGCCGGAGATTGAAGACCTTGAGAAGGGCCTTCAAGACCTGGCTTTTGATAAAGAGCAGACGGCGGAGCCTGATCTGGATTCTGAGGATCCGGAGATAGGCGACGTACAGAAGCCAAGTCCTAAGCCGGAGATTGAACACCCGACCGAAGGTGGTAAAGGCCTGCCTGTTTCCGGACAAGACTATGACTTCGCAACTGGCGAGGACGAGGTTCGGCGAGCAATCGCTGAAGCTCTACTCGGCTCAGACTCGGAGTTGTCAGACCCCCCTCCATCCAAGCCCCCAAGCCCCGTGCCAGAGCCTAAAGCGCAAGAGGCCCAACCGCCCTCACCCAAGCAAGCACCAGTCGCCCCGGCCCCGTTCAAGTTCCAATTCGAACCGCAGCCGACCGAAAAGCCAAGCAAGGTGCCGATAAAGAGATCGTTGGGAAGGCCGATTGCGCCGATAGGCGCCAAAAGACTTCTTGAGGGTCTTCGCCCTCGACTTGCGCCCCCACCCCCGCAGCCAACAGATGACAATAGCAACGATGATTCTGATGATGAGTTGCCTGCCGCGAAAAGGGCCAAGCCGCAAGGGCCAACGGGTGGCGCGACCTTTACCTTCCGAACGCCAGTACCAATCCCAGCCTCGTTGCGAGACGTGAAACCGCTGCCCCGATATGATCCCAACTCAGTCGTGCCCGCTAAGCCGGCCAGAAAGACGCTCCGGGTTGTGCTGCGAAAGCCGCGACCCACCGCAGAATCTGTGGCCGGCCCATCGCGGCTGAAGACCCCCCCACCACAATCATTGACCCCGGCACAAGGTTCTCGCTCCGCCAATCCCTCGCCAGAATCGTCCCCGGATCGAAGCTTGTCCAAGGAGAAGGGTCCCGCCCAACCCCGGAAGACAGTCGGCGGCTTAACCATTGCCAAGCCCCCGCGGAAGATCATATCCGCCAAGGCGCCGTCCAAGAAGCTAGGTCCGAGGTCGGTTGACCCCGACGACGAGTACGAATCACGGGTGGCCGAACTCATGGAGCTGAACGACCTCGATGAGGAGACCGCCCGGGCGCTCGTGGATTTGAGCTTCGGGGTCTGAAAGGGACTGTAGCAGGTCCCTGGAAGGCTCTTTAGTGAGATTTCCGCCGCCCAACCACCCGTGATGCCAACTGCTGGAGAAGGTCCCACCCGTTGTGGCAACAATTGCTCTTGGCGACAAGTAAAGGTGCTCCCCGATACGATAGGCAACCGGCACTTCTATCCCTCTTCTCCCTACCGATATATATTTTCCGCAGACCCCCCCTTATATCACTTCACTGGGCCGGCGCGTGGCACTTTTTTCAACCTCGTCTTCGACACCACAGCTCCTAGGATCGACATGGGAGTCAGCCGGCCGCCGATGTTTTCGCGATGATTATGGATTCTAGGCGCCTGCGACTATAGTGGGCGTCAGATGAAAATGCGCGATCTCGGCCGCCCACCGCGCGTGCCTCTCCTGGATCCCGAGGAATCCCTTTATGGGGTGAAGGGGGAGGGAGGGGCCGCTGCGGTGTCGGATGAGTTTTTTCTTGGGCCGCCTTTTTTGTTTGAAGCCCTTGGGAACAGTGATTCCGGCTCGGCGAATTGGCTTTTTGCTCTGAGTTGCCCGAGGGGTCTTCGGATCAGGAGGGCGCGAGGGTATTGCCACAGTGTTCGTGATCCTCCTCGACAATGCCTGGTGGACCCCGTCACATCCACGCCCAGGTTATATTAGAGATAGGCCCCGTCTGCGTTTGAGGGAGCGCAGGCGGGACCCAGGATATGGTGGCGCCTTCATGGCCGAGTGACTGTGAGTTTTTGTCTACTTCCTCTTGGAACTTTTTACTCTGGTCCTCCTCTACTAACACACTCGCAGTCAAGGATCGGGCTCGTCACCAGCCCACTGCTCAACTCTCAAACTGATCTCCGCTAAGTGTCCCCTTTCCCCCCTTGATGGTGTCTTTAGTAACATTCTCGATAGGTCCTGCACAAGCTTCGGTTTGGACTCTGCTGCTTGGGACGGACCCGCTCTGCTCCCAGCTATAGCACGATCCAAGCCTGACCCAATTTTTGGAACCCCCATCATTATGCGAGAGTCTTTCTTTTTTTTTTATACGAAGCTCAATGACCATATTCGATGATTTTTCTATCCTTCGGGAAGAAAAACTTTTATTTTTTTGAAACCCGGGTTCCTTTGGATCCCACTCGTGTCCCTGGTATTACACTGCCTCCAGGAGACGCGGACTACTTCTTCTTCTTCTTCCTCCTTCTTTTTATCTCACACCTCACTTGGCGAAGCGTTGTTCAGGAGCTGCCTGGCAGAGCTAGCTCTCTTTGGCAGGGATGTCAATCAAAGGGCTAACTAGCTGGTTCAAATCCAGCGGTGAGGAACTGGTATTGCGATCATGGATGCTTTATCGGTTTGAGAAAGGCCTGAGCATTTAGAGGAAAAAAAGTAAGTCGCTAATCCCCGAAGCTCAACCATAACACCCTAATGCTCAGCTTGCTAACACATTCTACATACCCACCTATAGGTGCTTAGAAACGACCGACCCCCTTTCAGACCTGGCTCGACGGTCCTACGAGCGGACTTCAGAGGTCTCGCACGCAAGAACATCGATACCGAAGGAAAAGGGAGAGGGGGGATATCTCTGGGGTGATGCTAGCATTGAAACGAGCTGTGGGAGGGACTTGTAAGAGATGGGGTTTGGTATGAGTGATGATATAGGAAGGATATTTATGGGTAGGTCTACAGGACGGCCGTTATCATGTATCGAATGTCGAATTTAGGCCACGAAGGATGCCGGTACCGATTATCATGGTACTTTCTATATATACGGTTGCTTTCGCACCAAGTTCATATTCATACACTACGCTCTACACCTGACTGCTTTGCCAATACATCGGTAATGGGCGATAGGTCTATTTCTATCTCGAACTACAAACCCTAGCCTAGAGATCCCCTACGTAACTCTAAGCAAGCACTGGCGCATTCGTGTCCCCCCTTACATCCCTCTCGTTTGCAATGTTCTTTCATTCTTTCCTTTGCCACCTGAAATCAGTGTATTAAAACTCCTACTTTCTTGTTTTACTAAATTAATTATTACGCAAGATCTCGTCTAAGTCGAGAAAATCAACTCCGCAAGACAGCTAGCACTTCTGGAACCCACTCTATAAATGAGTATATACCAAAAGGGGTGTATTCTATTCAACACACTGCCTGACCTCTGGTCACTCTGGCGCATCTACTTTACAATCATAGCTATCCACCTAGTATCTAGGTTTGATCTTCGTCCACCCGCTGGTTCCCTTCTCCCTTTCCCCGCCTCTCCCGCCCGCAGTCCCGTTCCCATTCGTACCCGCAACATGCGGCACCCGAGTGTTAGTATCTCCGCTACTACCGCTCTTAACAGTATTAACGCTCATATAACTCTCGATCCCAAATCTATGCGCCGGTACGCCGTTGGGCCCTCCCTTGCCCGGGGTATTTCGGGTTCCGCCAATTAGCACGCCATCGTCGAGCGCATCATCTGGTGTCCACGCGTCGTCCTCCAGGAGCTCCCACTCGGGCACCGGATTCTCGCGGACAAGCTTAGCCTTGAGCTTATCTGCTAGCTTGGCCACGTTGGGCATCTTGAAGTTGCGCGTGAGCTCATTACCTGCCGCGCTGCCTAAGAATGTGTGCGCCGTGCCATGGGAGTAGAGGCCCATGCGAGGACCCGCTCTGCCGAGCTCTGCGGGCGCATTGCTGGTGATGCCGGTGCCGTTATTTTGGGCTGGATCGTCGGCGATCTGCTGAGGATTCCGCTGCAGGGAGAAGTTGATGAGAAGATTGTACAAGTTTCGGCCGAGACTAGCAAAATCCTCTAAGCTGTTGGTGTTATCGCCTACAGAGACGCCTTGGGTTCGACAAAGCCAAACTACATCATAGGCCAAGAGGCAAATCGCCTCGATAAAAGAATTGTACGTTTGTGGATCTTCTTTGCCAAGAGTGGATAGGGGTTTGTCCAAAAATAGGGGTCGGGGGTGTGGAACATGGGCGAATTGGCGATCACGGGGATCAGGAGGTAAAAATGAGGTACCAGGAAATGCGACATCGCCATGATGGTACGAAGAAGTTAACGAAAAGATTGTTGGTCGTGGGTAGTCATTGTGCGGGAGGGTGATTTCCGCCGGAAGTCGGATGGAAAGATAATGCGAAGTGAGCCATAGTAGATGCGTAATATGCGCGAGAGATGCGGAAATAAGCTCAGGTTGCGCGTCTAGGAAGTTAGAAGTATTAGATGGAGTTGAACGGGACATACACAACTTATGAATACTACGAGAAACTATATGAACTTACTGTTCATGGTATGTAGATCGACAATATCGATGCCACCAATCTTGTACTCAAATCGGGCGGGGTTCCCACGCCGCACACGCTGCAGTCTGTACAGCTTGGCTACCTCCATACAGAGAGCGGCCCGGTACTTTGTCATAGCGTCGTACTCTCGATCCCAGGAGTACCTGGTCATCTTGATGGCTTTCTTGGTCTCTTCAATCTCGCGAGCTCGTCGCGCAGTAATACCCTGCGAGGCAGCAACAAGATCTGACTTCTTGCGAGCGATGCCAGCCTTGCGCTCCTCAATCTCTCTTTTAACAGCAGCGACCTCTTCACGAAGCTTATCGGCGGATGCTATAATTCTCTCGGTCCTCTCCTTAGCCTTGTGTTCCTCCGAAATGCAGTTTTCTATGTACGTTCGAGGAGAGCCTTTTGTCGCAGAGGGATTTGGAATTGTATCGCTTTCTGACAATAGCTTGGTGACTCGAGACTCGAGCTCCTCAGCTTCTATGAGGATCCTAGCATTTGCCACACGGCCTTCGTACAATTCGTTCCTCGCATCTACGGTACAAAGGAAAGGCAGCCTGTTCGGGTGATGCGCCCGATGGCAAATATCGCAACTCATCGTGAATGATGGACGTTGTAGCGTGATTGATTGATATATTCAATGAGAATTCAGAGTCGCACTCTCATGGATTCTTATGGATTTCATGGATAGCAACGGGGGGCTCGTGGAAGTTCTGGTATGTTTGAAGCGTGAAGAAGCTGCATATCTACGTGTTAGAAAGCTATATACCGAGTAAAGAAAAAAGAAGAGAGAAAGAGAGAGAGATGACATATAACAAGCATTGACGAGCTGAATGTGAATAATTAAAAAGTAAAAGACGGCGACGAAGGTTAAAGGGTCCGTCCTTGTGACGTTAACGAGACTAAACGAGTATAGTACTATGTACCTTATCGGTTCTTATCTAGTTATATTGATCTTGTGTTGGTCTTATGTCATCTTCATCGCCAAGACATTCAACCCCCTGATTTGTTCCCCTGTCAATCTTTGAATTAGGTAATCTGCAATTAAGCACTTACGAAGGTTGTGGCCAAAAGTTTAGACCAAGATATACCTCAGCCCCACAGTTCCTCCACTTTTCTACTATTGTAAGAAATATTATCGCCAACATATTTACTTATTTATAAAGCCTTATAAATTTATTTAATATATATTAAATATGTTATTATGTTATTTAATTAGTATATTTAATAATAGAAATTTCTATAATTTCTTTTCTTTATTAAATTAATGTAAATACTTGTATAATAATCTAAGGTTGTTTAGGATTGAAGGCTTTAAGTTTATAGCATATTATAGCGCTTAAGTGTGCTATAAGGTGCTATACTTTTAAGGGTTATAAGGGATTTAACGTTAAATGTATACCTATTATTGGTAAAGGCCTAAAAAAGAGTAACGCACTGTGGGGCAGAGGTATATCTTGGTCTAAACTTTTGGCCACAACCTTCGTACAGTAAGTAGTATTTTGTATTTTGTACCTACCCCTTGGGCAGCGACGCGTCTTTTGAGATTTCATTAATTCAGGAAACCGCGAGGCGAATTATTGTAAATAAGAAGAACATTGAATAAAGCAATAAAACAATAGTTATTAAGTTCAAATTAAAAAGTCGACTTCTTTCTTATTTGAAAGATTCTTCTTTCATCATTTACATGCATGTCTCGAGGTTTTATGTATGAGTCAAAAGTCAAGAACGAGGGTTAGAGTCATCAGGTGACTGACTTTATCATTCATTCAATCATTCTATCATTCTACATAACTACCTTAATCAACTGTTCCATCCACTTCTAAATTTGTCGCGTCACGCGTCGTCTATTCCTTATTTCTGCACTAGGCTGCAGACTATTCTGGACAAGGATTATATTAAACCTTCAGTCCAGGCCAGGACTAGTTGGGAACATGTCTACTACACCTAGGTCATCGTCTCCGACGAAGCAGGACAGATCAGCCTTTGATCAGTCAATGATGGTTGAGTTGCCAACTCATCTAGGTGACGGGACCGAACTCATTGAACCCCCTGAGGAGGACGTGACAGTTAGACTACGCGCACAATCGCAATCCCAGTCGCCTACCCGAAAGCAACGTGCCAGACCCGAGCAGAACCAAGAGCTTGCTAGAATCAGACACTTGGAACGTCAACGCCAGACACGTACGCCGGAGCCGCAGAAGAGACGAAGTAATAAGTCTGAAATACAGAGCCCTGGCCACCTAGCTGCATTCAACTGGGACGACTTCGAGGAGCGTTACGAGAAGGCCCTACAAGAGGCCGACGAACAGGAAAAACAGCTCTTGGATGACTTTGATAGTCTTGTCAAGGTATGCGAGACTACAGCATGGACAAATTGTAACCCTTGAATCGACGTTGACCTAGGGATCTAGTACTTTAATGTTTGGGCAACGGCTTCCTCTACCCATGATAACGACAGAGCAGTCAAAAGGTTTGATTCCTTAAGCCATGCCCCTTTAATGCCACCGGTTAACAGATTACTAGACTACAAACTCGTGAGAGACATGTACGCCTTTCTGAACAAGCACTGGAGCAGAAGAAAAAGCATCGTAAGTATTAAATACTTCCACTTCACACTCTCGTCACTAATCTGTTCAGTATCCGAGGTTGTAAAGGCTTTCCAGAGTGCTCTGGCATTGTTGAGCACGACCTGAACAGCAAGTTTAGCTCACATCCACGTCAGATGAGAAATACATATATGTAAGGCGTTGGGTTAGTGAGGTAGGTACCGATGCATGAAGGTGGCGTTAGTGTGTTCGCCCTGTCCTCTACGAGGATCACGGCCTAATGACTTTACGATTCTCATGAACAGTTAATAGTATGAAATTCTATTTAGATTCTACTCCTATATCCACCTATATGTAGTAATATAGTAGCTTCGTAAACTGTGCTTATTTGTATCTGTAACGATCTCCTTTGATATATCGTTACATTACATGTATTACTGGGTACCTAGTATTAGATAGTACTAACTCAACTTCACATAGTACTAGGTACTACTATGTACATATTTATGTATGTACCGAATAGGTACCCTGCAGCTAATTAATTTAAGTTATCGATAACATGAACCTCCTGGCCCTGGAGCTCAAGCTTTCTACCCTACCTAGGGTAGGTACCATATATTTCCACTTCGCGTCTCCCATCTTTACATCTTCGCCATACACACAGTCTTCCGCACTAATGCAAACAAACACCATCTGCTTTACAAAAAGCAGTCATGTCAGCAGCTATGCCTGCTTCCTGGGGTCTTTTCCAAGTCCCAGAAGTGTCGCAAGTATGTCCCTTCTCTGTTTATTATAATCCCTCCATCTACTCTTTCATTTGGCTAATGCTGACTGGCTAGGCAGGCTGAAATCCATTCCTTTCACGACGCGCATTTCTCCAACGCATCAATAGAGCTTTTCAATGCTCAATTTTTGCAACCAGATTATTCACCATATGATGATAACTGCTACGAAGAAGACGAGGAATATTATGAAGAGGAAGAAGATGACAACCTCGGGTACTATCCCGATGGTGTCAAACGAACTCTTACCGACGAGCAAATCGCCATTTTTCGGCATTCCGAACTCGAGGCTCTGAAACGCGCCGAAGGCAAATCTACAAATATTAGGCAAGACTCGGCAGTATCAACACACGCAGTCAATGATGTAGGCGTTGCTGGGTCTGGCACAGACCATACAGACCCGGTAGCCACATCTGCGTCCGTAGACCAGGGCGAGATCTGTGAGGTCAAGGGAACAAAGGAGGAAGGGGAGCTGGAAGCTGGAAGCGAAGACGGAGAAATCGAAACACAGCTCACGAAAGCGGAAGCCAGACGTCTCAAGAAGCAGCGCTCGAAGCGCAGAAAGATGGAACAGCGAAAGTTCAACCCTGAGAAAAAGCCAGACTTGCGAAAGAGGACGTGGGATGTAGTTGAGGCTGGTATGGACAGCTTGGATTACGACGACCTCGAGACAGGCCAAGGCTCAGCGGTTACTCACACGGCTCAGAGAAGACGAATTTCATACGACGACTGAAGACCGTATCTACCCAGGTACTTGCTCATTATTAACAAGGATGTTAAACATTGACTTCCGAGAGGAGAGGAAACACGTGTATACATAGCGTCTCGCCAGGTTCGTACTCTATCCTTTGTCTCTCTGCCTGTCCTGTTTCGTGATGAGAACCTTTGTATCGTCATCCTTAGTCGGAAGTTCCGCTGAAACCATTTGAAGTTGGCTTTTAGCTGATGGATAGCTGGTTTCTATAACGGATGCATGTCGAAATTTTTAATCTTCTCTCTGAAAGCATCGTATTGATCCTATTTTACTTTTTTACTGGTATCATAGGTATAGATAGCTAATGAAGTACTTCATAGGATTGGACCCATAAAGCAAGGATTCGAATGATAGGTAGAAGATGGATGCACAGCATGGGCGCCACCAGCTCCAGTGAATACAATTGTTCGGAAGGTTGGCACAAAGAGATCCATGTAGGAATTTATCAAACAAAATAATAAGAACAATAAACTGTGAAAACATTGAAAGACCCTTGCTATTGAGGATATGATGGCACCTAGGTACAATGTAGGTTACATAGTGACTACATATGTATGTCGTTGTAAATTGTTACCACCCGCTTTCGTCAAGCCTTCACTGGGCATGCAACTTGGTCATTGATGTTCTGCCTACCTGCTCAGGTACCTAGGTTAGATAGGTTAGATAGTTAGATAGGTATGGTTTAAGATGATATATGATGATAAATGAGATATGTAAATATTAAGCCATCAGATGATCGAATTCCGTAGTTTGGCCGGTTTAATCTGGATTTACAGTGAGTGTCAGTGATCCATTCAGGCTTCAGGCTTTTTAGGTACCGTAAATGTACAATACCGTACCTGCCGAACTTGAGTTGACTGCAGTGACTGCACCCAGTGACCAGCCAGTGACCAGCCAGTGACCAGCCTTTTTTGGTGGATCACCCCCCAATTCCCTATTTTTTTTTTACCTTCTAAGGCTTGACCTCCTAGTCTCGTCCTATTCAATTCGACATCCCACTTTGACCATCTCCCATCACATGTCCCATTTAATAAATCCTTACATACATAATTCATATCCACGTACCGTACCCATATCCATTATCTTCATCCCCGTCTTCCCACCCGTATCACCAGGAACGACGACGACGGGTTCTCTTGGGTTACGACCTTGAACCCACCGCGCTCCGTTGCGTGCCGCATACTTCCTTTCCCTTCCCTTCCCTTCCCCCTCCCCTCTCCCTCCCCTCCCTCGGCCGCACTCGCTTCACCTTCTCTCCAATCGCCGCCAATTTCAATCCCGATCTTCCATATCAGCAATCGTATCGCCTTGTTGCGTGGTGTCCCGCCTGGACACATACACCAATTATCATGGCGCGCGTCTACGCCGAAGTCAACCAGAATATGCCCCGAAGTTATTGGGATTACGATTCCGTTAACATAAGCTGGGGCATCCTGGAGAATTACGAGGTGGTCCGTAAAATTGGTGCGTTACGTTGCGAGGTAGTCAAATATCATAAGCATGAATAAATCACTGACTGCCACGCAACAGGTCGCGGAAAATACTCTGAGGTCTTTGAGGGTATCAACGTCATCAACTATCAAAAATGTGTTATCAAGGTTCTGAAGCCTGTTAAGAAGAAGAAGATTAAGAGAGAAATCAAAATCCTTCAGAACCTCTCAGGTGGCCCAAACATCGTGGCCCTCCTCGATGTTGTGCGAGACAACCAGGTAGGTCGCGGTCCCATCATCACTCTTTTCCATGGCGTACATTGCCAGTACCAGATGACGAGCCGTGTGTACTAACCGAAATATCCCATCCAATAGAGCAAGACCCCGTCCTTGATCTTTGAGTACGTGAACAACACCGACTTCCGAAGCCTGTACCCCAAATTCAACGACATCGATGTGCGATACTACATCTTCGAACTCCTCAAGGCTCTTGACTACTGCCACAGCAAGGGAATCATGCACAGAGACGTCAAACCTCATAACGTTATGATCGATCATGAGAACAGAAAGGTATACTTCCCATATCTATATCAATTAAGAATACAAACGCTGACATTTTTGCCAGTTGCGCCTCATCGATTGGGGTTTGGCCGAGTTCTATCACCCAGGAACCGAGTACAATGTGCGCGTATGTTATCATGAGACTCTCAAAAGCCCCCTATCTACCTCGTCATCAATTATTAGGCCACGTGCTTATATGCACATGCACGTGTGTTTAAAAGCTTGATGGCAAGGTATTGAGGTATCACAACTAAAGATACTAATATGTTTCTATAGGTCGCATCCCGATATTTCAAGGGTCCCGAGCTACTGGTAGACTTCCAGGAGTATGACTACAGTCTCGATATGTGGAGTCTTGGTGCTATGTTTGCATCCATGATCTTCCGCAAGGAGCCTTTCTTCCACGGGAACAGCAACTCAGATCAGCTGGTCAAGATTGCTAAGGTGCTCGGCACTGATGCTTTGTTTGATTACCTGGATAAGTACGAGATAGAACTTGACCCCCAGTATGACGACATTTTAGGCCGATTCGCCAAGAAGCCATGGCACAGCTTTGTCAACCAGGAGAACCAGCGTTTTGTTAGCAACGAAGCGATTGATTTCCTCGACAAGCTGCTTCGATACGACCACCAGGTTGGTATAACCCCTCTCGCCATTGCGCAATACTTACTAACGGATACTCAGGAGCGACTAACCGCCAAAGAGGCTATGGCACACCCCTACTTTGCCCCTATTAGGGACCCAACCACCCTCACGGAATACCTTGGCGGTGCGACTGTTAGCTCAGAGTCTTGAGATTCCTGTCTTATCAAATGAAACAAGACACTTCTCTCCACTCTGTACAGCTACTTACGATACCCGGGCCCTTTTCTGTGCGTTGTCGTTTTGTCTTCCCAGCTGGGCCTACCCCTTTGAGTGTGTTTAGCACACCATAGCACATGTCCGGTATCAGGCGAGGCGTCAAGTTTTACTTAGGTACCTAAGTAGCTTCAAATTTCATGTCGAGGCGGTCTGCTGGATAATCTACGGCACGGTCCTTCTCGATGTGGTTTCCGCCCGTTCTCCACAGCAAGAAAATCCATGTGGCCAACCGATGAAGACAGGATGAGATACGGAAATACGAAAATCTCCTTTCATAATCATACCCCATGACTCTCTCGTAAACCCTCGCCTCCTTCTTCTTTCTAGTAGTATGTCACTCGATGATGGCCCGTTTCTTCACAGACTAGGTACCAGGCAGCAGTTGGGTGGGTGGATGGTTGTTATAGTGGCTCACATGGGGATGTGCTATCAAGTGTGACTGGTTTGGATGGCCGGGCTTCTGGCGTTTCGTGGGAGGGGTTACAATTTATCATGACTATGACTGTGACTATGGTTATGGCTATTAAGGGTGGTTTGATGATAACACTGAACAGAATAGAACAAAGTGGAAGAGAATGAGGGAGGGGGGGATATGAAGGGTTGAGGTATTAGCTATGCTGCAGTTATCCGATAATTCGACTTTTTACGTCTTTTTAAGCTCGTCATTCTCCTTTTGCTTATGGTTTTGGCACTCAATTGCTTCTACGTCAATAGGTATCTATAGGTACTACTAAGGTAAGATTGGGTGCTAAGTAACGTAGTACTCAATTCGTAATATGAGATCCATGGGAGGCGGAAGATGGGGGATTGATTTGTTGGTGAGTAGAAGGGCAGTTGATGCGCTGGCTAGTGTACGAAGTATACACAGGTAAACAAACATAACACAAACAGGGGCTGGAGTTGGTGAGCTTTCTTTCTTTGAGGTTCGAATTGTATCTTAGGTACTTTTACATATGTACCAAGTACTTCTCTAAGCATCTGTTACCCGGTATCTACAAACCTACATATACATAGGTCAGATATCTGTATCTAATTTACCCTACGATCGCGTCTTGTCTTCTACATAAATACCCTCTCATAATGTTGTCCCTAGCTTTATACATACCATGTATCTATCTATCTAATATCTATCTAATATCTAAAAGTCGGTTTAGACCACTTTCTTGTTCAACGTCTATGTACATGTATGTAGCCTTCGTTTGACTGCCTAGGTAGCCAGCCGTACGAAGGCACTTAGGTAGGTAGGTAGGTGGGTAGGTACATGGTATGTAACCATCACTCACTCACTCACTACCTACATATGTACCTAATAATCTAATTATCTAATCCCCGTATTCTATAACTATTGACACCGATCGTCATATTTACTTTTTTTTTCCCCTCGTGTCTACTACCTAGCTAGGTAGGTAGGTAGGTAGCTAAGGGGTTAAATGCTCGCTCTATTTACAACACGTGAAGCAGAAGTCGCGGTCACATATGAACCCATCGACGCCACACTTGCGCGCGGAGCCGCCGGGCGTGCGCACCGGACTGCTGTTCTCCGCCCCTCCTCTATTATTACGGCCGCGGCGCGACGGCGTAGACGCGAGTAGAAGATCGCCACCGCGCTCCGTGTATGTATTCGAGTTTGAGTTTGAGTTTGATTTGTTCGAGGCCAGCACGGTGCGCGATAGCGGCGAGCTCTGCACGCCGGAGGATGAATCGAACCGCCGCTTTGTGCCCCGGGATGCCCTGGAATCCGTCGCTGGTGGTGCGGCGTGCTTGGTGATGCGGCCGCTGGGTGTGCTGGTGGTGTTTCTATTGTGATGATGACGATGACTGGATTTATGTGGTGATAGGATGGTGGGTGGTAAATAGTTAGTTTTAGCGTGGGAACCGCTAGGCTTGGAATAAAAGGGGCTTGGCACGACGCTTGAAGACAGGATGCTCAGCTCGTCCTCGTCGTCCGAGATTAAAGAGGCCAGGGCGTATTTCTTCTTGGGGGACGGGGTGCGGTGGGTACCGCTTCGGGGCTCTGCGGCTGCACCCTTTTCTTTGTATTTCTTTGGCGTCCTAGGGACCAGTGGCCGACTCTTCGATGGGCTTGAGCTCTTGGGTCGTCTCTCCTCCAAGCTCGGCAGAGTGCTCTCAATATGTGCTTGCGCTGGTCGTATAACCAGGTCGGTCATACTGTTTGATGCCAGTTTGGTCGATGTCTGAGGCACAGATGGTTCGGGTGTTGGCTGGGGTATAATTTCTTCGGGCAAGGGTTGTGGATTTGGAACTGGTTCAGTAGAGGCTATTGGGTTTACTATGTTACTAAGGGCTAGGGTTGACTTCGTAGTATCGACCTCGACAGGCTGGACTTCAACAGACTGGACCTCGATAGGCTGGACCTCGATAGGCTGGACCTCGATAGGCTGGACCTCGATAGGCTGAGCCTCTTCCTGCGAGGCAACTGGCGACGGCAAAGTTGTTTTATTTTGCTCTCTTTCTGTAGGGGGGTCCAGACGCCGGTCTTGCTTGTCGTCTGACGCTATATCAGACTTCTGCGCTTCCACCAAATCTCCGAGTATCTGGTTGTTCACAGCATCCTGGAAAGTAGTTTCAGTATCGGCCGCAAAATCTATATAATCAGTGGTACTGCTTTGAAAGCTGACACTGTGATCATCTTCGTGGTTGAAGTAACGGTTCAGACTCAAACTCTGAGGCTTGCTGAGATCGTTTTCCCCGGCCAAGGAAAACCGGGATAATTCATTTTCGGCATGTACGAGTATTTCATTGTCTTCGACGAGAGGTTCCGCCTCTTTCATTCCAAACTCATCATCAAAAAACAAAGGGGAGTAGTCTCTCGGGTTTTCGTCTATAGAGCAAGGACCGGTTGAATCGTAGTCGGCATGCGAGAATTCCACGGGAGCAACCTCAACCCCCTTATTCTCTTCAGTACACTCGCACGAGATTGCAAGCGAATTCTCGATCTGAATTTTTTCATCTAATGTGGCTGTAGCGGTCTGTACAGTAACCTCTTGGGTGGTTTTTTCGATAGGCTCTTTGTATTCACCCCCTCCTCCTTCAAGTACAATGTTCAGTCCAGGTTGAATAACGTCTCTCTCATGCAGAGACTTGTCAGGTATGGTGTGTTCAGAGGATTTATCAGACTCTAGAGTTATGGGTCCCGAAGCTGCATTGGCTACATTTTCAGTGTCGTCTGATGAACCAGTAGCTTCTGGTATTGGCTGATGACCATTCATCCATGAGAAGTGGCCATAGAACTCAGAAGACTTCTTTTGTTGATCATTGAGAAGTTTGGATTCCCCTGGAGTTAAACCTTCCGTCTGTGTCTTAATTTGAGCTAATCTCGTAATAATTTGCTTCGCTAAAATAGATTCTTCTGGCGTTGAGGGATGTGATGTGGATGTAGCTGCTGCACAGGTAGCTACCGCGTCAATAGCAGATTCAGATGCAAACTCCGACATTTGACTATTCAAGTTTTCTTGCGCACTTATGTTGTCATTAGTTGTCTCCATAGACATCGGTAGTTTTGACGGCGATATCGCTTTCCTAGGCTTTGCGGGAGACCTGCGCCGTGGCTTTTGTGAATCATGCTCAGTTGTAGCTGTAGTCGTTTGTATATCAGTTTTTGGGTCTGTTCTTGTCACATTCCCCGTCACCTCAACTAATGATGAGGGCCTCTTGCTTCCCGATACTACAGGTTTGGGAGCTTCCTGCGTCGTCTCGCCTAGCAGAAGATCATCCTCTTCTGAATCCTCTTGGGCTACCGCTACACGAGGTGGAGGCTTTCGTATCTGTGTCTTTTTGACGGGAAGCCTTTTTGGCATCTGAGGGCCAAACATGTTGTTCGGTGGACGATTACTATACGCTCCTTCTGCTGGCATTAATCCATAACCGTATCCAGGCATGTTCAGATACCCCATGCCCATAGATTGACTTAGAAAGCCAAACCTATCCATATGAAGGGGAACTGGAATTTCCGGAATTTGCCAGAGCGGGTCAATATGCCTCTCCATAGGCATAGGGGGCCCGAACATGAATTGGTTCGTGAATTGATTCGGGAACCCAAATGGATCTGAGGGCATCCCCGGAGGCAGTGGCTGAAAACCCGTTGCTAGGCCGGTGGGAGCAATTTGATTTGAGCCAACATCCAACGGAAGAGAGGGAGTGTGTTGAGGTAATGAATTGGCGCGAGGCAAGGATTGAGAACGTGAATCAACTGATTGAGTGTCTTTCCCTTTCCCTATCATGAGTTTTTCCTCCTCGTTACTTGAAACAGAGCCCTCTCGGGCACGATCCTTCTCATCTTGTAGAGATTGAAGATGACCATTGTTAATAATCACCTCACCAGTCTCCAAGTCGATCTCATCGCCGACGTCGGTGAAATCCCTTTCGTACTTTTCGAAAATACGTTCAAATGCAGACTTGAGTCTTGTCGCAGCCTTAGCCCTACCCTTATCGAGTTCGTACATAGGGTCTTGCCTAGCATCAAATTGAGTAGGACTCATAGAGAGTTCATCTAGATTTGCTTCTTCTTCGTCATCGCTGTTGAGAGGGACCTGCCCAAATTTCATTTTCTTTGCCGGAGGTTCCATGATTCTGGTTACTTTGCCATAACCGTATGGCCGACATGAGTCGAAGATTGTCTTTGATGGCAAGATATTAAGCCAACAGAACAGAAATACATAAAAGTATACATGTAATTCCGATTAAAAAGGGAATTAACCTATAAACCTACCTAGGCTAGGTGGTCATAATATTTCTCGGGGTTTTGGGCTTTGATGTGGATGAACGCGCGCATTGTCAATAAAAGATGGATAAATACATGTAGGTACCTAGGTACTGTGCCTAGTGGAGTCCAAATCTTCGGGAGGTTCAATGAAGGTCTTCAGTGTTGTGTTACCTAGGGTACCTAGTAGTTACCTGTAGTTACCTAACCTAGTAGGCAAGAATCAGCTGATGACGTACAGAGCACATGCATAAGTCGACGTCGCAACTTCCAAATGACTTCTTAATAAGTAAACCTTCATTTTTGTCAACTGCACTACTTGATTTCTCACTTTTATCCTCATTTTTATTCTTGTAATTTCACGACAACCAGTATCAAGTATGGGACAGGCCACATCTATCCCTATCCAAAAAACACCATGTATTGTCAAAAGTGTCGCGCCCCACTCAAGCTAGATGGATCGTTGGCAGATCTAAATCCAGCCGCATTCGACCTACTCGTCGGTCAGTAGCCTCACCTCGCCTGTCGCGACCTTACCTTGCCTTACCTTGTCTTTCCTTTACTCACCTTACCAAATCCAAATCCAAATTCAAGTCAGCGTCGTATCTGTCGTCAACTAATATGAAACTTCGTAGCTTCGTCTTCCCAACGCCAGCAACCGAATCGATCCTCGTCTTCCCGTCTCAGCTATCCCAACGATGTCGAGAGAAAGGCCTTATACGACAAAGTATCCAAGGATGCCGGACCTACTACCTTTAAGAAGAACTCAGGTGCCCTACGTGGCGATGGTCATCATCGCGATAGCTCTGCCATGTCATTTGTGCTCCTCACCGAGTCTCAAGTAGCCCCCCCGAGACTCACTCCTCCCATAGAGTCACCAAATCCAAGGCAACAACGACGAAATTCAATGTCTAATAGCCAGCGTAATGACGGGAGAACCACACAACCCCACGAAGCCGAGCGCATAAATAAACTGTTTGAAATATTGTCTGCGAGGTCAGATATTGATCACCCTATATGTGTAGAGTGTACCGAAATGCTAGTAGATGGACTTCAGAAGAAGCTGGAGTCAACCGCCCGGGAACGGGATGCCTATGCCGCTTTCTTAAAGCAGGTCCAGGCCGATATACCTAGCGAAGAGGACATTGCTGAATCCGAAAAGGCCGTAGCGAGAGCACATAAGGAGGAAGAAGAATCTATGAACGAACTTTTGGCATTGGAGAAGGAGAAGGCTGCTTTAGATGTTGAAATCGCTGCCTTGGAAGAAGAATCGCAAGCCCTAGATGCCGAAGAGGAGCAGTTCTGGAGAGAACGTAACATGTTCGCAACGAAGCTTGCCGAATTTCAAAGCGAAAGAGATAGTATCAACTCCAAGTTTGACCATGACTCGCAGCTGCTCATCAAGCTTCAACGAGCCAACGTCTATAACGATACCTTTTCGATACATCATGACGGTAACTTCGCAACGATCAACGGCTTAAGACTGGGCAGATTATCTACGAAACCTGTAGACTGGCCCGAAATAAATGCCGCTTGGGGACAAGCATTATTACTAGTGGTTACAGTCGCTGACAAGCTTGGATATAAATTTGATGGCTACGAGCCACTGCCAATGGGCTCGACATCCAAGATTATTCGTTATGAATACCCATCCCCTTCTGCCAGTCGACTTGGTCATCGAAGTGGGCCTCCGCCCGCGCCCAAGAAGAGTGTTCTCGAACTCTTTTGCTCAGGCGACCTTCCTTTACAGATGCTATGGAATCGCAAGTTTGATCAGGGTATGGTGGCTTTCTTGGAATTAGTAAGGCAGCTTGGAGTTTTTGTCCATCAACAGACGAAAGCAAGCACCGATCGAGAGGGATACGCAGCCAACCCACTAGCTCTTCCTTACAAGATCGAAGGTGATAAGATTGGCGATGACAGGATAGGCCACTTCAGTATCAAGTTAGGTATGAACAACGACGAGAGCTGGACGAAGGCCTGCAAGTTCGCCCTCACCTGTTGCAAATTTCTGATTGCACACGCAAGCAACATCAGTCATCACATAACGAATGGGCGCTGAAGTGTAACTAACTTGGATATGATTGGGTCATGTATGGAATTAGGAACGGCGTTCAGCGTTGTTGGAGGTTAGTAGACTGCCTTATACCATCATCGTACTTATAGCGTACAGTTGGGTTTTGCCGACTATCAAATATCCGAATAATATCGTTTGTCATTTCAAAACGTGTTGATCGACTCCCTTCTCCCTTCTCCCATTCGTCTGAGTTAACATCAAGTCATCGTGGTCGCACAGGAAATCGCGACTAAAATCCGTTAGGAATACCGCCTATGTGGCGCTTGTTACCAGATAATCATGAACTCGGTCGAGCAGCTTTTGTTTTCACATGATTCAAAGTAGCAAACCCCCCTATTGTGAGGAACTCATGGGCTATCTTTAATGAGAATCCGCCGGAGGCAATTCATCTACAAAAGCATATCCATGGATATGTACACTTGATACTCGGGATCGAATCACTGCTGACTTATGTAGTCGTGTCAATACATGACGCATTCCTGATATATTCATGGCTCATTAGGTAGTACTAGATGATGAGTAGGTATCTATCTAGGTCATGAGGGCATTCGCTACTCTACATCTAGGTACATCCAACGCTAGAGTCATTCATATCGAAGAGCATATAGTTATAAATACCTTGAATACTCCGACCAAAGCCTACCGCTCGTTCGAGAAGGAAACTGATTGGCGGCTACATGTCCGGAAGCGTAACAATATCCCACAACATCCAAAATCATCACCTACATACCTAGGCTAAGTACCTCCACAGCGCCATGGGATCAGCCCTATGTCCCGGCGATCTCGCCGACTACATCCAAGAAATAAACCTAATCAGCTTCTTCGACAACGGCCTCGGCCTCGACCTCGACCTCTCCGACAGCGATAGTAGTCTCGACGGCGGTGACAGCAGCGAACCACCCCACCCGCCCCCCCAATTCCTCAACGCAGCCACCGCCTGGCTCGACTCCCGCCGCAGCGAGACCCTCTGGCTGCAGCTCCCGCCCCACCACCACCCGCACTCGGACTCCTCCTACCTCGCCCAGCTGATCAACTCGATCATGGATGCCCCAGGACAAAGGCCATCGCGCTCGCAGACCCGCTTCGCCGGCGGCCGCAGGCCGTACTGGTACGTGCCGCACGTGCTCGCCAGCCCGCGCACCAAGCTCGCCGCGCTCATCTGCTCGTTAATCTACGAGCTCGTCGCCAACTGCCACCTGCGGACCGCATTCGCGCCGGCAGAGGCGCTGACGCGGGAGAACTTCCGGCAACTGGTTAAGAGGGATCGGAGGGCGGATGCGGGGTGGGGGGTTGAGATACGCAGGGGCGTGGCGATTATTCGCGCGCTCGCGGGTGTGCTGGCGAGCGATGCGGTGTTTGTGTTCGCGGGGTGCGATGACGTTGCGGTGGCGGGGGACGGGAGGTATGATGAGGAGGTGGGGAGGGCGTTGGCGGAGATACTGTGCGCGCTGGCTATCCCTGGGCACGACCACGACGCGGGGCGGGGGGGAGGGGTGGACGGCGACGGCCCGTTGCAGAAGGTTCTCTGGATCGGGAGGGGGGCGTCGCCGCCTTTTCGGATGTTGAGGGGCGAGATGAGGGCGGAGCTATTTACGCAGGTGCCGTTCCGGAGGGATTGGACGTGCGGGGGGGAGGTTTTCGAGGGGGAGGATTATGTGGTTGTTGGTGTTGATGATGCTGATGGCGTTGTTGTTGATGCGGGCCTGTTGAGGTTCTTGGTCTCGTTCTTGAGCTTGTTTAGGCCTAGGTTTCTCTGAGTAGGTACTACATAGGTCTGCTATGAATATATAGCTTAGCATCTAGGTAGGTACCTTACCTACATAGTACTGCCTATCTACTTATGTGCCCACCTCCTTCCCTCAGGCACCACATCACCACCAAACCAAACCATCGCCGTCTCCTTCCCCTTTTGATCGTGATATCTTACTACGAAGAGTAGGTACCCAGGCGCCTTTACTCACTGTCAGCAGCAGCAGCCTTGGTACTATGTACCTTTCTTTGCCTATCCTCGTGCACCACTGCCATCGCCTACCTGCCTGCTAGACATTACGATATCCCGAGCAATTAAGTGTATTATTTAGCCCCCTTTTTCATTTCCCTCCCAAAAAACCGGATCAGCGAGAAGGGTTTTTAGAAATCGAGCGTTAGTAACAAGCTTCGAAGAGTCGTCAAGATACTACGTTAGACATGTGCATTATCACAAGCTAGGCGACAGAAATATCAAGTTCTGCAGGACCCCTAGTATTACAGGTATGTTTTATTGGACCATCTAGATATATATTGATAGCTTTGGAGAGCTTCGTACGTGTGTGTAAGCTCTTGATTTGGTAAATTGCCCGTCTTCAAATTTTGGCGAGCTCTGTGGCCCTACTATAGGGGTCACGGTAGTCGAGACCCTCGGGGTGTTTTTCTCCTCTCCAGTAATGTTGCCATCACTGCTATGAATCATATTTCTTTGTCATAGCTCCCCCACGTGCGTGTATTTGTTCTTTTGCTTGAGGGCTTCACATTTCGCCACATTGTGCCACCACAACATCCATATCAGGGACATCCCGGCCGCGTCTGCCAGTCTTAGTCTTATCCAACTTCTCAATGACCTCGATGCCGTCGACAACTTTGCCGAAGACAACGTGCTTCCCGTCCAAGTGGGGGGTGGGCACTGTCGTGATGAAGAACTGAGATCCATTGGTGTTCGGGCCAGAGTTCTGGAATATTGGTTAGTAATTAACATAGTTAGGGGGAAGAGACACAGAGATACGTACGGCCATGGAGAGGAGGCCTTTCTCAGTATGCTTTAGAGTAAAGTTCTCATCGGCAAACGATTTGGTGCCGTAGATAGACTAGGTAGAATAGCAAGAATCAGCATTTGCTTTTTGATTTTCCATTTCCCCCTTTCCCCCTTTCCCCCTTTCCCTCCTTCTGCCAACTTACCGTGCTACCTGTGCCGTCTCCGTTGAGAAAATCTCCGCCCTGAAGCATGAAGTTGCTAATCTATTGATAGTGAGTATAATGAAACATTACAACAGGTGGGCAGACCATACAATTCTGTGGAACTTGCTTCCCTTGTACCCCTGGCTCTGGCCGCGGTTGTTTTTGGCCTCGCCTGTGCAGAACTGACGGAAGTTCTCCGCGGTACGAGGCACTACATCTTTGAAGAGCTCAAAGGTAACGCGACCGAGGGGTTCCCCTATTTTCGATTAGTACTGCATGTGACATGAAATGCTGGTAGCATGAAAGGTAATATAAAGGGTATGAAAGGGGGGTCATGGAACAAAAGAGCCTCGTTGAAACCCCCACGTGCATGTGATATATGTCCACGACGGGTAGTCACGTGACCTCTCCTAAGAATAAAAACGATCTCAAATCAAATCGCAAAAGGTCATATATTAGCATAAGCGCTTACCTCCTAGCGTAATATCAAAGAAGACTCTATTGATCCCTTTCAATCAGCACGGAAGCCTCGGAGGATTAATGGTTGCTGACGAGTGGTGCCATGTATGTATTTGAGATACCTACGCCGCCTCAGCCACCATTAAAATGCAATATAATAGTTAAAGCAAACAAGAACAAAAAGACAAAAAAAAAGACATCTGACTTACAAAGGGTTTCCGGAAGCTGGAAGCTGTGTCGGCGCCATCTTGTAAGTTAGGTAACTAGGTAGGGAGAATGTTAGATGACGTGATAGGCGGTTTCGGTGGATGGGTGTTAAGCTATTAGCCTAGGTGGGCAGTGAACGACAAGAAGGTACTGTAGTAGGGCGGTATGTCTGAAAATGTTTGGGCTCGGTGTAGTGCAGTGTAGTGCAGTGTAGTATCAGTTGAAGCTTGGAAGGAATCAAATACTGTAATATTGTGGATGGGTCAGATGGACCAGATGGACCATCGTCGGGTGTCTTGGGGCCCGGCTATTAGTTAATAGCCCTGGAGATGCTAACTTTTAGGTGTCATGGACAGGGGTCCACATGCCTAACAGAGGTACTTACATGTGCCTTCAGTGACAAGTTCAGTCTTCTCCAGTCAGTTGCATCAATAATTACCCTAGGCGCGGGGCTAGCGGGGTTTAGAGGGGTTTAACTAGTGCCTGTATGTACAACCTGGGGAACCGTGCGTACATATTCTAGGTACATTGTAGGTCGATCCAGGTCACTGGTGTAATCCCTCGTTTTTCTCTTCAATGTTTCTAATTCTTAGGGTTTGGGATTGTTTAATACACATTCATGTATGATGTAACGTGCTGTATGTTAATGATGCTCATAAATTGAACATTGTTTGTTATATGCAAATCGTTGAACTTATTGACGATACTACTGTACCTAGTAGTACATTGGTAGTACTGATGCACATGTGGCCTGTATACTGAACTCAGACACGATGACTTCATCGCGCTTCTCATAACTATGTACCCTAAAAGAGACTAATGCAATTCTTCCTTCAGGTTCTCCTTATTCCACATCTGATGGTACAGTACCTGCCCAGCTGTAACTGCGATAATCACTTATACGTAACCAAGAGAAAATACAAAAGTCAAAAACAATAGCCTTGGAGTAATTAGGTAAGTAGTAAGAAAATCAATTAGCCCTGGAGCTTAGGTAGGCTGTCTGACGGAATACTCCATTTGCAACCGTTTGTAGGTAACTAAAAGTTGACCGTTTATAGATGATTTGAGTATCTGCCAAGATTTGCGAGCTGTATGCCGATTCAATGGTGTACTCAGCCTCGTCACTTTTTAGTTTTAAGGTTGGTGATCTGCTTGCCATTGGAGATAAGCCGTTGACAAATACTCTTTAACCTTTAATACTATTGGGATGAATCGGTTGGCTATGGTAATCCAGGGGGATACCACTCAAAAACCGAGCTATCCGTGTATGGCCTCAAGAGATAGAGGGCTAGCATCTTAGAAGAAGTGTACCTAGCTACTAGCTAACTAGCTCCTAGGTAGGCTCACTACACTAGGTTAGATCGCTGGATCGCTAGATACCGAAGTGTGTTGCTGCTTCGGTTGACCTATGATCCGATTTGATAGCTTCAATGTTCTAACAATAACATGCTAACCCTAGATACGGAACCTCGAGAACCCTTTACTTAGCCTAACTGTGAATATGGGCTAACCTACATACATAATGGCTACATAATCATTAACTTGGCACATTTTGTCACACCTCCCTAGTCAACCTAATCGAGATAGAAGCGGGAGCATTGCCCAAGATCCATTACTCTATTATGGTACAAATGCTACGTCGATGATTCGTGGAATGGCATCAATGGCCGCCGCATTTTATGTCGGCGCAATAAAGATGGCCGAGAATTACTATGATGGCATAGCCACATACCACCTAATATCTGCCTACCGTAGGTAGGCTAGATGATATATTCTAGCCCGAATGTTTAAGAACAACGCTTCCATGCATGTCGTTAATATATCCTTCGTCCGTTGTAGAATCGTGTAAAGTTTATAGCCCTGGAGCCTTTCCGACAACGTTAATTCCAACTGAGTTATGTATGAAGGCTGTCATGCCCAGCAGCCCGGAACTTTGAAGTTGGACAAAGTTAAGGGGTTAACGCGTAATCCGTAGTTCGTGACGCAGCATGCATATATGTATTCCCTACACTGTACCTTGGGTATATACATATACCTAGTAGTGATATGTATAGGTAGTGGCTGTGAGATAGTTAAATATAAGTAGTAAGTTCATGCTATTACTATGTATTGCGACTGTTATAGATAATGCTGATCATTGATCACCCTCAAGATTTGGGTACGGAACAGAGATCTGTGTTTCCTTACCTAATTACCTAGTTTCTCGATTCCTTACTAACCATCAGGGCACTCGGGATCGTGAATTTCGACGTGGATACATAGTCTTTGCGTAGTAACATAGTGAAACGGTTGAAAATGCAGGACTGCCTTTGCTCGAACGCGCAGACTTCAATGCTGGATTGGAGGTTGATTGGAGACGCTCGTATGCGACAATCAACACATGTCGTGCCACGCGGTGGTCTGACGCCAAACACGACAGGTATCAAGTAGTATCATGATAAGATTTCTGAATGACTGCTGCTTTTCCGACCTTTAATTGTGTTCTAGACTCTTTAAGAACTCGGGAGATGCACGAGATGGTGTACATAATATAGATAGACATTCACGAACTTACTTTTAAGGGTCTACAGCAGTACCAACATTTTATAGACATATATGTAGCACATGCGTGTGTACATTTATAGGATGTAGGTAGTAACATAAATGTGTAAGTACCACATCAATTAGGGGCAGTGATAGTAACACTAGGGGTCGTCCCTTAAGCGCCTATCCGGACTTTTTTGTCGATCTTGAAATAATTGCGCAACCAACAACGATCTGAGTTTGGAGTGTTACATGCATACGCCCGTATAGGTAGAGAGGTTCTTAGAATGCGATTATATTCGAGGAGGCTTTACAGGAACTGAAGAATATTTGAAATATCTTCACATCTCCAAGCTGACTTAGGAGATGCATATGTAAGACATCGCCCCTACTATTGAACTAGCCATGGCACATGGGACTACTAGATCTATCTATAGTTAGTTAATTGTAAGTTGGTAATAGTTAAAGCTGAATGAAGGATACAGAAGGATACAAGAAAAACTTATAGGACCGTTTTTAGCACCGCCCGTTTCGAAAACTCAAATAGGTACAACCCGACGATATCAAAGTTATAATCAAACTCATGATCTCAGGCATGATAGACCTGCTGTATGTAGACAAATAAGGCCCTGGAGTATGCGAATGGGCAACCAATGGTAGCTTAAACCCACCACCTGCAAGTCACATTGCCGATCCATCTTTTGTTCCTCCTTCGAATGTTCCCACTTTTATTACTATCGACTTGTCCAAGTACAAATGATCTATCATGTAACCAGTCGACAGCTCATTTTGAGTTCGCTTTACACATGAATAGGTATGTATGTGTTGTAGGTACTACTAGTAGTAGTGACTCGATGTTGTGAGTTTGTCATTTAAGACATTTCAAGTTGTTTGTTATAGTAGTTTCATGAAAGAGAAGAGAGCACGATCGATTTTTGGACAAAGTATGTACAATAACTACATACAGAACACTGAACACTGAACTGATTCAACTGATAGTTAATAGGTGATAAAAGAAAGTGTACATTTCAGGTTACTCCCGAAACTGGCTTAAATACACAGTTGCCCCCATTTCCCACATTCGGCTTAGACGTGATGCATGCACACGCACCTCGGCGCTGAAACCCTGCGTATTATTGGTTGATTCAACGATCCATACTATGTAGTCACCTATCGTTTTGAGCCTAAGAAGCCTAGAAAGCCTGGAGTTTAAAACCGTTCATACCCCCCAGATGTTCCAGCCCCCCCTCGACGCAACCGTTCTTACCTGCCACTTTCGTTCCGTTTTAAACCTTGTATAATAAATAACGCCTGTTGCTGTTGCTGTTGCTGCTGGTAGTTATTAATTGTAATTGCTGTTGCTGCTGACACTAACATTGAACACTGCCACTGCCACTGTCCTTTGCTTGCGCAGTTTATAAAGACAACTGGAAAGAACCTGGAAGGTTTTTAGTTTATTTTAGTTCATTATACATCACTGGTTCGTCAAGTCCTCACCCCCCCCAAAACCCCCCCGAAACATCCTTCTCCCTTCCCTTGCATTTCGCATTTATCAGTTTCCTCGGCGGTTGCACCCTCTTTAATCTCCACTTCTCTCTCCCTTGGCTAAAGGCTGAAAGTGAAAGTGAAGTGAACTAAACTAACGTATTACGACTTTATACATAGTACAAGTCTACAAGACATTTATTCCTTTCAACTCTGAACCAACTTTCTAACTTCTTGCCCACTTTGCCACTTTTTTCCTTCCACGATCAACGGAACGGATACCAGATAGTTGGGTTTAGTTAGTTCGCGGGTCTTCCTTTTCCCTTTTTTAAACCCATCGAATCGAATCGCGGATTTACTATAATAGAAAGGGGACCCAAATCTTTTGAAACGCAGATAAATCTTTTGGTTAGGCGACATTGGTAGTAAATGGCATCGTCGCTCAGAATCCGACCGTGTTGATAAGGATTCAAACTCAATCCATTTCCGGCCACAAAGTCGAGACATTTTTGCCAACTCGACCCTTTTGCCAATGAACTCCCTCACTTGACGACTGACGATTAATCGGCCACTTCCGAAATACGCCTTGAACGACGACTTTCACTTCTGCGATAATGGTCGCTATCAATGAGGCCTTGGCGGGCGGCGCCCATTTTGTCGCAAGGGCCATTGAGTATCAGATTCGACAGGCGTCGTCGTTAAACCCAACGGATAGTGCGACGCCATCTCCAACCTCCTTACCTTCTGCGTCCGACACTTCCCTTCCATCCGCGACATCTACAGCCTTGTCGCCAGATCCAACTGCTGGAAACTCCAACAACAATGACAACAATAATCAGGGCGCTTCTAGTTCTCCCCTGCTATTTTTTGTGGCTTTGGGGTTCGGTGTCGTTTTCACTAACTTATGGTAAGCCGTCATTGATGACATATCTGCTGGATATGGCTTTCCATTCTAGCCTTCTAACCTCGGGAATAGGATTATCGTTGGTGTGAAATACTGCTTTCGTTATAATGCTCGCAACCGGCAGTTGCGGGGATTGGACGAGAATGGAGAGCCTATCAACCTCGAAAACATGCCTGCTCGACCACATCGACGACGCCGTGAAAAGAAATTAATGACGATGGATGAAGTCAATGAGAAATTCCCCATGATGAAATATAAGGCCTGGGTATCGGCACGCGCACGCGAAGGATTGCCAACTACTGGAGGAGTTTCTGCGCCCGCTAGCCGTGCTAACAGCGTGCTAAGCGTCGAAGGTATCGTGCCAGAAATTACAGCGAAAGAACAAGACCACGTCGAGGATCGTCATGACGCCGGCACTGCACCCAAGTCCCCAGACGAAGAGAAGCCTAATCAGCAAACCACTCCCAGTGATAATGCAACTGTTGGCGATGCACTCGCCCAGCATGACACCTCGGATATTATAGTGACAAAATACGATGATCATCGTGCGAGCATGGACGAAGATGACGACGACGAGCAAATTGACGCTGCTCTACCGCCCGAGCTGGTAGGCACACAGGGTGACACGTGCGCAATCTGTATCGATACTCTTGAGGATGATGACGATATTCGCGGATTAACTTGTGGCCATGCCTTTCACGCTGTCTGCATTGATCCCTGGTTGACCAACCGAAGAGCTTCTTGTCCTCTCTGCAAAGCAGACTATTACACTCCCAAGCCCCGCCCGCCTCCTGCGGATGGCGACCCGACTAGTCCTACATCTAACAATGACCCGAATCGCAACCATGGTCGTATGAACATGCCTAGGACCCCGCAACGTACATTTACATCTTGGAGCAACTTCCGTGGGGCCCCGCGTGGCATGATTGCGGGTCGTTTCGGAGGTATGGGTTCAGGCTCGGCAGAACAAGGTCGTCAGCCGCGCATATGGGAGCGAAACCGCCCTGAGCGGCACCACCACCATAATCGTAATCCGCAATCACAGCCAACACCCACTGAAACACCAGCTGAGAATGCTGGTTTCTTTACGAGGGTTCGCACTCGGTTGCCGCCCCTGAGACTAAACGAAATCGTGAGGAGAGATCGCAACACCCGGGCTGTAGAAACGAGCGATGTGACAGCATCAGGTGCAAACGGTGGTACGAATACGACACCATCCCAGTTGGAAGCGGGGGTACGGCCTGCGGCCAACTAAGGTTTTTAGTCTCCATAGACATCGGCTTTAATCAGACGAATATATAAAACTTTTCATTACCCATGACATCTTCGACCATATTCATGAGCCCAACATACCCCAAGTGTATGTGTTCTAGCCCTTTTCCCTTCTCTATAATTTCTCTCGGCTACGCCTGATCGACGGGTCCTGAATCACCTGGCCTCCGTTGACGCTTGCGAAGCTGATACACAAGTGGGAAAATGGACTCGATTGTACGGAAGACTGAGAGCATGAGATTGGCCTAGGGTGGCTTGATCTACGTATGAAGGAGTTGATGAGAGAGGAAGGGGGTTGGGGGGTTTAATCACCTGTAGTTACCTTTTACCATCACATCTTTTTTTTTTTCGGGTTTCTTTTTATTACCTGCCTAATGATTATGTATGGTATGGTGGCCCTGAACGAGAATAAGAGGAAGAAAATTTCTTGAGAGCAGGGTTTAAACCTGATGGATGGATGGGGCGTCGGATGGATGCATATTTCAAGGAGTTTTAGAGGGATTTTTTTTATTATTCTCGGAGGCAGGCAGGCAGGCAGGCAGGCAGGCAGGCAGATTCGTTATTTTACATTCCTTTTTCTTTACCCCCTTTCTCTCTCTTGTTCTGAACATTAGGGGAGGTGTTTGGTAGGTGTCTACATGCCTACATGCCGTATGTATGTATGCATGTATGTATGTCAAGGATAGGCTGGGCTGGGTCAGTGTGAGCACGGCCGGAAAGGCTAGGCTAAGGGGGTAGATGGGTGAGACGAGGTAGATGCGGTAGATGAAGCATGCGATACATATCTATATCAGGACTTTTTTTTTTTTTTTTCAAAACTATATATATATATTTACTCCTTTTTACGTTGTTGCCTATGGTTACCTGTGTTTATGATATGTTTTATTTGTTGTTGATGGTTGTTGATGATGGTGCTGTGCTGTTGGCGATGTGGGAATAGGGAACGAGGGATGGGGTGTAGATCGTAGGTTAGGTTATATATAATGCGTAGGTAGGTATGAACTACGGTAATGGATGAGTGGGAAAGCAAAGGAGAGAGGGGGTGTGTTGTTCTAACGAGTCACTACCTATGACGAAGGCCATGTTGCCTATAATAACCTACTAACCTGGTATAATAGGGATTGAGCAGCAGGTGGGTTTGGCAACTTATGTTGTTTTTTTGACGTTTGTAGTCAGGCTATTGATCTCGGGTATCTTGCGTGCGTGCGTGGCTATATTATCCCCCATTTATCCCCCCCTCCCCTTTTATATTCTACACTCTACATAGAGGCCCTTGACTCTTTACAAATTTAGATTCCTTAGTAGGCTCGTACCCTACTTATATGTAGTAGGTACCTTCATCCTTCATCACAGGTACTTCCCCTTGGTAAACTTGCCAGTGAATTCAGAGGCATGGTTCATGAACTCGCGGCGCTTCGTGGCGTTGATGCGGCCGCCGAGCTTCATGTCCTTCTCGCGGTCGAAGGCGCGCTTGCTCGGGTCGTCCTCCTCCTCGTCCTCGCGTAAGGTGCGCCCCTTGCGCGACGACTGGTGCTCCTCGTACAGCGACTTGCCGCGCGTCGCCTCCGTGAAGCTGCGGATCCGCTCTTGCTGCTCCAGCGCCTCGGGCGTGGGCTTGTCGCCTCTGCCTGCACCGCTGCTGCTGTTGCCGGCGCCGGCGGCGGTGGTGGTTCTTTGGGTGGATGACTCGTTGCTGCGGCCGAGAACGGCGTTCTCGAGCCGCTTGCGCTTTTGCTCGGGCGTTTCGGTCCAGATGCTACTGATTTCGCCCCCTGGGTTATTGGACGAGGCGCTGGACCGTGGTCCACTGTTGAAGCGACGGCTTTTGAGCTTGGTGGGGTCGGGCGCGCGATTGCTGGACCCGGGGGATGGGGGCGCTAGCATCCAGTCGTCACGGCGCGGGCCGGCGGCCTCTGCTGCGGCGCGAGAGGCTTCGGCGGCTGCTTGGGCTTGGGTTGCGCGTGCGAGGTGGGAGGTTGAGGTGGGCAGCGCGGGGCCGTAGTCATCATCAGAGTCGTCGTCAGAGTCGGAATTAAGATCGGGAGGCCGTTCCGCTAGGGGAGCTGGAGGGGGCGCGGGGCCGTGGACTCGCTTTGCTGGTGCTGAGGGGGCTGGCGCTGGTGCCGGCCCTACATCGTCATCATCTTCTTCTGAGTCGTTGTCTCCCAGTGGTATCTCGTCATTATTCGTAGGTGGGAGGGTAGGTCCAATGGTGGGTCGTGTAGTAGAGGGTAAAGGAGGAGCTGAAGGGCCGATGTCATCGTCATCGCTATCGTCTAACTGGACCTCATCCGTGTTTGAGGGTGGCATTGTAGGGCCTATAGGACCTCTTGCTGTAGACTTGGGAGCAGATGGGCTATAATCGTCGTCATCACTACTAAGACTTATTTCATCCTGGTTGGCGGGCGCTCGATCTGTTGCTCGTACTTTTGGGGCAGGAGAACCTGAAAGCGAATCGTCCTTTGAATTGCGTTTGCGTTTTGAGAGGTGAGGGGGTATTTGTGGCCCTATGGATGACATGGCTATGCATACACTAGATATGATATTGATGTTGATGTTGATGTTGATGGTTGTTGATTTTGGAGAAACCTTGAAGGTGATAATAACATTGAAGTATTGAAGTATTGAAGTATTATGAACTACATGTACATAAGGTGCAGGGGTTAATAAAGTTATCGACAACTAGCGTTTGCTGGTTGGCCCGTGCGTTACTTACAACTTAAGATTCGATAACGTTGATTGGTGATAACAGGCACCTATGTAGTTATGTAGTTAGTTATGTTTCATTGCTAAATACATACATATAAGGCCAAGCTACTAGGTACCTACGTAAGGCAAGGTAAGGTAGACCTGAATGATTCGAGAGGAGCTTGCGATAACGTCTGAAGTTACGAATCAAAGTACCAACTTAACAGTTACAATTTCCTTCTTTTTTCTTCCTCTTCTAAACCACTTGCAGATCTACAGTCGAACCAGTTAAACGCCTCTCTTCCGCGATCAGCTTCTTTTTTTAGCGCTTCCGTTGCGATATCCCTGTTCCGAATATTGCCGTTCCATAGAGCTAGAGAGTGATTACTTGAGCTTCAAGCTTACTACATAGTACATCTTTTTGACGACTGCCTTGAAATCTTAGTGGAGCAATTGTATAAGACGCGACGCAAACACAACCATTGGCGACTATCCTCGAAGTCATGCGATCGATGAAGACATTTTGATGAGCTTGCCTTCCCCGGAGAGAGACGATGGGGCTGTCAGCATGGATATTGATCATATAGATCTGTCTCCTAACGGGGATGCGGCATCGAGCGACGATGACACAATCAAGGGAGATGGAGACGGAAACCAAATAGCCGAAATTATCGAAGAAGAACGGCAAGATATTGTATCTGAGAAACCTATTGAGACTGGGACTATCGCGAACCGGTACCAACAATTATTAAGGGACCGCGACGATGCTTCTGAGGAGGGGTCTAATGAGGGTATACCCCGAAGGGCTGGAAGTCCAATCGACTCGTTGCTCTCCGTGCCGGACGACTCACCTTCCATTCAGGTAGACTATGAATATTTGCCACAACGAGGGAGGTAACACTGACAGATCCGACAGGGCTCCTTGATATCTTCCCCTGGAAGTAGTAGAGTCCCGTCTCTTGCTTCGCGACCTGGGCTTAGCAGTCCTACGCCCTCTTTCAGGCCATTTGACCGACGGTTCCAATCCCGTATATCATCTCCTTCCGCGCTAACTCCACGGCCATCGTCACCTTCCTTTCTTTCTGGACACAGCAGACAAGTGTCCATTAGCAGTCAATTCTTATTCGATCCTGGCGAGACCGAAACCCCCTCGCCGCCGTGGGAAGTTGTACGATGGACGAAACTGAAAAAGTTGAACGGGCAAGCCTTCTCTGAAGCTGGAAAGCGCAATTTTGGTTCTCCTACTTGTTTAGCCATTTCTGCTTCCATTGTCTTGGGAACATCCAAGGGCATAATCCTAATGTTTGATTACAACCAAAATTTAAAAATGATTATTGGTCCAGGCACAAAAGGTTGGTTGATATCTCACTAAAAGTTTACTATACTAACCAGCCATAGCCGTCGAATCGGGGCCTATTACTGCAATCGCTATATCCGCAGACTATACCACTATAGCTGGCGGACACGCGACAGGAAACATATTCACTTGGGATACGAGCCGGGTCTCTCGGCCGTTCCTACATATTCCGCCCCTTGATGCGCTTCAGCTACAAAACCGGACGATGGATGGCCACATGCCGAACGTGTCAGTAATTCATCTAGGATTCCTAGGTACTAGACATACTGCCTTAGTTTCTGCCGATGATCATGGCATGGCCTTCTCTCATCTTGCTACCCGGGGTACGGGTGCCCTCGGGCGAACAGTCAAGACGGTCCGGATACTTGGCCGATACCCTGATGCTCCTCCTCCCTCTTCAGGCAAACCCCTTAAACCCAGCACTGTGCTCGCATTTTCCCCGTTACCACTCGGAAATATAGAGCGAGCAACAGATTCGATGGGCCTCACAGCAATGCTCACCCCTTATCTACTTGTCGTAGTCTCCACCACTCCAGTTGCACAAACCCAACACAAATCAGCCAGGCCAAAGGATGTAGCACCACATAGTGCTATGACGGGGTGTTTAGCATGGTTCCCTGCCGTCAAGTTAAAGGTACCAGATCCCAATACTGGAAGCACCATGTCTAAAGTCAAACTTGTCTACTGCTGGTCGAACGTGCTCACCGTCTTAGACGTAGATGAGATGGAATCGGATGACAAAGATAAGCCGCCGCCACTGAAGTTCAAGGCACGCAGTAGATGGAAGTGTGAAGAAGCAATTGTTGCGGTTCAATGGCTCAGTCGCTCAGTACTTACAGTGTTGACCATTACTCAAAGACTTATTGTCCTCGAAGACCGCTCCATGAGGATGACGGAGGCATTTGATCTCATCCACAAGTACATCTATCATGCTGACCTCTTCTCCTCTCAACTACACAATCTCGTTGAGCAACTCGATGAGGACGATACGTCAATGCATGGCGTTGTCGCGGATGCCTTTTATATGAGTTTGAAGGCGTATAAGGGCCGCATCTTTCTATTAGGCTTCAACGACGTGTCTATCGGCGCTTTATCGAACTGGGCGGATCGACTCATAGCGTTGATGGAGAACGGTGATTATATCGGCGCAATACAACTCGCGACATCATACTATACGGGCGATGCTAACAAGTTGACTGTTGGATTACCCGAAGACGCCACCCTGAGGCACCGTATGGTACATGACAAAGTGATGGAGATAATGAGTGCATCACTTAAATATGCCTTTGGACAGCGGCAAAAGAATAAGGCCTCGGTAGACGATCAGCATCTGAGACATCTTGCCGAGACTTGTTTTGTTGCCTGCCAAAGCGTTGGCGATCTTGACTTCCTTTTCGATGAGATGTACGAATGGTACGAAGATGCTAATGTCGAGGGCATCTTCCTAGAGGTACTAGAACCATACATTCTTGAAAAGACTATTTCCACTGTGCCGCCAACCGCTGTCAAAGCAATGGTCCATCACTATGTTAGCAAGAGCTGGGAGAGCCGGTTAGAAGAGATGATCTGCCACATGGAAACGACCACTCTCGACATCGACCAAACAACCTCTCTTTGTAAGCAGCATGGCCTCTACGATGCGCTTATATATATTTGGAATCAGGCATTGCATGATTACATCACACCTCTAATCGACCTTCTCACCCTCTTAATACCACTGGTACAGAATGCCGAGTATTCGAACTCCGGACAATTGATGGAAGACGAGATATTCGGGGTCAATGCACTTAAGATGTTCCCATATCTGTCATATACATTGACTGGGAGGATATATCCCACAGGCGAACGGATGGAAACCGGAGTGGCCTCGCAAGCCAAGGCTGAACTGTATTGGTTCCTCTTTTCCGGGAAGAGTATCGCCTGGCCGAAAGGGAACACCAAGACCTTCCTTACTCGTCCAGCGCAATCCGTGGAACCATCATTTCCATACCTCAGGATGATATTGCAATACGATGCGCCAAGTTTCTTGAGTGCGTTGAACGAAGCGTTCGAGGATTCATTCTTGAATGATTCTCAGGAGAAACACCTCAACGGTGGTACAGGGAAAGATCTTCCGGAAGAACAGATATTTGGTTTAACAGTCGATCGCCAATATGTCGTGTCCATCTTGCTGGAGATCATGAACCCCAATGATTTCGCGCCGGAAGACACCATCTATCTAGACATGTTCATCGCACGAAACATCCCCAAGTTCCCCCAGTACCTCCTTATACCAGGTTCCACTCTCGATAAGGTATTGGCTGGACTGTGCAATTATCCGGGGGCCGACTTAGCAGAAGACGCCCAACTGAGTGCTGAGTACCTGCTTTCGATTTATCAACCGCCAGACGTATCCCTGTTGATTCCTTTATTTAAGAAAGCTGGGTTCTACCGCATCTTAAAACGGATATACAGAAATGACAAGCAGTACGGGAAATTGCTAGAGACATATTTTGAGGATCCAGAAGACCAAGCAGAGGTTTTCGGATGTATTGCTGAGTGTCTACGATCACAAGCCAGTCTACCGAAGAGGCAAATCCAAGATATTCATGATGTTATCAAAAGATACTCACAAGAATTAGTGGAGATCGACCCAGTTCAAGCAGCTCTGTCGGTAGCTAGGTATGCTCCCGACTTGCACGGCTCGGTTCTAGATTCGCTTGATGAGGGTTCCGAAATACAATACGCTTATCTCCAAGCTCTTCTCGAGCCCGATTCTGAAACTTTGGAGAAGTCGACGACCACTTATGACCGGAAATTCATTGAACAATATGTACAGCTCATGTGCCGATACGATCCTTCACATGTCTCCGACTATGTTGGCATGGTACAGGCTACGAATTTGCGGCTCGACAGGCTATTGCCAACCATGGAAGACACGGGGGTTATTGACGCTGCCGTTATTCTCATGGCACGCGAAGGGCAAGTACAAGATGCTATGGGTCGTTTGACTAGGCATCTAGAGACGCTAGAGTCAGCGCTTCAAGGCCTAGTTGCAGATGCAGACGACCATGCCGAAGACCTAGATGTACATGAGACTGCTGAAGATATTCTCAGGGGATTACAAAAGTACACACACGTGGGTATTTGGCTATGCCAAGGGCAGATGAAAACGACCAAAAAGCTCAATGCGGTTGGCCGACGAAATTCACCCTCGCCCAGTGAACTTTCTCCCGACGAGGCATTATGGCTGGAATTGATAGACACGACGGTTCAGATCACACGCCGCCTGTCGTCCGTTGTTGCACCATCTAACCCAGGTAGAGTGTCGAGCACGGCTTCGCCAACACCACTTCTTGATAGTGACAAACTAGTGGCACTCTTACGCTCACTCGTGCAGCATACCTTCACGGCACTTATGACGGCAACGTCTACTCAAGGTCCGGCCCAGTCTGCAAATCGATTGGTCACCAGTTCAGGGAACAGCCTCACATTTCTTCGGATCCTCCGAGCCTTTCTGACTCGTGCCGCGACTACATCTCCGAACCTCGCCGACCTACGAGCTGTCTTGACCTCCATCTTCTCAGCGTACGCTTACGAGGAGTCGATATTACAGCTTTCCAACCGATTACTTGAGCAGCAATTATTCATCAATGTTAAGGAGGCCACGAATATCCGGCAACGCGGGTGGCGACCTCGGGGTTCAACGTGCGAAGGTTGTGGAAAGCGGGTTTGGGGACCGGGCGTGGCTGGCAATGTTTTCGAGGCGTGGGAAGAGAAACAGGCTATGGAGAAAAAGCGACGAGAAGAGAAGAAGGCTGCCCTAGCGAGTCGAGCTCTCGAGCGTGGTAAGGGTAAGGCAGAAATCCCGCAGAGAGAGATGGAGAGCTATGCAGATAAAGGGAAGGGCAAAAGCACGGATGCAAGCGATGGGCCAGGTCTACCAACAGAACAGGATGCGAACGGCAAACAAAATGTCCAAGGTTCAGCCAACGAAACCAATGGAGACACGTACGCTCGCGGAAAAGATCAACCACCTCTTGGACCACTTGTTGTTTTGGCATGCAGGCACATATATCACAAAGCCTGCTTGGACGCGCTGCAGACGAAGCAGGGACCTCACGGCCATAGAGAAGTGGACGAGTTTGGCCGTGAGGCAGTGTACACATGCCCCGTCGATGGTTAGGGTAGAGAAAAGAGAAGCGTTGGGATAGGTAGACAGGTGGCTGGCTGGTAGGCAGGCAATGGTATAGCCGGTGTATTTATGCGTATGTAACTGTACAATACGGCAGGCACTAACCTAGGTAGGTAGCTACACGTCGTCAGGCTCGCATCGGGCGATATGAAATAGACGATGGTTGATTTCGAGTACCTGGAAACGTGTGTATGACGTTAAATTCATGAGAACTTCTGATTACTGACTGCCCAAGAGGTACGTGGTTTAAAGTCAAGTCAAGGTGTTGGAATGAAAATTAACATATTAATACAGGGGAATCTTTCGTCAGCTTCTTTTTGCTGTCGTTTCGGGTTTTATCCCGAACATCAATGCTATATATATAGCTCCTATTTCCTAGGTAAGTACCTAGGAGGCTTTCTTTCTCTTCGTCACCTTCTTAACACCTTTTATGTATCACCTAATTAGTATTGGTAAGTAGATACATAATCTGCCTGGTACCTAGTAGGTAGATAAAGCAGGGTGGCTGGCGGGCTGTGTCGGGTTGGTATCAGCATCTCAGCGATTTACCCATCACATCACACCGCGTATCCCGCCGCCACCACACTTTCACTCGGACTCGCACTCGCAGAACACGTCGTCGCCTCCACGGTGGTATAGTACGTCGTCGTGACCTCCACCACCACCGTCCTCGCACTCTCCATCGTCTCCGTCGCCGTCGCCGTCTCCGTCTCCGTCTCCGCTACACCCTTCGCACCCGTCACCGGCATATACGCGGGCGGCTCGGACACAGGCGTAGATGCCGCCGCCGAGACCGGTATCTCCCCCCCCTTCGGAGCGCCAGTGATGGCAGTCGCGTCCGGCGCCACGACCGACGGGTCGATCGTCAGCGTGTTGACGACGGGCGACTCGAGGCTCGTCAGCGCGATGTTGCCCCCGCCCGTCGCCACGGTCGTCGTGTTCGCGTACGGCGGCGCGGCGATGGGTGTGGGTGTGAGCGTGGTCGGGCTGAGGGTCACGGGGCACCTGACGGTAGTGGCGGGCGTCGGCTCCGCGACGACGATCACCTGGGTCAGGCTGCCCGGACAGTTGGCGACGGCTGCGGCGCAGGAGGTGATGGAGAAGGTGCGCAGGGTGCTGGCTGTCTCGGTGGTTAGGGGGACGGGGCAGTCGGCTGGCGCGGGCGCGGGGGTGACGGCGGGATAGGCGCCGCCTGTGCCGTAGCCTGTGCCCATGGCGGGGGGCGCCGCGTACCCGGTCCCCATCATGGGGTACGCCGTCGGCGCCGGCTCCTGCTGCCCCGCGCTCAAGAAGCAGGTGGTCGCCGCGGCGCTGAACAGCGTGGTGCTCAGCGTGGGGTTCAGCAGGTCGATCTCGAGGTTCCCGATGTCGGCGCCGATGTCGACGAAGACGCCGGCGTTGATGTTGATCTCGGCGGAGGCGGGCAGCAGGCAGTTGGCGAGCGCGCTCTCGTTGGAGGGCTGGGGCGTGCTGGTGAACTCCTCGCTGAGGATTATCTCGGGGATGTTGAGGTAGGCGCCCGCGAGGGCCTGGGCGTCGAGGAGGGGGGAGGAAGGGAGGTCGAGGCCGGCTTGCACGCGCAGGCGCAGGGCGATGCTTAGGGAGCCGGGGGCGTCGACGGTTAGGGGGAGGAGGGTTGTGGTTGTGCCGTTGCTGGGGGAGGGGGTGTGGTTAGTTTGCGTTGGGTGCCTAGGTAGTTGGGTAGATGGGTAGGTGGGAGGGAAGGGAAAGAGGAGAGGGGGGGGGGGGGTTATTAGTTAAAACTCACAATCTGGCGGTGTTGGCGATGGTAGGGTCCAAAGGCATGGTAAAAGAAGAGTCGTCGGGGATGGTGACCTGGAAGCCGGTCTCGGTCGTGATCTCGCCCGTGACGCTGAAGACGAGGTCCACGCTGAAGACGATGCCGACTTGGAATCCGGGGCCCTGTGGTTTGGGTATTAGTTGACGCCTTTCTTGATTTGGAGAGGATTAAAAAAAAGAAAAAAAGAAGAGAGGGTAAGGATATAGCACGACTTACCGCTACACCAAGCGGCGTCTGAGACACAAAGAGCGGGATGGTGAAGGAGCCCTTGTCGCCGACAGTCAGGGACAAGTCGACGAGGGCGCCGACGCCCTCGAAGGCCACGGTCAGGCTGGCGTCGTTCAGGGGGTTGAAGTCCGCCAGGTCGTCGAGGAGGTCCCCGAGGTCCTCGGGGAACTCGACGGAGGCGACGAGGTTGCCCCACGTGCGGCACTCGACGCAGGTCAGGTCTAGGGAGAAGGGTAGGCCTAGGTTGAGCCAGTCGCTGTGAGGATGGGTTAGTTGTCCGTTTGTACTGAAGTGGTTGTTGCATGGAAGAGGGACGGAGTAGGTAGAGGGAAAAGGAAAAGGAAAAACAAAAAATGCGAACCCAGAGAACAAGGTCACGTTCTTGGCCTCGAAGGACATGTCGAAGGTCGTGTTCGCATCACGCTTCACCATGGCCCTCTTGGTATGGTGAGAGTAGAGCTGCGCATCCCGTGGCGCGGGACGGACCGGTGCCACGGCGTGGACGACTGGCTTTGCTGTCGCCGGCGCCAGCAGCGAACAGCAGGCTAGAAAGAGTGCTGGTAGGTTATACATCGTTAATGTTATTCGGTGTATAAGTGGTATAGTGGTAGTGAGTGATAATTGTAAGCCCTACAGGCAATGAATGAGTGACGAGGGAAAGGAATGAATGAATGGAAGTGAAAGAAATGTAAACGACGTCTCCGGGAGGCCTTTCACGATCAACACATGATAAGTACAAACTACAGAAATAGTTCAGGTATGGAGAAGGAGGGTAATGAGAAGCATCAATGTGTTGTCGAGTGAAGTTTTGAAAGTGAAAGAAGAGAAAAAGAAGAGAAAAGAGAAAAAAAGCTCAACAACACATCAGAAATCGTAATTAGATAGGAATTGTTTGTACTACGCCCCTTCTCCAGACAAGGCAGGCAGGCAGGCAGGCAGCAGAGATATGGAATTATAACAACGAAATAATTCTCTATAATCTAGATCTTCATCCCGTCTCGCTACTTTCAGCCGAAGAAGGCTTGGTTTCGTGATCTGATGGGAAGGATTCCAATTCCTAACAGGGGGATTGCGCGGAATGGTCTGGCTCCTTTTTTTTGCTGGCTGGCTTTGGCTAGGTTTACCTGCATAGTGTAGCTATTATATAGCTATCTATATACCTTACTACATACCTAGAATCCTAGATAGATAGTAATGGATGCCTAGGAAGAAATAGGTAGGTAGATAAAACTAGGTACTATCGTGGAACTTGAATGCTTGTCAACCTCACGACCCAGCTATGAAACCGAAGCAGGGTCTTTTGCCAAGAAAAAAAAAAGAGGAATCCGCCCAACGGGGTCGAGGTGAAAGCTTTTTTTTTGTTCGGTTTATACAAACATTTGGTTATCTACACTAATCCTGGGTAACTATATGCCTTAGGTATGTATATAGTATGTAATGTAGTTATTGTACAATGATACTACAATCAATATTATGACTCTGGAGACCAAGTATGGGAAAGAGTGGTTAATTGCAGTAAACATCGAAATCTAAGTAATTGCGGCGTAAAAAGATTGTATCTTCATTATACCTAGAATAATTGTATAATATTGAATAGTATGATAGTTAATAGATCTATCTAATCTAATACCGAAGCTACAGTATGAGAATTGGAAACCAGATAACGTTGAAACGCCGTCTAAAATCACGATCCTCCTCGCTTCGGCCGTCTTATATGCCGCTTGACCCCTTCTTTTTCCCTTTTCTCTCCTTACTATTAGCATCCCCTGCATCTAACTGAAAAGCTTTATGGCCAAGTAAACATATGTGATATTATGTATCAAACAAAAAGGTATTGGCAAGTTGGGTAACAAGACTGAATTAAGATTCCTTCCTAAACTGGCAACTGGGGGAAAGATGAGGGAAGGGTTAGGAGGAGGGGCTTTAAGGGGGGGGGTGTTTGGTTGACGACGATATTGATCGACGTCCAAGGCAATTCCTTAATTCCTTATTAGTTCCTTAATTCTTTAATTCCTTATTCCTTACTATAATTACCCCTTGAGCCTCGAGCCTTGAGACTTGCTTGAGCAGGTAACAAAGTAACCTACACTGGTCCTACAGGGCAGGTAACATACCTACACCTACATATCTTGTTACACGGGGCTAGTTAGTTCCATCTCATAACTAAACTACTAACACTGTAACTAACTTCAAGTTGAACCCCCTGCGCCAAGCAAGCCAAGCCAGACCCCGGATATCATGAGGCTGAGCTGAACACCTACATAATGTTAAAACCCTACCCGCATAACGAACTTGAGATAAAAATACCCCGTACTGAGTAAGCGTGAGGCTTAGCTACAATGCTACATAGCACCTTATGTAACTAGTTATTTACTACTCAAATTTAAACATCGAAAATTAACATTGAAAGCTTTCTCTCATCGCATAATTGCCTAGTAATTTACCCCATATTTGCTACATGCATCCACCCGTCAGTCCATATGAACTTCCAAGTTCCAAGTAACTATTAACTAACTAATTAGTTAACTACCTAGTTAACTACCTAGTTATGTATTTAGTTCATATCCACACACTCGCCTTCACCGCGAAGCCCCATCCATCCCATCCCATCCCATCCCATCCCCTCCTCCCCACTCTAACACTCCAAGGAAGATTTTATTTTTCTTCTATTCCCTTCCCTTCAATACTCTACTTATTACTACTCATTAACTAGCTGCCTAGCCGTCCTAATAATAACATCCACGGGACTACCAACCTACCTGCTTACTCACTAGCGTTGCTAAGTAGGTAGCCTAGCCCTAGATGGGTATTAGTGTATTAAAAGACACAAAACGCTTGAAAGGGCCATCAAGCCTTTTCCAACCAACTCCTCGTCTAAAATAGTCGAAGGACGCCCCGAAGAAGAAGAAGAGAAGAGAAAAGGCGAAGAAGAAAAGAGGCAAAAAAAAAAGAAAAAAAGGAAAAAAAAAAAAACGTCGCCCAAAGTCCCGCAATCCCAAGCTTTGGTTCTCGGTTGTATGTAATATTGATAATCGAAGAGAAAGAGAACTCACAAGTTCCTACCTCTGCCTACCTACATAGGAGGGGAGGGCATTGTAAACCCGAGCGCCGTCGTGCGTCACGAAGAATATGGAAGGAAGAGTATTATAACTTCGTAATAAAAATCAATAAAAAATCAATAAGTAAACTCGGTAGTCTACATATGTACATGTAGTTCTATTTGCAAACACAGTCCCGAATCTCAATTCGCAATTATGTCCCGCTTTTCCCCTGAGCCCTCACCCTCACCCTCACCCTCAACGACAACACCGTACTCCTCCATCGTGTGTTCTGTTCTGTTCTGTTCTGTTCTGTTTCTAGTTATGTTGTACGTAGGTGTATGCATAGTATGTATACATAAGCAATACGTGACGTGTACCAACCCACCAGCCAGCCAACCAACCAACCCTTTACTCCCCGCCTCATAGACCCCGTTCTCATACTCCTATGTACATACCAATGTAATACCTCCATTCCGCGTTTCCCCGTTTCCCCGCCGCCGTTGTGCCCCCTTTTCTCTACTCCCTATCGGGGGGGTTTTGGATGCCCCTTTTCTTTCCCATTTTTTTTGATTTGTTTTTGCTTCGTTTGCTTGCTTGCTTGTAAGTGGTGAATAAGTCGCAGCAGTCGACTTGGTAATAGTAACAGAAGTGAGTTGATACACTAGCTGAGCCGAGTAGGTAGCAGAAGAAGAGACATCCCGCCGTCTATTTGCCTTCCTGTCCATAATACATGAACTACCCTATAACATCTAGCTATTGTATCTAGAACAAAGGAGAAAGCGGATGCGGTTTGGGGATTGGTTCAAGTTTTACTTTTAGCCGTGTTTTTCTTTTTTTAATAAAAACAAAAATAAAAGAAATGCTCAAAAGTTCATACACTCTTCGTTGGATTTACCCTTAATTCTATAACTGCTTGACGCCCGTATTCTATTTCTTCGTCTCTTCTTCTACCTTCCTCTGCTGTACCTGTTGTTCCTGCTGCGCGTCCTTGGCTTGAGCCATCGCAGCTTCGGCGCCAGCCGCCTCGTTTACTACCTCTTTCTCGAGGCCTTGTTCCCCGGCAGCTAGTGCCCTGTCATCCTTCTCGTCGATGTCTTCCACGTCCTTGGGCGTGGCGAGGCCAGTGTCCTCGTTCTCTTGGTTCTGCTCATTCTCCTCATCGATGAGCTCTTGCTGCTCCTTGAGCACCTCAAGTCGTTGCTTGTTAGTCGCCGCGCCTTCCGCATTGTGTACCTCAAGTTCAATCTCGTGGTAGAGTTCCTCCGGAATAGACGATAGCACACCAGTCAACGCCTCGATCTGGCTGTCAAAGCTACCCTCTTCCGTCTTCTGCCCATACATGTAAGCGTTGCTGAGCACGAGAAGCGTAGATGGAACGCCGTGCTTCAACCGCAGATCCAACCAAGACTGAAGGTCCTCCCGTAGCCTAGCAGGCGACACCGTGTGAGACTTGATACCTCGGCTAGCACACGCTGTCTGCAGCTCAGAAACGTTGAGGCTGTCAACACCTTCAAAGCTGATCGCCTTGTCATCTCTCTTGATCTGTCGCATTCTGTGACGAATCTGGTATCGGAGCATGATATCCGTGCCGAACGTGTTTAAGTTCAAGTATCGGCACATGGACACCAATTGTGGTCTTGACAGATTGTCGAGGGTTACATCATCCTTGAAAGCCTTGCAGACCTTGATGACATCGTCGGCACTGGGTTGCTCCCCGGTAGCTCGTAATTTTCGGAAGAATGTGACGAACTCCTCCTTTTGTGTAGTGGTAGGAGACAGAGGTAGTCCGGTCTCCTTCATAGTGTCGCGAAGGAAGTAGCTAACCTCCTTACGGGTTGCGCGTAGCGTCGCGGCTTTTTTGTCCTTTGTTTGCTGGCCTTCATAGGTGCTCGGTAATAGGTTGGGGAACAGCTTGAGGGCGATGGGCAGGAGCGCTTCGGCAAAGGGAACGATAATGAAGACAGAGAAGGGTACTAAACGGCCAAGATCCTGGACTGTCCGTTGAAGTTGCCTATTCTCTCTTCGGGTAAGTTCGTAGCCGGCGGCCATCTTGAGGGCGAGTTTGCTGCTGATCCTGACTTCTGTCGCCAACAGTTTCGTGCCGTCCCAGTAATGCTGGACCTCATGCTTTATCTTTTGCACAAGAGTTAATTTCTTCTCCTGTTTCCCTTCTGCACTTTCTACCCCCGTTTCCTTCTTCGCGGCCAATTCGGTCAAGGACTTGGCTCCGGCATTGGTCTCACCGGTGGACGAACTCGTTGCTTTTGCGGCTCCTGAGTCCCCAGCCTTCCTTGCTTTGGCCTCAGCTGCTTTCTTGCCTGCCGCAGTCGTCTCTGTCTTAGGGAGCGGCTTCTTAGCCTGCTCTGCGTTGAAACCAGGGGGCGGGCCATTAGGGGGGCCAGTCGTATGCCTTTCGGTCGTTATGCTTCGAATGGGGATCAAGAGGGCTCGCGCGGTGAGATCTAAGGGAAATTGGCTTTGTCGTCCTAAATAGGCAGAAGTAAAGGCAAGGCCAGTTCGGGAAGTGGTCCTCCCAGCAAAGGGGTTTATAAGCACCGCCCTGCGGGCAGTAACAGAGGATGCGCTCATATCGAGGTAGAATAGAAGTAAGGCACAGCGATGATTATAATGGGTATCCGAATGTCAAACAAATACACAGAAATCGCGTTTATGATGGTTGTGTAAGTTGTTTATTTTTGTTTTTGTTTTTTCGGAGTTTCGTGAATAAAAGGTTGAGAAAGATTGGAATGGATAATGAAGGGGAAATTGTTGAATGATTCAAGAATCAAAAGCAGCTTTTCCACTTTACGTTGCGCTGCGCTGGCCCGATAAGTCCGATCAGCTCATAAATCACGTGGCGATAAGCAGTATGTACGTACATACATCATAGTGTACTAGGTATGTACTAGGTAACTAGGTATCATTGTATCATTGTATCATTTCATGATGTAAATCCATAATTTGATGTATGTCTTACCCCGGCAAGCTTTGCCCGGTACAAGATCCATGGATCATGGATAAACTCGGAGATTTCCAGCTCGGCACATGCAACTTTACTTTTAAGGCCGAGGTCCACTTCCAACCAGCTGCTGCCATCTGGTTAACCTTGAGTACCTATGGTAGGCATTTATGCAATGCATGCATTAACAACGTTTGAACTTTTTTTAGTAAACCAGTTAATACTATCCACATGGATATATCGCGTATACTAGCTTCCTGTAGCTACCTACAATATGTAGTAGCACCTATCCAGCTTCAACTATTTACAAAAACACAAACACCTTTACGTTATTACATCAATAATACCGAAACCAGAATGAATATATTGCACCGTTCCGGGTATCTAGAAATACATGTGACACTTATAAGGAACAAATAATGAATCGCCAGACTCCAAATGCTCGCTTCGCCATACAAATGCTAATGCGCTGCCCCCTTTTTTTTCTTTTCCAAGCCGCAGTCCGCGGTCTAAAATGAAACCATGGAAAGCCCATTCTCCAAAACTGAGGGGGGAAAAGAAGAGACAAATTAGAAAGAAAGAAGAAGATAAAAATGGATATGCTGTACGTCGGGTCAAACAAGAGAAGAAAGGTAAACGAACAAGTACAATCATTACTGCTTGCTATTGCTGTTGCCGTCGTGGCCTCGTGATATTGGGACCTGTCCCAATGCCTGTCAGAGTCCGTACGGCCCAATGCAGCCAGCTCTCCGTCTCCAGCTGCACCTTCAGCTCGTCGGCTCTCCGTTCGACGTCATCTACCTGTATCTCGAATTGTGACACTCCGTCTTCGACATCTTGGACCCGGGAGACGAGAGCGCTAATCTCGTATTCCAGCTTGGCTGCCTGGATTTCCACTTCCTTAAGTGCTTCCCTAATTTGTCCACTTTGCTGCCCCATCGTCTCCTGCGAGTGTTCCTTGGCCCTCTTGTATGCTTCGGTCCGTTGGTAATAAAGTTGTTGCAACTCCTCTTGTTGCTGTGCGTAGTGGTCGTCGAGCTCTTCGATTGATCTAATCTTTGTGTCGACCCATGGTTCAATACCCTGCTTAACATCCAGGATATTCACATACAGGCTCCTTGCTAGCTCTGTAAGGTAAGTGTGTTTGTCTGTTGTTGCCATGCTGTCTAGTTCTTCATCCTGGCTAAGATCGGTTACCTCCTCCCATCGAAGAACTGCTTCTTCGGCATCCCCAAAAGATAGCCTTCTAGCCCACCGAGCTTCATTCGGAGAGGAGCGCTCCGGGGGCCGTGAAACCCCAATGCTATGCCGTCTAGACAAACTGGACAAGACAGTGCTAAAATGTTGTTCTGCCTCGAAGAACGGCCCTTGTAGATCGCTCTCTGCCACAATCGAATCCGCTACCGAAGATTCTACCATCGCAGTGACTTCGTTTCGCATTTCGGTAGCGTTGGATACAGGCTTTATCTCACCGTTGGGTGCCTTTCGGATATCCCCGTTCAGATGACGTGATAATCGAGATTCCTTCGGGAGTGTGCTCTCGGATTCCAACAAATTTACAGAGGCAGGCGCAGATTCGATCCCTTTATCTCTCCTCAGGCCATTGGAATATTCTTCAGGTTTGTTCTTCCAGGTGAACGCCCTACCAATCTGACCTGGGGCAGGACTTGGGGTTGCTACAATCCCTGCCGAGGAATCTGTTAGAGAAGAATACCGCGGCCCAGACACTGTGGTTTCCGATGACTCGTCCTTCGATGGCCGGCTAGCATGGCCTCGTAGACCGCCTCCACTGTACATCGCATCTTTTATTCGCCCCAAACCTGAGCGAGCATCTCGAGCAACGCTTTTGAATACGCCACGCCGAACGGCATCCTTCTCCCCTGGACTGTCTGCTACACTAACCGCAGATCCAGGCGCAGTGGTAGAATAGACACCTGAGTTATCCTCTCGTGCTTCGTCTTCTATAGGCGCTGAGTGTGTCCTCTTGGCTTGGCTGGACGTATCTTCTTTGCCGAACAGAATATTGTTCATATCGGGTATGGGCTTCTCGTGATTATCGGCAGTTGAACGTTTAGGCTTTCCAAGCCATAGCCACTTCGCGCGTCCTCCGGAGGCTAGGCTGATGAACTTGTCAAGATCCAGAGTTTCGATGTCCCCGATTCCTCCCTTGTCGCGTCCACCAACCATCCCGAGAACGATCTCACCACGTTTCCCACCTATTTCACTCACAGTCGATTTGACAGCCTTCTGTACTCCCCACACGTCGCCTGCAGCTGCTTTTGCAGTTACTGTGTGAAGCTTATGCATTGTTTGTCGATCCAATCGACGATTCCTTTCCATCTTCTGATATTTCTGGAAATTCGAGATGCCGCGCTCTATGGCATCAATGTCGAAGACATCTTTAGGCACCGGTGCCCCGAAATAGCTGAGCCTGTTCCGAGCACCCATTAGTAATCCAAGTAAGGCAACAACAGTCGTTGGACCCAATATGCCATCTGTCGGTTCTATATTGTAGTATTCTGCCCCAATCTCCGTCCACCAATCCCCGATGGCTGTTTCGGTCATGTCGCATAGAAGTCCGTCGATATAGACCTGCTCTAGTTTTCCAAATAGTAAAAGAGCTACTTGGCACATCTTGACCAACTCGATGACGGCATCAGAAAACGGAATCTTGTCGGTAGTTTTGTACAGCTGATAGAATTTGGCCTTGGCGGCCCCAGTAGGTTCGGACAAAGTCATGCCAGATCGGCCAGAACACCCCAGTCTCTTTAGATCCTCATTGACGATAAATTCCTTCCGATGCTGCTTTATGTCGCCGTCGGGTACTAGTATGACAGTCAAGGCTGATGGAAAGCCACTCAGGTTGGTCACCATCAGCTCTCCCAGGCTTGTCTCCTTAGGTCGGGCATGGTACTGCTGGATGGCTTTGAAATAGAGGCGCAACTTGGGGGACCAAGCCTTTTCATCGGCTGGGACAGCCAATACACCGACGACGACGACATGCTTTTCATCTCCTGTATATGTGACGATGACAAGGGTAGGGGACTGCCGGGAGCAAGCCCATTGTTCGACTAGGTATAATTCGTAACCTTGGAGTTCCTTTCTTCGTTCGACGATGGTGACACAGGAGTCGTCTTCTAGATATCTTGGATGGGAGATGTTAGCGAAGGTCGTAGCGAGGACTAGGCTATACTATGCGAGTTCCGCATCTCCCATTACATACCTAAAAGCTACGGGATCAGGAATAATGACATGTCGGCGCTGAGGAGCAGGCGAAGGGGTGTGGGCAGGGGTGGTATGCCTTGTGTCGGAGGAAGTGGCCGATCCATCCAACTGGTTCGTGGAGAGGTTCTTTTGTGGTGAAGGCTTCATAAGGGCGGGTGTGTCGTCTCGGTGAAGTTTAAGATCATTCGAGGATACGAGCGGTCGCAACGACATAGCTGCACTACTGACCCTCGATTTTGTAGTTTTCCTCCCAAGTTCATGGCGTACAGGGATTAGATAACGAAGACATGGCTAACGAGGCTAACGAGGCGAACAATGCGAACAAGAGGGAAGAAACTGCGGTGACTGGGAGGGTGGACAAAGGTGTCGTGGAGGTAACGTGGACTGCAATGAGTGTTGAGATGTGTTCCTAGATCAACCAGTTGGCATGTGACGGAGAAGATGCAGGTGATATCCGGGTGGTACTGAGTATTTCTTGATCAATTGATGGCTGTAGGAATATGTAACCTGCCTGTATTGTACAGGCTCAAGAAGCTGAAAGAAGCTAAAGAAGCTCCAAGTGCACTGAACAAACCCCTGAAATGGGATTAGGTAGCTCCAGGGGATTGCTGGTTGTAGTGGGGTCATGCGTCATTGCCGAAGCCAAGTGGACCAAATATTAGTTAGTTATGTATGTATCAAAGGACTTGAAGTTCTTGAACATTCATAATTAAATGCATTAAAAGAGTACAGATACGTAGTACTACTAGTACACATATATCAGTATGACACTAGTACTATTTTATCCTAGTGCCATACATATCACCAACTTTAAATGTTCTGAACGTTGAACTGGCATTGAAGGTCAACAATAACTACATGTACATAGGTACCGGCATTTGCATGTACAGATATGCATTGCACAATGCACAGAGGAATGAATAAGTGAATGAATAGATCGGCCATCCATGAACCCTACTATGTACAATACATGTAGTTAAAACTTAGGACCTTCTCCGATGATGCAAGACGACAACTAAAACTCTCCAAGCTCTTAACTCAATAACCCCGAATACTTGACACTTCCTCGTCAATACTTACTCTACCTTCTCATTAACCCAGTAACGGCGATACCCGAACCGAAAAAGAACATAACCAAAAAGTAATCTAATAAGTCTGAGTACCGACGGACGGCTTTTCATTGCGACAACTTACAACCCACATCGAGGGTCGAGGGTATCTTTTGAGGTAGTGGGGAAATTATAGGAACTTCCGTTCAAAAACACGACGACGAGGACGGACTACGATAGCTACGCTAGCTACGAGAATCACGGCAACGACCATACCAAACACTAACCTTCATATCGAGTCTATTAGGCTAGAACATAAATATTATATAGATCATAAATGGCCTTCTTGCAATTGCAGGAAGACCTAGAGAAGCTGACTAGATCAGCTAAGCTCTCAGATGCTGTCCAAGATGTCGATAAGATTATAGACCGTCTTACCGCCGCCCGAGACCGGGTAGCAGCAGGTAAGGGAGCTTTGCTTCTGTTCACCTCTTCATGATCGTCGAGCATCGTACTAATAAAGCGCCTTCCAGCGAATGATCCTCACACTACTAGTCTGACCCTCACGAAGCTGCAGAACCCTATCAAAGAAGAATTGGACGGACTAAACAGCAACCTAAACCACGTATACAGAGCTCGGAATGAGTTCAACAAGTCCTTAAAAAGTGCCTTCTCCAAAGCCATGGGCACTCTCCCCACCGACCATGATCCCATGGAGTCGCAGTCGCCACTTATAAATCGGGCCATCGCTATGCATCTCCTACGTGAGGGTCAATTTGGCGTTGCCTCTATGTTTATCAACGAAGCACAACCCCAGACTGATGCTACGCAATCCCCACAATCACAGACCGAGCCACCGGCATCGATATTACAGCCCGAAATCTCACCTCGGTCACCCACACCGGCAGACACTATCATAACCGATGCCGATATTCCCTCCGACCTGACAGCTCTTCAATCACAGGCCTTGCAATTTTCTTTCGCCGACATGTACTCTACTCTCTCAGCTATCAAATCACACAACTTGTTGCCCGCCATCTGCTGGGCCAGAGAAAACCATGTAGAGCTAGAGGCTCGGGGATCGAATCTGGAATTTGAGCTATGTAAGCTTCAGTTCATATGGCTGTTCAAGGGTTCCAGCGTGAACGGGTTGCCCGACACATCGGAGAATGGCATCCAAGGCGCATTGCAATACGCTAGAGACAACTTTGGCCGTTTTCAGCAGCGGCACCTACGTGAAATTCAGCAGCTCAGCTGTGCCATGGTCTACTCTCAAAATCTTCCCGACTCACCCTACGGCCCCCTCTTCGACATATCCGCGGCATTTGAAGATGTAGCCTCATCCTTCACACGGGAATTCTGCTCACTACTGGGTCTCTCGGCTGAGTCCCCGCTATACGTGGCGGCGACAGCTGGAGCTCTAGCCTTGCCGCTACTAGTCAAATACACGACCAAAACCAAAGCAAAGGGGACAGAATGGACGACAGCTAATGAACTCGCTTTTGAGACCCCACTACCTAGAAGCATGATGTATCACTCTATATTTGTTTGCCCCGTTAGTAAGGAGCAGACCACGGAAACCAACCCACCTGTCATCCTACCATGTGGACATGTGTTGGCAAGAGAGAGTCTACAGAAACTATGCAAGGGAACTCGGTACAAGTGTCCCTACTGTCCTAGTGAGGGCCTTGTTAAGGATGCAAAGGAGATCATTCTGTAACGTCGGAGACGGGAGGGGGGAGGTTATCGTTCATCCGGGATACTTGGCGTGGCGTTCTTTCTTTCTTTTCTTCTTCACTCATTGAAACTGGGAATGGAGTTTCTCTATTCCGGCGTACAGGAAGGAAGGTAGTGAACTGGCACGAGGAATATCCTGGCGGTAATGGCTGGCTTCAGGGTCGAAAGGCGTTACTTACACAAACAACACTCATTGACTACTGTATTATATCTATCTACCTAACTTAGTAGATACTGGTATGTAGTAGGTAGGTACCATTCGTGTTCTTGCGGAACGTACGTACATACATACATATGTACATGCATCCGTAGCTTACAGTTGTTCTCATTCAATATGCTCTCTAGAAAAAATGGCCTCTTACGTAGGTATTGTTATATGTTACCACCACTACACGGTTGCTACCTAGCACTACCAGTACCCACAGATGGCTAGGATCTAAATGATTATTCTATACCTACCTAACCTACCTAGGCATATAGCAGGAGGTTTTGTTCGCAGCTGATCACGTAACATCACTAGGTTAGGATGGAGTAGTAAGGATACCTTAACCTAGGTAGGTAAGTAGGTAGGTAGGTATTCAATGTACGTACCTAACCTACATAGATGCAAGCAACCACGTTGACGATGGAGAGGCAGTTACCTAGTTCCCTACCTACCTCCCTGTGTACAATACCTACCCAATCTAGTAACCTAGCTCTCTTACACCACAAGTACAAGAACTTGGACGCAACAAATTAATTACCTAGGGTAGGTCGGCAACCTGTCCTTCATACCTAGGTACCTAGGTATGCACATTGCACTCACCCCCCCTACCTAGCAGGTAGCTATAGACGTCTCAGACTTCTTTCAAGATAAAAACGATTTATCTAGATGCCGCTCACCAACCGGTCACATAGGTAGTCTTACACGCACGTACGTTGCATAGGCACTATTAAATGAGTAGGGGGGGTGCATTTATAATTAAGTAGGTAACTCGTAAGGTTCCCAATGGAAAATGTTCACCCTTTTTGAGAGATGTAACTGATGTCTATCGTAAAACAAATAAACCATTGATATCTTAATCTTCATACCAACTGGCTGACTACCACATTGTAATATGCCTTCTTACCTAGGTACGTAAGCTAGGTAAGTACATAAACAATAAGCCTGACCAAGCCATCCTTCTCTCTATAGGATTTGCTGACCAAAGCCTATGATGGAATTAACCAGCCAGTCAATCCTAATCCGGTCGTCTGTTATGTCAATAAGGGTATGTATTTATCTCCCGTCAACTACCTTGCTAGTAACCTTTACAACCTGACTTCAACTTATTACTGGCTGCCAATGGCACCCCCTTTCCAGCTCGGGGGAGGAGTTGTTAACCAGAATCCAGTCAAAGTCCGACGCATACTACACTTTGGGTGCTTTTTTTTCTGAAAGCTGAATATGTTATTCCCTATAACTCCGCCGAAGGGCTGTTACACCTAGATTCGATCGCCAGTGAACGCCGGGAGATATGAAAATAATAATAAAAAAAAGGTCCGTGGAAAAAAAAAAAACCATTCCTTCTCAATTCCACGAGACAGGAGCCGCATCGGGCTGGATATCTGGAAAAAAAATGCTTGAAAGGAAAGTCGTTTAATCGTATCACTATACATTTATATGCTATGCCCCTAATCGATCGTCATTCTGCTCGGTAATTGGGTCTGCTTGACGTCGTTCATCGAATAACTAGCCTGGTCCTTGTCGATTTCCTGTCGAGCACTGTTGAGGTGATTCTTGAGACCAGCTCCGAAGTTGAACATACAGACCATCGCGTTTATAATGGTCAGAATGATGAGGATTATGGTAAGTACGGCAAATGCCGTCAGTGATTTGCGAACGGGCATGTAGTACTGAACCTGGCTGGCGTCGTAGATTCGGGCAAGCTTGTAGATGAAGTAAGAAAGACCACCGAGGTAGAGAACCATGACAATGATCATGCCAATCTTCGATTCGCGTCGGGTAAAAATCGCAGCGCAAATGAGAATGATAATCGTAATAGGAACAGCGGCGGCAGTTAGCCTAAGCTCCATGCTTGACTTGCCACCCACAACGACGAGAAACTGAATGGTGAAGCCGACAAAGAAGAAGAAATCGAATTTTAGAAGGGCAATATAGATCTAGAGAATGCATTAGTTATGCTCAGGGGGTACCATCGTGACGTAAACCAACCTGGTAATGTAGAAATCGCTTCTTCATCCTGTAGTCGGCTCCTATGTGCTTCAAGATATCCCAAGCAAACTCCTGGTAAAGCTTCCAGGCCATGAAGCACATCATGATAGTGACTAGCGCGATAAGACCCGGGATAGCGATGAGGACACCTTTGACCTCTTCCCAGACGTCGTGGTCTGAAAAAGCATCGAATCCCTTTAGAATCCGAATGGCTTCTTGAATCTGGTCGATCTGGAGGGCGCTGTAGACGAGGAAAGCCAGTTGCGCAATGCAAAGACCAATGATCTGAATGGTGTTCTTCATACGTAATGCATCCCATACCAATCCTACGTCGTAAAGGAAGCCGAGGATGAAAAGACCCAGAAAGACTGGTATGGTTTTGAGTTGGGATTCGGCATCATCGCTGTAGTCGCCCCAATTCTGTTCTGCTCTAGGCCTGAGACCGGTTTGAAATTGAGCAAAGGTGTACCTAAAACATTCATGATTAGATTTTGGACTGGAATGGGGCGACACCAGATAACTTACGACTCGAACGTGAGACAGACGATGGCCTGTAAAAGAGCGATAATGAAGAACATGCGCGGCCACTTCCTAGTGAATATCTCGCCTGTGGATTTCGCCAGGCTGCTAGCCCGGCTAGTCTTGGTCGTGGACATGTTGTTATTATTATTGTTGTCGTGTGGATAGTTAAATGATGTATTAGAAGGTATTTGACGGAAACCTGCTGAGTCCCCGACTGGGAATGTCCGAGAATCTCTAGTGAACGCCAGATTGATGGCTGGGACTCCTCCTTAAGAGGGGAGTCGGGCGAATAGCGAGAGCGGATAGGAAAACGAAGAGACCTCTTATTGGGGCGATTATGCTACTCTCTTTATGTTATGATGCGATCAGTGACTATGGTTATGGTAGTATTTAATCAATCGAATGAGCAATGGACGAATGATGAGCTGGCGGGGATGCGAGAAAGGGCTGGGCGTAAGCGGGTGACTGCCGAGTTAACAAAGAACTCGAGTTCAGACGTCGATGTGTCGATGTGTCGATGTTTCGTTGATAAAAAAAGGGTCGGACGAAATCTTCCCAGAAGATGCCAACACCAAATTATTTGTTATGTATGTCGCGATGTATCCTGTATGGGCATGTGCAACAGGAAGGTAGGTTAGATAGTTTGGATGATGGATGGATACCCGGCGAAAATTAATGGTTGCTGACTACCTTAGGTATGTAGGGTAGGTAAAGGTACATAAGCCTGAGGGTCTGGAGGTGTTAATGTTCCAATGTTCCAATGTCCTAGGTACTAGGTGGTAGGTCCTGGGTTTAAGGGACCTGGGCTCTAGGTCCTTTTTAGAGGTTTGGACGTGTTGGGCCGGCTGAAACAGGCTGATGGGTTTGATCTGTAACGAGGATGAGGCAGGGGGTGGTTATTCGGCTTCTGGCCAGACGAACTAGACTAGTTTGACTGGTTGCCTAGGTGCTTGGCTACCATCAAATGTTTTGTGTCTATGTGTGAAGATGTGAAGATGTGAAGATGTGACCTAGAATAGAATAATTCGTGCGAATGATTCAATCCCTTTTTTCTTGCATCCGTCGCAGTTATCAGGAATTCGTTCCTTGTTATTCGATGGTTGGAAAAGTCACGGGCGTAGCTAGGCGTAGCAAGCGGCAAGCGGCAAGAGTAGAGAGAATAGAGGGGATAAGGGTCCTTTCTCGTATTAGTGACTTGAAGACGCGCGGGCTAAAAAGCAGTGCTGAGAAAAGGGAAAGGGATCGGTCGTTTTTTAGCGTCTGCGAATAGGGAAACAGATATGTAAGGTAGGTAGGCTTTAAATCCGATAGTAATGTAGTAATGTCACAAAAGAAGAAGAGAAGAAGAAGGAAAAAAAGAAAATGCTTTTTTTTTTAGGAAGGGTTATGAGGATTATGAGGATTAATGAATAAGGAAAAGCTGTTCTTACGAATAAGAGGAATGATACAAGTAAAATGGGTAAAATGGGTAAAATGTGAAAGTTGCTTTTTTTTTTGTTTTGTTTAATAGGGAACGAGAATTAGGAATTGAGTTTGTCCCTTTTTTTTTTTTGGTTGGCGTCTTTCGTCTTTTTCGAATGCTTGTAAGGTTCAATGTTAGGCAGATCAAATGTTCAAGTCTGCTGATGGAGAACGGGGAAAGAGGTTCGGGGATCATGAAAAGGTGCATTTCAATGGGGCTATTCTTTAATGGGCTGTGCTGTCATTGGGAATGGGGATTTTTTACGGGGTTCAGCCATGCGCTGGGACGCAGCCAAGTGCAGCCCTAGAACCCTGAAAGACTTGCTCGGTAACTATTGTTAGTGCATACACTAAGTTTACTGTTCTAGTGTTAGCGAGTTCTACTTTTGGAGGGCTCCATTCGAGTCCATTGACTTTTCTATCGTACTAGGGATGTATTTCGGGTACAGCCACCACAACAAAGCACCTCATTTCTGCTGGTCAATCTAGCTTCGTCATCTCCCATCTTATCCTAATACGAAGTATTGATGCGACGTTTTTTGATAGAGTAATAGCCTTCTTTTCCTTCTTGTTTGTTTTAATATTTTGAATAGGAGATTGTTTTGTATTAATAATTTTTCACATACATTTGTATATTTTACATGAAACTCATCCCCGTCGGCCGAACAAAATCATTGATCATTGATGTTGCTTCCGATTAGGTATGCCTATGTGTATGCCTCGTACTTTCAGTGATGGTGATGGTGAACGACATCTTGGCTTGACGTATGTACTGTAAGGCTAGTGACCAGTAACATTCAATGTTCAGTGTTCAACGTATTCAAAGGCACAGCTGCCAAGCAAATATATGAAGCTGTCAAGCTGAAGCTCAAGCGGTAACTACCTAGGTATATACATAGTATGTACCTAGGTTAGGGTAGTATAGTTTCCTCCCGATTTTCGCTTTTATTAATCATCTTGATTTCAATGTTATGTCAAAGTCTTTCATCTGAAGTCCTTTTATCTGGTATGAGTTAGTTCAGTTTGGAATAAGAATATTAAATATTAAATACTAACATTGATGGAAGCTTCAATGGTCTAACAAATTCACAACTGACATGAGTGCAATTATATGTAATAATAAGTTGTTTCGTACCTGCTAGGTACCTACATGTCAATATAAACTGCACCATATTTCCCCCCCCCCCCTGAACCCTGCGAATGGCCTTATGGGATGTTATTGAGCGTTGAAGTTTTCAATGTTGCGATGTACCGTTGACTACTTTTACAGTTTTACTAATAACTACCTGGTAGGTACCGTGTTCCACTTCGAGACTACATAATCCCGGAAAGGTGAGGCAGATAAGCGGAGAAGGCGGACAGGGCGAAGCTTGCGCCAAGATCTACTATGTACACACAAAGTGCTCAGCCACTTTAGATCTGAAGGTTGAACAGGTTACTAAACAGCATTTAAGCTACTATGTATCTTGGAGTTGCCTAGATGGGCTCGTGTGTGGGTGGCATTGCATTGCTGTTAGATAGACGTGCCTACATACTTGATGTAGATACATAATATGTAGTTATGTACTTCAATGTTGATTCAAGATATTCAAGTTCTCATGTTCTCGGATACTGCTTGCATAGTTACATAGTACCTACATAAGGGAGGAAGGGGGAGAAAACCTGAAACGAAACAGTCTTGAATTTTGTTGAAACTGGCCAATGCAATGTAACTATGTACTATCCTAGGCAGGTAGGCTGACAGGGTACATACATAGACTCTACTAACCTTACTCTACTACGCCGTAGAGAAGGAATCCCGAAGTAGAATACTGCCCTGGATACCTACATATATATGTACCGAGTAGGTAGTTATGCTTTTATAGCACTACCTATTATGCCACCTTCCTACTACTAGTAGTATGTATCATGCCGGGGAAAAGTAGAAAAGCATCATTGATGTAGAAATAGCTATGTATCCTGGCTGCCTGGTTGACTTGCATGCATACTATGTAGGTACATATGTTCAAATCGTATTGATCTGACCTTTTTGGACGTCACCTTGCAGATGGAATATGGGTACTAGGAGTACCTATGGTACACACTTGAGGTTTAGCTGAGAAGGATTGCCCATAAAAATAGTAACATATGCATACCAGTTGACATAGTATATTAGTATGTAACTAAATGAATATCCATTTATTTCAGCCTCAACAACACATGTAAGATGCATGTAAGCAGTAGAGCCCGTACCACTTCTATGTACATATGTACATAGTTATTTAGAGTCTAAATTTTAGACTCTAGAACACTGAGTGCTCCATACAATTGCTTTTTAGTGCTCATTGCTCAGTAGTTACGGTAACTAATAGTTACCTACCTGGCCAAAAAAAGAAAACGCGCCTGAGCGCAACTTTGAACTTTACCTATGCTGCTTACGTCAAAAAAAAAAAGTCCAAGCGACACGCGATCGCTTGCATCGTCACTTTCTTGCGCCCGCCATTTTATCTAACCTGTTGTTCTTAGAAAAAGTACCAATATGATGGAAATCGAAGAGGAAGATATTCTGCGCTCCGTCGCAAATGGCGGGCTTATTGACTAGTAAGAGGCTCCAATTCCAATGCACCCATCCCTTTCCGAGCTCCATCATTATCATCATCGCTATAATCATCACCATCACACTATGCCATCACTATTATTGTCATCGTTATTGTTATCTCTAACCATTACTACAGTGCTGTTTGGCCAGTATTATTACCTCGAATAGTATCCCGCATAGAAAAGGTTGGTACTTCTACAATTCAGGCAGAAACAGACAGAGGCAGAGATGGAGGCAAGATACATGTTCTAATATCGAGAGAACAAAAACAGATAACACGCCATGAATTCCCTATCCCGCGGCTATCATCCCCGATGGTCCCCACTATCCCGTCGTCTATTCCTCCGATAACTCGAACCGACACGGAGCCGACGGAGAGCTTTTTATCTCCCTTGCCCTCGTCACCTATAGAACCAGAAAGCTCAATATCTTCGTCTTCGCAAGACACTAACAAAGAAAATGCACCTATCACGTCGCAGATGAACCTACCCCCTACCTCTACGCCGACCTCCTTTGCTGCAACAGCCCTTCCGCCTGGCACCTTACCGCCACAAATTACTTCTATGCTCGCCGAGATCACGTCTACTTTGATATCTATATTCCCCAAGTACCCGCCGCATACATTGCAACGCTTATCCGAGCTTGTCCTAGCACCAAAGCAGCATTACCGGACTCTACCTCCATATCTGCATGCTTTAGACAGAGTTGTGCATGTTACTTCTGGCCTCAACACATACCCCTTGCCTCCGGCAGTACCAGATGTACAGGCCGCCTCGCTACTCTCCAATGGAATCTCAGATGCCTTGGCTGCGCCTTCGCCTTGGGCTACGCCAGGAAGTGATGAGGCCCTCGGCGGAGCCCTCCTAACTCCCATTCCCTGGCTCCAACCTAACCACCATGGAATTGGTGGACCTTCACAATCATCACTTGGAACGCCGGGGCGTGGAAGCCCGAATGGTGGTGGCAGCAGCGGTAACAGCGGAGCTCAAAATAACGGGGCCATCAGCGCAGGAATGGGTAGCGACCTCGAGGGCGAAGTGCGTACCGAAAGCACCGAGACTATTGACGGTCCTAACGGTGTGGGTAGTATCGAGACGGTATCGGTATCGGTCAACGGCATCCCCTCGATGGGCGCACGGGGGATAGGAGTGACACAAGGTGAACTTCTTAGGCAGGAGCAGCGTGCTGGCGTTGTCCCCGTTAGCCAGCTCGTGCCAAGCCACCATGTACACAGCGCCAACCCGCACGCCCAAGTCCATCGACGAGCTTCCGCGTCTGCCTCTAGCTCAGAATCGCCCCCTACTTCGGCGGCAGCGGCTTCGGCGACACCGCCATCTTCTTCACCCGAGTTGGAGAGGAAGTCCCACTCCCCTCCGTCCGCCGCAGATATTGCTGCGAGCCATGCCAATGCTCACGCAAACACGACAGCAGCAACACCGGTGGACGCAGATGCCCCCGTAGGCTCGGTAACCGGTACCGACGAAGAGATGCCGCACGCTCGTGGGCCTGAGGAGATCGGCCCCGAGGACATGGGCCCACAACCTAGCGGCGGTGGCCCGAGTAACACCGGCACATCTACCGGCCCCAACGGCTATGAGATGCAGGGCATCGATGTTGAGGCGGCTGTCGGCAGGAAGGCAGCAGGGGGTCGCGGAAGCAGTAAAAGCCCTCCGAAGCCGGACGCCGAATCCGGCGACAAGATGGATATCGAGCCCGGATCTGAACGACCCTCGGAACGCGGGTCTACCCCGAAGCGCGAAGCGGCAGACGACCTGGGGGCCGAGGGCGCAAGCAAGAAACGCAAGGAAGATTCGGGCGCTGCGTCGACAACAGGAGCTGAGGGGATGGACGTGGACGCGTCCGCGGAAGGCGAAGGCGAAGGAAAGGAGCAATAGCAACCAACAAAGACCTCGAACCTTGCGGAAGACGGTTGGGTTGGGTCGGTCGAGATGAGATGGAAGGAGGAGTAAAGGGCGAGGAGGGTGGGTGTGGAGCCAATTCGAGGAACAAAGAGAAGAAATCTGATATGAATCAAGAGGATCTTCTAGCTTGCATCGACTCCTTCCGGAGCAACGGCACGGGTGGATTTGCGTATACATATACAACCCATTCTCATCCCTATCCCTTCGTAATCACAATGGGTCCGTGATTCTCTGTATTTGATATACACAGGCTACCAAAAATACAAGCAGACAGGAAGGCAGGAAGGCAGACAGGCAGACAGACAGACAAAACACATGGGAGACAAGAGAGGACAGAAAGAGGGAGTTTTTTTCTTTTCTTCTTCTACCTATCTTGAGAATGCGGAAGGGTTTTATCCTTTTACTCCTTACTGTACGGTGTTGTGTTATGTTAATAGGATAGTTGGTATGAATGACTATGTATGGCATTATGACCAAACAGTTCTCCTTTTTTCCACTTTTCCTTCTCTCTGACTTAAACTTACATAGCTAGCTACCTACCTAGGTAGCCTAGGTATGTGGTTGCCGGTTGGTCTATTAGGCAAGTAGGCGTTAAACGGTCGTATATCACGTACGAAGAAGCATCGTGTATATCTGGGCGATTATACGCTAGGTAGGTAGGTATATATTTATACCTCATCATGATCATTATGTGAACCTAGGTACCTATATATCATTTCCCCTGAGTGAGTGTATGCAGATTGAGCAGTAGATGCACACCTACAACCTACCTACCTGCAGAGGAGCTCATAACAAGTCCCAGCCAAGTACCGCGGCTTACTTCGTACAGAGTTATTACATCAGCATCCATTCGTCGAGCCCATTCTAAGATCCATCACTTTCCATTTTTCCTCGAATAACTCCAGCAAAGGCAGCAGGGGGAGAAACCCCTATATGTAGAGCCTTTGAGTTGAAGCAAACCTTGGAAGTGAAGCAAAAATAGGTATAGTAGGGCGCCTACCTAGTACCTATCACTGTACACCACATATATTCCTCTCAGACCAAGGTATCGGAGAATACCTCTTTAAACTACAAATAACCAGCACTTCCCACCCTCATTTAAACAACCGTCGATATATTCTCGCGCTCGATAATGCTAGTTTGGCGGTCATTTCTCTTGACACGGTAGAAATGGTCGCAGAAATCTGAGCAGCGCATATGACGCAGGAACTCCTCGTCGTGGGTGATGACGATGAGTTGGAAATTGGCTTGGGCCTTGCGGGCGTTGATAATGGAGTGGAGACTTTCGGCTAGCGACCGGATGTTGTCGCGGTCAAGATTTGTGGTGGGCTCGTCGAGGGCGATGAGCCCGCACCCGACGCCAAACGACTCGGCGAGGGCCAGCCGGATGATGATACTGGCCAGCACTTTTTGTCCGGCTGAGCACCGGCCGCGCATGTCCATCTCTGTGTCTTGCTTCACCATGCACACGCGGTAGTTGTATGTACTGCGCCCCGACACCTCAGTATCTGACTTGATTAGGATTGTATCGATGTCTGTGCCCTGGTATGTTCCCTGCCATAGCTCTCCTGCGATCCGATTCACTTCTTCCATTTTGAGGGCATGATATCGCATGATGGCATTGCTGAGTGCTGTGCCATACTTTCCTAGGTCCTCAATCGCTGCCTTAGTGGTCTCGACTTTGATGTGTGTCTCGCGATACTTCCTAGCTGCATCTTCATAGTCGGTCTCCCACTCGACAAGGAGGCGTGCGAGTGTGTTGTCCTTTGTTCTCATCGTACCCATCATAACACCCTTCTCTGCATTCAGTCTATGTCGACGCGATTCCCATTCTTTTGCTTCGTGATCAAGTCGTTCGTAATCTTCGTTTGCATTACGAGACTCGAGCTCCTCAATCTCTCGCTTGAACTGATTCACTTCTCGGAGAGTCTTGCGGTAGGTCAGATTATCCATGATATTCTTCTTTCTCCCTTCGCTATTGTCAATTTCTTCTTTGATCTTGTTGGTACGCGCAGTTAGGTCATTCATATCTTTTTCGATATTTTTGATGGCTGTATCCAGGGACTGGATCGCTCGCTCGTTGGCGGCGAGCAGTGACGGTCCACCGCGATCCAGATATGCCTGTATATCGTTGTTGATTAACTTCAGCTCATTCACCGAAGCTGCAAGCCCATCTCGCTCTTCGGCAGCCTTCTTTTCTTTGGCACGTCCTCGCTGTAGAGTATCTTCTCTGATAGCTTTCGCTTTAGCGATCTCTGGCTCAACTAACCCCAATTCCCTGTCCGCTTCCTGGATCGCTTCTTTCTGCTTGCTCATGTCGTCCTTCTGAGCCTGGATTTGGTCTTGGAAGCTTTTCTTCCTCTCAAGTTGCCGAGCAGCGTTACTAATACTGTTACTTAATCGACTTCGCTCTAGCTCTAACGAATTTATCAAGTCTCGCAAGCGTTGCCTCTCACTCGACAATTTGGAAATGCCATTCTTGATTGCTTTCATCTGCTCAGTACATCTGTCCTGGAGTTCGTGGATCTCTTGTGTGCTTCGGACTGTGCCGCTTGATTGTTGCTGAGATATGATTCTCTCAACTTGAGCATCAGCTTCCCCAATCTCCTTGTTGACTTGGGAGATGTTAAGAACCGTTTTGCTCATCGACTCGAGGTCTTGCTTTTCTTCTTGTTTACCTCGGACGACCTCGTCCATCTCTTCAATGAGCTGCACCATGCTCTCTACTTTTTCCTGGACCGTTCGGATTTCTCTATCCCCCACCCCCTTTTCTGATAGGAGTCTAGTGTAAAGATCGCATTGAGGGCGAACTGCTCTTAGTGTCCCCAGCCGTTTTTCAAGCTCGGTTAATTCGATCTGCATCTCTTCTTTCCTGGTATCCTCAAGTGCATTCTTTATTTTTCGAACTATTCTTGACTTGTCGCCAGTGTCAGGGAACGTGCGATCGCAGAGATTGCATCGGTTGTGTTTGTTAAGTATTTTCTGGCAATCCAAGTAATACTCCTTCAAATGATCGAAGAGAGTCATGTCTTTTTCTAATGTGAGGATTTCGTCCTCCAACGTTTCGATTTCCTGAGACAACTTATCTACAGTTGGTTCGGGTGTCTCCACTGCCTCGAGCGCCTTGAGCACTGCTGATTTGCATCGTTCTATCTCTTCGTTTCGCTGTTTGGCCTTTGTTTGGAAACTCGAAAGCGTGTATTGTACCTGCTTGAGTTGCTGGACAGTATCATCACGCTTTCGGGCTGCCTCGTTGTAGGCTTGAGTTTTTACCTGTAGCGCCTTCTGGAACTCGCGATCAACTGTTGATGGTTCCCACGAACTGCCGACCATGACAGAAATTTTATCTTTCCACGTGCTGGTTAGTGTGTCCAGCTTTCGCTTCTTCTCAGATAACTCCGTTTTGCGAACATCTAGTTGTGCTCGGTCGGAAAGTAACCTGGTAGACTCTACAAGCTCGCGACTAAGTCTACTGTTTTCGGACTCGAGTTGTTCTAGTTTACTCTCTTCCTGCTGTAGTTTTGTATCGAAGCCTGCGTCCTGCAGCTCCTGGGAAGCCTGGCCAAGGCGTTCCTCCACATCCTTGAAGGAGGAGTCAAGCAGCGCTTTGCTGCCTTCGTCAACTTCTACTGAATTGAGAGCGTTCTGCAAACTTGCGATTGTCTTCTCGATTTTGGTGATCGCTTGCCTTGCATAAATGCGATTATGCGTATGACGAGATTTCTGACCTTCCAGCTCAGAGATCACGGCTGTTTTATTATCTAACTCTCTAGCATTCTCCGATTGCAAGTGTTCGAGCTCTCGCTTCTTGTCTGCTAGCAATTTCTGAATTCGTTCCTGGAACGCCTGGACTTTGCGATCATCCATGTCTCCGTCGAAACCACGAATGCTATGCAACTGGGCTGCTTGGTGGATGTGGTCAACGCGCGAGGCAAGCTGACGTTCATATTTTGCCTCGTCGGATTTGTGCATGCCCTGTTCTGCCAATTTTTCTGACATGTTATCGCGTGACTTGGATAACTCCTTCTGATACTGGCTATATTGTTTGACGTTCTCCTTGTGCTCCTTTTCATGTCGAGCGACTCGCTCCTCGTACTGCGCCAGGGTGTTTTGCAGCGACTCGTCAGGCTCATTCATTTCATCCATCCTGGACCCTGTCTCTTCCAACTTTTGCTCAAGATAACTAAGTTCTCGCTTCTTGCTCTTCAGATTGTCGACGATGCTTAGGAAACTATTGGCCTGTTTGTGCAGCTCCAAAGCGTTTTGTTCAGCCGTACTCATCTCCTCTTCCACCTTTTCGCACTGCTCTCGTAAATCATCAATCTCAGCATGCAACTCTTCCGATAGCTTCCTGCACTTATCAGCCTTCTCCTTGTTAATCTTTTCTTGGCCCTCAAGCAACTTTAGGTTTTGCAGCTGCTCTCCTTGCCTCTTTCGTAGCAACTTGATATTTTCAATTGCTTTGGTATACTTCATGGCCTCGAAGATCTCGTCGAATCGCTTTTTCAGGGCCGAAGGCTCGCTCATGGGCCATAACGACTCGTCCTGGTGACAGAATATGACAGAGTCAAGGATAGCTGGAGCAACACCGAGAGCTCTGGGGACAGCAGTGTCGAGATCGATGACTTTGGACGACGTCGAGCTCTTTTCGCCGCCATAGTCGGTGAGTAGGGTACCCTCGAGGGTTTTCTGAGACCTGGTGGATTTCTTTACGGTAAGCTGTAGGCTACGGGTGACAACGTAGGCTGTTTCGGGTGGAATCGTGAACTTGAGCTTGACTTGAGCCAAGACCTCTCGCTCCCCGCATAATTTGGGATCGTGGATAAAGGCACCTCCTTTGCTGTTGGGAGGTAGCTCGCCGGTGGTGGCATATTTAAGACACTCGATTATAGTTGTTTTCCCGGAACCATTATAACCGACTATTAGGGTTAGAGGAGTATGAAACTGTATAGTCTCGCGGGTGAGATGACTGAAGGAGCGTACTCCTGAGATGGATAGCTTGTCTATCTTAGACATGGTGACAGAATAGTCCCTCGAATCCCAAGATGGAACCTAATCGACTCATAATACGAAGGGTATTACCTCCAGGGCTAGGTAGTATAGTGTTCGCGCAATAGATAATGTTGAACTGCAATGAGTGTGGTGTGCTTCTTTAGTAATTGTACATCTTATTTGGTTTGGTAGGTAATTAATCAGATATAATGTTTCTTTCAAGATTGAATCCTCATATGCTACCGTTGACCTAGTGTAGGTGGGTAGTACATAGTTAGTTTGTAGATAAACGCGTCGTGATATCCAATAAATCTTAAATCTAGAGGGGAACGCGCTTCACTGTTAACTGTAGTGCCTGCCTGGAGTAACCGTATGACAACTGGAATACAAAACTGGATGTACATAACTACATGTATTGTACCTGCAAATAGAGTTCTAGGCACTCTAGGCACCTTCGAGTTGCCTAGGCCCTAAGGCAGTTGGGGTCGATATCTATCTAGATCCGCCATTTTGGTGCCGTTTGTTTCATTATAATTAGGTACTAGGCACTGCATAGTGCTTAGTTGCATACATTACCCGATTAAACATGATAGAAGATTGTTTAGAGAGACATCAGCTTTAGTTAAACGCTTCTAACTGCCCCGAACTTTAAAACATTCAAACCTAACATGAAACATTAAAATAGATGTAGATAATATCTATGTGATGTAGTACTTGCATATGTACGTACTAAGAAGAAATACATATATGTAGTAGACTGAATTATGTATTATTATGCATTTGTGTATAGTTATGTAAGTATCCTTAAGGGTAGGCCGTTCAATGTTGCCAGTGAATGAAAGAAACGAATGATCGCCCCGGCCGTAACCTCCTTCCCAGATCGCACTTAGATTCTGACGTATTGTAAGTGGATATGGAAAGAGTGCTATTGTATGTATTGTACCTGCCTAGGTACATACCTACCTACATAATATCTATGTATTAGTAGGTAGTACTTCGTACATTGATAGTACCAAATTCACGTCACACGGCAATCCGTTTTGTTAATGGAGAAAGTAGAAATCCCATCCCGCTTCCCTTCAATCTTCGATATGCCCTGCCCCTTTTTATCAATTCTTTATCCACCCATTAAGACCGTGGACCTCTTCTAAGCTATTCCAAGCTCCTCATAGCATATCATATCATATTATATCGTCATTGGTCTGTTACTAATAGGTATCTACTAGCTCTGTAGGTACTAGGTAGCTGTGGTATATTGAAATACTGAAATACTGAAATACAGAAACCTTGTGAATTCATTCACATCAACATTCACATTTACTTCTTCAGTCTTTCTTCTATCTGATCTTTCTTCACACATCCTTTTCACACAGATTAGGTAAATCCTTTAAACTGTTTAATCGAATCCGTTCATTCGTTGTTCGGGTTGGGTTTGGTTGATCCAGATGCTCTCGTTGATGAGACCCGAGCGCTCTCCATTCACCAGCAAGAATCATAACCACTACCACTGCCACTACCACTATCGCTACCATTTTCACTACGTCGCATTTAATTACCCATACAATTCAAGTTCAAATAACCGCCGACGCCGTCATCTTAAACCACTACCATCATCATGGACCATGGACCAAATCCCAATCACATGTTTGACTTTAGCACGCCCACAACAATGAATCCGGTAAGTACTAATGGCAATGTGCTCCTAGATATTTCAACCGCGAAAATATCACTAGTCTACTGGTATACTGGTTCCATAACTCGAGCTTCTTTCGGGCTAATTATATGCTTCGCAATAGATGGCAGCCAACGGCCACAACGACATGATGTCCCTCTACGACAACTCCATGTTCACACATTTCGATGGCTTGCCAATGCATCTAGATGGCCTCAACGATATGGCTACTGCCCCTCCTCCACCCCCACCATTCCCTCCAGTTTCGGGAAACGCAAATCCACAAGCTGTGCGCGTCCCAAATGATGCTGCGCATTTTGCACCAAATTCTGGCGACAGCCCAGTTCCCCTGCCATCCGCAGGGATCACCCCGAGCTTTCCTGCCCCCGCGCCTGTCCTACAGGGGGGGAGTACCCTAACCGAATTCACCAAGAGGAGGAATTGGCCTGCTAAGGTCGTTGAGGAGCTCAAAGACTTTCTACAGATATTAGATGCCCATGGACGAATCAGATATGCTTCCCCCAGCGTTTTCTCCCTGACAGGTTACGAGGCCGGGGAACTCGTCGATAAATTTGTAAAGGAACTAATTCATCTTGACGATGTGGGGACCTTTACCTCTGAATTGAACGAATCCATAGCTACCGGGAACCCCTTGCGTATGTTCTACCGTCTAAAGAAGAAAGACGGAAATTATGCCATATTCGAGTCCGTCGGGCACGCCCATATTGCTGCGGCCAAGTTCGCGCCTAACCCAGAAAACCAGTCGCCGTTTTGTCAAGCTGTGTTTATGATGTCACGGCCGTATCCGACCAAAAACGCATCCTTACTTGACTCGTTTTTAGAACACAAAATCGAGAATGAGAGATTAAGGCGCCGAATCGCAGAGCTTCGAAGGGAGGAGGAAGATGAGGAAGCATCACAACAAAGCTGGTTTGCCAGTCAAGAGGGTCGATCGGATATTGCCGCTTCAGAGGATACGATTGTGACGTCTTCTCAAGGCCCTGCTATATTCAATCAAACAAGTGTAGACTCGCAAGCTATGCCGCCTCCAGAGAGACCTTCAGCACTGAATATCGCATTAACGAGGGAGAACCTCGAGGGTGTGACAGCGGGTAGTCGGCCAGACTCCATCAGAGACAAGATGGCAAGATACGAAGGCGCATCGCACACCGACACGATTGAAATGTTGACCGGTTTGCGATACGTCGAAGGAGAGCGGAGTCGCGGCATCACTACAGGGAATTCCAGTCCAACACTGATTAAAGGTGATGTCGGCATTGCCATACCCATCGATAGGGACCCTAGAACAGGAGAAAAGAAGAAGAAGCTCAAGGTTGCAGAAGAATATGTGTGCACCGACTGCGGTATGTGACATAAATTACACCAACTAGCCCCTATTTTATACGCTGACCTGATTCTAGGAACACTTGATTCTCCTGAATGGAGAAAAGGGCCCCAAGGCCCCAAGACCCTTTGCAATGCTTGCGGCCTACGATGGGCAAAAAAAGAAAAGAAGAAGAATGCCGGTGGCGGAGGTAACGGTGGTAACGTTGGCCTTCCACTGCCCATCCCCGTTATGGGGCAACAGTAAACTTCCCAAGATTCGATTGAATTGTCGTCCCAGATGAATCGGTATATAGACAAATCTCGGGGTGTATGGCGCATTGATACTGCCTGATGTGCTTAATGTCAAGGTCGGGATTTCGGCATGGTGTTAGGGCCAAACCCACGGTGTGTTGGTCTTCTCCTTTTTTTTTTCTCTCTTTTTTTCTCTTCCTGTCCTTTTCTTTTACGAACAATCCATTATCTCACGATTTGTTACATCTTTCAATTCTTCGAGATACCTGGGGAAGGGAAATCGGGTTAGGCGGTCTCTTCTACGAGGTAATCTCACGGGCAACAAAATGGGTGGCTTTGGTTTAATTAGACGTATACGATATGATATAACGAGGAACGGAACAAGAATGTTAATGAGGACCTTATTTTTGCTCATATTAATGAGAGGGGCAGTTGACACATATTGTCTTGCTCTCAAACAGCAAAGATTTTGGTACTAAAATGCCTAATGCGCTATATCGTATTACTCTCCTATTTGTCCTTGAATAGTTCAAGGAGGTAGGTTGCGGCTGTCAAATACCCTCGATACCTCGTGTAAATAGGTAAACTGTGTTTACCTTGTTAAACTGATGGAGGATGCCTTCTCGGCGTAACTTGATATCTACTTGATAGCTCGGGCACAAAACAAAAACGAAATCAATCCCGCAACGCCCTTGCCGCAACGCGAAGTTCAGTAAGTGGAGCCCGTGCTAACTAACGAGAGGCCGTGTCGCGCGGAGCCCGCACCGCCGCGGGATCTGCATCCGGTCCATAGTATATGCATCATGTAGGTACCTACATTAATAGGGTTGATTGGAAGGGAATCACACGGTGGGGTTCTTGTGGGCTAGAACTTGTTCCTTTAGGGGGGGGGGGGGGGGGGAGGAAGTACATGGTTGCATGGATACGAGCTGGTTACACGATCTCGATCCCGCCCCCTTTTCGGTGTTAAGGACATACATACATAAGTAGGTAGGTAGGTAGGTAGGTAGGTAGGTACCCACATATGTTCGGTGTTGGACTTGGTTGCACGTTGGAAGGGATAGGGGGAGGTCAGGTTAGGTTTTCCGTTGATTGTTTTTTTATTACGTTTTATTTACCTAGCGGGGTCACATCTGGCTACGTACGGGAAACTTGCGATCATCAGATTAAGTAGGTACACCTACTCCGTGTACCGGTCCACAGACTCGCTCTATTCAAGGTGGTGTCGTCTCATACGCTAGCTAGGTACCTAGTTGGAATCCCCAATGCCCTATGCCAGGAACTTGGATGCTAGACCCAGTAGACTCGAGCCCGAGGACCCCGAGCTGCCTCCGCCTGAGCTCTTGAGGTACATTTTGAGGGCCATCTCGCCGGCTTGCATCACGGCGGACTCCTTGCTACTATCACTGGAGACCTTGCCTTGGGAAGCCTTTTGGTCGAAAAGCTGATAAAGGGGGTTGGGAGATTAGTATGGGAGTCAGATTGGGCTGGGTTAGGTTTAGTTAGCTCTGCGTACCTTGCTTGCCTCGGCCATGGCCAGGCCTACGAAGGCGCTCTGGCTGTTGGTCTCCTGTGCGATATTGTCAGCGCCTGACCCCTACCCTTGCTCTACCTAACAAAGCCAAGACAATATAAACGTACGTGAGAGCTCCCACTCTGGCCACCGGTGAACATCTTCAATGCCTGCATGGCGGCGGCGGAGCCCATGCTCTTGTCGTCGGCACTGTCATCGTCGTCGCCATCGTCGTCTTTGCGGTCGAAGAATCGCTTGTGCTGCTTCACGGCGTCGTCCTCGTCCACATCCTCTTCTTTGAGCGCCTGCTTCTTCTGCGTCAGCGCGCCGAGGAGGCTCGAGAATAGGTCGCTGCTGCCTGATTCCCCTGCGTGTCGGGTCGCGTGCTCGGCGGCCCCGCGGATGTCGTCGTCGTCTGCGCGGGGGTAGCCCCCGCCTGCGGGGTAGGCGCCACCATGTGTCACTAGGAGGAGGTGTTAGAAGTAAGGGGCTTTTCTTTCATTTTCTGTTTTGTCTTTGTTTCTTTTTAGATTATTCATCGATGTTTCGACCACAACGAGAATAAAACATTGAACTCTGGGGGGAATGCTTACTGTCACCGCCGATGTCTATAGTACAGTATAACAGTTAGCTAGCTGCTGTACACTGCACTAATCTCGCTCTTGAAGATCCGAGTATAGGGGCAGAGGGGGGTTATGGCGATGCGGGGTATGTAGTGGTATCGTCAGGTCTTAGGTACCTATCTTAGTACCCTGGTACGCACCTTGTTGTCCCGACATACTGAGTTATCTTTATGAAACTGGAGGCTTGGTTTGGCGTATTCCTTTTTTCCAATGAGGCGTTTGATGTGTAAATTTTTTTGTAGGAAATCAGAAATCAGAAATCAGAAATCAAAAAACAAAAGCAAGTAAAGTAGGTCGTTCGAGTTAGTTATGCACCTCGTTAAATACTTTGGGGAAAAGAGAAAGCAACTTGAAAGCTAGACAAGTCTCAGCTGCGTCAGGGACTCCAGCTGAGCAGGCCATTGGATGATGACGTGTGCGGGGGCATTTGACTTGTACTGCGCATAGTATTTAGTTTAGTTGAGTTACGCATGAAACAGCACCAAGGTTTCCTGGTATTCAAATATCAGGTACACATGCAGTAACGGGATCACCCGTCTTCGTAAACTGATGGGTTACCTCCCTGATTATGCTGTTATCAAGGCATACCATCCCTGAATTTCTTGCTTTAACAAACACAAACTTGCAAGAACTTGTTGAAGTTAAAAACTTCAAGTTTTCTGGTTTCCTGGCAAGGCAAAGGTCAATCACTTCTCAATCACTCGCATCTGGACCCCATCTTGCATTGGCATGCTTCAAGTGGAGTGGTGATGAGCAGCCAGATAACCCAGAGATGAATGTACTTTGGTTTCAGTCCCATTCATCCTGCACAATTAGCTGTCGACTACGAAGATATAATAGAGCAGCAATTCGAATCAAATGACTAAAAGGTTCTCACCTTTAGTTTCAGCATTACACTACCATGGAAGTCACGCTCTAAATGCCTTGCTCTTCTTATCGGCAGTTGACATAACAAAGTATATCTAGAACGAAAGAGCTGGCTATTCATTCCATGTACTTGGTAGGAGTTATGGTGCTGAAGCCTGCCTCAGGTAGGTGTTTTCAACATCTATATTGGAAAGCTGGATACTACCATTCTTATGTAGTTCACTAAAGGGGCAGGTTCATCTGGCGTATTGTAGTAAAAGGCATTCAGTATAGATACCACCCTACAATGTGACACTATCAAAACCCCATGCTTCCCGCCCATTATCCTCTTCTTCTTCATCACAACCATAAACACATACCTGATAGGTAGGTTTCATTGCGGCACCACATACTAAACAAACATGCAGGAATATAAGTTTCGCGTTGACGTCCTGATTATCGGAGCCGGGCCCGTGGGTCTAATTACGGCCTTCCAGCTCGCCAAGTTCGGTGGGGTGTCCGTAAGGATCATAGAGAAAGTGACCAAGGAAAAGCAAAATGCGTACGGGCGAGCCATCACGCTCTTTCCTCGAACTAGCGAGATGCTTGACCAACTAGGCCTTGCCGACGAGCTGCTGCAGGATTGCTTTGCTTGCCATGACACCGTAACTTACAATGCTCAGGGCGAAGAAGTTCACGGTCGAGGATGGAGCTTCATGCAGGATATGAAAGACACTGCATTCGACTTCGCTCTTGTGCTGAGACAAAAATTCCAAGAGGACATATTTCGAAACGCACTGGCAAAGTACGATGTGCAAGTGGAGACGCCCGTAGAGTTGATGTATGCTGAGGTGGATCATCATACCGAAGTTGGAAACTACCGAGTCGGGGCAATCCTAAGGGATAATCTCAAGAAAGAGACCGAATTAGTGTTCTGCAAATACCTGATAGGCTGTGATGGCGGGCAGTCGTCTGTCCGAAGTATATTCAACATCCCCTTCGAAGGTACTACAACCGAGGACAGGTGGGTGAGAATAGATGGCCAAGTTAAGACTGATCTACCTAAGCCCCGTACTTATTGTTCCATCGAGTCTCCTACTCACGGAAACGTGCTTTGGGCTGCACTTGACCACGGAGCTACCAGGATAGGCTACGCCTTTTCTGATGATCGAGCGAGTGCATACACCGTGTTCGACCAGGCTGCCGCTGTGAAAGAGGCTGTTGCTGCTGTCAAACCCTTCCATATCGAGTTCGAGCGTGTCCACTGGTGGACAATCTATACGGTGGGACAGCGCATAGCCAAGCAATTCTTCGCTGAGGACTGCATATTCCTTGCCGGGGATTCGTGCCATACCCACTCGTCGGGCGCGGCTCAGGGGATGAACACCGGGATCCATGATGCCGTGAACCTGAGCTGGAAGCTGAGTCTAGTGCTGCGAAAACTCGCATTGCCTAGTCTCCTAAATACGTATCAAAGCGAAAGGCTCCCTAACGTTCAGCGGCTTATTCAGTACGACAAGGATATCAGCCGACTTATGACAAATCGGCTTCCTGAAAATTGGCGAGGAGATCCCGAGGCAGACGTCAATGTAGTCCTTGGGCAGATCTTGAAGGAAGCTGGGGCCTTTAATAGCGGGCTTGGTATCTCCTACGAGATCTGCAGAAGCAACTTCTTGAATGTCCCTGGCTCGTTCCGCAGCTTGGAGCCGACGGTCGGACCGGGGATGAGAGGCCCGGATATCACGCTCTTGCGTCCAGGGACGTTTGAGCCGACAAGGTTGATACGTGAGCTTCCTAACCTAGCACGCTTCAACGTGCTTGTTTTCGCGCCAGAGAATACGCCTGCAAGCGTAAGCAGAATATACAAAGGCCTGAGTGATTCTATTCTATTTCAGCCTCTCCAAGAGAAGGGTGCGTATTAATTGCGATGATAGTTGGACAACGACATAGAAAAAAGAACTAATAAAACAATTAGGGTGCGTAACTTTCATAACCATCCTCCCTCACCGTGCATCGTCGCCATACGAATTGCTTCAATATGATCGTCTTGGCCGTGCTTTTTTCGACGAGGGCGGCCATAGGTCATATCAACGCTTCGGAATTGAACCCGCAAAAGGTGCTATTGTAGTCCTAAGACCAGATGGTTGGATTGGCACAATGATTAGTTTGGACGACGGGGACGATGGTGCAGTGACCGAGCTTATTGGGTATTTTGGCATCGTATTTCTTGGACTGGTGGCGCATATTTGATTATGACGCTATTCGTAGAAACCGCGGTCTAGGTTTTCATGGCTGCGTATATGTTTTGTATTCTATGAATAACAAGTAAGCGCAGGTACTAGAGGCAATTCATATCACTATCGTTTTACTCGGGTCGTCAGTATTTCCTTAACCTAGTACTATCGTACCAGGACGTTAGGCTCATCATAGACGACAAATACCTTATTTCTAGGAGAGTATTAACTATGTAGGTGCCCTAGTATGGAACTAGATACTCAAGAAACTTTAATCATTTGTTAATATATCCTCATAATCACCTTTTTCGTTGCTATTCGAGATACTTTTGCTAACACAAGAGTCGGTCAGGGGCTGCTTATGTAATCAAGGAGGTGAAGGCCACTCTCTCAGCACCATTCGTTCTTTTTGTCTCCTACGACTTTGTACGGTGCCGAAAATTTTTGTTTTTGATTACAAGATATATTAAGGAGGTGTAACTTTGTTGGTTTGATTATCCTGCTCGTTAATCTTCGTTGCTTTTCAAAAACGGGCGTGCTTCGTACCTGCAAATAGTGGGCAGGCACGTAAGGAAGCCTTTTTTTATAGATTAAGCGACGAAGAGCTCTACTCAAGGGGATGGATGGCTGATACTTTATCCATGTGATATACATCTTTACAACGGTACTGGATAGGCGCGCAAGGTGCTTGGCATAGAGCGGTATACTTTACTTATACTTTACTTGTACGCGCACAGGTGCAGCTCATTACGTGCTGGCACATCGTATGGAGCAGCTTCTTCCGATTCGCCTTAGATCTGATACCAGTGCTAGGTTTTCAGGACGTAAGATTTACTACCTAGGTAACTATGTAGGTAGGCTCTTGACGGTCTTCGTCGTGGGGTATGTGTAGAAAAAGGGGAGGCTACGTAGAGGGTGTTCTTGGAGGTTCCGAGGCCTAAAGATTAATCTGATAGCGAGATACTAACTACGTACCTATCTAAATAAGTACCTAGTAGGTAGATGCTCCTGTGTTCGCTGTTGACGAGTGAGAACGCACGATTCCTGAGGCCGTTCCTCTGGTGTCGCCTAACTATGTAAGTTGAATGGGCTTGTGTTGGCATAGAAGCCCCTTCTCTTGGCTTAGGTAGTAGGTTTGTACAGGAGAAGCGTTGGGAGAAGAAACAAGGACAGAACTCCCAAGATACTTGGCAGAGAGGGTGCACGTATCAAGTATAGAAGACATACGTATAGTTCTTACGGCACATAGCGAGCAACCCAGGCCCAGCTCCCAGGGGCTTGGCCACGTGGGTCTGTGTGGGTATACTCGGATGGGATGGAGCGTTAATAATAACGGTAAGGAGGTGTGTTTGAATATTCGTAGCCTTGGCCGAGTAGGTGAGGCAATATATCAAATACCGGATCTAGTTCCTTGGTAGTTCGCCGGTGGGTTGAAATGCAGAGTTACCTCTTCGCGTGGCCCCCTTGAATCTCGTCGATGACACACGTACATGCCTTATGTATGTATGTACGGCACGATACTAACTACCTACCTAATCTGCAGCAATCAGGGATCAACTCCTGTTCCGTACAGCATGTATGTATGTCTGACATCCTCTACAAGCCTGTTTTGCGTACATCGATTTATGCACAACGCACGTGTGAATGGTCTAGCGAGGATTCTCTTAGCGAGACGCACACTAGTCCTACACGGCAACAAGGTGGCCTGATAATGGTACGATGGGGACACTAATTAGGGTAGAAGAGAGAATTGCACATAACGGGTATGAAGTGAATTAGTAAATAGGTATTTATCAATTCTTCTATTCGGTCTAGTTATATAATACTGCTCGTTACTATCATGACCTTATGCCGCGCCTTCACCCTCCTTTTCCCGTAACTCCTTGCGCCAACGCATTCCATGCTTCGAGACTAAGTACAAGCATGGCGAGAATAACACGTACAGCACTGCAATGATGGAGTACGCTTTGCCCGGCCCAACGGATGTGAGTAGCGGGTCAATGGCAGCCGCCATGCCAGCGCCGAGAAGGAACTTGATGATGTTATTGGCCGCGCTCGCCGCGCCTGTCTTCCCGGGACGCACGTCCGCGATCAGGGCGCTGAAGACGCTGTTTGTGCTGACGAGGCCCAGGCCAAGGAGAAAGACCAGCACGCACATCACGGCTATGGAAACCTGGTTCTCTAAGGCCCACCCCCAGGCCGCGATAATAAGCATGCTGAGCACGAGCGCCGGGATGGCAACCTCGATCCTGGCCTTCTCAATGGGGAAGTTCGCAAGGTCCATCTGCCGGCTGCTGTCTACTTCCAGCCCGAGCTTCCGCGCGTGGCGCCGGTAGTTCCAGTTCATGCCCTTGCCGACGATGGCGACGGAGAAAATGGATCCCGCGGCCATGGGGAGGTACACGAGACCTACTTTGAACCCGTCGAAGCCGTAGATCTCGGAGAACAAGGTAGGCACGGCAGTCGCTACAGCGTATACGCCTGCGAAAATGAACCCGCCGTACAGAAAGAGCAGGCTGAGCTCCTTTTCGCAGAGCAGAACGAGCGACGTTAGAAACTTGGACCAGGCGAAATTCACCTTGGGAGCAGGCAGCTCAGCAGCCGTGGCTAGGGTAGGAGGCGGCGTGCTGCTTTCAGAATCGGATGCGACCTTTTTCTGTCGGCGGTTCTTGATAAGCTGCCACACCGTTTGGTTGCGTCTTCGCGGCAGGATGGACCCATCCCCGACCACTTTGCGGCAGGTTTCGGGGAAGAAGCACACCAGGGAGAGGAGGTTGAAGAAGGCGCACGCCGTCAAGAACCAGAAAATGCTGCGCCAGCCGAGGTACTCCGCGATAGCGCCGCCGATAACAGGCCCGAGACTTGGGCCTAGGGTGGCCGGAACGGCGATGAAGGCCGTGTACTGGCCCCTTTCTGCGCTGGTGGCGATGTCTGCCACGACGCCTTGGCATAGAGCCTGCGTTGCCGAGATGGTCGCGGATTGGAAGCAGCGGAGGCCGAGGAGACTCCCGTAGCTGTCCGTCTTGGCCAGCCCTACGTTGGCGATGATGTAGAGAATAAAGCATGCCAAGTACGCCGGCCGTCGTCCGGCCGTGTCAGCGAACCCCCCGATGAAAATGGGCGTGACTCCCTGCAGGATCATGTAGCTGGTGACCGTCAGGTTGATCCGGGTAATCGAGACGTGTAGGTCGGCCGCTGCGATGTTAAGCGCGGGCAAGTAGATTTGCGCCGTCCATGAGGCGAAGAGGGCGCTGAAAGCGGCGCTCAGGACTATTAGCCTCTTTTGCCACTGTGCGTATACGGAGTACTGTGGTTGCGCCTCTTCTTCGGGCGGCGGGGAGTCAGAGAGGTCGTGTGGAGTATCAGCGCCGATGACACTGACGATAGTGTTACCGCTTAGCGCACTGGGCCTCTTTGGCTTCTCTTCCTCGAGGTCTGTGGGCTGTAAGACCGGGACATCCTTCTCTACAATGACGGTATCTTTCTTTTCTTCCATGACTCGCTGCTGTGTGTGCTGTTCCGGTTATAGAGGTGCCTAGAGGCCGGGGGTTTCACGTGGTGGAGTTTGAACAGCGACCAAGGCTGAAGATATTTTGTCCGTGCCTAGGAACAGCCAGACCGGCTGCACAACTCTGCCCAACATATTTGCGAGATATAACCAAACTTTTCCCAGTACTTCATACTATACATTGTGGCGATCTTAGCTCGTGGAAGCGAAGGGCGGTCCTCGGTAGTTCATCGTGGAACTCATGATCTCGCACCGATGGATGGAGCTCCTGGTCGGGCCTTTCGGAAAGGGTTGTTTGATTACCAGCACTAGGCCTGTGGCTTACGAAAAGAGGAACTTTTTTTTTCCCCCATTTCATATTCTCGCCTCTGGAATGTCTTGGCGTTTTTCTATCATGCCACGATGGGCTCGAGAGCCAGCAACCCGTAAGAGCATGACTAGAGTGCATACCAACCACTGGCCAGAATAAGCTCAGTCTAGACCCCACGCTTAGGCCAGTCGACAGGGTGGCAGGATGCCAGATACCTAGTAGGCACGGCACGGCCCTGCAGGCGGCAGATTCGGAATCATCACAACGTAGCAATGAGCCTTTCGTGCTTCATAAGATGTGTGTTGGCCCACTTACTGGTGCTTTTGCGTGCCCATCCTACGAAATACGTACCTGTCATGCCAGTGGTCCAGCCTTACACGCTTCGCTTTGCTTGGGGAGGACGCTAAAGCTCGGCGATCGACCTTATCTCTTGAGTTACTGCTACCTACCTACGTAGGCTTTCTATATGGTAGTTCCGTATGGCCCTAACTACCTACGTACGTTATCTTTACGGAGCACCCTTCCGAAACTTCAAAAAGCTGGGGTGAGTTCAAGTTAGGGATAGGCGATGTCCCGAAGAAGAATCTTTCAGCTCGGGCTTGGTGGTGGATTCGTTCCGGTATGCCGCGCCGTTGCCCAACTTGGCGACCCTTGGCTACATAAATAGTTCGTGGGAGGAAGGTGGGATTTTTTTTTCTCTTTTGGGCGTACGTCCTGAACTGAATCCGATCTTTGAAAAATATGAGAGATTGGGGGATGGGGATGGGAAAAAAAAGTGATGGGAATGTTTCGTCCTAGAACCAGAATGGAATTCAGATCGCGGACGACCGAGACCGTGGGTAGATGAACTCTGGATTGAAGGAATACGGGAATGGGGGACGGGGGAGAGAGAAAGGGTAGGGGAAGAGAAGGGAAAGAAAGGCGAAGAAGATGATGAGATGAGATGAGCTGCAGACAACATTATGCAGCACGTAATCAGATATCTCGCCTCCCTCTTTCTTCGCTGACGGCGGTTGGGTAAGGGCGCGTATAAGCACTATCAGGGGTGCGTACATGATACATACATATGTAAATACCCTGCCTACATATGTATGTCCATACCGTAGATGTTTACCCTGGTATTGTATGTGCCCAGGTGTGTATTTCCGTACATGCAAATATAAAAATTTATATGGTGGTAATAAGTGCTACCCAAGTAGGTACATAAGGCTTCTTCGCCAAGGGGAGCTGTGAGAGAATACAACGTTGATTCTAGGTTCTGAGCTCGAATCGGCATCCCGCCCCATACCCACAGATCTACCACTAACTATCTACACACTTTATCTACACACCCCTGAGTATAATTTTCATAAATACGACGACATCGAATACTACCCAAGTGTAGCACAGAAACCGAAAAAACTCCCACACCTAGGTCTGGAAATGCTGGGGATGTTGGCCCCCCCAAACTTATCCCCCCCCCCCCCTTACGTCCTTCCCTCTCTCCTACGTAGTTGTACACTACCTAGTATAGTTACCGGCTGCCCGGCATAATGTGACATTTACCTATACCGATCCTGCAATCCCGCAACATGCATCATGATAAGGCATATACTGACTTGTACATCAGGATAAATAAGAAGCCATGTCATCGGCATTGTCTCAGCTTCCAATGAACATCGCCTTCATATATTATTTGATTCATCTAAGTTTGGTTGGACAGCCCTGTAGAGGCAGGCGCACACATAACCCATCCCCCGTCCTGTCCCGTCCTGGATCTGTGGGAACTTGATCCAGCCTTTTGGATACTCTGGTTCTTCTACTTGTTGCGCACCAATCCGGGCTCGTGTGGCGAGACACAGAGCTGAATCGTTGGGACTTGGGGTTTTGGGTGTTGGGAAGAAGCCGGATCGCCGAAGTGTGGATGGATGAGCGGCTGGGAAAATAAGACAGGAAGGGTGCGATAGGTGTGGGTGAAGGGGAGGGGAGGGGGATCGTCCGTCAGCTCTATCGCTGATCTTTTGATCGAACATTGTCTGCCTTCTAGAAATTCGAGTAGCTATCCAGCTGGTGACGTCGAAACTCTCTCACTTGGATCACACATAATTGATATGTGACTATTGCTCACCCTGCTGTTTCTCTCTTTGCCTAGCCTTGAACATATTTGCAAGAATTCCGGGTAATGTACGACTGGGCAAGCTACTAGGGGGTAAGATGCGTCTACAAGGTAATTTATGTGCCTACTATTTGACGAAGGATGGATCGGATTCTCACTGCATGCAGAGCTCACGTGGAGTAGATTGATCCTCTTCTTTTTCTTTTGCTACTACTTTATTACCTGGCTGTCCTAAATTACCGATATGTATGTACTATGTATGCGAGAAGAACTCAGGCTTGTAGGTAGGTAGATATTGTACAGTTGGGTCTGAGATCTGCGCTGTAGGTAAAATATCCGCCGTCCAATACCGTAAACCGCCGAGTTCATTGTTTTTTGCCGTGATAAGAAAATAGTTACTGTATGAATTCCCAATTGGATTAATACGATTTGGAATTCCAATCATCGCAGAATATTTCCCCGTCCAGTTCAATTTGCAAGCGGCGACACGTATTTCTGCTGAGGTCGCCACAGCTTCACGGGTTGTGCTACTCAACTTGTTAGTATCCATATTGACGGTAAAAAAGGGGGGCGAATAGGGGGAGGGGTCAATGTACTTAAACTCTCGCGCCAGTGGGCCAGCGCACCGGGTGTCCTCGAGAGGATGGTAATGGCAATGATCATATCAGTATCGAAGCCCCTGGTAGCACGGCAGAATGTCAGCATCCAATCCAAAAAGTTCCAGAACCTGGTTATTTATCACTGCATTCGCATGTGCATTGCGCTTGCGTGCGTCACACTTACATAGCCGTGTAGAGGAAGCAACCCATGAGGTCGGCATTAGCCTTCAAGCCTCGCTCGACAAAGTACGCATCCTGGTTCGCGTACCTGTCGATGGCCATGGCGACGCGCAGGAGGGGGTTCGCCTCGACGGCGTCGCGGTGGCCCTCCAGCAGCTCCTCGATGAGCGCCACGCGTGGGTCCCGCGTCTTGTACACGCGGTGGCCGTACCCGAACAGCCGCCCGCCCTTGGCCTTGATCCGCTCGATGAACGGCGGCACGCGCTCCGCCGTGCCGATTTGCCGGAACGCCTCATACGCTAGGTCGATCGCGCCGCCGTGCAGCGGGCCGTACCCGCAGATGATGCCCGCCGTCACGGCGGATACCGGGTCGATGAGTGTGGACCCGGCGTGCAGCACGGCGGCGGTGGAGTTGGTCATCTCGTGGTCGGCGTACAGGATCCACAGCTTCGCGAGACACCGCTCTACCTCGGGGTTGGTGATGCCCATCATCAATAGCAGATTCCCGAGCAACGACCGGCTTGGCTCGGGCGAGTTCCATTGCTTTTCGTTCTTGTGGCAGTAGATCAGAGAGATGGTGGATGCGAGGTACGCGATTGTCCGCACGAGGGCTTCGTCGGCGACGTCGAGACGGCCGTGGAACATGGCGCTTTGTTGGTGGCGCGTTTTGCAGATTACGCTGTCGCTGGCTGCGAAGGCACTCATCCCAGCCAGAATCATGGGGAATGTTTCTGCGTCACGCCTATCGCCATCGTTAGAGACATTAATATGATATGTAGGGAGGTTGGTAGGTATATTGCATGTGATTGAAAAAAAGGGGTAACATACGGGAACGCGGATATTACGTCCTTCACGCTCTGAGATGGCACCATAGCTTTGCACATCGTCTCTCGGACGTGGTCCTTCTCCTCCTGAGTGGGAAGACTGCCCCAGATGACGAGATGCATGACATCTTCGTAAACGTATTGATGGAATAAGCTTTCGATGGGGAAATCTCGATATCGAATAGTGCCGCGCACGCCATCACTGCGAATGACACGCGAGTTAGCAAGCACAGATGAAAAATGAGTGTGGTGGTGACGGTGGTAGCGTACATGTGTGTAATGCTAGATTCCATACACGCAGTGTATTGGAAGCCATTGTCGATAATTCGGAGAGGTTTGGCAGCCTTGGAAGCAGTTGTATCCGTTTTCCCCTCTGGAATACCAATACGGCCAACATCTGAAGCGCGTATATAGTCTCCTGAGATGGGAATTGTGTAAGACTTCCCTGTGCGGGAATCCGTAACTTGCAAGTGGTGGTCCATGTTGAATGATGTTAGTTTGAAATCCTCAATAACCGATCGTCGTCTCACGAGAATGAAATGGGAGTAAGAGCAAGCCAGAAGAGAAGAAGATGGAATTTGAAGATAAGAAGTTCCTCGAAATGTTTATCTAGCAAGCACTTTTGAATGACCAGTTTTCCTTTTGGGTTTGTACACACTGCTGGTGAGAGGGACGTGTGTTGTTCAGGTACTAGGTAGTCACCCCCCTTTGGTGTAGTAGGGCTGGACTTTGGAGGATGGATCCGTGAATCCCGCATTCCCTCAATCCCCTGTTCCCCAGATCCCCAGATCCTGAAATCCACAAGTAATCGCTGTTCACCGATGATACGATACTAACACCGAAAAAAGGGTATCCTACGAACAAACTGTGATTCTCAAGGAGGTTATATACTTGACTTACATTTCGACTTATTTGCCAACTTTTTTAGTTCGTCACCGCACTCGTCTCCCTTCGTTTCGCTTCTGACTCTCTAGTATCAAGACACCTCTTTTCCAAAGTTCATATACTCTGAAATCTCAACCATGGCTGCCGCTGTAGCTTCCACCACTGGCTTTTTGGGCATGTGGAATGGCACCAAAGATGGCAAAACCGACGGATACATGGACTGGAACAGCGGTTCTACCAACGTGGCTGACCCTCTAGAGGTCAAGATTGTGGCACAAGACATCCGAACCATGAGCCCTCAGCCAAACTATAACAACAACGGGTACGGAATCGTCAAGCACAAGTCTTCCTTGACCCCCGAGCAGTTCCTGGCTGGAAACGACCCAGAAGGTAAGTTGTCTTGTTCTTGTCTCTCTCGTCTAATCCACCACCGGGGGAATTGTGCAGCTTACCTCCATCGTTTTTTTCCAGGCAAGAAGTACGTCGAGGACGTCTACTTCAAGGAGGTCGCAGAGCTAGTCAAGCAGGTCACCGGATCCGACGTGGTGGTCCCCTACGTGTTCCGCATCCGGCAGAACAGCGTGAACCCCGGCGGCTTCGCGACCAGCAAGCTTTCGCACGCGGCGCTCCCCATCGCCCACGTTGACCGGGACGACGTGACGGGCGAGGACGGCGTGCGCGAGATCCTGGGCGACGTGGCCGACGAGCTGATCAAGCAGGGCAAGCGGTACGCGCAGGTCAACGTCTGGCGCACCATCGACCAGCCGATCCAGAAGTGGCCGCTCTGCTTCATCAACCACGACGACATCAAGGACTGGGCCTATGACACGCACTTGGCGCGCGTGTACCCCGCCAACGACCCCAGAATCGCCATCAGGGGGGAGAAGAGGCACGACAGCGTCGTCAAGTTCAACCCGAAGTAAGTACCTATAACTATATCCCGCCCACGCAGAGTACCTACCTACCTACCTACCCTAGGCACGTAAAAGAATGAATACTAATAAAGCATCATCGATAATAGCTACAAGTACCACTATGTCAGCAAGCTCGACCTGGACGAAGCCCTTGTCTTCTCCTCGTTCGACTCTGATGTCACCAAGGTATCCCCCCACGGTGCGTTCTGGGACGACTCTAGCCCGAGCGATGCGCCGACGCGACGATCTATCGAGGTTCGTTGCTGGGTCTTCTTCGACTAAGTGATCGGCTTGATTTTGACGTCAACGTGCTTCAGGAGAAAGGGGGATGGGATGAGGTGTCGATCGAGACGGGATGGATTGTTGACTGTCGCAGAAACGGATGTCTATCATTTCTAGTTCAGGCCTGCTTCTTATGTACTTAGCTAGTGTATTCTCGGTCCTTTTTTTCAAGAAGAAAGATTAGTATGATGAGACTTGACGCAGATTTCCAATCCAATATTAATATAATATATATATACAAGTCCACGCGTTGGTGATGGTGGTGAGTAGTAAAGAAATCAGGCGGTTGACAAAGGGGGAGAAAGAAAAAGAGCTTTTATCCGTAAACCCCAGTAGAGGCTGTAGCTGTAAAGCGCCAGGATAATAACTATGCCAAGTGTATTTATTTTGGCCCCAAAAACCGGTTTTATGATGGTGTTGGAGCACTTACATACCTAGAGATTACCAGCCGAAGAATATATTAACCGGCACGGTCATACGGGGCCGTTGACGACGATCATCACCGATCATGTCTTCGCCCGTTGTCGACTTGATCGACGCCTTCAATTGCGGTCCAACTACGGGAGAAGCGCAATGATGTAAGATATCATGGTTTGGTATAGCGTGCCCACCACGACGATATTAACTCTTTAGGTACCGGCATTTCAGGACGTGGGAAATTCAAAAATTGACGGGGGAGGAAGCAGTTGATCGAGCGGGAACGATCACACCTCCCCTCGTTCCTAGATGATCCACCCCCCAGCTTTCAGCTTTCGTCTAGTCTCCTCATACGAAGGTATGTTCCCGCACTATCACCTCCCTGTAAGCCATTACTTAGCAACATATTACCCCAAGCGAGAAAAGAAAAAGAAAAGGATGCTCGCGTACCTCTACCTGCAGACCGATGACATAGACGCTGAGCTAGGTGATGAGGTGATAGCGGGAGAGCCCCGTATTCGTCCACGGGAATCTAAATCGGTCCGCTGCCCGACTGTGGGAGGGCTTGGGGGCTGGTAATGCAAGTAATGCTGACCTGCAACTCTGATATGACCGTCGAGTTTTCCCTCTCCTACGTTTCCTTCGTTTCGAGGAAGACACCGGTCAACATATGAAACGACGCGAATTCCCTCGGAACCACAAGTTCTCGTGCCTGACAGTAGTAAACCCAAGCCTTCGGAATATCTACCTACTAGGTATGTAGGTTTCGATCTTGATGGAGAATGGTACGTGTGATATACTACCTTACATAAGTAGTAAACTCCCTAGTAGTACTTTTCTTTTTGTTCGGGCTCGACTACCCGACTGTAATCCTCCGAGAGGACGTCTGTCACGATTTTCTGGTTACTTCGCAGATGTCTCGGCAGTTGGGTTTCACACCAACATAGCATTCTAACCCGCAGTCCCAATACCGATTCTTAGGGTGTTAGGCTCGTAGTTCCGGCTGATGCCTCCCACGCTACAACCCGTGATTTAGGTCGATGCAAGAATGTAAAAAAGAAATTGTACACGTAGTAAGCGCAGCCAACGTCGACAAGCTTTTTCCTGCGGTAGGATTGTGAGACCGCCCATGGAGAAGGGAGCTGAATGTGGAAATCATTGCCGGTTTCTTGGCGTCATGGTATGGATTGGTTGAAGTCACGGCTCATCCGCAGTCACATACCGCACCTACCGAGCTAGGCACAGACGTTTTGTTGGTTCAACCGTCCGAACTTCATATATAGGTAGCTGAGATGCTCTTTTTTTTTGCTCAATCTATGCATACCTCCCACTAAGTAGGTATGTAAGACCTTCAAGGTTACCACTAGGTACTGTGTATATAATAAGACTTATCAGCTACCTAATATTGAAGCTATTCCGAGCGTTTCCGATTGCCGCATGTATCCTTTGGTACCTAGCAGTTGCTTAGTAGAAACTCGGGTTGAATCGGTATGTTAATACCTACCTAGGCACGTAGGTATCCAATGGATTCTGGGTGACAACATCTTTAGATATTATACTAGGTACTGGGCAGGCATGTAGACGCAAGTGCTGGCGAAGATTTATATACTATATAAAAGTGTCTTGAAATGGTCCGTGAGGGCTGAAAAGGGGGGAGGTATAGCGAATACTAGCGTCATAGTTAGACACTACAACTTCGAGCCATTCTCGATTGGAATCAACAAACACTTTGATTTCCCGTTCGAGTAAAGTAGGTACTCAGGTACCCTTCCCAAAGTACCCGAATAGGGTAAGGTAAGATGGGGGTGTGGGGGCCTCAGGATACATAGGTAGACTGAGGTAGTACGCTGCATCGTGGAGATGCTAAGATAGGGGACGTTCTTAATGTAATATCACGCTCCGAACCGGCTATGGCAGTGACCCTACGTGTACATTATAGGCCGAGTGAACTTTTTTCGCTCCGACTATGACAAGACTATGACAGGACTTTGACAAGGCCGAGACATGCAGAGATGAGACGCGTCCTACACACACCTAACTAGACCTAGCATAGAACAAACGCGTTTCTATAGCTACGGTATCGGGGTGTGTAGAAAAAGGGCTCAGATCTGATTGATATGAAAAGGATATGATTGGTCGGGAATAATGCACATACTGCATATAGGCAATAGGGGGCAAGGTAATGCAGTATAACGTCTTCATATTTTCATACCAATGAACATGTCATAATTAGCAACTGAAGTCTCGAAGGATTGGGCATCGATCTTCCCCAATTGCATACCTACCTGGAGCACACTTACTAGGTACCAACGTTGCAATGATCGATGGGAGATATTCCAATTATCTTGATGTGATCGTGATCTGCACTTGCTACGTAACCACCCAAGGGGTTATGTAGCGTTCTGTGTGAAGTAGTGTAGGTAGAGAATCGAATTTTTTCCCTCCTTGTTCTCTTAATTCTTTTTTTATCTATTTTTTTTATTTATTTTTTAATATCATTCCAAACATATCCTGAAGCCAACAAACGGATCTTCAGTGACAGGGGGTATAACCGCTTCCTCTCCTCCTTTAGTCTCTCTTATCTGAAAGAAAAAGCAACTCACTCACTCGTACCTCAAATGTTCCCATGTACATAGATAGTACATACCGTACCGTACATACCTAGCTACGTAGGTAGCACTCCATATATATCGATCATATATCGATCATATATCAATATCATCAATTTGGAGCTGATAGTCCGGCGGCACTTGTCGAATCTCCCATGTCCCCAGTGCCCCAGTCGACCGCCTGCCAATGGATGTCCTGCGTAGCGGCAGCGGCTGCAGCTGCGAGGCGCGGGTTGCCCAGGACAGCGAGGCGACTGGGGCGCGGCCGGCCATTGGAGTATCGACGTATCCTGTTGCAGCTCTGCTTGGCAAGATGCGTGTCTCTGGCCGAGTTGCGTGTGAAAATTGCCCCGCATAGCGGACAGACGCCCTTGGTGCTGGCCCCCGACCTCTCTTTTACGTGCCTCACGAAGTTGCTCTTGGATGAGAATTCTCGCCCGTTGCACCCGTGGTCCCAACATCGATGCTTCCCGCTGTGGTCCATCATCGATTGCTCTTCGTGACTCGAATTTCCCAGGAAATCTGGCATGGTGGTGCTCAACTTGTCCAGCGCGTTTGCGTAGGGATCTGTTGAGGCCAGATTTCCCGAGATGTGCTGTATAGATGCCATTGGCACTTCATCTCCATTGATACGATTCCGCGTAGTGTCTGTATCGTCGATCCAGAAGAGACTAAAGATTAGGTAGGTAAAAGGTTAGCAGGTAAGTCTAAAACGTGGAGTGGAGGGAACAAATTGGTAAGATTAGCTTGCCTTTTTTGGGATAACTCATCGAAGATCGCTGATCCATCTAAGATGGGATCTATAAACCCTGCGAAATCCGAAGATGTCGTTGCAGTCGAGTTGTGGTAACTCGTCGATTGGACATGATTATGGGTCTTTCTTTTCTTCGAGCTATGTGCGTGCTTCTGTCTCATCATCATCTTGAAGTTCTTGAGTTCGTGTGTGGTAGCTGTCAGCAAGCATGGAGGGTTCAGCCATATAGATATGGTTTCTGATAATTGGCTGAAGGGTAGATAGGTAGTAGCTAGGAGGTACCTAGTAGGTAATAGGAGAGGCGTATCTGAGACATCTTGTAATTCGTAGATGCCCTCCAACCCGCCAGTCCGGATATTAAATACTTCTGAGGTATTAAATCGTATTAACCACCTGCCACCTGCTCGGACTGGAGGAGACATGTAACCGCACATAATATATCATAGTGTGGGAAATCGCCGATATCCCTCCTTCGCCCGGTGTACTTCAGGGGAGCATTCTAAGACGCCAATCAACGGAAAGTTGTCCACCTACCATAGGACAAAGATACCATCCAGTCAGAAAATCGAATGTCTTTTCTCGTCTGACCTAGGTTTCCCTAGGTCTCAATGAACCTTTGTGGCCCCCCCAGAGGAGAGGGTAAGGCTTGGGAGTCCAGCCACGAGGCTTTTGCAGCGAGTCTCGAGTTCGAACGTTGGTCTAGAACATAGCTGGCAGTTTCTATGCCGGGTCGGTCCTTTTTTTGCACGGCTCTAGGCTGTCCCGTGATCGCAAATGCTTGTAACCTGAACGATAAGAAGGCTTCATCGAGCAGCGGTGGGTCTGGACGAACCCCAGACAGCCTCTCTGTATGTCAGACACTGGGGCGACACTGGGGCTTGACTTACACCCGCGGCTGCATTAGATCTAGACCCACACTGATCCACACAGGATGGGCATCTCGCAGGTATTCTCCTGAGACCTATGGTTAACTAAACGGGTGTGTATTTGTTGTCGATGGCGCTGGTAACGTGACTTACGTGACCTATCTGCAGGCCCGTCGGTTAAAGTCAACCCTACGACAGCTGTTCCCATAGATTAGGCTAGCCAGCCCACTAATACGTTTTTCACTTTCATTTCCTTCTCTCTTTTTCGTTTTCCTAATACGGACTTCACATAATCATACAGTGGACAATAAAGACATTCCTTCCGTATGAGGTAACATGAACCAGTATCCCCTACGTGTGGCTACACAACCTCAACGTAGACATGACAGATACAACACATACATAGACTAACTAGACAGACCACACCCACAAAATACGCAAAGGGCTTGATTAAAAAACCGACGTAAGGGTTACCAAAAACGGTGCAGGGTTAAAAAATCAAGCTCCAAGCAGGTTTATATTTAGAAAACGTTGGTCCCCCAATTTAGTACCCCTATTTTAATAACTATAGTCCGGGGATATTCGCCACGCAAACCTAACGTTTTTCAATCTAGCGAATCGCGGGGAGAAGAGATGTTGTTGGATATGACGGCCACAATGTAAACACAGATCCCCAAACAGCTTACAATCGAGGTCCCAACACCAGATGCTTGTCTACATGCCTGCCTACCTACTTAAGTATGTATCTATCTAATAGAATATGTAGGTTAGCGAGTATCGGTAGGCTTAGAAGGGGGGGCAGCCCACGGTTTCGGGTCACACGGGCACTGCGCATCGTTGCATTTCTGTTGCATGCACATATACATACATGCCTACACACATACACACATGAGTGGTTTCGAGTGGCCTCATCCAAGAGATTCTGTGGTAACTTCGCTTAGGATTTATACGAGGAACGAGCACCGAGGATTGGGACAGAGGGCATGTTCTAATTTGGTTCTGCTCCCTCCTCCACCCTCCACCCTCCACCCTCCACGCGAGCCCTATGCACCTATGGACATACACATACATACACAAACATACCTTACCTAGGTATGCACCTTAATGCCGGATTCCGGAGTATACACCCCTTGCTCATTGATCACGACATGCCATATATCACTTGATCCAGCCTTCTAGAACCTTGCCGATGCGAGGAGATCGGGTCATATCGTGCACGTACTCAAAGTACTCCCTGGTAAGCGCGAACGGCCTCGCCGTGAGGTTAGGAATGTACTTTCCGACGAGCTGACCCGGGTCTATGCTCTTCTTCTCGAGATTCTTGAGTAAGAACGAGCGGAACGACTGGACCCCAGACCGTAGATACGAGCTGTGAAAAGGGACGTCGATACCTCGGAGGGGTATAGTAGCTCGGCCTCGCGACAGCTCCAGTGGTGCTGCTTTGGCCCGAGAGCGCTGGTCCGCCTCTTCGATAATAGTGACGAGTAGATTATAGTGCTCTTCCACCTCGAGATGACGCACATCCACGTTCCGTGCCTGGATGCTGTCCATGACGCCACCCAGCACGTCCAGACCGCGCAGATCACCCGCACACACATACTGCATGTTGCGCACGTTATAGTTGACAATCTCCAAGAACGAGCCAGTGACGTCGGTGATCATCTTGATTATGTGCTTTAGCGCTGGCTCGTCCAGACGCGCGCTTACGCGCGAAGGGTCGACTGCACACATTGAGTAGTTTGAGCGACCGGCCGCATCTCTCTCCACGGCGATCTGCATGCACAGACCGCGGTAGAACACGACCGAGACCAATGTCTCGACTGGCATCACTTTAGCAATAGAGGCAAGGGCACTGTATTCCCCTAGAGAATGCCCGGCAAAAACACTGTCTTTTCGGATGACGCCCTGGGCACGCAAGTCCTCGAACGCCGCCATTTGCATTAATGTAAGTGCCGGTTGAGTGAACTGTGTCGCCGAGAGCAAGCCCGTGGGAGAACGGAACGTGTAAGAAGTAGTCCGCTCGGTGATGGTCTTGAAAACCTTCTCGAGTTTTGGCTCCCCGTCAGCAGTCATACCCAGGCTCTGGGATGTCATGGCTATGTAGTTCTGTCGTATAGCCTTCCCTCGAGCCCCGCCAAAGTGGACTGTAAGCTCTTTGGGATCATGGCGGACAATCTCAAGGATTGAGAAGCCTGTGTGTAGATATTAGTATAAATTCCCATCGAGTAAAAGACAAACAGACGATAAAAGAATATTATAGCATACCAAAAGTATCGAGAAAATGCTTATCAGCACGGTCCCAGACGTCTCTCGCTACCGCACTCTTCTCATACAGCTCCATACCCATTCCCTTCTCTTGAGAACCCTGACCGGTGAAAATGTACGCAGATGTTGGCTGCTCAATAATGGCTTCGCCAGTCAATACCTTTTCTCTTGTTTCGTCGCTCTTGACCACCTCAATCTGGATGATCATGGATCCAGACACCATGCCCACGTGGTGTAGTTGCACCTCGAGCCGATCACCAGGCAACACCATGCCCGTGAATTTAATGTTGTAGTCACGCATTCTATGAGCATGGTTCTCCGTTGCCCAGGTCTCGACTAGGCTCCTGACCGCACCACTAGTATACATGCCGTGCGTGATAGTACCAGGCAAGTTGACGTATTGAGAGAAGACGCGCGAAACATGAACAGGATTGAAGTCACCCGAAACTCGAGCGTAATTCTCGTTGGAGACAGGCGCCTCTATCTCGAGGGAAGCCTTGTTGTGACTATTCTGTATCGGAATTGGGTGTTTGAAATAGACGGGCTGGTCTACCTTGGAGCCGTGCCGAGCGAGGTACTCGAGCACGGGATTGCCGCGTGAAGGCCCTGCGGAGACGTACTTGACCGTACCGACGCGGATGCGTTCCTTTGTCGTCGGGATTTCCACGTCGATCGTGCCGACAGTCTCGACGGAGGCGAATACGACCTTGTCGCGAAATCGGGTCAAGGTGTGTAGCGTGAATACAACGCTGTGACCTAATAGGAGGTCGTCCACATCCTCCTCCTTTTCCGATATAAACCATTTCTTGGCTTTTAATACCGCAACGTCTTTGGTGTTCTGGAGAGATACTCGCACGGGAGCCTCATCCTTTCTCTGGAACGTTTTCTGGAAGTCGGCGAAGACGCCGCGGTAGAAGAATTGTGATGTGACTTGCATCACGGGCTTATCGTCGCGCACGATAGTGCCGCAAACCTCCACCATCTGGCCTGAGTCCTGATTGACGATGGCCGTGATCTCAGACGTTGTGCTCAGCTTGTCTCCTCGTTTGAAAGGAGTTGCGCCAGTGATCATGCGGAAACGGTTCGACAAGTGGACGAGCTTTAGTAAATCGCCATCCACGGCGTCGAATAGAGGCTCCATGAGGGCTTTCCAGCCAATGATGATGGCGAAATCCATAGGCGCCAGATGGTCCCGGCCGGGCCGCTCAATGTAAGATTCAGCATTGTTACCGACCGCACGTGAAAATTCGCGGATCGCGGTGCTAGTAATTGTAGTGGTGCCGCCATCCCAGCATTTCGTATGAGGTATGACTGCATCTAAGGGCTCAACAGGCCTATCGTAGCCGAACCATAGCTTGTAATAGAAATTTTTGATTCGCTCATTTCGGGACATGATTGCTGCACAGGACATGATTACTTCACGAATAGGCGCATAGCCTGCCTGCGGATAGTATGTAAAAAACAATGGAAGCTTCACTGGCTTTCCCGAAGCAGTGCGGTGTTCAATGAGGCAAAGAGGGATAATGTAGCTAATGAGGGGCCCTATTTTTACTGTCGGTAGCTGCTTATCACCGACCTTCTCCTCCACGGTGATGGCAGTTTTGTTAGGGTCCTCCGGGTATGCTATGCTGACGAGCATGCCCCGAGAAGGGGCCAGGAGGCGATGGAGTGGGTTTGCCTCAAGAAGATGCCCCTGAACGAAAACGTCCGTGGTAAATAAGGCACGTCGCCATGAAGCACGAGCGCCAGCTAGCAACTGGACCCATTGATCGGTGTTGGGAAGAACAGATCCCGGAATAAACAGTCTCGTCTCGTTGCCAGTCTCGGAAATAGCAACTCCTTCGAGGACCGGATGAGTGCTCATAACACTGTTCACCATCTTGTCACCAAAGTACTCAATAGTTGGTATCTTCTCTTCATCGCCGCCGTAGATGTCTTGGGTGAGGGCTTTTATGTGGCCCTCATGGATACGATCGAGGATATCCCTAATCGTCTCTCTCGTCGTTGTCGAATACTTAGCAGCTACAGGCCCGTGGAGAATACAGACCCTGCCGACATCTTGATCCACCACCGCATCGAGGTCCTCGGATTGCCATAATGAGTCCTTTTTGAACCAGACCTCGAAATCCTCATCTAAGCATGGGACGAATGGGACGGGCTTTTGGCCTGGGCGCTTGCAAAGGCTCAAGAAATGTGCGCAGTCTTGAGCGTTCATGAGCTGCGTAGCGGCGAGTGGGTACATTGTGATGCATTGCTTGACGGTGGGTACCGGATCATCTAACTCGCTATACGATTCTAGAAGCGAGTTCCTGTTTGTCGTCATATGGGTAGCGAGACGTTGTTCGATGTAGTGTATAAAGTCACCCGTTAGACGAGCAAGAGACTCGTCAACCCATCTCTTCTGGTGCTTGATGAACATGAGCTCGACCATCCTGGAAAGGACTTCAGCAAATGTCATTTCCTCGAGTTCCACGGCCCTACCGGACGCATTGCGGCCAAACCAGGGCTTTTGGAAATCGGCATTGAGTCGTCGCACGATGTAGTCGTGCATCGGCTTCTTCTTCAATTCCAACAGACGTTTTTCTTTGGGGAGACTGAAGATCTTCTGATCCATCTCGGCCCAAAATACGACACCTCGAGTGGCCAGCTTATGGATCGGCTCTCCCATCTCGGATCGAACCGTGACGATACCACCCCCGCCAGCGGGTTTCTGGTACGTCTTCTCCCATTCTCGGTCATCGAGACCGTGGGCATCCACGATAGCCTGTTTTGCGCCCCTTGAGGTGTGTGCCTCTTTAGCCACCATGCATCGGCTTCCAAGCAGAATTCCGTCAAAAGGCATGTGGGGATGACCGAATTTGCTAGCCCAGGTGCCGCTCAGATAGGGGTAAGTATCGTCGGCACCCCCAAAGCCAGACCCCGCCACCAGCACGATGTTATAGCAGCGCCGTATCTTGCTATACGTCTCGATGATTGGCTCATGAAAGTCCTCGCACGAGTGGTGTCCGCCACCCCGGCCACCGGTCCATTGCAATATTACTGGAAACCCGGGGTTGGCCTGGGCTATCTTGATCACTTGCTGAATAGCTTGGATGGAGCCAGGCTTGAATGCAATTTGTCTGATTCCAAGTGTGCGAATATACTCATTCGCAATGTCGAGAGAAGGGACACCGGCACCAATAGTTAGCCCCTTGATAGGTAGTCCCTTGGCGCATAGATCGCGTATCAGCGGGATCTGCCAGGAAATGGATTTTGGACTGGCATATATCACGTTGAGGACAATTCCGCGACCTGGAGGTATTTCGGTCGAGATCTTAGTGATTGCTTCCGTGAGACTGTTCCCGTCAAAATAGCCACCACAAGCCAGCTCTACCTCGTACCCGGCTTTGGTCGCAGCCACCACGAAGTCCCAGTGTACCGTAGTAGGTGTCATCCCAGCTACCATGATCGGCGGGAGACCGAGGAGCCTGCTCATTTTGGTATCCACGAATGTGCGACCAGTCGAGGTCTTTATCAGCTTTGGTCCGTATTGTTTAGCCCAGTTGGTACCATAAGTTAGTTGAGATGTCCTTCGAGCGAATATCTCATGTTTACATCCAATCTCAGGGTGTGTCGGGTTGGTGATGTTGGTCGCGAGGATGACGCGAGCGCCGGTGCCGTCTTTGATACGACTGGTGAGGCCAGCGACGCCTGCAGTACGTCCAGGACCAAAATCTAATATGTGTGTCGCGTCAGGCATCGATATCACCTTGTCCCAATGTACGGGATCCTGGCAAATCATTCTGACGAGCGAGGGCACAATGTTGTTCTTCTCATGCAACTCGCTCCTGATATCTTTCCCGCTGAACGTAGAATATACGGCGATGGCGAGATCATTGGGGGAAATATTCGTCTCTTTTAGGTCTTCTCGAAGGGCTTCGATGGCCGATCGTAAGTAGGGGCTATGAAAAGGGGCAGTGATGGGGAGAAATTTGTTGTTGATGTGCAGCTTTCTTTGGCTAAACGGGATGCGAGACTCGTCCACATTTTCGGCTGCTTTCACTCTGCGAAGTTGCACGTTGAGTCCGTATAATGCCATTGGGGGGCCTGCGACAACGAAGTTCTTTGCGCCATTCACCAAAGCCACGACGATTTGTCGGTCTTCCGGTAAGGCTCGGTTTACTTTTGCGATATGCTTTTCGAGCGCTTCGTGAGACATGCCACGAATAGATAGAGCCGCAGTTGGTTCGCCTTCCTCGTGGGCTATCGAGTCCTCTAATGCGCTTGGCGCGATGGAGGGGAGGGGGTATGCCTCTTGGCTACGAACACCGATCCAAAAAAGTATCGTGAGTGCCTTCTTCCCTTGTAGCTCAAGGCTCTCCCAGCTGGTAGAAGCCGCGATGGTGGCTGCAATTATAATGCCCTGTGAGTGGCCTGTTGTGCCTGATAAGCGATTTCTCATCCCTCCTGGATGTGTCCCAAGGGAGGAGGCGGTGACTATATAATGTAGAATTTGCAGTAGGCCGATGAGGGGGAAGCTGACTGGTGCAGAAACAAGGTAGTCGATGTCGGGCTGTGAGTCGGGCTTATCCAGCCAGCGCATGATATCTAGTCCATGGACAAAGGCTTGAGAGGCCTTAGAATCACGCGACAGACGTTCAAGGAAACGTGCCGCGGGGATAAGGAACCGCCTTGTCAGTGACGGATATGTCTCATAAACATCTCGTAGTTCATCCAGGTAGGTTTTCGTATTGCCCTGGCCACCGAAGACAGCGTAGACACGAGCGGTTCCTTTCAAAGCTGCGCGCATGAGAGCCGACTCCGGGACACCTGCGGTTCGTCTTACTGCCCCGACCGCAAGATAGTATGATCGTATGACCAAGAGCTTATCGACGTCGTCGGGGAGTTTGGCAGCAAATGCATGAACTTCTTCATTGTGAAGCACTTCTCGCTCGAAAGACTGAAGAACAAAATTCAAAACCTCCTTGTCGAAGCTTGGATCGACTCGAGTCTCAATTTCCGCAGAAATGAAGCTGAGGAATTTGGAGACGAGTTCAATGATAGATGGTTGGCTACCCTCCTCATTTTCTCGTGGTTTTGAGTTTCGAAGTGTCTTCAGAAACCTGTCTCGTAGTTGAATCGCGTTTGCATATAAAAAGGTTGGTATTATGAAGGTATATTCCAGGGTTTTGTGAATAAGGGTGAGTGGCTGCGATTGGGGTCCAGTCTCCGGCTCCGGTGTCATAATATCCGGACCCGAGTCCGATCCATCCAAGTCTATCATGGCGACAGTATCTAGCTGCGATACTTTATTAATTGAGGGTCCTGACTTCGTTGAATCTTGAAAGCATAACAATTATTAGAGTAAAAGGGAAATTGACCATATAATGTACTAGGTAAAGCGAAGGAATTGATGCTTGGATAGTAAGGGGTATCAACGATCACAGACCTTTCTGAACAAAAGAACAATATAATCGTTCAATCGTAGAACGCTGTGAGGACCTCCCAAGTTATGAGGTAGTTAAGTGCTTCATCTAGCTCTAGTAAGAATAATCAAAACCCGGCTCAATGGCTGGGCGCACAAGAACACTGGAATGCGGGATTACAGGAGGACGGTAGTATCGTTATGTTGGTTGGGTTGAGCTGTACAGTGTTGCCGCTAAGGGATTGCAGGATTTGGGGATTCAGGGAATTGGGGATGCCGAGACATAAGACCTACCTGGAGTTGATCACGAAGCCAAGTAAATATCCTATCTGAATGATAAAGTAGCCAAAAGTAGCCAAAAGCCAAAAGCCATAGAATATCATAATTTCTTAATAGTAGAAAGCGGATATTATACCGTGCTTCTTCGTGTCTTATTTTGTTAGTCAAAAAGAGCATTTATACACTTATTCTCATCCGGGAGGAGAACATCCATACGTACCTAGCTGTCGATTGCAAAACTAATTTCATACATTTTATCGTCAAACATCATCACGATGGAAATTGATAAGCATGAACAAGAGCTTGCTCATGTGCTCCTAACGGAGTTGTTGGCGTAAGTCTGTCGCCCGTAACTCAGTAGACCATAGCTCATCACACAACCGACAACAGATATCAATTCGCCATGCCAGTCCGGTGGTCCGAAACACAAAGCATACTCTTTGATAAAGTTCAAGTTGCGAAGTTGGTTGAGTTCGGCCCATCTCCTACTCTCTTGAGCATGGCGAAGAAAACCCTCGGCCAATTCAACCTCGAATCCGATACGGTGAATGGGATTAAGCGATCCCTCCTCTCCACCAGCTCCAACTATGACGATCTCCGTTACGACATACCACCACCAACGGCAGAACCAAAGGTGACAGAGACACAAAAGTCGAATGGTGGCTTCCAACCCGATCCAAAGACAAGTAAACCTGTCCCCGAAGAACCTATCCTCAGGGGACCTCCCCCCTCTACAAATGCAGATGCGCAGATTCCAGATGCCCCAATTACGGCACTAGAAGCAGTCAGGGCGCTCATCGCGAGCAGTTTGAAGAAATCGGCCTCAGACGTAAAACTCGATGACAGTATAAAAGCCATTTCGGGTGGGAGATCTATAGTGCAGAACGAAATAATAGGGGATATGCTAGAAGAGTTCGGCCCGTTGGCAGACGATGTCGAGAACATACCCCTAAAGGAATTAGCTTCAATCATCCAAACTTCTTACGACGGCAAGATTAAAAAATGTCTGCGCATGCGAATCGAGAAGATGGTAGGATCCAAGATGCCGGGTTCCTTCGATTTAATCACCTCCAGGTCCTACCTCAGTGACAAATGGGGTCTCGCGTCGGGAAGACAAGACGCAGTTCTCCTGACTGCGCTGGGCCAGCAGCCCTCAGCTAGAATAAAAACCAACGGGGATGCCGAGGCATTCTTTGACAACATCGCTCAAGGGTACTTGGATGGTGCGGGTTTATCTAGGCAAAGGAGCGCTGCCGTAGCGAGCCCGCAGCAAACAATGCTAGATTCTAAAGTGGTACAGCAAATCCGTGACGAGCATTCCCAACTAAGAAGAAAGGTTGCAGCCCTTCTTTGCGATGAGGATGAATATACCTCATCATTAGCAACCGTCGATAATTCTGCGGAGATTCAGGATAAGATCGACACCTACGAAAAAGAATTAGGCGAAGACTTTTGTAACGGTATCAGACCCATCTTCAAGGCCGATCACCAGCGATCCTACGACTCCGTGTGGAATTGGAGTCACGTTGATCTTCTTGACGAGTACTACAAGCTTGTGGGAGGTAGCACAAATCAGCAAGACCTCGAATCAGCGATTGCTAGTCTTCGAACCAGGGCCAGTAGCAGATTTGAAAGGGCTAGGCAATATCTTCTCAAGAAGGCCTCGTCATCACAGCAGGGCGAGACTGAAGTAGTAATAAAGAGACTACTGGAGGGCCTCAGTCCTGAGGCTATCAAGTCTACAGGCGATGAATCCCCACGTGATGGGGAATGTTTATCGATCGATGCGGACTCATTAACAAGCAGCCAACAGCGGGAAGTCGAACCCAAAGGACTCAAGTCTCCTCACATACTGAAGAGAAAAGGGGTAACATGGATAGCTGACGAACCATCGACAGCTCTCATGAGTCTTGGCACTCCTATATCACCAAATATGTTCGCCGGGAAGAATGTACTCCTAACCGGCGCGGGCCCAAAGTCCATCGGTATCGTCCTCCTTCAATCACTTCTCCAAGGCGGCGCCAGGGTTCTGGTAACCACCAGCAGAGCCATGCCCGAAGCAGGTCCCATCTACCAAGAGGTATTCGCAAGACACGGAGCCAACGGGTCTAAGCTTATCGTGCTTCCTTGCAATCAAGGAAGCAAGCAGGACGTTGAGAACCTCGTCGCGCATATCTACGACTCTGTCAATGGGCTTGGCTGGGACCTCGACTTCATCATCCCGTTCGCGGCATTGGCCGAGAAGGGCCGGGAGATAGACAACATCGATTCCAAGTCCGAGCTTGCGCACCGGGCCATGCTAACGAACGTGCTGAGGATCATGGGCGCCGTCAAGATCGCCAAGGAGTCGCGTGGATCGCGGACAAGACCAGCGCAGGTCTTGCTGCCTCTTTCGCCTAACCATGGCACGTTCGGGAACGATGGTCTGTACTCCGAATCCAAGATAGGGCTCATGGCTTTACTGAACAAGTGGTCTTCGGAGAGCTGGAGCGACTATCTCTGCCTATGCGGCGTCATCATCGGGTGGACTCGAGGCACCGGCTTGATGGCGGCCAACGATGCGGTTGCGGAAGAGATAGCTAAACGAGGTATAACTACATTCTCCACCGAAGAGATGGGTAGGCATATCATAGGTCTCATGTCCGATTCTGTTGTGTCTATTTGCCAGACTGAATGTCTCCTGGCGGACCTAAGCGGGGGCATGGGTAGTGACCCTGAGCTAGCTGCCTTCATTGCCGGCATAAGGCACTCTATGCGTCAAAATGAGGAGATCAAACGCGCTCTTGCTGAAGAAGCGGCCCTCGACGAGAGTGTCATTCGCGGCAAGCTTACCACAACCTCACAATCCGACTCAAAATCGCGCAGGCCGCCTTTGGTAGATCTCGAGCTAGACTTTCCGACTCTCTTGGACTATACCACTAAGTTAAAGCCTTTGAACGCCCAACTAAATGATATGGTTGATCTGGAGTCAGTTGTCGTGGTAGTTGGCTTCGCCGAAATTGGCCCCTGGGGCAATTCGCGGACAAGGTGGGAGATGGAGCTCCAAGGAGAACTTTCAATTCAGGGCTGCATTGAGTTGGCCTGGATGACTGGACTCATCAAGCATAATCCAAAGTCAACTGCTTCCACCGACGGAGCCGGAGCAGCTTGGGTCGATGCGGCGACGGGCATGCCCATGCACGATCACGAGGTGAAGGTCAAGTATGAGAAACAGCTACTAGAACACACGGGTCTCCGGCTTATCGAACCAAGCCCCCTGGACCACCCGAACCGGGATAGCAAACAGTTCCTGCAGGAGGTCATAGTCCAGCACGACCTAGAACCTTTTACCGCATCTTTTGACACGGCGATGGAGTTCGTGCGAGAACACGGAGAGAAGGTTGACGTTAAGCAGGTAACAAAGAGTGACCAGTATTCAATACGCGTCAAGAAAGGCGCCACGTTGATGGTCCCTAAGGCCAAGATATTCGATAGGATCGTCGGGGGCCAGCTACCAACAGGCTGGGACCCAACGATATACGGGCTCCCGCCAGACCTTTGCGAGAGCGTAGATCGATGTACGCAGATGGCGTTGGTGTGTGCAGCCGAGACCTTCCTCTCTGCCGGTATCACCGATGTGTACGAGCTGTACAAGACAATCCACGTCTCCGAACTAGCCAACTGTGTGGGATCAGGCATGGGAGGCGGCCAGTCCTTGCAGAAGTTATATCGCCAGAGGTACCTTGACAGGTCGGTGCAAAGCGACATCTTAGCCGAAGTATTCATAAACACCACAGGAGCGTGGTTGAACATGCTTCTCATGTCCTCGGCCGGCCCTACCAGAACCCCCGTGGCAGCTTGCGCCACAGCTTTAGAGTCCCTAAATCAAGGCTACGACCTGATTAACAGCGGTGCCGCCAAGGTCTGTTTGGTCGGTGGTTTCGACGACATGACCCAAGATACATCGGCAGAATTTGCCAACATGAAGGCGACTAACAACAGTATGGCCGACCTCGAGCGTGGCCGCGCACCGCATGAAACATCTCGACCATGTGCTTCGTCTAGGAAAGGCTTTGTCGAGTCCGAGGGATGTGGTATGCAGCTGCTGACTAGCGCAAAGATGGCTTTGGAACTAGGCTTACCTATCCGAGCTGTAATTGCGCATGTGCAGACTGCGAGCGATGGTGTAGGTCGGTCTGTTCCCGCTCCCGGGAAAGGGATCATGGTCAATGTCCGTGAAAATCCTGGTCTGGGGACTTCGCCTCTGCTAGACATCGACTATAGGAGACGGCTGCTAGACCACACCTTGAGATCAATTCGTGAACGTCAGAAGCTTTTCGGTCCCCTTACAGACTCTGGCGTCCTTATTGGTGAAGCCGAGCTAGCTGCACAGCGAGAGGAGAAGGAGGCTCGGCGCAGATTCGGCAATGCCTTTTGGACACACGATACACGTATATCGCCATTACGTGGTGCCTTAGCTGTCTGGAACTTGACAGCTGATGATATCGGCGTGGTATCTCTCCACGGTACTTCGACCGACCTTAACGAAAAGAACGAGGTCGAGGTTCTGCATCGGCAACTGAAGCAACTTGGTCGCACTCCTGGAAACGCAGCTCTAGCTGTATGCCAGAAATATCTTACTGGGCATCCTAAGGGTGCCGCTGCGGCATGGATGCTCAACGGGTGCTGCCAGATACTAGAAACCAGCGCGGTTCCGGGTAACAGGAATGCTGATAACGTCGATGCAGCGCTTGAGCCCTGGGAGAACCTTGTTTTCCCGAATCGGACTATCAGGGTAGACGAGGTGAATGCGTTCAGCGTGACGAGTTTTGGTTTTGGTCAGAAAGGTGCCCAAGCTCTCGGAGTTCATCCCAAATTTGTACTGGCGACGATTGATGAGGAACGGTACGACAAGTATTGCTACATTCGTCAAAGACGATATTTCAAAGCGAAGCAGCATTTCCAAAATACGTTCTATGGGGGCTCCATGGTGGTGTTGAAGGACGATGCGCCCTATCCAAAGGCTCGTCAACTAGAAACCCTAGTGGATGTATCTGCTAGATTCGGGTAAGAGGGATAGCATGTATATTTTGTATTCTTTTGTTATTTTCCCTTGTTGCTGGCGTTTTTAAATCCCCATTAGATGGGTGGGTAGATGCCAGGTAGTTTGGAGGACTTCTCTTGAATGATAGTTATCTTTAATGGAAACTGAACTATTCTTGCCCATTATCACTGTATCGCGTGTCTTCTCTTCCTAGACCTCCCGTCTAACCGCCTCTTGGTGATCCTCATCATCCTCGGCATCGCTTACGCTAACGAGTCGTTGGCGGTGGTAGTAGTGGCTACTTTTTTGATACTCTTTCAATAACGTTTTCGAATTTTTTGACTACAAACAGAAAAGGGACCTGGAGTGGGAAAGAATGTAGGTATCGGCTAGGTATTCCGTAGAATCCGTACAGTATAATAATTGGGGCTAAGTGGGATAAATAAATATTCTTGGAAATATGCATCAAAAGCAAATTCACTCAAATTCCCTAACAATATTTATGTAGGTCACCCTAATCCAATTCATAACAAAATCATACATACAACGTTATCATCCTATCATCACATCTACCCAGATACTTACCTCCCTACATAATCCCTATATCAAATATCACACACCACGCCGTCATCCATCCCTTACTGTCGTTTCCCCCTTTTACTCCCATTACCCTTCCCACCCCTAAGGGGGGCCACGGGCTTATAATGCCACCCATGAGCCTTCTCCTCCTTGCAATACCCACACGGCTTCCCCGTTCGCGTCTTGCCCGCCTGGTGTCCGAAGTACTTGAGCCGGCAGAACACGCACATGTTGTCCTTGGGGTCCCGCCCGATGCCGAAGAAGCATCGCACGCGGTAGCAGAGCCCGTTTTGCCGCCCTTCGATCGCTAGATATGTATCAATGAATGCACAAGTTAGCCAGCTGTTATTTCGGTATAATGGTAAATGGAAACGGTAATGGTAATGGTAATGATATTAGTAATGGCAATGATGGTAGGTAGTGGTGGATAAGCGGGGTCAAACGTGTGGGAGTCGGTATGTAGGCATCACGCGGCATCCAGCAGCACCCAACCTTCTAGTTTCCTCGCAGCTCTGACCATCATGGCGCGCGCCTGGTCCCAGAACCCCGCGAGCGGGTCCCGCTGCTCCTTGCGGTACCTGGCGAGGCACCAGGCGCGGTCCATCGCGCTCTTGCCGCGCGTGTCCCTGAGCCGGGGGTCGGCGCCGCGCTCCAGCAGCCAGCGCACGAGGTCGAGGCTCTCGTAGTGGTCCAGCACCGCGCCGGTGCGGCAGTCCATGTGCTGCGGGTTCTCAATCGCCGTGTGCAAGGGGCGCCCCATCGCGCTGTGCAGCCGGTTGACGTCGTGCCCGTTCGCCAGCGCCTCCTCCGCCCAGCTGATGCGCAGGATCACGGGCGCGACGGAGAGCCCCACGTCGTGCAGCGGGTAGAGGTAGCCCTTGTCGGGGCGGTCGCCGGACCAGTACTCTATGTCGTCTTCTGTGAGTGTTCTTATGGTAGGCATGGTGCGGCTGACGTAGGAGTTCAGGGTATGTCTAAGTGGAATTAAAGGGAAGGTTGGGGAAATAGTATAGTTAGGTATGTGCGAATAATATATAGTAAACTTGTTGAGAGAGTAAATTACGCCCTATGTAGATTGGACGTTGGGTTTGTCGCCAAACCGATCCAGGTTATGGAAAGGACTAAGACAACGGTGAGCACTATAAACCAACCCTATTAAAGGGGGAAAGGCACTGGTATTGTTCTTGGTATCGCGGGGAACGTAACGATCAAGAATCCGTATCAAACATAAGAGAGGAAATAAGAAACTATGCTCTTTGCTTGCTAGTACGATAGTACATATAGGACGAGGGCGAGGAGGGATCTGCGAATTGGGCGGCTGGTAAAGAGCGCAAAGGGCAAAATGCGGTTCATGCCTATTTCCCAAGCCCCGAAAATCACTTGATACCATCATCATAATCACCATTTTCCACAATCTATACTCGGGCCAGATGAAAATCGCGCACGTTCGTGCTCGCTCACATAGCTTCGCAGGTCCGGTCTTGAATTTCAACAACACAAGGTCACGAATACATATTATAGATACACCGTCCAATACCTAGTACTAAGTACCTACATAGTACCTACCTAGATATAATTTAGCAAAAACAAACGTGGCTTTGTCTTATGTTGATTATTCCTCGGTAGAGCCAAACATCCAATCTCCATTTAACTCTTCCTCTGCCAAAATGTCTACCGTTGCGGGGATGGAATGGTAAAACTTATCGATATCCGATTCGTATTCATCGTGATCTGAATACCATCCGAGCTCTTCCGCAATTACAGCCTGTTCTTCGGGAGTGAAGTCGAAGTCGACATGGAAATAGTCCCGCATATCTTCTATCGACATCCCTCTTATCTGGCTGGCGATTGTCTTGGAGCAGTATTCGACGAGGAGGTCGACGCCTAAGAAGTTGGCGGCGAGTGTAACGGCGAACAGGTCGTCGTCCTGCAGTTCGAGAAAGCTCAGGTCCCACCACGGAAGATATCCTGGTTGAGATCTCGACATTTTCCAGCTTACTGGCTTCTTCACCCCCTCCCTGGCAGTATGTTCACACCATTGAACGACTTTGGACAGCGGATATCCTTTCACCTTGGGAATGGGGATGTGCGACGAAGCCACCTCCTCAGGAAGATCATCCATTATGTCGGATAGAAGCTGGGAATAGCGGGCAGCTCTGCGACGGATGAGGACGACAACCGCATCCTGACTAATAAGCATGAGTGAGTCGTCTTCGGGGGCCATTTTGATAGATTAATGAAAGAGGATAGATAATTTGTCTTGTCGGTGGAATAGATATAGCTGCCTTGGGGCACTTAGAAGGCTAAAAATGTAGTCTGCGAAGCAAAAGGAATATTAAAGTCCCCAACGAGGAGAGGTGCTTGTTTATATATTAGGAGGGTATCGTGGAATTTTCTTAAAGAATTATTCCCAGGCGCAGTCTCTACCTATACTAACGCATTGTTCACTGCGTCGTGGGAATTCATTGTATCCATGCTTAATGTTTAGTTGGGCTTTGTTTGTCAAGTTTCTAAGATTGTCATTGAGATTTTTGCCCCCTACTGTGACCTCGTACAGGTCGAAATGTTTGTCGTTTGTCGGGAAGAAACGAGAGTTGAGTGAATTAGTACGCTGTATTGAAATAACTCGGTAATTCATGAGAAACCCTTTCCATGCTATCCTCATCCTCATACCTCCTAGATGCATAGGAAACCTCGTAGGTATGGAAACTTTGCCAACAGTCGTAGACTCAAACCCATATGGGACAAATGTCTAACTTGTCCCCTTCCTCTCCCCAAAGACCCCCGCATCATTTTTAAGCTCCTCAGAATATGATATCTCTCTCATTGTCTACCTAGGTAGTCATGGGGTCAGGTACCAATTGCGACGTGCCTTTCCGAAGAAAGTTTATATCGTATTCCGTCCTCATAGACTCTCTCGGTTGGTGTCTAGGTACTTTCATATTAGCACGCTGAATCTAAGTAGAAGTGAGGATTCGCAAATCGTGTCCTTCCTTAGAAAAAGGGGGGATGTTCCAAGAAAAATGAAATGAGCCCAACTCACCACATCCACGTCATGGGTGGAAATAAAAGAACAGTTGAGGCGCGAACATCTTTGTACGCCATACTTGCAGTGGTGGCCCCAGTAGCAATCGGGGTTTTTGCAAGCGCTTCCGCGATAACAAAGAATGCTTCGAGCTTTGACCTTCAAGAGGAGTTGTTCGCCTGCGCCGAACCGTACGCCGTGGAAGTAGGTGCATGAAGGTTCCTCGCATGACCCAGTCAGATGGTATCTATTACAGGGACCACGCGACTCCATCTCACAACGCTCACGGAAGCGTTCTTCGGAGATGGCGTCGGTTGGGGGAAGAGGCTCGTCGATGCGTTGCCCCGAGGAATTTACTAAATAATACTTGGACTTATGGCTGGTGGATGGTATTTTCTGTTTCTCTGGTGTAACAGTTGAGGCTTTACCTTTGCTAGATTTGCCGATAAATGGAATAGCACTGCTCCAACTGGAGGACACTGGGGCAAAGGATGTCGGCTTGGCCGGAGTCAATGGGGGGCTGACTGTCGGAGGCCCATCTGGAAGAAGCTCGGAACGGAATACATTTGTAAACTTGACTCTACGGAAGCTAAGTTCCTGGAAATCGCGGGGAGGCAGCGTAGTTTCGAGTAAGGTGAGTCTGTTAGATATTGACTTCTCAAGCAGAAAAGGTCTTAACTCGACTATGTATCCTTTGTCGTGGCAAGGTCCAAAAATAACATGTTTGCAGTGTAAATTATGAACCATCAATGGTAATGCTTGGCGGACTTTGAAATCGGCTTGTTCCTTGCCCTTCCCGACGTTGATGATGGAGAAGAGTCCCTGGGCGCGACTGAATCCTCGGACGAAAGATGGTAGCTCATTAAAATTTTTGGAAAGCTGGACGTTACAGAGTTTCCCAGAAAGACCTTCTAGATTAAGAAAGATCTGGACAACAATATGCCAGGACTCCACGTTAACACCGGGGTAAATACTTTTAAGATAACTCTTCATATCTGTAAGTAGTTGGTGGGCAGCAAGAGTACCGCCTTCTTCGCCTTTGACGATCCAGTCGGTACGAAATACGGCTCCATCACCATCAATGATAGCGCAGGCAAAAGAATTAGCATCCTAATCAAAAATCTCAGGTATTAGCATAGTATCCTATGTACTAGGTCCGTGACCAAGAAGCATGGGGTGCAATGTTTACTATTTTATGTTGAATGTTAACAAGCTGTTTATTAGTATCGTTAGCCTGAGCTTGATACAGGCTTCGTGTTTGAACCTCATCTTCATACTCTTGGCTTTTCTTTTCTAACCGTTCTTCAAGATCTTGGTTTCGGGCTATTAAGTCTTTTATCATGTCTTCTCTTTCTTTATCGAGTTGATGAAAATGTTCAAGGCGGGCCAGATAGCTAGCGCTAGTTTTACGTTCGCTGTTATTCATTTTTAAGAGTGAAAGTTAACTTAGTTAATGATGTTGATGATCAATAATGATAGGTATGTCATACGTAGTAGTGCTATGTAAATAGTAGTAGGCAGGAAAATGATGTTCCTTTCTAAACTGGCAACCCAACTCAGAACCCAAGACTTAAAAACACGATTGCCCCGCTCTATTCTGCATATTTACTTGCAGGTACATATTTACATGTCATTGATAGCTGTCCGTGAAGAGATGTGTGGCTGATACTGTGACGGAGAAAACGGTGGTTGGATCAGTGATTCAGTGGATCATTCCAAGGTAATGCTGATGTCGTTCAAGTTATTGACTGGCGCGGCGCATCGCAGCCACCCGTTATCCAAATACCTCCTAAATACCTAGATGGCCAGTGGCCTGATATATAACGGAAGCTTCAATCTTATGGCATGGTGAAAAAAAGAAAATTCTCTATCTATGACAAATTACCATCTTCGTATTTCATGCTAGCCCTATAAAGCGCCTTGTTCAAGGCCCAGGAACCTGTATGAATTTATTGCATTCGGCCTGATTGGACATTGCCCACATGCAAGGTGACCGCAGATCCGGACATCATGCCAGATACATCCATAGCAATCATTCGCATTCCCAGATCTTTGTGCACATTTGCGAGGCTTTCCATTCGCGGGGATATAGGCGCTGAAACGGTCGTAGAAAGGCTGGCTGGCTGCCTTGAGTCCTTGACCTTGACATCCGGTTCCACAAAGAGACCTAATTTAGTGAGAAATTAGAATAGATATCAAGGAGGCTTGCCTATTTATACATACCTGGGTATGTAGTATTATCCATGGATGTATGGTGTGCAACTAAACCTTGAAGTTACATACTAAATAAACGTACGGTACCTGGCTGACTATGACAGTGGGCGCAAATCAAGTTCTTGTGACCCCTGAAAGTTGCCATGTTCCCTGATCACTGTGCCTGATCTGATCTGATCGCTAAGTCAAGAGTCAAGGTAAAGGACTAGGTTAGGTAGATACAGGGTAGGCAGATAAATATTTAGAGCTCCGTCCCAGTCCTGCGACACGGCCGACAGCCGAGCTAGTTACCCGTTCGGAGGCGCGCTACTGTACAATCCACCACCTGATAGAGTCTATGCGGGGATCTTAATTCGACGATGTTGTTGACCAAAGAGGATAATTGGCGCGGCAAACCATACAGAGTTCTCTGTCCCCATGTCCCCCGTTTTAATCGGACGTATGGTGACCGAACATCATCGTATTGCTGTCCCCCCCAACCAAAAAAAGCCACCCCACATCCCCTCATGCACACGGCCGACAAGCATCCCAGCATCACCGGCCTACTAACGTTTTCTATCTGGACGCAACTGAGAATGATCCCGATCCAGGAGGTCGTACAAGTTCGGTGACTGTATTGGATCGCAAACTAGAAGAAGCATGGGACCCCGACAATGAGCACCAGTCCGACATCGTCTTAGGTCAGGCACTTTTAGGCGAAACAGGTCCAGAACTCGACAAAACCGGAGAATAAAGACGAAGCTGTCCAAGGACAATATAATCAGCGAGCCCCTCTTTTGACCTTTCCCCCTCTCTTGATAGCTTCGAATTCTTTAAATCTCCCAGACATCAGAGATCATTTCTCTCCCTCTCCCTCTTTCTCTCTATTTTCTATTACCTATCCGTCAAGATGAGTTCAACCACCGTCGAGACTATTGTCCAGCCTTCGAAGGCTAACATTGCCGTCTTCACGAACCCGGCCCACAAACTATGGATTGAGGAGGCAGAACCGACGGTGGAGGATGTGCAGAAAGGTGCTAGCTTAAAACCCGGAGAAGTCACTGTTGCGGTTAAGAGTACTGGGATATGCGGGTAAGCAGTCTTCAAAATGAAGAGGGGGTGTAGTTCTCTTTACTGATCGTCACATAGCTCCGACGTTCACTTCTGGCACGCGGGCTGCATTGGACCTATGATTGTGGAGGGAGACCATATTCTGGGACACGAATCGGCTGGACAAGTTATCGCTGTGCATCCATCTGTAACACACCTCAAAGTTGGAGATCGAGTCGCCATAGAACCGAACATCATCTGCAACGAATGTGAGCCCTGTCTCACTGGCCGCTACAATGGCTGCGAAAAGGTCCAATTTCTATCGACACCCCCAGTACCAGGCCTGCTGAGGAGATACGTGAACCACTTAGCCATCTGGTGCCACAAGATTGGAGATATGTCGTACGAGAACGGAGCAATGCTAGAGCCTTTAAGCGTCGCTCTGGCGGGTATGCAGAGATGTGGAGTCAAGCTGGGTGACCCGGTACTAGTCTGTGGTGCTGGACCGATCGGACTCATCACATTACTCTGCTGTCAAGCAGCTGGAGCTTGTCCTTTAGTTATCACAGACATCGACGAAGGACGACTGAAGTTCGCCAAAGAACTTTGCCCATCAGTCATAACACACAAGGTGGAAAGATTGAGTGCGGAAGAATCAGGCAAGAAGATAGTAGAAACATTCGGCGGTATCGAGCCAGCAATTGCCGTGGAATGCACCGGGGTGGAGAGCAGCATAGCAGCAGCTATCTGGGCTGTTAAGTTTGGAGGTAAAGTATTCGTGATTGGTGTTGGAAAGAATGAGGTCAATTTCCCCTTTATGCGATGCAGCACTCGGGAGGTCGACTTACAATTCCAATACCGATACAGCAACACATGGCCTCGAGCTATTCGTCTGGTAGAAAACGGCATAATAGATCTCTCGAAGTTGGTCACTCATCGATTCAAGCTGGAAGACGCGATAGAGGCCTTCAAGACGGCGGCGGATCCTAAGACCGGGGCTATCAAGGTTCAGATCAAGAGCGAAGATTAAGGTGGTTTATGAATAGTTTGAACCTCCACGACTTGAATCAATAATTTCAAGAGCGAGGGTTGTAATTGGTCAAGGCTAGGAGCAAAGCATGCAATAGAGGAGTAGGTTAGGTTAGTAGATACCTAGTATAGTAGAATGTCTGTGTACCAGGGAGCTTTCAATGTTTAGGATAGGTTAGGTAGGCATTTACTTTTCGGTCTATTAGGTAGATAATGAATAAAACTGTCAGAGACAAGAGAGACTCTTCTTCGATGACAAAAGTATCTACCTATGGTAGTATGTATGGAATTGATAAGATGAGAGTTGAAAAAGACATCAAGGTTGAGAATATTGATGTGAGATCGATAACATTAAGTAGAACTATGTAACTACTATTAATATGGGCTTTTAATATGGGCTTCCTTTCAATATACTCTCATGATTGGTCAATTGCTACCAGCAAGAACGGTTGGATGCACAATTAAGTTCAATAAGTTAGGTTAGGTTTTAAACTTCAACAGTGCTTCCCTTCAGGTTGTGATCGCTAGAGCGGCTATGTACCTAGGGTACCTAGTACTAGGTAGTTATCAAGGTGGTCCAAGCTCAAGGTCGGGTTTTTCCGCCACGAGTTGATTTGTGAACAGCCGATAATTAGCAACATTTTTGAGTGTTTTTTTTTCTTTTCTAGCCGTGACCCTACAACTTTTATCGACGACGACGACCCTTGCGAGCTCCCCCCCTCTCTCGACTTCCCTCACTCAATCCGCTACCCTCGAACGACGTATCCTCTTAATTCTTCCCATACGTCTCGGGTACATTCCTTTATCCCCGCCGGCCGAACTTGCGAATCACAAAAATGTCGTCCACACTCGCACGCCCGATACTTCGGCAATCTCGAGCCTGGGGTCGCATGGCTCCCCGAAGATTTGAGTCCACTACGGCGTCCACTACGGCATCTAAGGCCAGCGAAACTGCCAAGCAAACAGCATCCAAAGCTTCCGCCGCCGCAGCAGAGTACTCGGCAAAAGCATCCGAATACACAGCAAAGGCCGCCCAAGGTCTTTCGCGAGTAACTTCCTCCGCTGCCCCGGCTATCACAAATGCTGCCAAGGGAATCGCAGAATCACTAGGCAAAGTCGGCGGCCGTACCGGCAAAGTAATTGCCTTCATTGAGAGTATGTCGAACCCTTGTTCCGTTAAGTGATTGCAATGTGTCCAGTAGAAGAGAAGCCGAATGCGCTTCTGTCTATGCGTCAGGCAACGACTGACACTTTGGTGATACAGAGCAAACCCCCACGGTTATCTTCTACTCCAAGGTTGTTCAAGAACTCGCCAAGTTTGTATTCAAGAGCCGAAATATGTCTCCGCCGTAAGTTTTGACGCTTTCCGCATGAGACAATGCGCAAGTTCTGACAATGAGTCTAGCCCCCTTACTACTGTGCAGAGCTACTGGCAAAATGCGTTGAAGTTGGTCCAGAACCCAAGCGCCCTGCGCCAACAAGCCTCCAAGCTCACGGCAGAGCCCGCCACTCTCATCGAGCGAGCGAGAAACGTCAGCAGAGCCCAACTTGTTACCGGTGGCGTTCTACTGGCCGAGTGTCTTGGTTTCTTCTCAGTAGGCGAGATCATTGGCCGCTTCAAGATAGTTGGATATCGCGGTGGCTCTCCTGCCGCTCACCACTAAGTGTCAGCTCGCCACCTTCGGATCATAAATTTCAAAGTACCTCTGTATTACGCATGGATGGAGGAACATTATAGACAGGGGGATATTGTTCTTGCATTCGAGGGGACATAGTCGGTAATACGAAGGGACGATAAACAGTCCACAGTTTCGGACTTTCTCACCCTCTCTCTCTGTCTCTCTCTTAGGTACTAGAAAGACCTAGACTTGATGATGATGATGGCCCGCATACACTTTCCGTTCTCCTAGCATAAGGGTGTTTGGTTCCGTCGACTACCTGCCATGGTAACCTATCCTAGCCAGCTACGGCGAATGTGAAGAGGTGTGTAACGAACGCGATGGCCCAAAAAAGTTAAGAACGAGGCGTGCCCTTTCTTTTTCCTTTCTTACAAATGTATATTCACCCTTCAAGAGAAAAGAGAAGATAGAAGAGAGAGCCTTGCCTTGCCTTGCCTGTCAACCAAATTCTTTTTCTCCGTGTCTTTTGATTTTAGAAAAAAATTACCTACCTTCCTTTTGTCCAAATGTCAATCCTGTACAATAACTACGCGAAAACTTGCATCGGAGATGAGGGAGAAGGGGGGGTCCCGGCTGTTTGACGAAATAAACTAATTGTCCACCATCATCTACCTGTCTAGGTATCTGTCTCTCTCGTCCATTTTCTTGCTTTATTCCTTCCAGGTTGATGTTCAGCACTTTACTTACCTGGGTTAGGTAGGTATGTCGGCTGGTTCGGTTGGGCGAAAACCAAAGTGTAGGTAGGTAGGTAGTGATGTGACGTGCTGTGCTGTGACGTGCCCTGGAAGCCAGAGGAGGAGCCAGGTCGCCCGGCTTGCTAGACAAGATATATGTAGATGATCGTATACCTGTCCGCTTTGGGCCAGAAGCGCAACGTCGTGTCACGAGCCAGGTAGCGATATGTATAGGCAGGTAGGTTATGTATAGGTAGGTACCTACTTTATAGCCTATCTAAATACCTGCTTGTCTGCTTGCGCTTCTGTCCTAGGAATCCGGGTAGGAGCAATGGATGACCCGGTCGAGTTTTTTTTTTTTTTTTTACACATGTGTCATATCATGTGGCTTTGCGTGCTTTGCTGTATAGGTAGGCATATGTGTAGTATGTTGTACGGTATACCTATACCGGTAAGTGCCTGTACCAAGTAAGCAGGCCAAAGGTAAATAACCTTGGATCAAGTACCTAGCTGCCTTGCAAATATGCGCAAAGGAAGAGAGAGACAGGGAAATACACATGTAGCAGATGGCTACTGGGTACCTACCTGCCTAAGGTAAGTAAGTATGTAGGTCGAGCATTTCATCTTTCGAACCAACAACACCCTCCGCTAACCCAGTTTAGATTGGCGCGGTATGTACGGTTGCGGTGTGGTCGCCATCCCGTCAATGGGGGCCCGCTCAGGTGACGAGTAGGGAAAGTAAGTGAAGGGGGGGGGGGGGGGGGGGGGGCTCCGCCAAGGAATTTGGGGGCCGGATGGACGAAGCAAACCCAAAGCGAAGCGAGAAAGCACACATCAAGCCAAAGCCAGTGTCTCTGACTTACCGACCGATCGAATGAGGAGGGGCGGGAGTTGCCGTACGGTAGGGTAGGTAAGATCGAGCCTCACCTTACTTTCCTTTCTGTCTTTCCCTCTCGCTCTGGTACCTAATGGCCGGTATGGTCGCCCGTAACGGCCGCGTTGGTTACACGTGGTCTTCGTGACGGTCAGCGGGTATAAAGGCATCTTGTTCCGGCTGGTTAGTCTTGATCTAGATTAGTACTCATGTACGTAGGTGGTGTTCTTGAATAGAGTTCTGAGGTGAGCTTGGGTGCTAGCTCCGTATAATGCTTAGGTAGTTGGTTGTTGGAGACTAAGACTCTATGTAACCACCTGTCAGCTTGTATCTGGATGAGTGAATGAGTGAGCGAGCGAGCGGTACCTAGACAGCGCCGTACGCACCGCCTATCCCCTCTTGGTCGATCAGATCAGTCCAATTTCCAATTTCAGGCGTACGGGAATTCTTTTTAGCCCTACTAGTAAGAATGCAGGATTTCCGGAAATCCCATCATGTACCTAGTAATCTACCAGGAAGGCAGGTAGACAATGATTCCAAAAGGGGCAGAGTAAGAGGTGGCTCCACACAAGTCCACTCTCCCGGGTATCATGATCGCATAATAATATTCGACATCAGTAGATATCTTGGGAAATATCTGAGGTGACACGTATACATGCCGTGAAATTTAAAGGAAATATGGAGGTCTCCAAGAAGGCAGGAGTGTTGGGGAGAAGAGCCGATGGACCTGTGCCGGGCCTCCGTCGATCCAACCCGTTCGCTCGCTCACTCGCTCACTATTTTGATCCCGCTTGCCTCACTATCGTGAGAAAGGGAACATCGTCAAATGCGACCCGGCACCAACTGCATAAAGGGCAAGAAAAAAACGACACGTTTCTCATTAGAGAAGGATAGTTTTGGGGGCAGTAAAGCCATTATATGTTTTCGTGTGAGGTGTGGTGATATACTAGGAACCAACTGCATGAAGAGCAAAGATCTGCTGACCCCCTTCAGCAATGGAACGTGGCAGCCGTAGCAGCATAGGCAAGAAGCAAAACATACTTTTAATACAACCGCTGCAAATAATATCAACGCACACGAGTCATAGTAGTAGCACAAGCACCTTCGTGGTACGGGTACCATAGCGGTGCTAGCTTACCACGCAGCGCAGCGTTATATTGGCTTACATAGTTCCAATCTAAGTGAACAGCCAGCCAGTTACGTGAGCCGTGAAGCTCCCGATACTCCACCGCAAAGAAGAAATGTCGGATAGCATATGAACTTGAACATGTCGGGCCGGTCGATAACCATCAAATTGCTGTTCTAGGTATAACGATTCGCCCTTTTGTTGAGGTGGTGTGCGCTATTCCTACCCAGATGGATGAAGATTGGGTAGTAGTCGTCTCTACCCGCTCATCTAAAAAGCAACATCATTGCCACCATGAGCTCGTAGCCAGGGGATTGGCAGGTGGGATTGAGAGACACAACACCATAAACAGAATTTTGGTGTTATCCCTTCCCCTATATGGGGTTTCTTTCAGAGATGGACCTACCAGGAGAAGCAAGACAAGTCGCCGCGGCTCGGGTCGGGCCTCCCGAGACAGGCTTCGGTTTCCTTGGAAAGCAGGTTAATAAAGAACAGCCGGGCCTCGGACGTGCGTCATCCGTATGCAGAACAGAAATGCCATCAATAGTGTGGCACATTTATCTACACAGTACACCCGGCCGACTGGTTTAAAAAGATGAGCCTAGCCCTGGTTGGAGAAGGTAACGTTTGAAGAGATGTTAGGCGCGTCAAGTTGCATTGGAAGCTTAAGAAAACTTCTAGAGGAAATATTGTACTGAAACAATAATAATAAAGGGGCACGCTCCGGATGATGTTGTTGGTTATATGCACTTGGCATGTTCTTTATTTGAATGGTGCAATGATTTCAAAAGAGCCCACCCCCCCTTTTTTTTAATAGACTTGGTATTGGGTTGGCGTACTTGTGTCTTGGCTGGGCTAATTAACGCGCGCCTATATCGAAGTCCAGTCTGTACATACTAACTAACTAGGTACCTAGGTATCCATTTGGATACATGTACACTCAAGTAAATGCCTGCATGTGTACTACCAGTAGGTAAGGTATAGTACTTTACTTACTTGGTATTAGGTAGTGGTTGGCACATCAAATATAAATTCCAATAGTACCTGGCTTTCGTTAGAATATCACTCACTCTCGTTGTTGAACTAGTCTTATCGCTCATCATCCACGTACATGGTTTAATACTAGAATGTCTAGCAATATAACGTGAAAACACCGAGAAACAGACCATTGAGGCCAGCTCGGTTATGATTGGGATATCAAGGGCTCGTATTTACATGAGAAGCAAAAGGTATTTACTGTAATGTTGACTGTAACAGCAATAACAAACAACAACACAACAACACAGGCCTAATGGTCCGGCCAAGATGACCGTCCTGCAGACCAACTTTTCCAGAAAACCGCGTATCCTCGCCGAACCATACGACATGACATAACACCGGCCAAAATGTATAATGCAAACAATCAAGAGAAGGCAATGCAGAGGTGACCCAGAGCGCCGTTTCGTCCAAGGCGGAAAAAAAAAGCAGTGTAACTCTTCACTGCCCAATACGCCCTAATGCTTGGGTGCCAAGCCAGCACCACCAATGAAGACACTTTCCCCATCTTGAACTGTCTTTCCCTGCGCCAAATAGAGAACAGCCGACTGATATACCTAAACTGGAATCATTTCCCTCCGATGCCGCGTGACGTGATAGCTGAAGCCGCAGTTTGAGGCGAGGGCCATCGGGGGGTATAAACGTAGTTGGTTTATACCATTCATAGTCGAGACTAAAGAAATGCGTCGTGAAAAAAGTAGTGTACACCCATTGTATCCTGTCATGGTTCTACACCTGCACGTGCAGATGCAGTACCTCCAGATCAGCTTATGTTGGTGCAGGTTTGGCCAATGCCGGAGGGAACTTGTGTGCTCAGCCTGTTGAGAAAGCATCTGGGACCAGCCTCTACCTAGTAATGCAGGATGATGGCAGTAATAAATATGGTAAGAAATAATCATGATCCAGGAATCCTGTGCAAGGGCCATCATAGCGGTTGTACATCGTAGAGAGCTCCAAATGTTACAAGCACGACGGTCAAGTACCTGGTACCGCCTGGTACACGCTTGAGCTCGCATGTAGGTATCTGCATTCTAGCCATGCCGGGGGCTTCGTTTGCGATTTGGGGGCAACACAGAGTCGGGTAGTGTCCGAAACAATACTATGTACTCCGCTGTACATAAGAGCTAGACACCCCCCTGGTCGGCTCGAAACAGCGGAAAGCCTGCATAGGGGGAAAGTGATCTGTCTTTTCTGCAAGCGCCACGGGTATCAAGTGTAGCCCAAGATCCCAGAGTGTGGGCTTGGTTCAAGTGGCGCACATATAGATACCGGTTTAATGGTTGTGTTGCAGGCAGCCGAGAAGCGTTCACACTCGTTGGCCAGGTATAGATGGCCTTCGTGCTGTCCAAATATACCTACATCCTAAATCAGCTTCATACAAACGGGTAGCGGCAGGAGGTCTTACATTGTGCAGTAAGCTCTCATCCCGCGGGAGCATACTTCCTTCCGCACCCTAGTGACCAAGTCCGCAACCTGTTCCGGATCATAACCGTTCATTCTGGTTAAAGGAGCTATGGATAGGGCGTGCAGCCCCTGTGTCATCCCGAGATTAAACCACTTACTCATGACCTTTTCATGCTCATCTTCGGACCAAGAGTTGAATGGAACCCGCTTGATAACTTGCTCCACGTCAACATAGCCAAGGCGTTGCAACATCGAAACAGTGTTGGGATTTGGCGTTATAGGCCGTCCAGCCCTGTCCATAGCCTCAGTCAGCTCGTGCGCCCATATTCGCAACTGGGAGTCCTCGGGCAGATCGCCATTCTCGGACCTAGGCGTGAAGTCGATCTCCACATGCTCAAAAAGCCCGGTCCCGGGTTTGAGATATCTGGTTGACAGAATCAGTGGTAAGCCATCGTGTAGCTTAAAGGGCAAATTGCTACCGTAATCCATACCTCAGTATCCGGCCGTACAGATCCAGCCAATTTTCTATAGAACCCGCAAGCATCTTCATATGAATCAAGTCGAAAGAACCCTCCTCGACACCGGTCCAGGGCTCCTCGATATCGCGCCGCTGAAACTCGACCCCTGGCGGAATCCTACACATAATCAGCGTAAAGAAGCATACATACGTTTCGTGGTCGCCGCACCTTAGCGGTTGTATTAATGAGAGATCCCAACCAAGTATGTTGGCTCTTCCCTGATGGCGACTATGAAATACCAGGTAGGTTAGTGAAAAAGGTGCTTAGGTACTGCGGTACCACATAGACTCACTCGGCCATGTCGATCACCCAGATACCAGTTCCACAACCTAGATCGAGAATTCGCGGGTGGTGTGGTAGCGGCCGCTGACATAGACCTCCGTAGTTCGAGTTCTCCCTTCGCGCTACTAGAAAGAATTGGTGGAATATATCCATCCGATCCATCTCCCCCTAAAATATATAATTTTTAGTCGCATATCCAGCAATTAAGATCTCCGGGACCCTGTCGATTCCATACCTCGTCCATTGGAAACATGTATTTCCCCCTCCGAAAAGTATCATAAGACCGTCCGTTTTCCGTGTACCACCATTCGTCTGGCTTTGACCTATTTTCTGATCGAATCGCGGCGGAAGAAGGCGGAATAGGCGCGCTAGTATACAATGATTTATATTAACACGACCTGAAGCTCATCGCCACGAATTCAGAGCTCATTTGACATACCTGTTCTGGCCATAAGCGGAGCCATTGCCATTGTGAGCCATGTCTGAAACGATATGGCCCAATCGAGGCGGCAGAGCGCGCGCGAAGGGTCGCACGCCGGTGGAAGCCGTGGTGAAGGCGTGTCAAAGGCCAGATGAAATGCTGTGATTATAGGCGACAGCCTTAAGATGATGTTGCGATAGGTTTCTATGGAGAGCTTCGAGATGGCGCTAGTTCGGGTAGATTCAACGGTACACTTTGAGCTTTGGTCAAGTAGATCCCTAGGTACTATGGTAGGTAGAATTGTAAAGTTCAGGTCTCGGAAAAGGTTAGGGATTCGGGAACGAGGGAATGGAATGAGGAAACGGTAGGAAATATAAAAGGGACAATGCTCGGGAAAAAGAAAAAGAATAAAGGACGACACAATGAGAGGCAACCAAATGGTACGTCCAAAGGTAGGCACCTAAAACAGGTACATATAAGTAGGTGGATAGGTAAATAGGTAAATAGGCTGGTAGTATGTAAGTATGGTACGCGTGTGAAAAGAGATCGCGGATAGGAAGAAGATGATGATACGTGAATTGGTGATAGTGGGGGCTAAGCAGAACAGAGGTAAAGTAGAGGTAAAGTAGGTAAAATAAGGTAGTAAAGGTAATGTATTTGGACCGAGTTTCAATCGAACGAGGTACAACATAAAATTATTTTAGTGTCAAATCCTACCCAGCACCTACTAGGTAGTATCCTTGTTCAAGTGCTAACATGAAGCCCTGGAGGTGTTGTACGGTTGTACCATCTACCAGTACTGATGTCTGTATAGCCCAAGTACAAGCTGTACCTATAAAGCCTGGAGAGTTTAGTACCCAGTACTCGACCACCGTAAATGCGAATGTGACTTTCAATGCTGATCCTTTATCACTTTTTTTTTTTTTTAGTTTTATTCATGTATGTAGGCGTATGCAGGAACACAGCAGCTGGAAGAGAGAGGAAAGGGAACAGAAAGGAAAGAAAAAAAGGATGAAGGGTGTGAGGAAGCGAGAGAGAGAGCGAGGGGAATCAGGTCAGTGAAGAGAGCGGTAGGTAGTCCTGAGTTTTATAAAGTTTAATTCATGGAAGTACCTTCCTAATGGTTTTTACACTTCGAAGTCCATATAGGATGTTGGAACTTTTCTGTTTTTTTTCTCTCTCTTCTAAAAGTTGTCTAATAGGTACGCACTTGGGCAATTAGATATGCATGTAGGGTGCATGGACAATTACAATGTTATTCCACATCTCGTCCTCACACCGGCTCTTGGGGGATGTAGGTAGGTAATGTGTGTACAGTAGTACTTGGGTACATGTGTCATATACTTACATGCATGTATTTACTCAAGGTTGTACCCAGTACTATGTAGGTATTATGTATCCCCCATGCACCTCGGGGAAGGCGTATATGTGGGCCTTTTGAAGCTGCCAAGGACTTGCGCGGTAGTAGAGCTAGGAGCTTTGTATAACATTAACTTGTATATGCCGTCCATCTTCTCATGTACATCCACTTTTATACATCCACTTACATCCTTCTTGACGACACAGCATTAGACGCTGATTATCATCAACACCAAGACTCAACACGAATATATCAAGCATCATTTACTATGTTGTAGTTGGCTAAGTATCCAATTGGTAGAGAGTAGCTAAGAGTGGGCTAATACCTACATTAGACGAGTAGTAGGTACGTACCATCCACGATGATCACCAACTCAACTCAACACAACATTGAAGAATATACAAAATTGAAGCTACGCTAGTAAGTAGGTAGCCTCGGGTACAGTACACTAATGGCACACCCGAAGCCACTACCTAGTACCCAGCACTCGACCCATCCACTTGGACGGTGGCTCTTGTAAGGCTTCGGGTGACCCATCCCCTAAAAGTCTGGCCCCACTGACATAGTGCTCCTCGTCCCGAGAAAGAGGATCGTATCTCCTCTATGGTGACACAACACCTCTAAAGAAGGTGCTATGTACTGGTACAAGATCTTGTAATAGAATTTGTGAGATCCAGCAGAAGCAACAGAAGCAACAGCAACAGCAACAGCAACAGCAACCGGCCCCAGTTGAGTTCAACATTATGTTTCAAGTTCAAATGTTCCTTGGGACCTTGAAAGTTTCAATGTTCAATCTTAGGTTTGCACGGCTCAGACGGCTGAGACTCACATTACATTATTCAATGTTCCCAACTTCTAATCACTTTCTTAATAGACATCCCGACTTCGTCATTCATCATTTATGCGAGCTTCGGCAAGGTAGAACACGAGATGATCAGTCTCTTTGAGTCCTGGCCACCTTTTCTATTTTAAGTTAGTTGATATGCTGTGATAACGCAGTAATATTTACTACATAAACTACCTGGGTTAGTATTATAAGCTTGTGGTTAACAGTTTCACAGGGGGTGAGTTGGAGTCACCGCTTCTATCGCTTCTGCGGCGTGTTCTTGCTGACCCCCTTTTTGCCTACCTACCTTTTATCGCTGTCTTCTACTTACCTATGTATGTCAAGGGCTACGTAATCTCGAGAGCAGTAATGTAGCCAGTTACTTGACTGGGCGTTACAGATCTAAGATACATACCAGCATGCTTTGCCGAAGTTTTGGTGCCAAATGATCAAACAATACCGGTGACCGACTTAGGTGCAGCATGCTCCAAGACATGGACAGCCCACTCTGTCCAGGGGCGCATACAACACGTTTATGCAAAAGAGCCCTCGAGAAATCTCTTTAGTATTGAGTATACCGTTGTGAGGCTGTCACAAGGTACGACATGTGGAGGGCAACACCGACTAGAGCCCAAGTCATCCTTTAGCAGATGGCCGGGAACATGCACCACTTGGCGGTTGTGAATGAGTCTCTTGCAACAGGTGATCTCGACGTCACATAATGAGACAGTCTTGACGAACCCTCTGTGTGGGACTAAGTCACAGTACTTCTCGCTTCCAAATAACTCCTAAGCCTTCCCACCAATGACTGGTCAGTCGCAATCCCTTTTAGGATAACCAACAACCCTAGTACCCGCTCTCCAGCAAGGTTTTCCTTGTACTCCCAGGAGGTTGGATCAAGGTATGCAATACGACACTCCTCGAGAAGTCCAAGTTAATACACCCATCTCTGTTAGGACAAAATTCTTGTACGCTCTGGTCTGGAGTACCACCCATCCCCATCGTAAAGGAATCATGAGGCTATCAGCATTCAACCTAACTTAAATGGCTCTGGTTCGCGACCAAGCATCTCCACATGCCTGGCTGCATGCACCTTATGATGACTTTACTTATTATAGGGTATACAGATAATTACTAGGCATAGTAGCAGGTGGTGTTTTGGCGTTCTGGCCAAGATGAGATGGCCTGCGGCCTAAAGAAAGCATGCGTGTATGTCGCCCTTTAATTCTTATTTCGCTACATTTCCAGAGAGAGAAGTAGACTGATAGCCTTGTTTAAAGCCCTCACATCATGTCTTCACATCGCAGACAGCGGAAGATAGGGGCAGGACGGTAATGATGGAAATACATGTATTGAACATGTATGTTAGGGATGGTCAACAGTGTACCTCCTACGTTAGGTATGTATTTGTTGCGCCATGCATTCGCAGATGCAACTGGACCACTCTATTCGACCTCTTATTGCATATGACAGCATCACACAATTCCCTTGCTACACCCCTGATAGGTGTGGCTACTTTGCCTACATATGTACTCGCTACGAACCTACCCGCCCCCCCTCTATAGGTAGTACCGACTTTCACTAGCCTTCGTTTATCTCGTCAACTACTACAACAGGGCAGCGTTGGTAATCTCATGAGTGAGCTGTATGTTCATCTTCAACAAGGGCTAACACTCAGGTTTTCCAGTTGGTTTCTTTTCTTTTCTTTTCTTTTTTTTTGGCAACTCAAACTCTACCTTTGAGAGGCATTAGAGAATGCGGCTCATACATCACAAACCAAAGCGAGCGCTGCGAAACTTCACGTATGTAGCCCCGGAGTTATTGCATCCCAGATTTCTAACTTGGGTAGGTAGGTAGGTACCTATATAGGGGTCACGTTGCCAACACCCCTTGCGAAGGCATGCAGAAGAACAAATTCAATATATATCATGGACGATAATTATAAAACTTACCACCGATCCGAAAAAGGTTGCATAATTTTCCCTCAAGCCCCGACGGTGTTTTTTTTTTCCTTGCCAATAGTCAAGAAGCTTTCAACATACTAGGTAGGTATTATGTATGTACTATGTAGGGTATGATACAATCCATGGATACTAACATCAACTAGGTTAGTCTTACTTATTAGTCTTACTTATAATAACTTCAAGTTGTATGTTTTCTGGCTGACTGGGTTAATAGTGTAAGTAGTGTAGACTGGGTATGTACAAGTACCGTTGACCTAGTGTAGGTAGGTACAATACCTACCTAGGCAGCCAAGGAATTCCATACGGGGGGCGTCCTTAGGCGCTGGGGAGCATCCTTTTTTATCAACCAATCAAGATAGGCGAGTCGAACCCGACACAACGGAACACAATCAAGTCATGGCTTGGCACTCCACACTTAGTCGAGCTGTGTTGGCAAGCGTGTCTCAGACCAAAATCTTTAGTGAGAACATGTGGAAGATCAATCCATGGATGTCTTACCTAGGTCAAACCTCCACATTGGCACATTACATAGAGACAAGAAGGAATAACTATATGCCTATCATTCATATGGATTCACATGGATTCACATGGATTCACATGGATTCACATGGATTCACATGGATTCATATGGATATTAGCTATGTACGTTAATAGTTACGTCAATCACCAGAATATAGCCCAAAAGGTCTAGGCCTTATGTGCCTAGTAGCCCCCCCCAGGCCCCTCGGCATGATTCCACGTCGATACCTGTGCGGGACCAGTGGGATTTGAGTGGATGACCACTGGACACTGGATGTTCTTCTTTACCCCTGTCGTCGGCCCGGCCCTGTGGATTCTGTGGGTGGGTATTTAAGCTGGCAGGACTGGCTGGCTCCGACAAGGGCTTGCGTGGCTGACCCGAGAACTCAGCTGAGCCAATTCAACCATGCATGGCTACTATGTAGGTGGTAAGCCGCGAGATGTCTACTACCACTTCAGTGGCACTTCTACTGTGTACCTCTATCATAGGTACGTAAGGTTGAAACTTGATAGCTCATCGCTTATGTCATTTTTTAGAGTCTTCTCGTCGCTCAATGCCAATATTCCGGTACGATACTTGGCCCCCTTTTATTTCATCGAATTTTCCAACCACGACGGTACAACTGCTCCATCTCATTTTATTGGGTGCCGTGTTAGCAAGCTAGGCGGATAGCGGTCAGCTGCAGAATCAAATGATAAAACTGGCCTTGGTATAAAATTTCATAGACTATGTCGGGTCGTTTACTGGTACCTGCAGCAAGATACATAGATCTCGCAGAAATCAGGACTCACGCTGCGATAACCCGTCACATTGCCGTTTATGTACTTGCCGTACTTTATACGAGAGAAATGGCTTCCAAGGTACTTCAGCAACTGCTTTCAACCGTGAAAGAACAGGATCACCACCCGTTGATTAGCAGGCTCGCCGAGACATTTACAGACTTTTCTCGTCTATCTTAGAGCCAGCGCGTAGATACCTACATACTAATCAAATACATAGTAGGTAGCGACAAGATTCATCAATCGGCAGGGTTCTAGAAATTTGTTCTGGGACTTGGGGGTGTCAACAACAACAAGTCAAAATCGAACGATACCAAGTAGGTGCGCTCAGCTTTGTAAAACGCAACGATTCTTGCAGATCAGAATTGTCGGCGGCGATGAGGGTCACATCGACCTTACCAATTAGAGCCGGGAGGCCGAGAACAAACCCCGGAATTGCCTGCCTGATTCTGTTATATCTATGTACAACAGGCTCATAGCTTCAAGCTCGTCTCACCGCTTACGCACCCGTTACCAGTTTGTCGGGTTCGCATAATTGGATGCTCGTCTCGTCTCGTCATTTGCATATGCCGCACTTCGCGCCAGCTTGCCACTACGCAGGTAACTGTCATTTCACCGCACCAACACACACAACATCCATGTGGGCTAACGGTCCTAGAATCCCTCATCCGCTAACTACCCTAGGTATTTAGCTAGTAGACAGATTGGATTCAAGGATCGGGCAACGCTCGGAACATTTCCCACGCCTTAGCATCGCGATTTTAGCGTCGCTTACATGGTGCCCAAGGTTGTGGTTCATCTGCAGACGAAATATTTCGCCGGTAAGCCCCGTGCTTTTGTCCCGAGGACTTAATGTAAGTTTGCTTGCATCTCAATATCACATATACATATATACATATACACAAGGGAGAGTCAAGACAGACCCGGAGATCATCTAGCTATGGATTGAATGTCGCAAGCGCCACACCTTGCACTAATACGTGATCGATCTTGGTCCGGCACATGGGTAAGCTCATGGTGCGCAATACTTATTACTTGCCTACTTGTATTAAGCATACCTAGTAGCCAATCTCCAAGCACATGACATTCGGCTTATTCTTATGATGCTACTATAAGTAGGTACAGTTATAGGTATATTGGAGTCATCACTAACGTCTTGATTTACAGAATTCATGACTTGTGGACTCAGAAGCGGGGATAAGTATGATATATGATCATTATTGAACGAAGTCGTTCCGTTATGGTATTATATACGATATAAGTATATGTTGCTGAAGTATACCCAGGCGTCGAGTGTCGAGGGTGGTCGTATTTGCTTAAAGTGGAAAAGACGAACGACCCAGAGCCACGGCACCCAATAGTATGGTTGTCATGATAGCATGGCCTCAAGGCGCTAGGCACCCTGGCTTTGCTTTCTTGGTTCTCGGAATACCGTGTAGGAAGAAACAACGCATGGATGATCAGCATTCAAATGCCTTACATTCCATACGTGTGGACCCTTCGAGTTTCCTCGTGCTCTCGGGCCTGGGTTAGCACAAAACTCATCAGGCTATTGCATAATGATCCCCAGTTCGTCAACACACCTCCGTTGGTTAGATATATGGCGCGGCCTTTAGGCTGACAGCCCCCGGCCACGTATGCCGGCCTGCCGGAACCAACATACATGACAAAAGTGTTAGAAGGATGATCATCCATACGTACATCGGGGTAAGATGCCGTATGCGATTTAGCTCTTTCTTTGAGCGCTGACTCAACTCACACATATGGGTATTCGAGTTGTCCTATATCTAACAATCGCCTCGCTCCAGACAGCATCCAGGCAAGTTGTTGCCTCGTCGATGACCTGACCCACGTGTCAGACTCAAGTCTGGTTCGGTTTTCGTAAGTACCTACCTGGACCACCTTGATGACTATCTCACATTCGATCATCAAAAAGAAACTAGACAACGATCAACAACAAGAAACGGCCAACCCCGAGGGTAGTGAAACCGCTACTTACGTACCTGCTCTTCAAGTCTAGCACTGCTGGCTAGCCTCCAATTCAGGCCGGGGCCTCTTTGCCTAACACGTCGACCCTTATTAGACTCCCCAACCACCAGAAGAGAAAAAAGAGGCCTCTTTGGACCGTCCACATGCAATGTTATGAGACCAGATGGCCCAACGTCAGAGACGTAGCCATCAATCACTACTATAGTGGAAAAAAAGCGACTCCTAACGGCATTTCCTTGTGCAACCGTCACCCCCCTTCCCCTCTCCCCATTAAGAAGGGGAAAAGGGATGCAAGTAACAAAGCCCCCCAGGAGATAAGGAACTTGTTTTTGCAAGTCGCATTATAGGTAGTTAGTTAGGTTAGGTATTCATTGATCGCAGGTTGTCGCCTCCTCTAGTTGTTGTTGCTAGATAGGTATGATATGATATATTGAGAATGCGCATTACGCACCTATCCATTGGAGACTGAGCGCGCACAACGCAACTCGACTCGACTCGATTCGGCTTTGACTTCGCCAACAACGTCGTTTTGGCTGCCGTCGGGACGTAACGGTGGTGGGTAGCATACCTACACATCCATCCATCCATCCATCATACATATAGAAATACATATACCAACCTATGCATGCAAAACGTGCCATTCTGTTTTATATTAAAATACTACCCCCCCTCTCCCCCCCCTCCTATCAACGCTTCTTCTTCTTCTTCTTCTTCTTCTTCTTCTTCTTCTCGGGTGCATTCTGCGGCGATTCTCTTTCTTTTCCTTTTGTCGGTTTGTCCCACTACTTTCGGCCCGCACTTTGGTGGCCAAGCAATGCGGTGCGGAGGAGGGGGAGCCACGGAAAGGCAGATGAGTTGCTACCATAGGTACCTACTTTCCATACTTACCGACCTACCCCCTATATTGCTCCAAATAACTCGCCAGGGCAGATACTTGGGTATATTCTATAGATACCTACCTATATAAATCTTATTCCCTACTGGGTTAGGTATCACAACAATAGTTACCTAGCAAGTAAGTAAGTAGTGGTAGCACAAAGACATGTGGCATTCTAAGCGAGCGAGATGGCTGGCCCCGGACAACTACCTCACTCCCATAGCTATAGTTAAGTATCTACCTGTCTATCCAATCCTATGTATCCTCGGATCACGGGACTCAATAGGTCAGGTCAGTAAGTACAGTAGGTACGAAAAGAACAGAGCACGTAGCACGTGACACATGAAACGTAGGTAGAGCCGCTATATGGGAGGAACTAGGCAGGTGGCATATCACTGTTCTTCTATCCTAACCCCCTTATCGGCCACTTGGGTAGATAGAGATGGTTCAGGGTGCTGTACTGTACGTAAGCGATCCCTCCTAGTCTGACTCTTAATTGGGCATGTGGCTTGGGTTGTTGAATCTTGTTCGTTTGGGGGGAGGTCTCATCTCAGGGGGGGGGGGGCACCTACCTAGGCACCTACCTGTTAATACCTAGCAAGTGGCTGTTCATCGTACAATACAACAAAAGCTTGGCTATCTATATACCCAAATAGGCCACCATACGATGATCGTCAAGCGCACACGCACACGCACATAGGTATATGCCATCGGAGCGGCAAGTGACTCATACCGAGCACAATAGACACCTACCTAAGAATTATAGATAGATAGAAGGATGGATAGATGGATAGGCTATGACTCACATATACCTACCTAGTACCTGGTCCATCCTAACGAGGTGAACACCCGATACCATGAGGATATATTATTTTGAGCCTGTATAAGTATGTTGTCACAGGAATTACTCCTCCATTACCCCTTTTTCATCGCCTACAACATGCCTAATTCGACATGAGAGTCACAAGCCACATTGTAAGGAAACAAGAATGCATCATAATTAGAGAAGGATCTGCTATTCGTACATCTGTCATGGAATCTTCTCCATGCTGCCTGGCAGTCTTGTATTTATTTTGTGTCCTTTCTTCTTTCTTGTTCTTCTTTCTTTCTATTTTACCTCTCTCCTGATCGATACCTCATCCTGTTCTGGGGGCTTTTTTGGGGGGCTGAAACGCAATATCTGATTCACCCTCAAACGCAGAAGTGCAAGACGGAACAATGAAAACTGCAGAGAACTTAATCAAATGTGAGTTGGCCAACTTCCCTAGCCGGAGTGAGTTGTAGGATGTCCTCAGTAGGCCTGATCTAGGTTTAGATCAAATCCGAAGGAAAGCTTTGCTCTTTTCACCCCCTGTCCGCCCACCATGATGTGGTGCTTGACCCAGGCGACAATGATACCGGCGAGGCAGAGAAAGGGGAACACAATGGTACCAATTATCCGTGAGAGAAACGCCGCAAAATATGAGATGGGGAATGTCTTGTACAAGGTAAAACGTGTGTCTGGGTCGTGTGCAAGGGTATAAACCTGCTTCATCACTACCATTCATACTCGCCGGTAGCTCTGTGGAAGACGTAGTCCTTGCCATTGACGCTAAGTACACCGTCCTTTAGGACGCACTTCCTATTCAATTGTGAGTATTTACCGCCATACATTTAAAGCAAAACCTTGATTAGCACTTACCACTTGTTCTTGACGCGTTGCACCTTGTCATACATGCAAAGCATGATCTGACCACCGTCCTCATCCTCGTCATCTTCTTCGAGGTTATCATCAGGGTCATCGAGATCCGAGTTGATGGCATCCACATCCTCCTCCTCGTCCTCCTTGATACTATCGCCCGGGCCATCGAATTGGGAGATGCCGGCGGATGCCGGTGTGGGTTGAAGTAAAACGGGTTGTTTCTTGCCCGTACGCTTGAGTGGTACCATCAGGCCACCGCCTTCCATTGCCTTCGCCTTAGCTGCGATCTGAGCATGGAGCAAGTTGTCGATCTCGACTCTTCCCATCTCCACATTGGCTCCGGTTGGACTGCGACGAAGAAGCACGCCAAGATGAGTCTCGGCATCATCTGCGCCATCCATCTGAGATTGAGCGGGTCTCTGACCATTTTGCACGGGGGGGCGCTGCTGCTGCTGTCCGGTGGCATTGGGCGGCATTCCTTGTCGGTATTGCTGCTGAGGTTGGCCCTGGTACTGCCCGGCGTAGTTGGGAGGCATAGGTTGATTGCCGGGCCTCTGCTGGTTTGGCGGCTGCGTACCGTTCAAGTGGGATTCTCTAAGCTTGTTGATAGATGCCGCTGCACGGTCGCCATACATAGATTGTAGTTGCTGAGACACACGCTCTTGAACAACACCATGGGCGCCCTGCTGAGGGGCTTGAGGGATCATCGACGCATTCTCAAGGCCAGGTTCGGTCTTAACACCTGGCTCATGCTTGATCATAGAATCGTTAGAAGGCTGACCAATGGACATCGGCATGGTAAGACCTTGAGCCTGCGGCATATGCTGCTGGCCGTATGCATTTGATGTCGGCTGCTGGGGGATAGGCTCGGGAACCGGAGCAAGTTGTGGTGCAGCGGCAGCAGCTGCAGCAGGGGCAGGAGGATCAGGCTTGGGGTCCCACGGGAAGTTAGCCAGCTGTTGCTGAGACAACTTTTTCTGCCATCCCTAATGCCAATGAAAAATTAGTTTAAATATTCATAAGATATTCATAAGTTGTATATGTGCATTTTGGGGAGTCTTTTTTTGGTTTTTTTTTACTTCTTCCCCTTTTTTGGTTCATGATGATAAAATAAAAAAAGGGGGTGTCTTATCGGAACGTTATCGATGCAACGCTGATAGATAGATAATAGCATAGCTCCTAACAAGCCTGACAAATGACAGTAACAGTAATAAATACTATAAATGCGCACAGTACGGGGCACGTGTGTGGGTTGGCTTGTTGGCTTTAACCAATAAAAATTGGTATGAGTCACAAGGAGGTTGCGGCAGGGCGTAAAGGGATAAAAGGCCCAAATAGTGCCTGCCCGCCCCCTCACGAAACCCGCCCGTTCTCATCACTATCGGCTGGCTATGCTTCTCTGCTAAAGAGGCCGCCATATACATGCCTAGCACTTTGGTTCGGCTTCTCTAGTTAGGCTGCCAACTCGACAACTTCTGTATCATTTTTTTTGAACGTCCTCATTTCTTCACGACATTTCTTTTATTGAATGACAAGTTTGTATTGACTGATGATTGGTTGATGGAAACATGGAAACATGGAGAATGGAAGTGGCGATGATGATGATGATAATAACGACGACGTGGCCCGAGGTAGAAGGTAGAAATCAGGGAAAGTAACGGAGAATAAAGGAATGGAAAGGTAATAAATGTGCTGGTTGCTTACCTTCTTCAGCTCTTCTAGGACGCTCTCTTCGACGCCACCTTCCTCAAAATCAATTCGCGAGGTCTCGATGACATCCGAAATGATTTGCTGATAGACCGCACCAACCTGCGAGTTCGACATCTTGAATAATCTCCAAGTAGTTGCTTCTTGAGAAGATCGAGGTTCGTTGGTCGGGTGGGTGGATGAGTGGGTGAGCGGGCAACGAATCTACTATGTAGATACGCGACCAGTCGGGCATTGATTCAATACGCGAAGAGAGAGAAGAAAAGAAGAAGAAGAAAAAAAAAAAGAAAGCCTAAGGATGCACTGGTATGGAATATTAACAGAGACGAGAGCCCCAGTAACCGAGTGCTTGTTGGCGAAGTGTTGTGAAGTTCAGGTCGGATGCAGCTTTTTGGCTTTGCCGAAGTTGAGAAATGACCGGAGCACGCAAAAGAGCGAAAGCGAAAGAGGGAACCAAGGTTTTGGTTTTTCCTGAACTCCTCCGCTTTGCGCCCTTCGAATTATCGCTCCAAACTTGACTTCGTGGCTTTCTGTGTCCTTTATGGTAATTTCCTAAACTTTGACATATGTTTTCTTGGGTTTCTATGCTGATGCTGCGTGTTTGGTAAAAATGACCAACAACGGCTGGCTGGTGATGTTCTTGTAAGAATGACCCGAAAGGCGATAGCTTGTTGAAGTGCCGCCGCTTTGCTTACTTAATGCCCACTACCTAGTAGTTATTGATAAGATAAAGTAGGCAGTACTGGGTACATGTGTACATGTCAGAACATTTGACGTTCGATGCTGCGCCGCCCAGATACTAGGTACCTACTAGGTAGGTTAGTACACTTGTAGGTACGTACTAATGCTATGTAGTATGACTGTGCGTGATGGAACCTGAATCAATTAAAAAAAAAAAAAAAAAAGAAGGAAGGAAGTTCAAGGAACAACATTGAAGTGCCGAAATAAATACCTACCCTTTGAAGCTTACATCAATGATAATACCTACCCACGCTACTTTCAATTTCGATATTCTCAATACATTATGTACCTATTCACATACTTTTCATAGACATCTACCTCATGTACCTAATGCAAGTTCTTCTACGTCACGGATTCCTACATATGTAGCGAATCTACTAAGTTAGGTATTGATAAACAAACAATCAGAAACACAAGCAGAATAATTAACACCGAGTCAACCTCATATCATTGATATGTTTGGCTATCTAACTAACCTAGGTAAACTATACTCCTTCCATCCATATTACCATACCAGTATTACTACCCTCATCTGAATTATAATACAATTGAATTCATTCACAACATTGAATATGAATTCCAAGTGCTACCATCTCATGTAGCAGGCGTTATCCTATCGTAGCTCATGACCAAGTCCTTGTTCCGTAGAGATCCCTTCATACCCGTAGGCATGAGGAAATTCCAACGCCTCGCTAAACAGACACCCAAATGCAGTCCCAGAGATGCCAGAACGAAATGGATATACCTACCGTTACTGTCGATTGTCGATTGTCGAATGTGATCCTGACATTTACCAGATCCCGCAAAGGTGCTGCTTTATCGGATGGTCATCTGCTTGGCCATGGTAGCCTTGCTAGAAGAGCCACTGGCACCGAGGCCAGAGGCAGTACCCGCCTTCTTCTCAAACACTTTCCAGAACTTCAAGCTCTCATCGGCAGCTATAGATGGTAAAGTTAGTAGGGTGTTATCATAACAGTGTTAATAAATGTATTGAATTTATTTGAAACTTACCAGCAGTTGCGAGCATTTGTCCATCAGGGCTAAGGCAGCTGTGGAGAACTCGGCTCTCATGAGCAGGAATCTCGACATTGCGAACTAGGTTGGGGTAACTCCAGATGCTGAGAGAGTTATCGGGGAATCCGCTGGAGCTAACGATCTCGCGGTAGCTGGTGCTCCATCGAAGGCTGGTGACTTGAGACCCTGTGTCGATGCTGTTGACTCGGGCACCAGATGTGGTGTTCCAGAAGTGGATGTGACGATCGTAAGAGCCACCACCTGTCGCGAGCAGGTTCATGTTCCAGGGACACCAGGCCAATGCCTTGACAGCGGCCTTGTGGTTGTTCTTGGTGAACTTGGGGACAGCTAGGGATCGAGCATCCCAGATCGACACCAAGTTATCATTGCCTCCAGTGGCAAGTTGAGCGCCGTCGGATCGCCATTCGAGGCCACAAACCTCGGATTTGTGGGAAACAAGCTCAGCAACCTTGTGCTCGGCAATACGAACATCATGGTTGTAAACAAGCCCACTTCGGGCTCCAGTTGAGAGAAGGTGCTTGTTCCATCCCATTACACCAACACGAGTATCGTGACCAAACATGCTGCGGACCTTGGCGCCCTCTGCAACATCCCAAATCTGGACTTCGCCAGTTCCAAGACCGACGCCAACATAGGCACCATCTTCAGACCACTTGACGCTGCTAACGTAAGTGTCTTCGTTGGCCTCCAGCAAGCAGCTAACAGAGCCTTCGTCGGCAGACCAGACGTAGACACTACGCTCAAGGCCGATAGCAACCTGGTTACCAGAGCTCCAGTCAAGGAGGTTCAAGTAATAATCATCAACCAGCCCAGGCGCGTCGAGGACTCGTTCAGGCGCAGTCGCAATGCGGCGTCGGAACTGGCCGGAGCTGGCATTTGCTGACTTCAATGGTCGGTTATATTGCTGTCGAAGATCAATAGGCTTCGATGATTCAGGGGGTGCCGGCTTGAATTGAAGGATACGAGTGTTGAGGTTGACACCACAAGCATTGGCCAAAGAATCTTGGTAAGCTACCGTGTTAGGAGATGGGCGAGAGTAATCCGCCGTGTCGTCATCGTTAATGTTAAGGCCCTCAAGGGCAGTGATGGCATCGTCCGTAGCAGAAGACAAGACAGCAGAGCCCTCAGTAGTGGCTCTCGATCGCTTTTTGTCCTGCACATCAAGCTTTGCGGAACCTTTGTTGGCAATGGCGGAACTGTTGCTGCGGTTCGGGATAAAGCGATCCGCAGCGTAGGTAATTGTGGTCTTGTTAGACTTGGATCTCGTAGGAGCCTTCTTCGACTTGGGACTAGCAGGAGTCTTGGTAGGTCCGGTGCCAACGAGAGTGAAGTCTGATACACCTAGCTCGAGGGCCTTACGAGGGCTCGAAACATCGCGAGCGATATTGGATTTGGGCGATTCACGGTGCGAGTTTCTCGTGCTAGCCTTGGCAAGGCGTGCCGTAAGATTGCCTCCGTAAACCGACTTCCCCGACTTTCCCGACGGACGACAAACTCCATTGCTGGACGACTGTCTCTCAGGGGTGAAGGGGGATGATTCTATACGTGCAGGGGCAATATTGTTTGTGGTGCGTTGCCGAGGGGAAGGTGTTAAAGGCATACGACCGCCTGCGGTACGAGAGGAGAAAAGTCCCTTGTGGGACTTGAGGGGAGTCGATACTGCAACAGATGCCATAATGTCTGATTGTCTAGAGTATGACGATGATTGTGGGTATCGAGATGTGAAATAGTTGAGCTCCGACGAAGAACAACCTAATGTCTCGAGGGAGTAGGTAAGTGAGTGTGATTAGAGAGCTTCGATGAATCGAACGATCTCCAAGAGACTCAAGTTAATGATTCCTGGATCTGGGTAATGGTTAGTAATAGACGTTTGTTCTACTCGATATATCGAAGGGTGCTTCCGCAAAGAATAGCTTTTGAGTCGGAGGGGCGATCAGATGGCTGTAGCAGCGATAAGATCTAGTAGACTTGAAAGTATTTCTTTTTGGAAAGCTTGTTGTAATGAAGCAGTGTAGTTCTAGCCTAAGAGGCAGAGAATTGAAGAAGTCTTGAGGGTATGCGAGATGAAGGGTTGTAAAGGTTTATTGTAAGGAAAGAATCAAAATCTTGAAATCGAAGTTCAAGTCTCTGATTTATGTGTTTACACTGGTGGATCCCACCTTCTTTCGTTGCGCAGGGCAACGCTTGCAGCCCACGCAGCTATGCCAAACTAGGTTTAGACAAGTGCCACGCCTACTATGTAGCCACTTCTGCGTTTCACACTGTATAGTTTAGCCGAAGTACTGTGCACCCTGACATCTTTTCTTTTGTCTTACATTGGATGCACATAAAATCACCCCACTTGGCTCTGGCCAACCTTGTAGCCGCCTGGATTTCCAATTCGAATGGTCAAATGTTCCAACTTCCAAGTTGCTACCATGTACATACCTAGCCCTGGAGGTACTATGTATGTACGTACCGTACGGGATAGTTACATAGTGCAAACTGTAAACTGCAAACCGCCGCAAACCTTGATCAAATTAATAATTATTAACTAGTTATCGGAGACGAACAAACCTTACATAGTACAACCTCAAAACCTCCCCCCCTGCATTTATTAACCACTCTGCTTCATTCAAACAAGAGGAATCATCATAAGACGACCGAGCTTTCATTCAACATCTGAGGCCATTCAAGGATCCACTCGTTAAAATTGCATTATCCATTGGTCAAAATCAATTTAAAACCCCTTTGTTACATTCCTGTCGCATTCTTCTTGCGCTGGAAGGGAAGGTTGGATACCACAGACTGATAGAAATGTCGACGTAGATAAGCCTCCAAGATCGACTTCTTCTCCTGACCTTGCGACTTTCCTTGTGCCCTTGCGCTCACGGTTGAACCTTGCAAGCTTGCAGCACTGCAACTCTGCAACTCTGCAACTCTGCAAGCCCATGATCGTCTTGACCCTGCCATAGTTCAACAAGTATGGCTCATCCCTCAACTCCATCTGCCTCCTCTCACTCTATTTTCGGCGGCCCCGTAAACCAATCCCATCACCATCATCACCATTATCCTCCGCTTCCCCCGCCGTCCTCGGTTACACCCTCGACCACTAACGCTCCGACTCCCATGTCGGCTCTGTCCGGTGTCTCGTCCAACAACACGTTCGTCATGCCCAACACCCCTATGAAGAGCCGGGCCATGATGGATGGCTACCGGCCTAAGGTGACACGAACACTTGGCTCACGACCCGCTTGCCTCGTAAACGCCTCTGTAACATACTGCGGGAACAATCAGATCTATGCCTTTGGCGGCTTTGACCAATATACTGACGAGGTCTATAATCATGTACTAAAGTTGGATCTTGTCAGCCATCAATGGAGTCTGGTGGATAATTATGGAGATATCCCCGGCGTAAGAATGGGTAGGTACCTCTAGCTGTTGTGTCTCATAGTGTGCGCCCAAGACTTACGTTGTTTTGTAGGACACACTGCAACCTTGTATCAGGGTGATAAGCTTCTGGTCTTTGGCGGCGAGAACGAGCATAGGACATACCTCTCCGATCTCATTGTGTTCGACCTCAAAACCGCATACTGGACCCAGCCTCAAGTTTCTGGTATCATTCCCAAGGGTCGAGCTCGACATGCAGCTGTCCTGCACGAAGACAAGTTGTTCATCATTGGTGGCATCACAGGCCATGAAAGCTATGTTTCGGAAGACATCTGTTACCTAGATTTGAAGACTTATACTTGGTCGAGATCATGGCGTTTCGTTCCTAGGTTTGACCATTCGGCGTCGATATGGTGGGTACATGCCACCAACATTGTCTTTCCACAAAGTGCTAATTAGTATTTTAATAGGGGTGACCGGGTTTGGGTATTCGGCGGACTGAGTAAGGATATGGATAAGATCGGCGACTTATGGTGGCTGGACTTGAAAGGTAGTCCAGACTTTGAGTCCGCACCTCAGATTGGAAGTACCTCGGATCGAAATGCGTCAGCCAGCCGTTCGAGCGAGTCCCCAAGACCTACTTTCCCCATAGGATCGGGCCTTCCCATCGGAGCCTCAGGCTTTGCTGCCAATATCCGGACGGCTCAGGTCAACACACCTTCGTTTCATTTAAAGAAGCAGGTACCGATGGCTCCGGGCGCTATCTCGGCCCTGAGATTTGTTTCTGGGGGCAGTGTTCCTTCACAGGGATCTGGCATTCATTTCCATGTGTACTCTTCTGGGACGCTCTTGGATTTTGTCACACCGGCTGCGACAATCACGCCCAAGGACTGCTCACTGTCGGCCTTAGATCTAGCTACACTTAGATGGCAAAAACTGGCAGAGGGTCGTGAGATCTTCAAACCGGGTTACCAGTGGCATTATTGTACTATGAATGAGGACGGCACCAAAGCCTGGCTCCTGGGATGTACGACCGATGCAGTCAACGACATGGGCAATAATAGCTTCGAAGAGTATTTAAGTGAAATCATGGAAATTGATCTACGACGTTACGGGTTCCTGGGAAATAATGCTACCCCGGAACCTCGAAATGGATATTCCAGACCGACAGCGCATGCCCGAGTGCAAGATCAGCCATCCAAGGGGCTCGGCCATGATCTTGCGAGACTATTTAACCAACCGCCCGAGTCCGGAAGTGGTACCGATTTCACCATAACTGCTCTCGCTGGCGACTACGACGACGATGATATGATGGGTTCTAGTCTTATTCGTGCAGGAGAATCCCCGATGGATCAAAATTGGCTCACACCGGATGCGCCCACTTCTGCTCCCATTCACGTGCACAAACTTATCCTTCAAGCCCGATGGCCGCACTTTGCACGTTTGTACAACGCACAAATGGCCGAATTTCATACCAAGAAGATGCACATCCCCGAGCCATACACTGTGGTCAAGGCCTTCCTATATTACCTTTACACAGACAGCATACACTCTAGCGACGGCGTAACAGACCTTTCCGATGTCGCAGGGTTATTAGTAATGTCGAACATCTACAACATACCGCATCTCCGTCTCCTCTGCGTGAACCGACTGTCCAAGGAGCTTGACGTGGAACACGCATGCATCATTTGGTACTGTGCGGGTTTAGCGAGCGAAGAATGGCTGCGCAAGCGGGCGGCATCGTTCTGTCTAACTCACTGGGGTCGTATGGTACGCACTCAGGGTTTTCTACGTCTGCCGCGATCGGCTCTGGTAGAGCTCTCACAGGAGATTGACATGGAAGGCAGAGTCATATTTGGTGAAGAACTCGAGTATGTTGACAACTACCGTGGCCGGTTTGATACCTCGGGCATTTCGCGGAAAGACAGTATCAGCAGTGATCACACGCACGCATTGCCTTCCGATATGGATGATTCGGAGGGCATGGACCTTGCCTAAGATGTCTAAGACGAAGAGGTATTAGGAGGAAGAGCTCGGAGGGGCATTCGGCATGGCAGAACTTTTGTTTTATCAACTCCCATGCTGAATAATGCTTTGTTTAGCTTCACTATGCAGGAAAGGATGGCGTACAGTTTATGGATAACTCTGGAGACACACCTGGCGTGTATCCCTGACGAAGGAACGATATCGATAACAGCATATGTTTAACCGTCCTTTATGTTCTTTGCTTGTTTACGGGTCTTATTAGGGGGTTATCAGGGCAAGAGCATGGCTTTGGCGTTCAAGAGAGATAAGAAGGGGGGTTCAGATCAAGTCGGGTGAGAACAGGCCGAGACAAAGACACCCAACGAAGAGAGGAGGTTAGGATGGTTCAAACTGAACTAAGCTAACTAGCTAAGTAGGTACCTACATACACAAATAAGTATAGCTATCGTGCGTATATGTATCTTATCTATGTAAGTCTTCTTGGACATTTGATGTTGCCACTTATGCAACGCATAGTACGTACCTGTGTATGCAGTTAGTCGCCTCGCCAGCCAGCTCGAAGAATACATACCTCAAGGCTACATCATACACGCATATGACCTCACTCTTCTCACATGTCTACCACCCCTGTTTCCCAAAAATGCACAACAGACAGGCATCAGGTAATAATAGGCAGTTCGGGAAGAACGGGGGATTGAGAAAGAGAAGAGAAAAAAAACCAGGAACTGGGAGATACCTTGTTGTCCCGAACCTGTCAACCTGGTATGGTATGTAACTTGTATGTTTACCTACCTGGGTAACGATTTGTTACCACTACTATGGTAGGGTTATACAGCATTTATCCTTGCTGATGCATGGCGATGGGCTAGTGCTCTGGACGGACTAGGGTTACTAGGTACGTAGTAGGTATTATTAGTGTAGGTATGAAGTGTTAGAAGTTAGAACTTAGTAGGCATGTAAACTAGCTAGCCCGCAAACCTACTAGGTAGGTAGCGACTACCGCCCCGAATAGGCCGTAAATCAGTGTTCTAGATTCATGGTGATCGGCCAGCTTTCTTTACTAGGTAGGTAGGTAAATAGGTAGGTGGAGGAGGAGGGAAGGAGTGGAGGGAAGGATGGGATATGGGTTCGGCTGGGGTTCGCGGTGCTGGTGCTTAATCAGCCGGATTCATCCGAGGGGGTTGACTACTAAGTTAGGTAGGCAGGTTGGCTAGTAGGTTAGTACATAGGTATGTGAGTAGGTAGGAGTACCTACTACTAATTTAGATAGTTAACTACGTAAGTGAGCATGTACTGTAAGTAGGCAAGCAGTAGCGAGGTCGCGGAGTTAGAGAGGCATGACTCGAGCCCTACGTGAAGGGGTTGGCGTGTTGGCTTAGCGGGCGTCGGCAGATGTAGGTGGTTTTGCGGTCTTGGTTCGTCGTACATAAGTTACCTAATACCTGCTAGAGAAAGTGTGGAGGTTACATGCCATGTAGGCTAGGCAGGCAGGCTAGGTAAGTAAGACTTAGTAAGTAAGTAAGTACATAGGTTGAGAAGGTTAGGTCGTTAGTAAGGCTGTTTTTTCTTCTAATATACTAGGTTACCTAGGTCTCTAACTAGGTAACTACATGCAATCGATCTAGATACGAACGTTCGTAGGTTAGCATGAAAGGGCTAGGCCAAAACTCCGTGGTTTCGGAGACCAGGCCTATTGGTCGCGGTGGGGTGTGGGATGGGATAGTTGTCGCCGGGGATGGACACTCTACATATCTTGGAAGATACTCGGACAGGTTGCCCATGCTAGGTAGTAGGCATGTATGTACCAAGGTAAGGCCATGTAATTATTACTTCAACGATGAGATCACTACCCAACGCTAATAGAGATTGATCTCCAATGCTGCATAAGGGGGAAGATGCAGAAGGCCTTAGATAGATAGACACGGGTTACACGTCATAGATATCGTAGGTATGATGGTTTATTGTTGTTTCTGGACCTGTCAGTTCCGAATCCAGTCGGGCTAGGCTAGGATAAGGAAAGGATATGATAGGAAAAGGGGGTTGAGGTTAGTCCAACTCGGAGAGTATCATACCATACCATTTTCAAATTGCATTCTTTATGTTAAGTGGTTGTATAGGACATGCTGCTAGAGGTTGTAGTAATTACCTAGATGTCTAAGGGTAGTATACAGACAGGGGTTGAAGTTTGCGAGAGGCTATATCCGTATCTATATGCATATGCGTATGACAACGAGAAGGTTCGGTAGTCTGATAGCAAGGCACGTTCTAGGTCTATCTCTAAAGCTATACCTACAATTATAGCACTTATTAGGGCGTATCCTATAAGGAGACAGATAGGACACCCTCTACTATGTAAGTCTCTACTATGTAGGTACATGCAGTTTAATAGTGGCGTCTATGGATACTATCATATTAGGGATTAGGGATTATGGATAGGCACTTCTCACGAGGAGCAGTAGCTGCCATATTAGAATCATACGCGAGAAGACACAATACAATACTGAAAAATTTATGGATATTACACACAGAAGGCCAGGCTTGAGTACCTCGCTATTCCTAATCTATAAACGGGAATCTAGGGGGTCAAGGTAAATGTGGGTGTTGAAGGTTGAGGGTTGAGGTTGAGGTGTGAGGTTCATGTCTTGAGCGTTTGCTGCTTAGATTTCTTCTTTTTTTCCTTTCGCGCGCCAGCGATCTCTCTCTCTCTCTCTCCTTACATTTTATATTCCCCTCCCTCTTTTTATTTTGTGTGATCCGAAGCCGTAAACCCATGGAAACGCCCAGCTGCCTTCAAATCCTTTTTCATAAAACGGAAATGCAAATAAAAGGAAATGGAACGAAGAGCGGGACCAAAGAAAGGGGGAATTGACATGTCCATTAAGCCGTGAGGCATTACATTCTCTCGAAACGAAGGCGTGTCTTTTTTTTCAAAAAAGGAAACTCATAAACGAAAAGCTAGGCGGAGAGAACCCTGAATACGGGGAGAGTCAAGTAGTAGCAATTTAGCTTTATGCCACCTCATCGCCGATGTTCTCTCATCGCCTTGAATGCATCAAACCATCCCGCTATTCGTGTTCCTCGTTCATAATTCTCCACTTCATGTTGAATCATAGCCGTTTTTCGTTCGTTCGTTGAAATGGATGTCGTAAGCTGGTATGTAAAGCGTATGATTATGGGACGGGGTCGGAGACTTTGTCGACACACTCTCAACTAGGAGTGGGATATGTAAAAGAAATGTGTGGGAAATACGATGACGTTTTGTATAGGAGTCTATCGGGGGTATATCTCGGACTGGACGCCTTATTGCAAGATGCACAGAACGCCACCAAGATGCCGTAAATGACAAACTTTTCCGAACCGAGAGAAACACGTAGCTATGTACAGCTGCTACGGAGAAATGGGGGGTATCCAGTCTATATGAACACGTCTATGCCGAAGAATCAGTATGGGGTAGGAACCTCTGGTTCGGGGAGGCCCTCGGCGACACGTCTCGACTTAATAAATTAGAAGAGTGTTGCCGTTGCCGTTTCGAGTTGGCGGAGGGTATTGCAGTGGCTCCTATAGGTTCTATAAGAGCTATAACTGCATCTCTTCGCCGATTCCAGGCAGTCCGTGATTCATGTTGCCCATGAAGGACATCTGACCGTTAGCAAGATTAGCTCTGATATTAGCAGCCTGAGCTTGAATCTCGCAAGCAGACGAATGTTGCTTGTGCTGTTGAAAGATTAGCAACCTAGCTTTAGAAACCTATCACGTCGGGAGATTTTGAAGATACATACGTATTTGAGCCCATTAAGATTCTTGTAACGCTTGTGGCAGTATTCGCACTTGTGTGGCTTCTCCTTCTCCATTCCGGTCTCGCCTGGGTAAGGAGCCGATGTCTCAGGATTAACAATAGAGAAAGAACCATCTCCGTTCTCATGGAGCTGCTGGTTTTGATGGCCATGTTGCTTGTGGTACCTGCATAATCAGTTTAGCGACGTGTTAAGATAAGGGCCGACAAATTCAAAAGTGAGACGAGGAGGAGGGGAAGGAGACAAAAGGTGAATGAAAAAAATAAAAAATAAAAAAAGGCAAAATCTTTTTAAACTCACTTCAAGCCGTTCTGGTTCTTGTAAGCTTTCTCACATCCAATGACCGGACACTTGAATGGCTTGTCCTCCTCAGGTGGCATTACTAAAGATCCTGGATTCGCAATTGCACGTTGAAGTGCTGCAAGATGATTTGGATCCGTAATGTTTCCAAATTGGCTCGCATCCAATCCAAACTGAGCCATCTGTTGTTGCAATGCTCGCTGGCTAGCAGGGCCCCCGTTAGGGCTGAAAAGCCGTTTGGCTGGGTCATCGATAAAGAATTCGGCGAGGTTGGTAGCATCGAAACCTCCAAGGTTGCCAAGGTTCAAGTCATTAAGGTTGGAAAAGTCCATGTCAATTCCATCTTTGTTTCCGCCCATTTGTTGTCCTAGTGGGGGCTGCTGCGTCGTCAAGGTTGGGGTGTTGACTGACGAGACTGTAGGATTGTTCTGGAAGCCAAAATTTGAGGAGCCAGGCGTGGATGGCTGTGACGTTCGAAGGGCTTGGTGCTGCAATCCGGAGCTATTCAACTGCAACTGAGGTCTCTGCTGTTGCCCGAATACATGGCGAGTGTGCTGAATGGTCCGCTGGCTATCGTCCATCTCCATTACTCCGACGGCATCTTCCAGCTCCATATCACCGACAGCATCCATCTCGTCATTGGACTGCATGCGGTTCAGCTGCTGGGCCCGCTTCTGCATGTTCGAGTCCTGTGTCCCACTCGTCGATCGCCCCAACTGGATACCACTAAAGCCTAAATTGGAGCCGTGGTTGCCTGCTACGGATCTTGGTGGCTGACCAAATCCTAATGGGCTCTGGTGATAAAAGCCCTGTGAATCTTGCTGTCCATTTCCAATCGAGATAGATGGTCGGCTGTTAACCATCAGCCTGTTAGGCGTCGGCACATTGGCTCCATTTCGATTCGGCTGGGCATTTGGGCCGGTATGCATAGTCTCGTAATGACGAAGAAGATCGTGCATAGTGTCCAGCACCAAGTCGCAACACTTGAAGTCGCGCAGGTACTCGGCCTCCATCTTTGGGATGTATGAGTTGGAGTGAAACGAGGGCGACTGGTGTGCGCCGGTATACGGCGAAGTACCAGTCATTACAAGGCTATTGTCATGAGACATCAATGTTAGTACTGGCTACCATCGGATTGAAATTCACATGACTGGCGCATCGAACACAATCGCCTCTTTAAAGAAGAAAGATGAGTCGACCGGGTAAACCGGAAGTTTTTGCGCAATGAGCAGCGACCTCGATCGACAACGGGGGCAAAACATAAGGGAAAGATTGATGAAGGAAATGGAAATGGAAAATGAGAGAAAAGGAAAAAGGTAATGCCGTGAGATTAAAATGCGACTTACTCATCTCTAATGAAGCTCCCGACGGAGTTTCCTCCCCAGCTCATACCGTTCATCAAGCTACCAGCCAAGCTTTCTCGTCGCACACGCTGATCGCGGTTCGGGTTGATCATGGAGATAGGCTTGGGTCCAGCGCTGACAAATGAGTCCTGGCGACTGCGGCCAACGGCCGAGTCGAGCGCAGGACCGGCGGTCATTTCAAGGTCGCCGTCAACGTTTAATTCAAGAAAGTCTGCTTCAATTTGATGAGGTTGGCCCAGAGGGGGGGAGGCAGAATGAGAAGTATAAATCTTAGGTATACTGCGGGCGATGTCTATAGGCTTAGACTTGGAAGAAGGTGAAGTAGAGGCGGAAGCAAGGGCAGATGCAGATGCAGAAGCAGTAGCAGATGCGCCGTTGGATGCGGAAGCGAAGTAGGTATTGTGATCGGATAGATTAAATTGATCGTCGGGTGTGGCGGGTTGTGGTGATGGTGACGGCGAGGTGAGGGAGTGTGAAGAAGTTGGTGTAGGAGCAGCGACAGCGGCGTGATCAAAAGCAGAAGAATAATTATAATTATTATTATTTTCGGCGCTGCTGCGGCTGCTAAACGGATGCTCGGTGTCATTAGTCGCTGGAGATGGGGTACGTGTCGTGCCTGTAAACCATCGGCCCAGGGCAACCTTCTTCATGATTGGCAGGGTACAATTAGTGGGGTTTCGACCCTTGAATGGTCCTTCCTGGGTCCTCGGTCCTTGGCTTTTCAAGTCGCTTGATTTGGGGGGCTTGCGCTTGTACGTATATGTATGTACGTACTTGTAGTAGTCTTGTAGTACTAGGTAGTCTTGTAGTAGTCTTGTACGTACTTGCAACTCGTACTTGGCACCTTTAAATGCGCTTGCACTCACAAGCTTGCACTTTTCAAGGTCGCTAGTACTAATGTGCCGTACTAAATAACCCCAAGTACTATGTACCAGGCCGTGTACCAAAATAGGTACTGTATTCCAAGTAGCAAGCACTTTGAGTACCTAGATATGTAGTGCTGTGGCTAACAAACGCACACTTGAAGTTCAAGTTGCTGTAGCTTCAATGTTGCGAAAATATGTAGGTACGTACGTCAAGTACAGTAGGTTTACTTGAAGTAAACTTGGAAGATGTATGAAGAATAAGGGAGATGTTGTATGAATTATGTACCAATAACGGAAGAATGCGAATGCTGAGAAGAACCAAGGAATACCTAAATTGAAGAACGATTGGTATGATCGAACTAGATATTATAGGCTGGAACTGAATAGAAATTAAGTTAGTTAGTTCATATACAATTACGAGTCGTAATGCTAGGCATGTAGTAGTATGATACTATATGATACTAGTATCAATGCCGGAGCTGGAAAAGGCATTAAAACAGTAGCCTCGAGTTCCATATGAACGGAAGCCAAGTTAGGATGGAGGGCAATTGAAGAGAAGACCGGATAGTGGATTCAATGCTAGGAAGAGAGGGGTGGGATAGACGGACGAATCCGAAAAAACGCGCCTGCCGCCTGCCGTCTGATCTTTGAAGGGCATTCATGCTGAATTAAAAAAAAATAAAAAAAAAAAAAATAAAAAAGACACCACCTACATGTACATACATTACATGTAGGTTAGCAAGGATTGATGTACATACCTAGTTCTTGCTGGGCTGGGCTGGGTTGTAACTATGCGCGTTGCACTGTCGATACAACTTCAAGTTTACAATACGCAATGCAATGCAATGCAAAGTGGAAGTTGTAGACTTGAATCGCAACTGGAATATGTTTAAGTATTGAGATGGATGCCAAGTGTATGTAAGTACCTTGGGTACCTAGGTAGGTAGGTACTAGGTATCTAGTAGGTTAAGTTTCGTCGTTTGGGTAGCAGGTATGACCAGCGTCAATGTAAGCTTAATGAGAAAGAGTGAGTGAGGAATGCGGGTCCCAGGGTATAAGTTGCGGGTTTGTAAGTTGCGGGTTGCAGGTTACAGCTTGCAGGTTGCAGGTTGCAAGTTGCAGGTTGCAGATTTGAAGGTTTGGACTGTCACTGTCACTATCACTGTCACTTTTCCTCTCGTCTCCTCTCTTTTCCTTTCCTTTCCAATTATTTAATGGTTCAGATTCGATTGTCGAGTGACGCCAGATTAAATGGATAAAATTGGTCGATGCTTCAATGTGTATCGTAAAATCGCAAAATCGTAAAATCGCAAAAAATGCCGTTGTACAGCTTGGACATCAATTTGGTCAAAGCTGAACCAGTTCCAACCGTTGTTTTCTCCGTGGGGAAAACTAGCAAGGCAAGCAACCTTGAAACCAACGTGCGAAAATAACGGGTATATCAAATAGTCCCTGGAGTTCCACAATCCACGAGAACGCACTTTGGAATCACGAGATTCGACCAAACAGGTTGCTTAGTTGGTTGGTTGGTTGGTTGGCTGGTTGGTTGGCAACAATACTCTGGTCAAGGTCGCCCAGTGGCAGTGGTAGTGGAGGCGAATTCAATCGTATAAGTGCGAGCACGTGAAAACCGTAAACGTTTGCCTCTCCGTCTTGAACTTCGGACGCCGTTTTCCGTATCTCGTCAGTTGGCACTGAATTCGGGAATGATGATGACAGGAGGGGTGGAAGAGAGGTGTAGCAATCTCAAAAAGATAGCTATCGTTGCGAGTGTCGTTGGATTATGTATATGACTTATATAACTTAGTCAGGTTGTTGCAGCCCGTTTACTTCAGCAAGGGGTTGCACGACATAAGTTGGATGGTCGGGTTGGTGCTTATGACGGGACGACGCTGAGAAGTTACCCCAGTTGGTAAGTACTTAGTATGTAGATATAAAGGTACTAAGGTTAGTAGTAGGTACATGTGTGTATATGTATCAAGAGTTGCATGTGCTTCAATGTTGGGTTCAATGTTGGAAAATAGACCCCTTCGTGAACACGGTATATATGTATTAGATAATCAAGAGAACTGGACAAGATCTCGAACAAAAAGATGCAAGGTTTGCTCTTCAAAGGTCTGACTGTGTAATATCCTAGCTATATATGTACAATACTACCAGTGCGGCAACGTGGGATATATAGTATTATACATGCATAGTTGCTGAAAATACCATACGATCATACTGTTATGTATGTAGCAACCTCAACCTCAAAATGCACGGTTAGACTATATTAACTTGTGGGTATCCATACCTTGCATCTTGGGTATTTGAAGCTAGTATACCGAACCTACCTACATGTAGTAGTAGTATGACATTTCGAGCATGCGGGATAGGACGAGACTAGTTACACAAACAAGTTTGTAATTCTTCTCCCAAGCTCAGGGCTATTCTCACTAGTGAATCTACCATGTAACAGTATTTCCCAAACTTGGGGCGATACCCATAGGGATATATTGCAGTACACATGTAGGTAATCTGATGGGTTTGGTATACCTACCTAGTAGTACCTTGTGCATATGTAAGTAGATCCATTGCGGCGGGTTGCGGCGCGTACGATTTCTACATATGTTACTATAATTACCGTAAAAGAAAAGAGCCGGGGTACTATGCTTAGCTTGGAGATGCCGGGCAGGTATCTCCACTAGAAACTACTTTTGCTCGATGTCTATGGCGAGTATAAGTCGTCAGTTGTGCTGATCAGTGACGATAGTTCCCATCACCGGGGGACGAAGACTAGGTATCTAGGAGAGACGGGAGAGTAGGAGACCTGTGTTCGATCTCATCAGAGTTGTTGCCCCCCACCCTCCCAAAAGCGTCCCGAAACTCGACGCCCATCAAGTGGCATCAACCTTTGTCAAGATGGCAGGGGTATCGAGGCTTCATATGAGGTTTGTTTTTAGTCCAGATTCACGTTACGCGAATAACTTGGTTGAAACAAACGACTTCAATGTTCAAACTTCAAAGATGCGAACTGTTACCTACATGTATTACCTACCTACCTAGGTAGTTACCTGTGTAGTGTAGTGTACATATATGTACCTAACTTTGAAGTTAGGTAATTATTTACGTTAGTATACTACATTCATGGGAGGGTCCGGACTACGGAGGGGGAACATCGTATCATTATATTTATTCCAGTTAGGTTGATTTATGTATACTACTAGTACTAACCTTAGAGTACTAAGAGTAGTCGGAAGAGAATGAATGAGATGGAACTCACATGGTCAGGTGTAAGGTTACACGCAACGGTAGGTTGGGTCTGTTACGGGGGGTTGGGAAGAAGAGCCAGGGATATTTTTTGAACGGCTCGAACCCGATTACGGTAAGCCGACGCGTTACTGTGTGAGAGGGCCAACCCCTTGAACAATGAACAGACACTCACTCAACAGAGCCTACCAGGGGTTCGTTTGCCTACTGGACCTACCTATACCTACCTATACCTACCTAACCTACTACATAATACATATTAGGGTTCGTCGATGGAATTACTACATATGTCCATTCTAATGCCCATTAGCTAATGTCCATACCTATATAGGTTTGATTTTCACAGGGTTGATCTTAGCCAATTCGATGGAGAATGAAAGAGTGTCAAACTCTCTCTACCTTGCTTTCGATGGACCTATTCGAGTGAATACCACGCTTGCGCGTCATAGCCTGTACACTACTATTTCTCTACTCTAGTAGGAGTCTGTAGGACTGCAAGACATACATACACTACCTACCTACCTACCTACCTACCTAGTCCTGGTCCCAAGCCCATGATGATAACCCGGACACATCTCTCCAACTTGGTACAAATCGCTGTTTGTCCCGAACAAGGCTACCCAGCCTCGGGTGCTAGCCCATCTATCCCCTAGGCTACTTTGATGATATATCGGCTATGGCTGATTGGTTATTAAGTCAAGGCCGTACAGGCAGTAAGCAGCGAACAGACGAGAGAGATGACGGGCAGCATGCGTATATGACTCGGATTCGGACGAAAGCAGAGTCGAATAAGCTCATTCTCACGCATGAATTGCCACACAATGCGACTATCAACAACTCTACTCTTAATTTGAGTGGTTGCATGAGAATATATGTACTATTCAATGTTGAGGCCATGTCCTCTTTTTTACTCGTGCTGTACCGCAGTACATATGCCTGCATGCATGCAATGATGCATACCAGGTAGGTATACATACATACATACATACATACTTACATAGTACATGCATGCATCCATATGTATGTACGTCCTCCTTTATCAGATACGGGTCGAGTCCAGG